TAGAGGCACGAGGGAAAACATTGGGTGTGTCGCCAACAAGAGGAAGGGGAGAAGGAGAAACGGAAGAAACGGAAGGGAGGGAAGAGGCATCCACAACCTTGAGGATGTGGTTTGCAGGACGGGGAAGGCAAAGGAGTCCACGAGCCCAGTGGAACCTGGGTTCGATGGACTGCAGCCAGGGATAGCCAAGGATAACAGGTTGGTGGGGAGACTTAATGACATCAAAGGAAAGGTGTTGAGTGTAGTCCCCAAGAACAATCTTGAGGGGTTCCGTCTCAAAAGTGATGGGGCCGGAAGAAAGTGGCTGGCCATCGACACCTTGGACAGGGAGGGGAGTGGATTTGGAAACGAGGGGGACCGAGAAGCGGTCAACAAAGCTCTCGTCGATGAAGTTGCCGGAGGCACCAGAATCGACGAGAAGTTGGCAAGAGAGGGAGCGACCAGAAGGGAGAACAAGAGAAGCGGAGAAAACGGGAGAAGACGAAGAAATCGACGAGACGCACGAAGAAGGCTCGGAGCAGAGATCAGTGTCGGCAGCATGGTTCGAGCAGATGACCAAGTTCGCAGGTGGTGTGGAGATCGGGAGCTCTGTCAAAGACATCTGGGAGCCAGATGTGCCCTTAGAAGAGGCGGGTTTGACAGAGTGCGATCCACCACCGACTACATTGATCATTCCACACATAGCCATGCGTTCGACACTTACCTCATGCTCCTTACCATCGACGCTTGCTTCTGGAGGAAGGGGAGACGGCTCCAGATCTAAGCCTCCACTTAGATCTGGGCCTGGTCGTTTCCCGACTCGAAGTGTTCCTCCTCACCATCATCGTAGACGATGGTTCGGACAACCTTCGAACGGGGACGGGAGCCGGGAGCCTGAGGACGGGAGCCGGGGAAGCGGGAACCAGAGGCGGGAGCACGGGAGCCGGACTTGAGGGGGCAGGACTTGGCGACGTGGCCGGGCTTGCCACAGCGGAAGCAGAGGCGCTCCTGGAAGCGGCGGTTCTTCTCCTCGGGGGTCAGGCGGCTGACGACGGCGGCGTCGATCTGCATCGGCTCGGAGTAGAGAACCGGAGGCTCCTGGGCGGGCGGCTGGAAGGACGGGGTGCGGGAGTTGAAGGCCTGGGTGCCGAAGGAAACAGGGCCAGTGTTTCGGAGCTCGTTGTTGAGCTCGATGATGCGTGCATCGATCTTGAGGCAACGCTCGACGAACGGGACCAAGCGGAGAGGGAGAGGGTCGATGAAGGAGAGGCGCTGCTTGATCTCCCTCGACAGGCCACGGCGGAAGGCGGAGATCTTGGCTTCGTCGTTCCAGGGAAGGTCGGCGGCAACGCGGAGGAACTCTGAGGCATAATCCATGCACGAGCGGTTGCCCTGTGCCATGGAGGAAAGGAGCAGCTCGGCAGTGTGGGTGCGGTCGGGATCGTCAAACGCTTGGCGAAAGCGTTCCATGAACGAGTCGAACGAGTGCAGGATTTGATCGTTCGACTCGATCAAGGGAGTCGCCCACTGGAGGGCCGGACCAGTGAGCAAACTCAAGACGTAACCCACCTTGACTTGCTCGGACGGGAACCTGGATGCCTGGAGCATCATGAGCAGGCGGCACTGGTTGACGAAGGGGCGGAACTTTGACCTGGTGCCGTCGAACTTGTCCGGGGTCGGCATGTGCGGGAGCTGTGGGGCGGCGGAAGAATGTGTGGTCCGGAGGAGAACCAGTTCCTCCTGGAGGGCAACGATTTGGGCCTGGAGTTGGTCCATGTGGGCTTTGAAAGTGGGGAGCGAGGATGCAGGGAAGACAACAGAGAATAGAAGGATGAGGGCAGCAACGAAGCCTCAGCCAAGCAGGTGGTCAGACAGAGAGAGGGAGTTCGAACAATATGTGAGGACCACGACAAGCAACGACACTGGACGACCAGGTGCTTGGCGAACAACGATAAGCTATATTACGACTTATCAGATAACAACAAGTGTTGTTCGAACTGCAGATACAAAATGGGTGCAAGAAAGGAGGGGCTTTATAGCCAAGAGGGAAACCGAAGGGCGAAAGTGGGCGAGAGGGGTGGAGCGACAAACGAGGGACGAGATGGGGGTGCGAGGGAGGCGGAGCTGCTAGAGAGAGGGGCGAAGCACAGCGCAGTCGGAGGCGAAGTAAGAGTCATCGGCGCCAGCCAATCAGGGAATACACGCCAAGACAAACAAACATGACTCACGGTGCATCACGCGCAGCAGTCCACACGTGTTCCCAACGTGCATGATCATCACAGCTGTATTGCAAGCTGGAGAAGTGCGAGTTCTCCAAAACCTCGGTCTCGTTCCTTGGTTTCATGGTCTCGCCCGAGGGCATCGGTATGGAGCGATCCAAGCTCTCTGCGATCTTGGATTGGCCCATACCGCGCAACATCTCGGATCTTCGATCCTTTGTCGGGTTTGCGAACTTCTATCGACGCTTCATCGATGGATACGCAAAGATCGCGGGGCCCATGACTCGGCTCTTCCGGAAGACGCATGGCTTCCAGTGGTCCCGCGAAGCCGATAAAGCATTCAGATCCTTGAAGGATGCCTTCGTTTCGGAGCCCGTTCTGGTGCATCCGGACCCATCCAAGCCGTTCGTCGTAGAGTCAGATGCGTCGGACTTTGCGCTTGGATGCGTGCTCTCCCAGCGGGGTGCTGATGATCGCCTTCATCCTTGCTCGTTCCATTCGCGGACACTCTCGAATGCTGAACGTAACTACAGCATATACGAGAAAGAGCTGTTGGCGATCAAGGAGGCTTTCGAGGCGTGGCGACACTACCTCGAAGGCGCCCAGCATCCCGTTGCCGTTCTGACCGATCACAAGAACTTGGAGTACCTGGCAACGGCTCGCATCCTAAACCAGCGTCATGCACGGTGGTCCCAGTTCTTGTCTCGGTTCGACATCCGCATCCAGTACCGTCCTGGTGCGAGGAACGGCAAGGCCGATGCCCTGTCTCGTCGCTCGGACTACATCCCTTCGTCGGCCTCCGTGTCGAGGGATCCGCCTCTGCTTCTCGATCCTGCCGCGGTGATACGCGTGCTCCGAAGCAGAGACGCCCGCTCTTCGGTTGCAAGTCGCAGTGACCCTGTGGATTTGCTGCAGCTCATAGCCGAAGAGCAGGCTCGGGATCCCGGTCTAGACAAATACCGTCGTGACCCGAAGTTCGTCTGGAATGGCCAGTACCTCACCTTCCAGAACAGGATTGTGGTCCCAGAGTCGTGCCGAGTTCCGGCGCTCAAGTCGTGCCATGACCCAGTCGCTGTGGGTCATCCAGGCATCCGACGGACTCTGGCTCTGGTATCGCGACAGTTTTGGTGGCAAACCTATCGGAAAGATGTCAAAGAGTACGTCTCGACGTGCGACACCTGTGCACGCTCGAAAGCTCCGCGACACAAGCCGTTTGGGTTCCTGTTGCCACTCCAGACAGCCGATCGACCCTGGGGGACACTGACCATGGACTTTATCACTGATCTGCCAAAGTCCAAGGGTCACACCTGCATCTTTGTGGTGGTATGCAGCCTCACAAAGATGGCACACTTTATGTCCTGGCGTTCACTGCCGTCGGCGGAGGAGACTGCGTCACTGTTCCTCGACAATGTCTTTCGTCTCCATGGCCTCCCCGACACAGTGGTTTCAGACCGAGGAAGTCAGTTCACCTCTCGGTTCTGGAAGGCACTCTGCACGCAGCTCGGGATCCAAACCAGTCTGTCCACGGCCTTCCATCCCCAGACCGATGGACAGACTGAGAGGGTCAACCAGGTCATCAACCAATACCTGCGCTGTTACACGTCGTATCAGCAAGATGACTGGGCCGAGCTGCTGCCGTTGGCCGAGTTCTCTTACAATAACCTCGAGAACTCGTCAACACATGCCTCGCCATTCTTGGCAACCTATGGGTTCCACCCAAGGTTCGAAGTCCCCGTTGTCGCTGGCGGCCCTGATGTTCCCTCTGCCACGGAGAGGGTTGAACATCTCCAGCGGAACCTGGCACTGTTGAAGGAGAATCTTGAGAAGGCAAAGTCTGACTACAAGCACTTCTCAGATCTCCGGAGGTCCCAGGCTCCCGACTTGCGTCCGGGCGATCAAGTCTGGGTGCTGACTCGTAACATCAGCACCACTCGCCCAAGCAAGAAGCTGGATTACCAGAGGATTGGACCATTCACCATCCTCGAGGCCGTCGGGACATTGGCTTTCCGCCTGGACTTGCCAAAGGACATAAAGGTGCACCCGGTGTTCCATGTGTCTCTTCTTGAGCCCTACAAGAAGAACTCGCTTCCGGGTCGGGTGCAAGCGCCGCCCCCTGCGGTGGTCATCGATGGGAACTTGGAGTGGGAGGTCGAAGAGATCTTAGACTCCAAGTTCGTGCGCGGAAAGCTGCACTATCTCATCGATTGGAAAGGCTACCCGGTCACCGATCGAAGTTGGGAGCCCGCCGACATTGTCTTTGCCCCAACGGTGGCCGCGGAGTACCACCGACGCTACCCAGACAAGCCTGGCCCCAGGAGAACTCAAGATGGAACACGCCGTAGTTTAAGGAGGAGATAGTGTGATGACCAGCATCACAACGGACCAATGAGATTGTCCCGCATGCTCTCGCCCTCCGCACCAATCATGAGTCCCCACGTGTTTGTTTGCCCCCATGCATGAGCACGCGCCGTTGCCACCCGCGTCTACTGGTTTCCTGCCTCCCCCACCGCTCGGCACATGTCCCCGGGCTGTGCCAAGCCTCTCTCGCTTGCACACCAGCCACTCTCGCACCCCCTTCTCGCTTCTCTGTGATGCTCCACCCTTCTCGCCCACTTTTGCCCCTCGACCTTCTCCCGGTCTATAAATAGCCCTGCATGTCTGAGCCTATGTTGAACACCAGTTCGAACAAAACTTGTTCTTTGGTGTTCGGGGCTAAAAGCTAATAAAGCTCATACCAAGCACTTGGTCTTCGTCCTTGCGCTTGTTCACTCCTTACAGGCCAAGAGCTTGCCAATGTCGGATTCACCCACGATCGAGAGCTTTTTGACGGCCTGGGCCTTGTTCTTGGAGGCCGAGCGCTGGCGCACCACCAACCCAACGACAACAAGAAGAGCAACACCTCCGACACCGGCTCCAATGTAGATGACTGGGTTGTTGGTGCTGGTGGTGCCGTCGCCCGTGGTGGACGAAATCAGGGATGCCGAGTCGGGCGCCCCAACCGAGGTCTGTCCAGCGACCGCAGTTGCAGTCGAGGATGCTGCACCTCTGGTGGTGGATTGCGCTGTGCCTTGGGCGCCAGAGCTGGAAGCAGCCGCTGAGGAGGTCGAGATGCCGCCAGCGGGGTCGGGAGCCGCACCAGTGCCCTGGGATCCGCATCCACAAGCCGAGTTGGACAGGGAGCCACCAGGAGCAGCGCCACCAGCCGAGACAGCGAGCCCGACCTGGTTCTGGCTCATGTCGTAGATGCTGTAAAACTTGCGCAGGAACGTGTCTCCGAGAATGACGTCAGGATAGCCGCCGAGATCAACAAAGCCAATGTAGCAGTAGCTGCCCGTTTGGTCGCGGTAGATATAGTCGGCGCCTGGCGACAGTATTTTCGAACGAGCAATGAGGATGGAGTCGAGTCGTTATGAGTGCGTTCAAGATAATACAGGGTGGAGGCGATCCGAACATCGGTCTGCAAGCCCGGAGGACGTTGCAGTGACGAAGCTGCAGAATGCATCGTATCCAAGCGACTCTGACAATGCTGGGTCTTTGGGGGCAGGGCTCGGAGCCGACGATAGCAGGAGCCGACGAAGCACATGCAGGGCAGGATGGGCTTATCGCTTACCAGCAAGAGAATAGGAGGTGCCGCCGATCTGGAACTGGATCGTCGGCAGAGAAGAGACGGTGCTGCAGGAAACAGAGACAGTGCCGCTCGAGTCGGGATGGACTCCCAAGATCGAGAACACTGAGGACGCGATCGATGTGGGCAGGCCAATCAAGGACGTGCCCGTATCCAAGATGGCGTTGGCGGATCCGGTCGAGACTGCCTGGCCTCCGAGGGTGATGCCGCCAAGTGCAACACGCCACTGATCGTAGCCGTTGGAAGAGGGCACCACGGGGACGCTGCCGAGCCAAGCAGGGGGAGGGAGGCATTCCGTCCAGTCAGCCACACAAATGAGTGAGTGGATGAGTTGGAGAAGGTAAACACGCGAATGATCCAGAAACAAGCAACGGTGGCCTTACCAGTTGACGGATCCAGTATAATAGGCCGAGTTGCAGCCACCGAGAACAAACTCTCCCGATCCAGTGCCAGTGGGGCCAGTGGTGTCGAGCCAAAAGGCAAAGGTCGACGACTGGACAGCGCCCTGGGAGATCATGTTGGAGTAAGGAGGAACCGGACGGACACCAGAAGCTGCAGGAGGACGGATGTGGCGCAGGACAGGGCAGGTGGAACGAGATGATGTATCGGTCAACGCCATGGGAATCGGCCATGACCGAGGACGTGGTGTATCGCGACGTGCGCTATCGAGCAAGTGGCAGCTACTACTGCAGGGGACGCTGGGTGTTGGCTGTGAACATTGCAAGCGCATATGCGTTTACAGAATCCTCGGAAGATCCAGCGAGGATCATCACGAGAATGTTCGGGCTCAGGGCCATACCGCCGCTTTACTCTGCATACCCCACATCGCCTTGAGGTTGCAGCTCAAACTCACCCGAGGCAAAGGCCAAGGCCGGGAATCCCAGACCCCAGATGCCGTCCCAGGCCGTTCCAGTGTTCATTTGCGACTGAAGCACCGAGTCTGCCGAAGTTCCAACGACAAAGTCCTGGTTTGTGATAGTGATGCCGCTGGTGCTGAAAGTATCCTCTCCAATGTTCCCCTGTAGCGAACCCGTGCCGTACTGGATCGAGACGCCTGATCCACCGGAGGGAAGCGAGAAAGTGCTGGACTTTGACTGGTCGAAGGTTGGTCCGGCTCTGCCAGTCTGGGAACTGAGCACCCACAGATTGGCGGAACCGGTGTCCAGAACAACCAGGAAACCCTGGCCGGGAGTACCGAGCTGGATGTTGGCCAAGTACTGGGAAAGCGGGAGGAGGGGAGGGGGTTGCGAGCGCAAGAATTAGACAAATGTGTCCTGGTGACGTGCTGTCCTGTAACGGCAAGCGTCGGCGTGGGATCGGCTTGCCAAAACGGTATGCTGCACACGATTGGATGAGATGTACATTCGAATGGAAGCCATCCGATGAAACGAGCTGTATAAAGCGCAAGGAAGTGGTGGGAACGCTGTCATCGATGGGCACTTACAGACATATCGCCGGCGTCGACGATGCTGGAGGCGACAGACTGGTGGCAGGATGGCATGCGATTGGTTTCGCAGGATTGATAGCACCAGCATCGCGCCATTTCATAGCATTTCATGGCATGTCGGAGAACAACCCGGAAGTGTCACATGGGTTTCAGTAAGTCATAGCAGGTATACAGCCACGCTCGCTTGTGTGCCCGTCGATGGCCGGACACCACTAAGCAGACTCTCCACCGCCTGATGCAACAGGTGGCCGATTTCGCAACTTGGCAGACTGCGACCACGACAGATGGCATCGGATCGCAAGCTGGCTTGATCACTGCCGCCCAGGCTCAATCGTCACCAGTCAAGCCAGAGCAGGCAGTGATCGATCCGGCTGCGCTCTCGGGGTAAGGCACGGGTGAGGAAAACGATTGACAAACGTACACGGGTGACAAGGGCCCCGGAGCCGCTCTTGGCCGACGGGTATCTCGAGCGAATCCACGAAGCCTGGCTGCCGATTTGATTGGAGACGGAGGCGTTCTGGGAGCGCTGGGCTCGCTCGAAGCGGATGACGCCTCTGGAAAGCGAGCTTCCCGACGCATCGGTGCGATTGAGCGTGGTCGGAGCCGCTTGGACGGCCAGCTGGAGGAGCAGGACGACCCAGACGGCACACTGCAAGAGGACGACCCAGTTCATTCTGGTCGACATGATGGGCCGAAGAAGGGAGAGGCGAGGGAGGCGATCCTGGAGGGAGGGAGAGGGAGTGCTGCCAGGAAGGGTTCCGGCAGAGACGCAGCAAGACCAAAGCCAGAGGCCGACGACGATGGGCCTTTTCAGCCCGGCGACGCTGGTGCACCGGCATCCACCAGGCCCGATCCGGGGGACATGCAGCCGCGCGGCCATCGTGCTGGGGATGCACACGGGCCGCAAAACGTGGCCAGGGCAGGGGCACGGCGCGACGCGCACGGTGACACGGGGCAGCCGCTTCGGGCCGGCGGCCGTCGCGTGGACCGGCCATGTTTGCTGGCCATGTTTGCTGGCCTTGGATGCTGGCCTTGGATGCTGGGAGCCATCGGCGGGCGAGATGCAAGCGCACAGCGGATAGAGATACGACACATACGATGTGTCCATATATTTGACACGACATGTGCCCATACCTATATATATGTGCATATACATCTGCATATATATCTGCACATTACGTTGTGCCAATCAGATTGCGGCGTGGCTCGCCTTGCCCTCTGCGCCACACACATGGAGGCCACACACACACATGCCTGCGCAGCCGTGCACAAGCCACACGTGTGCCGCCCACGTTTTGCGGCCGCCCAAAACCCTGTGCTGCCGTTGCTGCGGCCATCGTCGTCGTCATCGCTGCGTCGCCGTCCCCTGCCATGTCCCCTTCCGATCGCTATGCCGAGACCGCCAAAGGCACCGTCCTGGCAACCCCCGCGTCTGCGGCTGCAGCAGAGCCGTCCTCCCGGCCGTCGCTGCTGGGCCGTGTCCTGCTGATCAGGCTGGTGGTCCTGCTCATCGCCCTGCTGGCCCCTGCCGTTGTCCCGCCCTACGATACCAGCGCTCTCTATCTGGTCCATGGCGCCCGGGGTGCCTGGGACAGCTGGGTGCGGGCCAGGCTCGTGCCGCTGGCCAGCTGGGATGCCATTCACTTTATCCGCATCGCCGAGTACGGATACATCTACGAAAAGGACTTTGCCTTTCTGCCGGGATATCCGCTGCTCATGAACGCCGGGGCCTTGCTTCGTAAGAACTCGCGACCATTGCTGGAGGAGCCTGTCTGATCTGAGCAGAGGTTGATCTGGTCTGAGCAGAATGAATATGGCTTGTGAAGCTATGCTGCGTAATCCGCCTTTAACCACTATGTTTGTCACATCCTTCATCCACCGTTCTCGTGGGGCGGATCATGATCATTCTTTAACACCGGCATCGGCATCGGCATCGGCATCGGCATCGGCATCGGCATCGGCATCGGCATCGGCGTCGGCATCGGCATCGGCATCGACATCGGCATCCTCTGCAGTCAGGCCCATCTTTTCGGGCCTTATGTCCTGGAAAACGCTGCTAATGGTTTCAGGCGTGCTCGTCTCGAACCTGTCGTTTGTCTGTGCCGCCATGGTGCTCTTTGCACTCACTCGCCAGCTCATGCCGGGCAATGTCTCGCTCGCCTACGCCGCTACATTGTGCTTTGCATTCCTCCCATGCAGCATCATCATGTCGTCCATGTAAGCATGATATAGCATCTACTCCACAGCTATCATCCTCGTCTTTTGCTGTATCTCGATTACTCACCCTCATTATCGCCATCTCCATCTCCATCTCCATCTCCATCTCCATCTCCATCTCCATCTCCATCTCCATCTCCATCTCCATCTCCATCTCCATCTCCATCTCCATCTCCATCTCCATCTCCATCTCCATCTCCATCTCCATCTCCATCTCCATCTTCATCTCCAGATACTCGGAGAGCTCCTTCTGTCTGTTCACCTTCACGGGGATGCTCCTCCTAAGTCGGCGACAGTACCTGCGCGCTGCACTGGTGTGGTCGTTTGCAGGCCTGATCCGATCCAACGGGATACTCTATGCCGGCTTCTTCATCTACGAACTGATCCTTCGACGACGCCCCAAACGGCTGCTGGTATGACCTAATTGTCAATGTCCAGTCCAGTTCGCGTTTATCTGCGGGCCTCTGTCCGCTCCCATTCCATGGGATCCATTCGGACCCTTGCAGGCCACAATGCTCAACCGCCTGCGCCCCTTGGCTCACCACATTCACTTGTTGTCACTCCAGAGCCGAGCATTCAATGTTGCACAGGCCATCTTTTACACCGGCATCGTCTGGAGCGGCTTTGCTCTGTACCAACTCTATGGCTTCCAGCTCTTTTGCGCTCCAGATGCCCCCTCCCGTCCTTGGTGCACTCGCACCGTGCCGCTCATTTACTCGTTCGTCCAGGAAAAGTACTGGAACAACGGATTCCTGCGCTACTACGAGCCGGGCCAGATTGGAAACTTCACCATGGCCATGCCCGTGGCCATACTCTCTGCGGTCGCCATATACCAGTACCTGAGCGCCGACAGCAGGCGGCTGTGGTCACTGGGATACTCGAGCATCACAAGCGCTGCAAGCGTCACAGGCACCTCAAGCGCCTCAAATGCCCCAAGCTCGACCAAGAACCGGGCCGGAGCACCGCTGGAGTCCTACGACTCCATCTTCCCACACATCGTCCTGTGGCTCGTCATGCTTGTGTACTGCATGACCATGATGCATGTCCAGGTGATCATCCGCTTCCTGAGCTGCATGCCAGGTGTTTTCTGGTACGTGGCAGAATGGAATCGCACCCGGTTGATGCTCGGCAAGGTGTATGTGTGTTACTTTGTGAGCTTTGCCCTCGCCGGTGCTGTCCTCTTCAGCGCATTTTATCCGCCGGCATAACAGCGGCGTCCTGTCGTGTCCTTGGACATGCGCAACGACCAATATACTGCCATTGCCATGATCGTTGTGGCGGGGTGAGCCGCATGAGAGTTTCCTACACGATCCAACGGCCCGGGCGATTGTCGAGGGAGTCTCCTCGGCCGGTCAGTAGCCGAATCGCCCAGATCGCTTTGCTGGTTGCATCGACACTGCCTGTCTGGATCGCGATGCTCCCATTACAACCTCTGAAAAGCCATATCCCGCTCGGTGTTGCTGTCCAAAGACAATCGGCGCTCGGCCCCTGCTCCAGAGAACATCGCACGAACAGCAACAGCACAACGTCTGCTTGGTCGTGTCTGCATGCCTGCAATCACGCGCTCGGGTGATCATGCCGACCTCTTGCTCCAAGCCGGGTTGTCGTCTCTGTCCGTTGCCTTCTCCAGGCCCCCCTGCGTCCCCGCTCGGTCGTTGCAGCATGGCCAGCACCCGTCCGAGCAGACGGCAGGCCAAGCAGGCGTCCGATACAGATCCCGGTTCAAAGCCCGTTGCCCAGATCTTGCCTCACAGCCACGGCGATTCCCCTGAACGTCCGCCATCCCCAGCCAAGACCGCTGGTGCGGTGCCCCGCATGTCGGGCGTCCCAATACCTCTCAACAACAGCTCTGTCGACGGCGTCTCATCCATCAAGCAAACCACCCCGGGTCGGAAGCGGGGGCGTCGGCCGGCTGCCCTCAAGTGGACTCCTGAATATGCGCTCTCCCAGCCAGACTCGCCCTTGGTGTCTATCGACCTGGCGGTCAGTAGATCGGCCGCCTATTCTCTTCGACAAATGCATATGCATCTTCGATCGACCGCCCCTGCCCTGCCATGCATGCCCATACGAATCGCTCGGACCAAGTGAAGCCCACTGCCTCCCGATTTATCATATCGCATCGTTTCCGCTCCCCCCCCCATCCTGTGCCCTACAGTCTGTTTTCCGCGACGAAAGCCTCAGGAGCATGCTCTCTGCTGAGGACCTCCATGAGCTCTCGCGGCTGCTGCCGCCCGAGGCCCTGGATGCAGAGGGTATCGCCTCGGCTTCGTTTCTGCGGAGCTCTCACTTGCACCGTGCAATCGATGATTTCCAGCTCGAGCTCGCTAACGGGCGGAAAACTGCCGAGTTTCTCAAGAACAGAGCCGACAACTATGAGCGGCATCGCCAGGCGTATGACGATTGGAAGGTTGGCCATGCGAGAGGGATGAGAGAGGAGAATCCAGATGGTATTCCTTTCAGGAGCGACGGCCAATATCCAGCGATCCTTGCCGAGCAGGCCATGGCCTATTATGCCCACCCCGTCGCTCTCCCGGCTCCTGCTAATCGCTGGATTCTGCCCGTACGTGCCCATACTGATATCCAAATCCACTCGTCACTCGTCCGAAGGCCTCCAACTACGAGGAATTTTGGGCGAAGCCACTCAAACACCTGTCAAGAGCAAGCCAATACGGTACAAAACAGGAAGCAGCTTGGCGCGTTTGCTCGTCAAAGATGCCCTCCGCATCCCAACATTCTCACCCATGCTTCTGTTTCTCCATGTGCGATTCAACTTGCATATAGGCGGGATGACAACAAAGGCCGGTCGCCGGATCACCAGCCCAAGGATGTGCCAACCTCCGCAGAGCCATATCGGTCTCAGGTGTCGGCCGAGTCAAAGCATTCGCCTCTGTCTGCGAACCCAGGCTATTCTCAGCCGCCGCTTGATGTAGATTACTCGCCCATGGACAACCAAGAGTCCCCCGCCGAGCGAGAAAAGTCGCCCGTAGTTTCGGATGCGCCTCTCGAGATACAGGAGTCAACGCTTGTAGATCCCGCTCTGAAATCGATGCAAGACTCATGGGCCACTTATGCCTCCGTTTCGAGCGATTCGCCAAGCGATTTGACGAGCGTATCATCCAAGAGCAGTCCAGAATATGAACTCAGTCCAGAGTCCGTGGATGCAATGCAACCGAGTGAAGCAATGGCCGATGCTTCCGCTGCAAATACACATTCATGTCCCGTCGAGTTTTCGGCCGGGTCTCCCAGCTCTTCAGCGCAAGCGGCATCGGACAAGATTATCTTCGGCGACCGTCGCTCTGCAGCTGAGGAGAGTTTGACTGAGAGCGAAAATGGTCAGCACACCATCTATAGCCAAGATGACCTCGACATCGTCGCTGCGGACAGGGTCAAGAGAGTCGATCGCCGTCGCAAAGCCCAAAGCATGGCCACCTCCAAAAGCGCTACTCGACGCAATGCCGCTGCCGAAAAGTCTGTCCAAACAAGCAGCACCAGCACTCGCGCTTCCACAGGCAAGGGTGGCAAACAAAACGTACTTGAGGAAGACGTTCCTGATATGACGCTGTTTGCGAGGTTGATTGTCTTCAAGCTGATCCGGGAAGACGACGATCTATATTACTGCCCGCCTCTCTCACGGGTCTATCTCTCGAGAGCTGGACAAGGCCAAACACTGAAATACTACTTCCGGGTATGAGCAACTGTGGCTGTAGACTGTCATGTTTTGTGCCAGGCGCGTTGGTAGCCAGCCTGGAGCCATGATGGTAGATCGGATACCACCATATGCGGCAGAACCATGTGCTCTGGCGGCCGACTGACATTTTCGCTGACTCATGACGACTCCTTCCACACCTCTTCTTGCTCGGTCGCTGCTTCCCGATTCGGATTTACAAGGTCAAGAAGATCAACGACGACAAAACACTCTCGTTCTCTGCTACTATTCGAGTTGACAGGCAAGTCATTCCCTTCCCAAACCCACCTGGTCCCGACGGTGTCCCGAGTCTCGAAATGATCCAGAGGCTGATAGCCGACATCAACCCACATGTGGAGAATCCTCGTCGGCAAAACCATGACCTTACTCAGGCAAGTATCAGCATTTTTCATATCACGCAGACGACTTGCACTTCGACACGCCTATCAGATTGCTTTGCACACGCATGACTGGGCAGATATCAATCGAATGTGACGGATAGACTGACACGCCGCGACTTTTGAATATCTCTGGCCCAGCTCTTTGGCATCCGGAGGTACCGACGTGAGATTGGCACACTGCACAGCATTTTGAAGAAGCCAAGGAGTACCTGAGTTGATCTGTCCTCGGATGTAGCATTCAGCTACGACGTTGGTGCGCTTTATTCGCACGACAGCGGGTCACCCGGACCCATTGCAGTCGATCCAGAAAAAAACGGGACACCCTGGTTTTGGTCGTTGGCCGAATAATTTGTTTCCCAATACCATCGTGCCGGCCGTGACCATTCTGTGATGCGGTGCTACGCCTTCATCCATAGCCTGAGGAATGTTGCCTCCATATTCAGTGTGTCCAAGAGTACCAGTGTGCATGTCGATTGTAGAGACCGGAGAGCGACCGGTGGTGTTCACTGGGAGGTAATCGGTTGAATTGCATGTCGTCCATTTGGACGCAAGTTCATCACATGCTACACTGGCGTATAGGATCGAGAGTGTCCCATTTGCAAAGTGTACAGTCTATCCAGAAAAAAACGGGACAGTTCCTTCCTGGTTTCAGATGTCTGAACCCCGCTGACTGACTGTAGGCCCAGCGGGCAAGCCGTGATATTGTTTCCCGTACTGGTTGGCAATCTCTTTGATTTGGTTGACAAGCGTCCAGTGCTTCCGCCGGTCGGCTCCGTCGAGGCATGCGGCTGCAACCTGATTCCCGGTATTTGCTGTCCCATCGCCGCGCCGTGGGAAGCATCCCAGAACCCCAACGAGACCGCCCTTCTCGCTGCGCCTTCCTCGCGTCCCTCTCGCCCCGGTCTCGCTCGGTGTCCTCAGGCGGACGTGGCCCAACCCCGGCTCGGCTGCGGCCCTGGCCTCCATCTGCTCGCCCTTCATGAGCCTGGGATACCACCTCTGGATTGAGATCCTCGCCGACTCCGCCAGCGACGCCGAGCCCGTCTCCGAGCCCGCCCCCGAGCCGTGCCATCCAGCCTCTCTCTTCGACACCAATCTTCTTCCGTCCTACCGCTCCAAGTCCTTCAAACGCTTTGCAAAGCTCAAGCGCAAGCAGGGCGACCTTCCGATCCATAAGCGCTACCTCCCTGGCGATCTTCGGAGAGACGCCCGCTGTGGACTCATCACGGTTGAATGGATCGATGTGGCAGATCCAGAGATAGACGTCGACGCATACCTTGAACCGAATCTCGATTGCCACCCAATGGACAACGACGAGGCGACCCTGGCCAAGGACGGCCGAGACTCGCCAGAGCACATTCCTCGTGATGATACGCTCTCCGGTCAGGGCGATGACCCTTCCCACTCCATCGGCAGCCCGCTCGCGGCCAACGGCGAGGATCTTTCGGTCTCGCTGACCGAGCATCTCCCATCGATGCGCCTGCCACAGACGTTGGCGCCCAGATCATCCGGTTTCTCGCCCAAGATCGTTCCGACAAGCGGCCTATTTGTGCCTTTCGCCTCGGGCAAGTCGCAGTTGAATGCCGGCATTGTCCATTTATATCGCGATCCAATCGACGTCCGAGAGTACTTTGCCAAAGACACCGCCATTTCCACCTCCGTCGCTCACGGCGACGACAGCGGCAACAACGACGATGCTTCTCCAGACGTCGTGGCCATTCCCCTGAATCCCGATGGATCGGCCGCCACCCCCACGCAGCTCCAGGACGCCAAGGGAACCGGGACGATCCTGGCCATCCTGGCCGTCCCAACCTACATGACCCCGCCGGACATCCTCAACTTTATCGGGCCCAACCAAAAGTTTGTCTCCAACATCCGAATCATCCGCGACGCAACGCCAAATCGTTTCTTGGTCCTCATCCGGTTCAGGCAGGCGCGGCACGCCGACCGCTTCTACAAAGAGTACAACGGGCGTCCCTTCAGCTCGCTCGAGCCGGCCATCTGTCATGTCGTCTACATCAAATCGATCAAGTTCAGCTCGCATGCCATTCCTGCTTACGCCTTCCCGGCCAACACCGACGACCCGGCGTCCGTGTTCCTGACTGCTCGGACCAATCCCGGACCACCATGCGAAGGCGAGCCGTCGCCCAGCGATAGTGTCCGGATCGTGACGCACTACTCGCCACGCTCGGCGCACCCAGGTCACCTGGTCGAGCTGCCAAACTGCCCCGTGTGCCTGGAGCGCATGGATGCCTCCGCCACAGGATTGCTCACCATCGTTTGCCACCACACCTTCCACGCCCAGTGTCTGGCCAAGTGGGGCGATAGCACCTGTCCCGTCTGCCGGTACTCCCAGAACGCGGCCAAGTTCGAGGCCGATACCCTCAACGAATGCGCCGACTGCGGCTCGACCGAGAGTCTGTGGATCTGCCTGATTTGTGGCAACATTGGATGCGGCCGATACCAGTCCGGGCATGCCCAGCGGCACTTTGAGCTCACCAACCACCTGTACTCGCTTGAGCTGGAGACGCAGCGCGTCTGGGACTACGCCGGCGATGGATACGTTCATCGATTGATCCAAAACAAGGCCGATGGCAAGTTAGTCGAGCTGCCGGCCCCCAACGCCGTGGAGCCTCGCGGCTACTTTCGCGATCGGGGATATCAGCGTGCGTTCTTTCCCGAAGGCTGCTCTGGTGCATACGCCTCGCCCGACGACTGCGCCTTTGCAGACGGCAAGGGTGCGAACGACGACCTGGACTATAAAGAAAAAATCGACTCGATCGGGCTCGAGTACTCCTACCAGCTTACCAGCCAGCTCGAGAGCCAGAGGGAGTGGTACGAGACACAAATCCGCAAGACGCAGCAAGAGGCGCAAGATTTGTTTGAGCAGCTCGCTCAGCTAATGTCACAGCGCGAGGCCACTCTCAAAGGGCAGTCGGAAAGCGAGCGCAAGATCTCCAAGGAGCGCCGAACCCTGGACAAGCGCCTCGAAAAGTCTGGCGAACGCATCGAGGAGCTGGAGCGCCGGCTCACTGAGGAGCAACACATGAACGAGAACCTCAGGCAACACCAAGAAAAGTTCAAGTGCGAGCTGACGGAGCGCGACCGCATCATCGAAGAGCAGTCCGCTGCAATCCAGGAGCTGCAGGAGCAGGTCAAGGACCTTATGTTCTACCTCGAGACCCAGCAACGGGTCGAGAACTCGGAGCTGAGGGACGAGCTGAGAGAGGGCACCGTCGTTATCAACGATGCGCCCCGGCCGCCTGCTCCGTCGACCTCATCAAGGCGAAAGGGCAAATCACGCAAGTCATGAGAGGGAGGGTACACCAGACTCGGGGCGTGATGGGTTTCTAGTGGGACTTTTTTCGATGACTGAATGCGTTATCCCTGCCCCCGCGAAATGAACTGGGACACATTGTCGCTGGGCTGATCGGCGACTTGTGCTGGACCCTGAGAAATACAGGTTTATTCAGTGTGTCCCTGAGTACTTCCATCCAAAGCTGGGCATTGTTCAAGTCTTTTCTCTCGTTCTTGTTCCGCAGCATGCTCGGATGCAGTGCGAGTGCCGTGGGCTATCTTTATACACCTCGATCCGCCGCAGAGTATGGGCCGCACAGGAGCGGCGCCGACTCAATGGAGACTGGTCTGTGATCTACCGCGAGAGGTTGCTCAGCAGTGGATCCTTACTACAGGCCAAGTTCACCCGGACCTGGAAAGGCAGCGCGACATCATTAAATTTGTGTGCCGACAACGGCTGTGGGCGGCTGATGACCGGAAGCAACCAATGGCCATGCGTGGCCAAAGCGAGGACAAGGGTTGGATCATCACTTACTCAGCTCGTCATCCATCTTGACTCGCTCTGGTTGATACGCCACAGGGGATCGGATGGTTAAGAAAGTCGCAGATGGCCAGAGAACGCCACTCCGGCGGGTTTGACACCACTCATGGAATCAGCATATGCGATGCACCCACAAATCGTCGCATGCAGAGGTGCGTATGAGATCAGCGTCTTTGTGCGGACTTGCCTATGGCGTCCTTGATGATGCTCGAGGACTTTGAGTTCCCGTACGTTTGTGCTGAGGTAAACGACATCAATGCCTTGCGGGGCTCGCCGAGCTTTTTGTAGATCTTGCCCATCAGGAAGCGGGTATTGCACTCGTTTGGAACGTTCCGGACTGACTCTTCAAGCTCAGCCAGAGCCTCCTGTGGCCAGATGAGACACCTTTGCTGAGTAAATTGACGACAGAATGCTGGTTTCGGACAGTACCGCAAAAACATACACTGTATTTTCCCTGGCCGTAGAGAATCCGGGCGCGCCGGAATGCCGTGGTGGCAATCTTGGGTTCGCAGCTGTCGGCTCGCTTGAGGTACTTTAAGGCTTCGGCCATGTTCCCGGACTTTTCATGAGCCTGATCGATGGAGCGCAGGGAATCGTAGGAGGAGTATAGTTGGTTGGTGAGCGAATGAGGCAGCCTTTGGCCCAGGGGTCAACTCACCCACACACAGCCGCCGCCGCCTAACGATACAGTGCGCTGGAACAGGACGCAGTGCCCGTACCAAAGCAAGGTGGGTGTTGATTTCCGGATTGAACGGATTGATCCGCAGGGCTCGCTCAAAGTGGTATCGTGCGTTCTGAGGGTTCTCTTGCTGGATAGCGATGCAGCCCAGTCCGACCCTTTGTGTGGGCACAGCATGTCAGGATGTTTCTGGTCAAATACGAACCGAAGCCCAGCGACTGACCGTCGGGCGACTCATATGGACAGTGAAGCTTATCCAGACGTACCAGGCACTGTAGCAGGACTTTTCGAGGGAGAGCGCCTTCTCGTAGAACTGGACCGAGCGTTCGTAGTCACCGTCCGAGTAATACTCGTGGCCCATCAGCGTGTATGTGTAGGGATAGGACGGATCGAGCTGGATTGCGCGCTGTAGTGCCCGGTATGCCATCTCATGCTCGCTCTTGAGGCTGTTCGCAGAGGAATATCATAGCAGGATGATCAGATGACGTTGCAGCGCAAGCGATGGACACACGTACGAAGTGATCGAGCCAAGGGCGCTGTGTGCGAGCAGACGAACTGGCCACCGCGTCATACGAACCTGAAACAGTTTGCCACAGCGATCCTGGGGAGGCGAACAAGCGACATGAACGGTGGTGATAAGAGCCAAGGCACTCGGCGTCACAGCAACCCTTAACCTCGTCCAGTTTGGCCACTTACCATGCCTCGGGAGCCTTGCGATCGACAGAGACCAGATCGTGGGCAAGATAGCTGAGCTCGGCGGTTTTCTTGAGCTGCCACAAGCTCGTCGAGTAGATGTCCATGCACGTCATACGCCATGGCTCGTTCTCACTGCAGGATGGCAATCCTAGTAAATCACAGCAGCACGTGTGTACTATAGATCCAATTCGGCATCGACGACTGTACCCTACCGCACTTGACGAAACACAGCGTCGGCCTGCAAGGTTCAGGGGACAATGGAGAGTGCGTATTAGCCCAACTGGCGGGTTGCGACTCGCTGTGATGTCCGGTGCAGGTCGCTCACCTCTTTGAAGTTCCCAGATTCATAAAATGCTCGTCCAATCTGAGGCCACCGTTGGCAATCGAGGCAAACGATAGTGAGTAGACACGCAAGGCACGAGTCCAATGAGTATGCCAGCTTGTCAGGCAGGAATCTGCACACCAAGCCGGTATCTGCAAACCAAGAAGCACTTCCGAACCTACTTGACATTGGAGCCACCCACTGGCTTGGATCTGGGGGCTTATGCTCCGAAAGCATTCGACTGCTTCGTTACATCGATATCTTGCAAGTTTATAGTACCCGGTGCTCATGTGTGCCAGGATGCCCATAAACTCCTCTGCGGCTTGCTGATACAAGATAGAACGCTGCGCCAAAAACGGTTGTGATACATTATGAGCCTCAGCAAGACATGGTACACCCTCGCGCTAAAGGGAAAGACCTGCCATGGCTCAACTGCCTGTCTCATCCGAGGACACAAGACCAGACCTACATTATCTGGATGAGAGGGCTCTGTGGGATCGTTGTCTCGCTGTGCCACGGTCGATCTGGGGCGCTTCTTCTCTCGCTCATTCACAAGCGAGGACGAGGCTGCGGATTGCTGAGGAGTCGCCTGTTAGCAGCAAGTATGCGGTGCCACTCCGTGAAACAGTGCATTTGGCGGAGGGGAACATACCCGAGACAGCGAGCGAGTCAGAGGCCGAGGCAAACTCTGGGTGGGGACGGGGGCCTGCGATTTCTGCTGACGGTTTTTAGTAAAGACGAAAAGTTCCGGCGTTTGCAGAGGTATGACTGCGCAAGATCATCTGGCCATCGGCACTAGTTGCAGACAAATCTTCTGATGGAACCCATTTCGATCAGGTCAGATCGATATTTACCTTTACAGCTCCCTTTTCACCCGTAGTCCGTCGGTGCTGAGCAACAGGATCGGCAGTTTCCCTGTGTATCTCGGTGCCCAGCTCCTCGGCGATGCAGTGGCTCCGCTGGCTTTCTTCGGATTTCCAGCATGCCTGCAGGGCCACCTGCGACTGGAAGTACTCGCTCTTGAGATATTCGGCACTGATGCTCTCGTCGAGGCCCTTGTGGATCTTGAACAGTTGGGGCTCAAAGCCTTAGGGGAGCGATGCGGTGACGCAATTATGAGTCGAGCGGCTGGAAGGCTATCCAAGCATGGCGATGCGGAATCAAAAGTCGCAACACAGTCACGTCATTGTCTACCTATCTCTGCAAGACTCTCAAATGCTGTCCATAGAAACGGATTGAGCTTTAGGGCCTTGGTAAAGTATTTGAGAGCGATGTCGTTCTGAAGTTGCTTCCTGGTGATGCAAGGCGATACTTTGAGAACCCGGGGCAGTACAAACGACAGTGCAATCGACGTAGAAGCTCGACTGACACACAAAACCAGCCGCATGCATCCGCACTTGCCTGGCCAGTTGACCGTATAGGCAGAAGCACATGTCGATGCTGAAGTCATGGATGTCGATGCTTGCTGGATGGGTTGTGGCATGGTAGTTGGCAGAGGTTTGGCGAAGAAAGATAGCACACGGCCCACCGATCAGCGCATGAAATTCGCTCGCACACTCTACTGGCGCCGCAAATGATACCAGGGACCCGATACCGGCTTTGAATCATGTCTTACCCGATTCATCCGTCTCGACAATATTCGCCAGCAGGTCGGCCCCTTCGTCGTACTTTCCAAGATCGTAGCAGCACTTTGCAAGAAGGTACCGGCACGACCATGTGGATGACTCAGCACTCACAGTCACATCGAGATGGCTCCTCAGTTGCCGGTATGCCGCTAGCAACTGCCCATCTTGGTAGTATGTCTGTGCCAAGAGATAGGTCGCCTGGCTGCTCAGCGGAGCCAACGAACGCAGCTTTTCGGCCAGAAAGATTGCATTTTCATAAAAGTTGTGGCGGAGCGAGTGCTGCACCGCCGAGGAGAGGAGCTTGAGCTGAGCATCTGAGGAATCCATGGCTTGCAGACAGCCAACCGGGAACAGGGCAGTTGAGAGTGTTTCGCGCGGAGGTGTTGCCATGACGAAGAGCCGTGCAGATCACTGTGTGAGTATGCGAAGGCTCGACCAGATGCTTCGTGGCATAAAACAAACTGATGCCATGACGTTGACTCGGTCTGAGCATTGCGCATGCATGGCCTTGATTGCTGCGTACATGTGGCTCTGGGCTCATCATGTCTACGACACAGGGCCATGGGGACGATCTGCCGAGAGCTGGATCGTGCTGGCGAGCCGAGGAGAGCCACTGAGCAGGGTCCACGCAAGAGGCAATTGCGGACGGCCATTACATCTGCACCACCACGCCCCCATATCTGCGATCTCGCCGACACCCTCTGGTCCCGCAGATCCTCACCTGGCAGCGTCGGGCTCGGCGGATGCCTGGTCAGTCGAGAGGCAGGCGCTTGATCGCCAGGACCACGATCCGGACTGCTTTGGCACCGCTGGATCCGGATCGAGCCGGAGGCTGGCTGGCTGGAAGCGTGGCTTGGTGGGCCTGTGGTTCGAGCCGCGCGGGCATGGCTTTTTTTCTTTTGACCGCGACAGCAGGACAGATCGAGCACACCCACACCTAGACCTGGTGCCGTCCTGCTGCTGCCGCCCACGATCACCGAGCCCATCTGTCTCTTGGCTGTCAATACACCAATACACCAATACACCAAGCCGCTTCCGCAGTCGCATAAACCATCCGAAAAGTCCAATGGCCGCTCTTCGATCGCCGCAGTCAGCCGCATCCACGATCGTGCGTGTCCTGCACTCGACTCTGTTCCGATCATCGTTCTCGACATCGAGTGTCGCCGCAGGCTCGCTCCGGGTCGGGCTGCTGGTGAAACGCAATCCCGTGGTTCTGCGCGAGCTTAGCGAATTCGAGTCCAGCTACTACACATACCGGGACGCCCGCGAGCGGGGCGAGTCAAGACTGTTCAACTCGGAATTCTACTTCAAGAAGGGAACGGTGGCCGAGGCTCGATTCCAGGAAGGCTCTGCGGTGGCCGAGTCCGAGTCGCAGAAGCGACTCGCCAGTGGTGTCGCTGGCCTGGCTCCGCTCGAGATCGAAGATCCGGATCTGAAGAACTTGAAGAAAGCTGATCGAGTCACGGATGTAGATCATACCGGCAATCTGCAGTCGCTGAACCGGCAGCTGCATCGGACCCTGTATCTGGTCGTCAAGGACCCATCGGTGTCGGAAGACAAGAAGGGATGGAAGCTTCCCGATGGCTCGGTCAAGGACGACGAGAGCCTGAAACAGGTAGCGATCGTCCCGCGACTCGGGGACGGGGCGTGGCATGATGTGGAGGACCACGATCGGAGCCTGCCCAGCTTGGTGTGCATTGGATTCTGATGGATCGGCAATGCTTGGATGCGTGATGCGTGGATGTATCTGCAGGGTAGCTCGACATCGGTCTGGGCTGGTTTGGGTCGATCAAGCCCCAAACCTAGGATGATTGCGCCGTCGCTGATGTGCTTCACCTCATCCATTGGTCGCGATCCCTGCAAGCACAGGCAGCAGAGCGTCACGCTGAGGAAACCTGCGGAGGCGATATTGAGCTGTGGGTAGTTGGCAACGCACCTGTCGGTCACCATATCCAAGCTAACAGTGACAAGGTGAGCACTCCAGCCTCGGCGACTACGGCCGCATGTGCGCCGCCGAATCTCTATGTCAAAGCCGACCATGTTCTTGCGAGACGGAGGAACATTGGCAACAATTATCAGGAATCGTGACGGAATGCAAGCACAGTCATTAATCCGCGCTGTGAGAGCGCAAGACCAACCACTGGGAGCCGAGAATGAAGCTTGGCGAAACGGGGTTATGTGTGGACGTAGTGGTGCTGTGATAACTGCCCCGTATCGACGTGCTCACACCTCTGCCCGGCATCTAGATCTTCTTCATGAAAGGCCATATCATCAGCGGCAACGTCGAGATCAACAAGCGCATCGCATCCAACCACGCGTGGCTCACAAAGCAGGAGCTCAAGGACTACCTGGCCCCAGATTACTTCGCCTCGGTCAGCCGTATGATGTCCGAGCTGTGAGCACAATATATTCTCCATCGATTTCAATGGGCTGGCGCAGAGGGCGGCGTCGGCTCGAGGCCGCAACCTCAAGAACACAAGCGATGTGCTCTTGGCCAGTCTTGGCCACGGTGATTTGCAGACCGGTGCTTTAGAGAGTGCGGATGTCTTGGGTCGGATTCCCAAGAGGCTTTGGGAGACGCCGACTATCTCCCAGACCCGAGCTTGCTCTGCAGCAACGATGCCAGCGCCAACAGTCTCTCCCGCTGGCCATCAAGCAGTGGCCCGCTGCGGTTGTCCTGGAGATGAGCCATCAGTACGCTCACGCTCTGATCCAGCATCTCAGCCGCTGACTCTGATGCTGCTGTTGGCGACACTGCCGACGAAAATGACGGCTGTGCAGATGAGGACGCTGCGTCATATCGGTTCCTTGCACCCTGGCCAGGCGACCGCATCGTTTCCACGGGGGACTCGGGGGCCGTTGGTGGAGGGCGCCAGTACCTCCCGCTGAGGCTGACATTTGTCGTGGACAACGGTGCCGCTGAACCAGAATCCGCAGGCATAACGGCGACGTAAAGGGAGCGAGGCAGTGCGACTTGCTGTAATCAGTCAGCCGCCGCCGCGCTGCATTAGTACATTGCTCCAACACATCCACACCCCGCGCAGCATCAACACAACCCTTCCGCCGACTGACCTGGAGGGGGTTGAGAGCATGGCTGGAGTGGCTCGTTTGGATTCGAAGCTGCAGCTCGCTGAAAGCAGCCGGGAAACTGGATGGATCCGAAGGTTGAAGCAACTCGAAGCGTTGGCGTGTCAGCCAACTGGATCTGTCTGAGGCAGCGTATTCAAGAAGCTGGCCAAACTCGGCGGTCAGGAGCTGTGCCGCATCAGGAGTATCCTCAAGGAGCCGAAAGCACAGTTCAAGCGCTGGGAGACAGGTGTTAGAATCGTAGCCGAATCGCGAAGAATGCAGCCGGAATCGCTGGGAGCAAGAGACCCCACGGAACTCGAAGCAGGGCTGCGGTCGGCGAGGAAAGCGCGGCCACGATGCGCGCAGAGCCCATGCTATCGGAGACACATACCATCGTCCACCGGTATGATATCGCTCATGGGCGACTGAGTCCAAACAACGAATGCCTCAACCAGCTGCTGGATTGATGTCGGTGAGAGCGTGTGTCGAATTGCGCAGAGAAGTTCGACTATAGTCTGCGTTGTGATAAAGATCTGGAGAGAATTGACGAATGCCCGGGGCACAGACGGCCGGATTAGTCGCTTTCGCCAGCCCAAAGCTCTGGGGATGTCGAGTCCATGCCTACCTGGTTGACCATTTCGGCATCTTCCGGGAGTGCGATGAGCGTGTGCGTAAAGCTTACGACGCTATGGATATTTCCAACTAGAGCCACAAGCATATTTGAGACTGAGTCCAAATGCGACACCGATCGCGCATCGGATGGGTGGACTGTGCTCGGTTGAATCGTTTGCCTCAGACAGCCCAGTGCGACAGACACGGCATGGAAGCATCTGAGTGCCTCTTTTGGAGAATTTTCGTCTTCAAGGCAGCTTGTCAGACGTGTGCTGGGCGAGTGAGTGAGTGAGTGAGTGAGTGAGTGAGTGAGTGAGTGAGTGAGTGAGTGAGTGAGTGAGTGAGTGAGTGAGTGAGTGAGTGAGTGAGTGAGTGAGTGAGTGAGTGAGTGAGTGAGTGAGTGAGTGAGTGAGTGAGTGAGTGAGTGAGTGAGTGAGTGAGCTCGATATTGATCTGCCTTTGCCTGCCAAGAGCCGAGTGCCTCGAAATACCTTCTCGTAGCCACGAGGATCACTCACCAGATTCGCCAACACACTTCTACATGCTCCTCGAGTGACTCTGCCGGTTGGATATCGTATCCAATTGAGCATCCCAGGCGCGATAGTATATCCATTCGATATTGAACATAGTCGTTGTCTGTGCTTTGAAACTTCTTGAGTAGTCCGCCTTCGGGCAGGAGCTTTGTTGCGTCCACAGGACCGCGCTGGCTGAGCTTGTGGGCGAACGCCATCGAGATCCGCCCAGCAAACCTCGACAGCCGCACAGACAGCGCGTGGTGTGCTGATACCCTGCCAACTAGCCCCGGCAGCAGCTGTCGCACATAGCATTCGAAAGTACAGACCGGTCCTGGACACGGGTGGGGCGCAGTGCGGGAGAGACGTATCAGTAACCTCCCTCAGAGTCGGTCGCAAACTCAATTTTGGAGAGCATCGACATGGTTCACTCGGCAAGAGCTGGAATCACGACAGAGGACGCACTTTGATCAATAAGGAAACACATGGTATCGGTAATGAATGTGTACACCAGGTCGGAGTGGCAATTGATGAGTGCCTGGGTCATTTTCTTAGTGAAGACGTTCAAGGATCCTTCGTCGAGCAGACTTGCAAATACCACAGTACTCGTTACAAGACCAGAATAGAGTGTGCCCGCCTGGCTCGAGGGCACACGTACAGCGTCGAACGGATTGCTGTGATCGAGGCACCATAGCAAACTGCCAGTGACTTCTTCAACCAGAGATTCCTGGTTCTCGGGCCGGGTGATATGGAGACTCCTGAGTGGGAATATAAGGACCTGGATCTTGGCAAGCGCAAATGCATCTTGCTTGACCAGCTGAGGGGAGTAGGCACGCTGTGACTCAAGGTCATATTTGCATAAACTCGAAAGAAACCATGCCTGCTGGTTCTCTTCCAAGCCAGGAGAAGACAGGAGAGCCAGTACTGCATCCAGCTTTGAAAACAGCGACATCGAACTGAGGGTACCAAGATGATTGTCGCAAAAATAGATCATGCTGGGAAGCCAGAGACGTGTTGATTGCGCGCATGAGCGAGTTAGCGGCGGGATAGCGAGTGTGGCCGCTATTCACAGTCAAGACCCACCTCAGGAAATAGAGAATATCCATAGTTTTCGGAAACATAGAGCCCTTTGGAAGTTCTGTGACGTAGGCCTTGATCACACGCTCGAGGCAGTTCGCAAAGAATAAGGCTGCTCAAATGCAAGTGTGAATGAAACGCGATTGGACAGGTAGAGTAAGCCCCCCGCGCTGCCATCGCGGATTGTCCAGAACGGCATTCCCTCATTACAACGCAGCTTGGGCTCTTTCGCATCAGCGCTTGCTTCCATGCCCACGAGTATGCAAGGCTATATCCGCTACGAACCAGCCGCCAAAATGGATTTGATTATCATCGAGTGTGTCTCCGTTCCGACAACTTGAGTCGCCATACGGAATAAATTGCTCAACATCTGAACCGCATTTTGTGACAGACGCTCGACAGTCATCGACGCAGTGTCGCCAGACGGATCCAGCTTCGACCGATGGCGGAACGACAGTTCCAGGAGCCTCCAGCTTGCGAATCAAACGGGGAGGTTGTATGTGGTAAATGCAATGCAAAATAGCAGCGCAGTGGTGGTATTAGAAACGTGCAGGAAAGCGGTGGTGTATCGGAGTGAAGCCTCGGATACTGCCTTGTGGGAGTCGGCCAGCCACACCAAACCGTTAGGCCTGCTGATTGATATCAATCGCTCAAGGGGCGAAACAGGGCGGTCTTACATTTGTCGCACACACCGCAATTCCCTGCCGATATAAGGCTTGTCCAGAAGCGACAGCAACTCGAGAACCATGGCTTTGTGAACTGAAAGGACCATATCGATGTTGTCAGAGCTACAGCGGTGCCACTTCAGTCCGTTGGTGCATGATCAGCATAGGATACTTGCATCGTTGTGCGATTGCCAAGCTTGATGTGTTTGTCGGCAGTCGATCCAAAACAACCTCTGCACCGTTATTGAGCAAGCCGAGAACCTGGCAGAGCATTGCAAAGGTGAGTTTACCCTGAGGTCAGATGCGACGTTTCGTGGCCGCATGACGCAGCTCTGCTCACATCGGAGATGCATGCGGGACTGACGCCATCCGCAGAGCGACGTCGGTGCATCTCTGCACCAGTCACCGGATGCATGTGCTCAGGGCCACCGCTATGCTTTGGGTCCGATACACCACCTTCCCAGCGAGGTCATCGAGGCGCTTTCTGGCGGCAGATGACTCAGATACTGTTGTTTTCAAGGGCTAGATGTGGTTGCGAAGAGCGGATTCGGATCACCAAGCCATACAGCTTTCCGGGCGACCTTTGGCTGAAAATGCATCGACGCTGCGTCCAGGACCTCCGTAAACTCTTCGGAGTGATCCTCATGCCAGCGGCCAAGGTGTCTGGCGTAACTTACAGCCAGGGTCGTAAAGAACTCAGCGATGAGCTTGGTTGTTGGCCAGCAAATCTTATCAAGCACTGTATTGGAGGCATCGTACTCGACCACGAATCGGGCAATCGATGGCGGTGAATCCAGAATCTTTCGGAACGTTGCGGTAAGGATATCGACATGTCCTTGCAGTCGCTGAAATCAAGGACAGATCAGTGGAGGCATCAGTGGCCGTAGCAGCAGCTCATCAAGCTCTAAAGTCCGGATGCAGCGGCACGGCCCCAGCCATATTATCCCATACCTCTAAGGGGGCCACGCAGTCGTCCTCGTTGCTGGGGGTCAAGCTTCTGATCGACGCTACGCAATCGGCCACTAGCTGTTCCATAGCAGCCTGCGAATGCAGATGACAATCAGCAGCATTCAGTGACTGTCCTTCGCAGAGTACATGCGACTACCGAGAGCGTGCAGTCATACGAGAGGTGCGGTGCTGGCTGCCCTCCAACGGTGCATAGCGACGCTTTTATCTGCCTGGCGGCTGCTGATCCCCGACGGCCTTTCATCCTGTGCAGATTGCCCCGTTGTCGGACGCATCCGATCCTGCAGTGATTTTGGAGTATGATGCCATACCTCGTCGCAGAAGACCATCAGAGGCGGAATCAGCTGGTCCGTGAGCTCCTCGACCCTCATTTTGGGTATTCGATGCAGCAGGCCGTGTGTCGGATTCATGTCGAGATTGTCTGCCGAGCCTCGGCGCGGCGCTGATCTGCTCTGTGCGGGATTGGGCCACTGCGGCGGCGGCGACGCACTCATTGGGGGCGGTTTCGAGGGGGCTCGGCCGGTCGTGGATCTGGATGTCTCGGCAGCCGCCCGAGCCGGCGGAAAGTCGCCCGTCTCGCCGTCAAAAGCTGTAGGCCCAGACTTGGGGTTGGTGGTGGTCGGGAGACGTTGTTGGGGCTGGATTGTCGGCACAGCGACGCTGCCCAGGGCCGTTTTCTGAAACACAAAGGGTGTCTGGCTGGCGCTGGGCTTGCCGGACATGCTGGGAGGCGGCTGGCAAATGCGTCTTCGAAGATGGTATACTCGGCCCGGCCTTGGCCGATGTTTCTGTCTCTCGGGCTCAACCGCAGGTCTGGTGGGCTCGGCTCTCGAGTCGGGCATTGCACCGATCTGGCCAGCTTGGCGCGCAGCAGCCCTGTCCACGTGGCCGTGGCAGTGGTGGCTGCGCACGTGCCCGTGGCCGACTGTGGCTGGATCGCCTGCAACAGCATCTGGACGGGATGCCCTGAGGCAAGACAGATGCCCAGGAGCCACACAGCCAGGTGCGTGGTGGGCCGGCACGGAAGGCAGGGGCGGGGTCGTATAGATTATGCATGTATGCAGGTGCAGCACAGCGGATCGATCAAGGCGGTACAGCCAGCGGCGGCCGGATTCATCCACTCAGACCAAGCAAGCCGGCCGCATCGCAGCACCCATTGCTCGGTCAACTTTACTCGACTGACTTTTGTGCGCATCGGCGGGCGTTGCGATTAAAGTCCTTGCGCTCGTCTTTGGTGCCAAAGTAGAGCTTCGCAGCCTTATGGTTCACATGGGTTTCAGGTGCTCTGCGGAGGACAAATCGCAGCGGCGGTCAGGGTACTCAACCAACGACAGTTCACAAACACATTGCTTCACAGGATAATGGTGGCAACACGCTCAGCGGGCGTGCTGGTGGACGTGACGTTGATACTCACGAGGCAGGGTCCTTGAGCAGGAGATCCTGGATCGCCAGCAAGTGGTGCTTCACTGACTCTGCGCGTTGGACTCTGCGGCCATCAAATCCAGCCGTCAGTTGGGGATTTCGAGCCCGTCAAAGACGTCGCATCTTGTCAAGTGGCGGGGCCACACTCCGCATCGACCCGATCGCAGCTGTCTCGAGAGCCACGGCAGCACATGGGCATTCATCGTACCTATAGTATGGCACACCGTCGCTTGTGACATGCGGGTGAAATATCTCTGTCGCAAAGCGCACTCGTGGGCGGACCTCTGGGAACTGATGGTGGAACCAGACGTCGATCTTGAAGACGCCTCCGTCGTAGCAGCTCGCCGGCATGCCAAGGACAATGAGCGTCCATTTAAATGGGTTGTCGTCCTCGAGCTCTACGGTCATAATATCCAGCTCGTTCGACGCTTGGATTTGCTCGAACTGAAAGAGTATTAGAGAAGGAAGAGAGAGGAGGGGAGGTCGACTGTCAGGTGCGAGCTTGACAAAGCTCCTCGTAAAAACAGTGCTAGCAGGTGACCGATGCCAACCTGTGCCCTTAGATTTGAAGCAGTCGTCAGTTCATCCTTAATCCACTGAGGCGACAATTCTCTGTAGGGCAGATCGTGATTAGCCTTGCAACTGAGCAGCACACATACAGCCGGCATAATGGAGTTGTTTATTCCCTGAATCCAGTGCACAAGGGATTCAATGAACTGGTCATAAATCACAGGGCCCTACCTGAACCAAGTATGGCTTTCGTTCAGGGTGACATGGTAGATCTTTTTCAATCGCTCCTTGATGCTGGTGTAGTTGTACACGCCTGAGCAGAGTTCCGGGTGAGGGCCGATGAGTTTTGATGTCGAGAAAACGGCGCCTTAGCCTTTAGGTTTTACCGCAAGATTCGGCCATGCCATCTGCCAGCTGAGAGCCGGCGACTCGTCGCCTCTTACCAGACATGGCGTTGCCGCCACCTTCGAACTGCATGATTGGAAAGGCTGAATGATGGAAGACAAATAAATATGCGAACGCAGCTCAAGAATGAGCACACCGATGCGCATCAGCCAGCTCGGCAGCGAGAAGGCATAGGTTCGATACATGAAGGGAACTCGGATGCATCCATGTCGTGTGAAAGTTGTTATTCGCCTTCCCGTCGGCTGCACAAAAGTCTGCCTCTACCAAGTCGACCTACCGGTCCCGTCCGCGATCTTGGCGGACTCGCGTTCAACAATGCTCTAACAAGGCATGATAGATTGCGTCATGAGTAGGGCTGTGAAACAGGATGCAGAGTCCTGCCGTTGCCGATCAGCGTTTCCAAGGATGGGGGCGAGCAGTCTCACCATGTACGTATCATAGTGCAGCAGAAGCATGTGCTTGCAAAGGTCCGCGAACGGATCGCTCTGGCGGCAGTGGCAGTAGTGGCGGATGATTCCTGTTGGCTTCTCGGTCTTGGTGTCCGAGCCCTCGGGCTCAGGGTGGGGCTTTTCGGACTGATGGTACAAATGCATGTCAAGCCACATTCAAGGTTGTTCTTGCGGCCTGAGCCAGAGATGCATCTGATCCAGCAACAATAGCACCTGCAGGCTTGATTTGGATCGAAAGGGATCAGAGCCAACCCTCGACGATACCTACCGCCTCGAGTCGGTTGCAGATCGACACTCGTAGTGTCTCGTGAATGATTTTGCTGTTGTATGCCTGAATGACTTGTTGATCATTTGTATTTTGGTAGCCAGGCTGTTGGGAGAGATGGCCCCGAGTCAGATGCCGCTATCCGGCCGCCCCCATCCACCGCAAGTATATGTATACGTCGCACTTACTTCGTTCAGATACGGCTTGTCGCACATGAGCGATTGAATTGCTGGGACATTCAAGGAGCGAGAGGCAGAGCCATTGAACACTCTGAGACGCTACGTTGCGCTCACGGTGGCTATGGCGGCTATGATAGTCGTGGTAGCTATGGCGCCAGCCGCAGATGCTGTGCTCTTGAACATTGCCAAGGGTCGGCAAGCCTCGGCAAACTTACAGATCAAGACACTGAGAATGCCGTGTGCCGAGCTCCACATTTCGTTGGCCTCTCCTCGCCAGGTGCCGAGGATCGACAGACAGATTTTGCCGCTATCGGAGCACAAGTAAGCATCATCCAAAGCTATTGCGACTGTTCGAAATCACTGCCGTCTCACACCAAGACAGTTGCGTGGATGGAAGCAGTTCTGAGACAAACTTATCGCCGCTCCTACCTGGCGTAGATGTTGGGATTGAAGCGAACCTTGCCAAAGTCGGTTGTCTGGCAAAGCACTGTCGACGCAGACCGATGCAGGCCGAGGCAGCAGGAGTCCATTGGTAAATCAAACGGCGACGGCGACACTGGGCTTTCGTCTGGAAGAACGATGCCGCGATCGAGATCCGCAGACACCTGGCAGATACCAACCTTCTGGGGCCTGCGTCGGATAGTTGTCTCCGCAGTCGATACGAAAGTCCTGGAAGCATATGGGAGCGGCAACAGCAGCGGCAACAGTCAATGGCGAGCCGCATGGCCAAACTGCCGAGAAACCAGCCAGAGCCAGGTGCACTTGATAAGGAGATATTGCAGCAAGAACTTACAAAGAGTCCAAAGCTGGATGCCAATGGAAAACAAGGATGTTAGCATCAATATCTCGGGACCGATGGGTGATCATAGCGGTCCCAAAGCCGCCGAGCAGCCGGTGGAAACCGACACAGGGAGAAACGGGGTATGCTGGAGGGGAGGGGCGCTGGTCTCGGCGGTCATTGCCAGCCGACAGCCAACAGCCAACAGAGACTAGCCAGTCGTCCATGAACATGGCCCCATGGGAGATTCGGGCCAGCAACCACCACCGTATCGATCGGCCGATCGGACGCACAAAGCCCACCTGTATGGGGTGCCCGGCGGGCCGGTGACGATGGCATGGATGTGCTTGATGTTGGAGTCGCTGTACCAGAGCTCGATCTGGTGGTCGGGGTTGCGGGAGATGTCGCCGAGCTCCTTCTGGATGCGGAGCAGCGCTCGGTTGGACATGCTGGCGGCTGGTTGGTGATGGACGGCGATGCGATGCGATGGCAAGAGCAAGAAAATCTGTCCGCTGGGTGCTGCTGGGGGGCTCGTCGCGGGTGGCGGGGCCAGGGCGAGGGCGGCGGACTCGCCCTGGCCTCTTCTTCTCCCCTCTCTCAACAGCCATGCGGCCTGGACGACGTACATGGCACGGACGTTCCAAGCACAGCAATGTATTAGCGATGCGGGTGGATGCGCAGATGATCTACGTCGGCGTATGCAACAGCCGGAATCGAGGTCGTGCCGCTCGCGAAGCACGCTTGGACATGACGGCTGGCGAGCCGGATACAGCAAGGCAGTTCATGAATTCGACGCAATCGGGCATGATCATCGAATGCCAGCAGCCTGGAGGTCAGCAAGAGAGGAGGAGACCCGTTAACGTTCGAGCCAAAGTACTGCTCGGCAGAGCGACGAGGCAGCCCAACCACGCATGCCCCAACAGTCCCATGACACCGACTGACCTTTTTGAGACTGACCAGGATCTTGAGCGAGGATGGAGCCGATTGCCAAAGACGTAGCCAGATACACAGCGAGAATGGAGTCAGCGTCATGCGTTGGCTCCTGCAGGGCGGAGGCCGGGCCATCCGGCCGGGCCGCTGGGACGGGCTGCCTTGGAACAGATGCCTCATTCTGTTGACCCAAGAGGCGTTCTGCACCGGCCAAGCAGGACGAGCGACACCTACGATCGATTTGAGCCACTCGCGGTCGTGCGGCTCGTAAGAGCACCGAGCAGAGTTGAATCTGCAGGAAGCAGTAGGAAGCGGCAGGAAGCGGCGGAAATGCTGTCAGTTGCCCTGATCGGAAAGCAGCGCCCGAGCGAATGCAAGCCGTAGGTGTATGTACGGCCAAAGAAGTTGCGATCTGTTTCCTATCAACCCGACGACGCTCTACCGATACCCCGCGGCGATCGCTGCATGGCTGGGTACATACACAAGGCCGCAAATGTCATGAATGCTGTCGATCCATTTGTTGAGGTCGTTAACATCGTAGTGGATCTGGCGGAGGTTGGGGTTGAGCTCCTTCAGGCGGTCCTCGTACATCCGAATGAGTTCTAGACGCAGTTGGATACGAGAAAGACGGGCGGTAAAATGTTATTCGGAATCCATCTGGGCAAGGCAGTCGGCGAGCCCCGGTCGACAGCTCGGCCGGTGGTATCAGCTCAATCGGCGCCAGCAACTTGATCTCCAGAGCCAGCTCGGTCTCGATCTTGACGTTGATCGACCAGGGCCACCGTCGCGCACCTTCAGCAGCCTCATCGACGGTCTGGAACTCTTCGTAAGTGCGTGAGTTTTTGTTTTGGTTCTTCTGGATGAGCAGGATCGTGTGGGTTGCCATGGCTGCGACGGTTGGGACTGGGACGACAAATCACTATGAAAAACTTTCTTGTTAATAAAATGAGCGAGAACGAAAAAACGCGCTCTCGGAGCCACCTCGGTCGGCGAGAAGAGCAGTCTCTGGCGAGAGACCCCCGAGGGAAGGCGAGAAGCCTCTCGCCGTCACACACACACACACACTTTGCACACACACACATCCGCACACACACACTTTGCACAAGGGAGTCAACCACCTCCCATCGACCATCCCAAGAGGGATGGCAACCCCGAAGTGGACTGCCCAGAATATGGGCGACCCGGCATCCACTGTCGAAATACTCAAGGAACAAGATACTTACAGTCAATCCAGAAAGAAACGGGACAGATCCCATTTCTGGCTTCAGATGTTTGAAGCCCGCTGACTGACTGTAGACCCCAGTGGGCAGGTCGTGCGATTGCTTCCCGTCTTGGTTGGCCATCGAGTGGTTTTCGTTGGCTTCGGGAGCACAGTCTTGAATCGGAGTGGAGCTTCCAACAATGATACAATTGGTCATTCCTCCACACCAATTGCCCACCACCACCGTCAATCGGCTCAAGGTGATACCAAATGCCATCAACCGACCATGGCCGGATTCCAACTTTTGATGCACCTTGGTCTACAGCGTGTATTCATATTCGAGATGAGCAGCCGCGAGGGAGCCGGAAAAAATTGATAGTGAATGCATCCCGCACACACACACACACACACCAACCGCTCTCTCCCGACGACGACTGCTGTGGTGTGGGACCGACATGGACACAGCAGAGATAAAGTGCATATCGTGGGGGCATTTTCTGGACATGGAGCAGTCCAGATACACCGAGCCAGGAGGACGGGAGAATGCTGTCTGATGGCCGTTTACAGTGCGGTGTCCCGGTATTTTCTGAATAAAGTGTAGGAGAGCCAATACAGACTGTATTGCGGTTGCGGTTGCGGTTGCGGCGCATGTTCTTACTTTCGCCATTGGCTTCAGTCTTGCCTCTGTTTTGACCCATGCGCATCACAGAGCAACCAGGGAGTTGTAGTGCTCGCCCAGGCCGTACGAGTGACGGTGATAGCTGGACAACAAGATCACAAATGAGTATCAGAGGCCGATGAAGGAGGCGATGGCGGTCAAATGCGCACAGCTTGCTCGACAAATAAAAATAGAAAAGAAATCACATACGAGATCTTGAGCGGAGAGCTGTCGCGGTACTCCTCGCCGATCTTTATCACAGGTGAGCCCATCTGGACGACATCGATTTCTCGTCGAAGCGAGCTCGAGATTGCACGGATCTATGGCCAAGCCGGCCCGAAGGAATCGGTGTCAAAGAGCTGGAGCATGCACCCGCCGAGCATTGATGCAAAGGCTTTTGCATCAGTGTCCGTTACTTGGTTCTTACCTCCAGCTGGCCGCCCCAGGCCGCAGTGCGCTCGACACTGGAGCAGTAACTCTCATACTCGTCTGCGGGCACAACAGTCGGCAGTCTGTTAGCAGAGGAGCAGAGCTACCGCAACACCCAGTCGAATAACGTTCACCAAAGCAGTAGCCTCTGTGGGAGTACTGCTCGTGCCGAGCCGCCGCAGCCGTGTCGTCTAGACGAACCTGGGGACATCATATCGCCGCTGTCCGAAGTCAGGAAAGGCAGAAAGTCGTCGATGTTGGTGCGCATGTAGCTTGCTGCGATCCCCCGCACATCCTTGTAGGTCTGCATGCAGTCGACATTGGCGTCAGTGGTCGGTCTCATCAGGGCCTGGCATGTTGCAGTCTCGGCGTTTGACTGGAAGCGCTACCGCCAGGTCGAATGCATCCATCTTGCGGTATTACGGGAGAGCCAGCCTACCATATCCTCGTCGGACTGGGACAGATTCAGCTGATGGGCAATGGCATTGTATAGGCTGGGTGGCAATAGTGCCCCGGTGCAGTCAGCATGGGTCATCCTGATTCGCACGCAGTTCACGAGCACACCCTGGCTCTCAAGCTGCCCAGTTATCCTGCTTCGTGCCATGGTGCATTCTCCTTACCAATGGCCATCCGGAATGATCTGGTGATGCAAAGCAGGGCCATCAGAATGAGGGCCGAGCGTTGGAGGAGGTGCTTGGCTCGGCCTCGAACATTCAAATCCGGGACACCGTCGCCGCCCAGCCATGCGGCAAGCCGGCCCGTACCTCTTTGATCCGAAGATTCATTGGCTTCAGCAGGGCGCCGATCGCACTGTCTTCGACTTCACGCATGTTGACCACCTGGGAGGCCTCCAGCTCGGCCTGTTTCCGCATCTCGTTCATGGCCGCCGCCTTCTTCTCCTTCCTGAGTTTCTGTCGATTTTTCTTTGGCCCAGACGGAGCTTGGCTTGGTTCTGTGGTGGCCTTGGCATCGCCGAGACCCAGCTTCTGGACCTGAGCGTCCAGCTCCTGGATTTGGCCGTCGGCCTCTTGAACGACTGCCTCGGCTTCAGTGGGTTCCGCCTGGCGACGTTGCCGCGAGACGAGCAGAAAGCAGCGGCATCAGCCAGATGGCGATTTCACAGATAGGCGTCGATGTGGGACGCTTACGGCACAACTGGATCGCTCGCTCACCTTCGAATCGGCCTCTGTGGACAACGGATCGTCAGACTCGCTGGTTGCTTTGGCCTCGCCAGTCTCTTCAGCTTCTTTGCGAGCTCGCTCCTCGTCGTGCCGCTTGCTGAGCTCGGCCTCCATTTGGGCGATCTGATCCATGACTTCCTTTTTCTGTGCCCACGATTCGCATCAGCGGCTCCGTCGGCGAGGCTTGTGCAGACCGTTTGGCATGGCATATGGAGCAGCACCTGGACCGGGAGCCACCACCGATCCATCGACCGGGGCGAGCGCCGTGGCTCTATCCCGTGGCCGTTCTTCGCCATGAACGATCACTCCGGGCAGTCATTCTAACTTGCTCGCAGCACTCGCCCGAGATGCCCACCTTTTTCTTGTCAGAGGCGCCCTTCGAGACCGTTTTCTTGAGCGCCATGACCTGTGCGGTCAGAGCCTTGGCCTCCAGCCTGTGGCGGACGAGCATGTCGTCCAGGGTTTCATGCACTTGTTCTTGCTGCTGGTTCATTGGTGTGCTTGCTCGCCTGGGGACCTGACGCTCACTCCGGGCCTGGTGTTGATTCGATCTGGGTGTTGATCTTGGCGTGGATCTGGCCAGAGCGGCCTTTGCCACGGGCAGGCGTGGAGGAGCATGATTGGCGATTTGGCAGCGCCCGCCCCCTGGCATCCAGGTCGACCTCCATCTTGCCACGCTGCGAGCGCATCCGCATCGTCTCCATCTCCATCTCCATCTTCATCTTCATCCTCCACTCCTTTCTCCATCCGCATCCTCCACTCCTTTCTCCATCCGCCAGCACAATGCCGCCGCCGCCGCCTCCTCCGCAGAGAAACATCGTGACCGAGATCCAGGCCTGGCTGATGGCCCTCCCGATCGTGACTCGGTTTCTGTTCGTCAGCACCATCACCATCACGCTTGTCTGCAACATCGGTCTCATCAGCCCGCAGTACATGATCTTCCGGCTGCCTCTGGTTGTCTACAAGCTCCAGGTAAACGGAGCGGCCCCTCCGTTAGGCCGCACGAGTAGTGCCTATCGATTCATCCCGGCACATCCTCGTCCGCAATCCGGCAGACGACAGCTCTCCACCGATGGATCTGCCAACAATCGAAGCCCAGATATGAACCCTGCACAGCCCAGCGGCACTAACCGTCCGTTTGCGATTGTGCTCCTCTCCAGGTCTGGCGCCTGTTCACGGCCTTCTTCGTCAACCAACTGAGCTTCAACTTCCTCATCCACCTCTACTTCCTCTACCAATACTCCAAGAATCTGGAAACCTCTCTGTTTTCGAACCGGCCTGCAGACTATGCGTTCTTTATTGCATTCTCGATGGCCACCATCTTGGTGGGTGACTTGCTCGGGTCTGCGCCCTCGTCTCGGCTCGCTCTGGTGTTATAATTTGCGGGGCTATCCGTCGTTGTGGTCGCCTGACTCGCTGCTGCTTCCACCGCCTCAGATCCTCGGCTGGATCGTCAACAGCGTCAGCTTCTCCGAGTCGCTGCTGCTGGCCATCATATATGTGTGGTCCCAGTATTTCCGCGAGATGGACGTCAGTTTCATGTTCGGCGTGCGATTCAAGGTACAGATCGACGGCTGCTGCAGGTTTCTCCGGACGAGTGCGCTCACCGAGCAAGTGTGGATGTCGAGGACCGACGTGGGCCTATGTTGTAGCGACCGGATCGAGTGCCAGATGGCTAAACATCCACTTCTGACCGGGCATTTCTGTACAGGCCGTGTTCCTTCCCTGGGCGATGGTTGCCATGGTAAGAAGCAGCGTCCGGCACACAATGAATGGCCCCTGAATGCAAGCCGCATTGGTGCAGCGGTGTCTATGGAGCCATGCAGCGGTGTCTATGAGGCATGCAGCTAACGGCCCCCCTGGCTTGATTCTTTGCCAGGACTACTTGATGGGCTACGGCCTCAACATCGGGAAGGTCGTGGGCATCTTGGTGGGCCATTTTTACTACTTTTTGGAGAAGGTCTATCCCGAGTCCAACGGCCAGGCCAAGATCCTGCAGACACCCGCCATCTTTGAGCGCTTCCTGCCCTCCAACCAGCAGGGCGGTGATGGCCAGGGATACACATTCACCCCACCCAACCGCCAGAACGGCCCGAACGGCCCGAACAACGGCGGACACAGCTGGGGCCCTGGTCGCAGGCTGTGAGGCCCGTTACTGCTCGCCGACAGCGATTCCGGCACAGACCGACAGCAGCAGCAGGCATCGCATCAATATACGCCGTTGCGCCATCTATACCGACCGAAGCCGGGGCCGTGCGGGTTGCTGGCCGTTGGTGAGCGAGTGAGGCCAAGCGCTTGCCCGGCCGGCTTTGCTCGCGTTCCAGCCCAGTCGCCCGCCCCCCCCCCATCTTGTCCTCTTTCCCCTCCATCTCTGCTCTCAGCCGGCAGTGCTGACCCAACCGCCTCGATCGGCACATCCGTCGCTTCTCCGCTCGCAACATATTCTACCAGCACACGCAGAGTCCTCTGGCTTTTCGTTCGGATATTGCCCATTGGCGCTGCAGTTGCCCCACCCCACTCGCCGGCTAATCTGTGACCATCGCCCACAAATCGGCCCCGTTGTCGAGCCAGCGACTCTTGCTGCCTCCCGCTCTATCCAGCCTGTCTCTGGCATCCGGCCCTTGCTGTGCGCACACGCCTCGCCGTCAGATTCCAGCTCAATCCCAGCTCAGTCCCAGCTCAGTCCCGGCTCAATCCTAGCTTCTCCCCGACCCGGCCTCATCCTTGGTGTTCGCCCGTCGTCGACACGAAATGTCCAACACCAACTTTGTTGTCGAATACTGCTCGCCTTGGCTTGTCTTTCCGCTCACCGAAATCGTGCGGTTCTGTCCCCATAGCAACATCAAGATCCTTGATGTCACGTCGGGGCTGCGCGATAATCGGTCCATTGGGCTAAAGTAGGTGTCGCCGATCGTGTCCATCGCATCGACAGCGTTTGGTCCCGCATCACCGCATCGGCCTGTAAACTCACCTCCTCGCTCCTCTGTTGACACGGGTTCCGTTACCATTCGTTTGCTGCTGGTCTGTCGTCGCTCGGCTGGTCTGTCGTCGCTCGGCTGGTCTGTCGTCGCTCGGCTGGTCTGTCGTCGCTCGGCTGGTCTGTCGTCGCTCGGCTGCGGGAATTTCCTCCAGCTTTGAGGAAAGCAATGAAGTCGGCGTGGGTCAATACACCGCCATATGCACAAAGGTGCCCAACCCGCCGCTTGGCGAGAGGCTCGTTGTCTATATTCGCTATCGCCGCATCACCGAAGGTAAGCCGCATTGGTCCGGGGCTGTCGCTGTGTCCATAGGACTCGCTTGTGGACCCGTAGCCCCTCTTCACGCCTATTCAGTCCGACTCGGTGCTCATTTGCACAAGTCCATCGCTGTCTCCTCGACGCTCACACGTTGACTTTCGATTGCACACCTCCTGCTGGCAGCACTGCGAGCCCTGGGTCGCATCCTTGGCATTGGCTTTGCAATGAGCCCTCAGGCCGATGCCACACAGCTCTTGACCTTCAGCGAGCAGGCTCAGTTCGTAACGCTCGGGTAAGGATTGAAAATGTCTTGGGCCCGTGGTAACCTGGATGCTACGATATTGAAATGACACGCGGCCGACGAAATCCTTATGCCACGTCGCGAGCAGATACCCTCCTCTGATACCATCCCCCACCTTTGCAGCACCATGATCGACTGCAGCCGCTGTGGAGTTCCGAGGATCGAAACCCTGCTGGCTTTTATTCGGTTCATCGCCCTCATGGGCATGAACACTCTGCAGCTCTACACCGAAGATACCTACAAGGTGAATACAGCGACAGCCGCGCCAGGAGAGGAAGCTGGAGGGCAGGAAGGATTTATCGCCGGGTGCTGGCTGTCGTCCGAAGCCGTGTGCTGAATCTAGCAGCAAGCCTCAAGACGCCATCGATGCTGACGCTCGGCCCTGCAACCGCGGCTGGTTGGACGATTGCTTGTGTGCTCATGATCCCACGCAGGTCGAAGGGGAGCCTTTCTTTGGATTCCTCCGGGGCGGCTTCACGCAAGAACAACTCGCCACCATCGACCAATACGCAAGTCAGTTTGGTGTTGAAGTGTTCCCCTGCATCCAGACTCTCGGCCACATGGGCCAGGTTCTTCAGTGGCCGCAATATGCCTGCGTTAAAGAGTAAGGTGGCGCGTGGTCCCGAGGGCTGCTCACGCATTCGTTTGGAGTCACCAAGGGGTCCACGGTGCTGATGTCGATAGCGTACAGCACCCCGGACGTGCTTCTTCCAGGCACCGATGCAACATACATGCTGATCGACAAGATCATCGAAACAATATCACGGCCATTCAAGTCAAGGCGTATCCACATTGGCATGGATGAGGTGAGGACGGCAGCTCACATCCCACCACGGAGCCGATGCGAGATACGATTCGAGGACAGATGAATGCGATTTGTTTGCTGATGGAAGGTCTCCTCCTCTACAAATGTTTCTTGTATCGGTGCCGTGGCAGGCCACCGGCCTCGGAGAAGGTCGCTTCAAGCAGCTGTTCGGCGTCAAAGATACGTCCGATATCATGTTTGATCACATCCAGAAAGTAACGCATATCTGCCGCGTCAAAGGCCTGTCTCCAATGATCTGGTCGGATAGTGAGTTTCGCTGTCGCACGCTGACTGTGCCACTTGCCAGCGTCACTACCGATCCGTGAAGCCTCCCCTCTAGTCGGGCACTGGCGCTGGCTTGTTGCTCTTGTCGCTCTGTAGGTGCAGCTCAATGGATGCTGCCCGCCTGACACTGACACTGGCCTTGCCACGGCCTTCTCCCTTCACAACCATAACAGTGGTTCTAGCGCAGAGTAAGCAGCTGGCCGTCCTCGGTTCAGCAGCACAACCGCGTCTCGGGCCTTTGTAATACTGTGGCCGTCGCAGTTCTAATGTCTATGATGCGTCGGTGCTGGCGTGTTCTTTGGTTAGACTTGGAGTCGAGTCCCACTCAAGAATCGCACCAAGCGCCTGCTCGGCTGCTTGCGTCTCCTGATACGCCCAGCTTGGTCTACTGGGAGTATTTCCAGGTCGGTAGTTTTCTCTAGCGCGCCGTTCAAGACGTCCCAACTCTCTGCCGTGCTAGTGCATGCTGCATGGCTTGTTTGAGCCGTGATATCTGCACATGCTACCTTGAGTGACACACCAACCGAATCCGCCATGCGTTGCCATGCATTTAGAGATCTTGCCGAGCTGATTGTGGCTGTTCTTCCTTCGCATCGGCTCACGTCATTTCGGAATTCATCTCATATCCCCCCCCCTTTATTGGAATGGCCTCTGCTCTGTCGCATTAGACCGATCCCCATCCCTACGTCCGAAAGATCCAGCAGCACCGCGAGTGCGGATTCGAGCCGTGGGTTGCCGGAGGCATATGGTGAGCTCGACTGCTTCGCCCCTCGGACCTCTCTGCTCCGGCAATCGCCTTTGCCGACACGCACCCTGACGCAGCAAGGAACCCACTCTCGGCAGGACCTGGAACCGCTTCTTCACCGCACTGTCCTTCACCTTCGATGCCTCCAAAGCCTGCCTGCAGGCCTGCAAGCAGCAGCGTATTCAAAACGTCTTTGCAACCATTTGGTGAGGCTGATGCAGACGCATGACTTTGTGGCTTTGATGACTCGCAGGTGGCTGGGTAGTGGGCCGATTGGATCCGCGCTGTACCAGCCTCGTCAGCTCACACGCAATCTCGCCTCTTGGCTGTTTCCAGGGGCGACGACGGGAACGAGTGTGATATTTTCTCGTCGCTTCCGGGGCTGCTCTTCTATAGCGAGCATGGGTATACCAGCGCAGACGACATCGATGAAAACCAGTTCCGGAATAGCTTCGCGGGCATATGCGGCGGGAATCTCGATGACTTTGTTGCTGCCGGCAAGGTAGAGTAGACAGGCCCGCGTGGCACCTCGATGCTCGATTGATTGTGTTGACTAACGAGTGACGTGGCTCTCTGCGGAGGATCCGTAGAACAGAGCGATGTCGCTGCTTATGTCTTACCTGTTTGTGCCCCCGCCCACGCCAAACAGATCGATAGCGCCCCTATCACGGCAGACGTCCCTTACTATGCCACCAACTTCCCGGTAGGTCCACGGACAGGCACCGCGCCTGAGGCCAGCGCAATCGTTGTGCAAGTCACGATTGCAGAGTTTTCTCATCGTAACCGACCACCGACCCTGCTCCCCCTTCTCCGTGTGCAGCCCAACATGTCCAAGTGGATCTTGTGGCAGGATCCGTTCTACGAGTTCCTGAGTCCTCAGTACCAAGACTATGATCTCGAGACTCACTACACAACCGTAAGTCATGGATGGAAACGGCAGGAATGAGATGGGTTGGATGCCGCGACAGAGGGATCGCTAGCGATTTGCTGACACTCTAGCTTCCTGATTCAATGCTCGCCGAATCACCGACTCACTGGCTTAACGGCAAACCGCCCATTGACCCCGCCGACTCATGGCCGAACAGCTCGCCGAATCGCTCAAGTCCGCCAGCCAGAACGTGCAGCGATATCCCCTCAACAGCCGCCTTCACTATCCCTATCTGCTCGCGACCGTGCTCGCGCTCAAGTCACATCTGCGACAGCGGCTCGTTGTTGCCTATCGCACCCAGAACAGAGACGAGCTGATCTATCTGACGACCGATCCGCTGCAGAAGCTGCGGGATCGCCTCGAGCTGCTGTGGAGGTACCACCGCACGATGTGGCTCTCGACAAACTCGCCGTTCGGGTCCGAGATCCTGGAGCTTCGCTATGGCGCCATCCGAACACGCCTCGAGAGCCTGCAGCTCCGCTTGCTGGACTTTATCAAGGGCTCGATCAGCGACATTCCCGAGTTTGGCGAAGATCTGAGCGTCGTTTATGAGAACTCGGGGCCGTCGCTCGTGCTGGATTTCGCACGGATCTACTCGCCTGTGCGTGCGCTGGGGACGGGATGAGTCCCAGGCTGCCGCCGTATCGAGGGTGACGACTCTTTGTTCCTGTCAATAAATTACACACATGTGCTTGCAGGAGAAGATGTATATTATTGATTCAGTAGCTCAATGCCTGGTCTCGGAAGGCGCACGGATGGAGGGGAGGGCACACGATGCGGAGGAATGCAAGTACCAGCGAGCGTACAGAGTGTCAGGGAGGAGAGGGGCAGAGGAAAGGTGGAAGGCGAAGGAGCGAGTCGACATTCTACTGCAACAAGTCGACCGTCACCCCCAGCCGCGAGGGAATGATCAAAGGCGCTATGGACGCAGAAGGTTGCATATGTCTGTGTGTCCATGCTGCTTGGCGAGCACCCAGGCCCTGTCGAGATAGACCTGGGCAGGCTTGTACTGCAAGATGGCCTTGACGACCTCGTAGTGGCCGCGGATGGACGAGTGGACGATCGGGTAGCCGTTGTCGACGTTGGGGTTGGCCCCAAAGGAAAGCAGCACCTTGACCACCTGCACATGGCCGTTTTGGGCCGCCCATCGGAGCGCCGTGCCGTTCTGAGAGTGCACATCAGCGCCGTACTCCAGCAGGACACGCACCATCTCGTACAGGCCGTCGAAGCAGGACCAGTACAGCAGGCTGCCGTGGCCTGCGGCAACATCTGCGCCGTTCTGCAGCAGCAACTCGACGACCTGGAAGTGGCCGCGGCGAGAGGCGATGCGGAGCGGGTCGTCGTTGTTGCTACGGACATCGGCACCGGCATCCAGAAGCATCCGCACAACCTCGAGGTGGCCGTTGCAGCACGCCAACGGGAGAGCCGCTGTGACGGTAGCGACGTTCCTGGTGTGGGGCAAGAGTAACTTGACGATTTCGATGTGGCCCTGCGCCGCGGCGTACTCGAAGGCCATGGACTCGCGAGAGGCAACCTGGTCGGCGCCGAACCGGAGCATCAGCCGCACCACATCGACGTCTCCGTGGTAGACAAACCAGGTGAAAGGAGAGACGTTCCAGGCCGGAGTATACGAAAACCACGGATCCTTGATGTCGGACAGTCGCCGAAGGCAGCAGCGTGGGTAGCGGGCTCGCAAGGACGATTCCGATGAGTACTGGGAGACCAGGAGCCGGGCAAGCAGCTCGGATCGGATGCTCTTGGAAAAGACCGCCTTCAAGACCCGATTGGCAGAGGCCAGAGACAGCAGCCCCTTGGGGTCGCTGCAGTTGCTGGCGATTCGATACAGGACCTCGTTTGGGAGGTGCTCGACGCCTGCGATCATTGCTGGCAACGAAGCTGGTGGAGCGTTGCGGAGTGTTTCGGGCTGGTGCCAAGCGGGACGGGGACGAGAGACGGGCGACAGGAGAGCAGCAGAAAGGGCAGAGGCAGACGGGAGCGCAACTGTGGCCGCTGGTTGAGCTCGGATCTTTGATAAGGCCTCCCGACGACGACAAGCAGCTCAGGCGATAGCAGCACATGGCTGCTTGCTTCATCGGGGGGCAAGGGACGCTGCGGTGAGTCGGGCGACACGCTTGCTGCCGATATCGTCAGCTTGCTTGCTGCTGATCTCATGGCCGTGCTGCGCTTCCCCAATCGGATGCGGCTCCTGGAGCATGACCGGCGCCATGAAGGAGACCGACCCGGCAACAAAGGGCCGTGGGAAGAGCGTCGATCTTTGCTGCGTGGCGAGGAGGGGACGGTGCCGGATGGGCTGGCGGCTGCCATGGGAGAGTCTGTTTCATGGCGCGCCGCGGTTGCACAAGAGCGGCGACGCGCGACCTGCTGCGCACGGCGCCACACATCCCGGTTTCTTGGACCCAGCCGCCGTGGGCAAACCTGGGCAAACCTGGGCAGATCTGGGCGAACCTGGGCAGATCTGGGCAGATCTGGGCGGGATATGCGAGCGTGGGCGAGTCTGGGCAGACCTGGGCAGCGTGGGCGGCCGTGGGGTGTTTTGCCAGAATGGGCAGACAGGCGCCCCAGGAGTGCATGCACAGCGACATGCACTGTCCTGCTCGTCGGACACCACAGCCGAGAGGCCGCACGAGCCCTGGGTGCATGCCCAGTGGATGCCCAGTGGATGCCCAGTGGATGCCCGGTGCATGCCCGGTGCATGCTTGAGACTGCCAGCCTCGTCCAGACCGCCAGCGATGCCGGGATATAATCAGCCGTGCAGACCCGCATCGTCCGGCTCCATCCCAGCACCTCATTGCATCCCACTCTTCTGCCTCATCCCATCGACCCACACACACCTGTATGCTGGCTGCAGACGCTCGTTCGCCATCGCCGCTTGGCCGCCATTCTGTTCTCGATGGCCCAGGTGCCAGTGATGTCGCAACACCCAGGAATAAGAGCCATGCACTTGGCGCCTATCCCAGCCCGCTGGACGAAGTGACCGCTGTCGCTGTCGGCGGAGGCCGAGCCGCATCAGCGCCGGTGCATCGGCTTGCCAAGTCCCAGGACACCTCATCAAACCTGCACGCGGGCTCCTCTGACACCACCAGCGACACCGAATCTGGCCTTGACGAACAGCTTCCACCCTGGCGAGCCCGGCTCCATAGGCTGCTCTATCAGCGCAAGCAAGCGATCCTGGGCCGCATCCTGCACATTCTGTTCCTGGGCGTCCTCTGGGCGTCGATCGTGACTCTATGCATCTCGACGATGCACGAAATCATGGCGTTCCGCCAGAGCGAGGTTCGTCACGGAGCCATGGCGCTCTGTCTGCTGTTGTTTTCTTCGGCCTGCCTTGTGACATTCGTGGGCGCTCTGCAGGGTCTGCTGTATCTGACCCGTCCCTTCCTCGCCACAGGTGGCGCTCTTCTGCATCGACGGCGCCATCACAGCGATTTTCGTTGCCGAGTTCATGATGCACATCCTGGCGGCTCCGACGCTCAAGAAAATGTGGTCCTGGTTCCGGGTGATCGATCTCGTGGCGCTGCTCCCGTACATTGTCGAGGTCTCGATTGCACTCATCACCCAGAACGACCCTATTACGTTTTGCTATTCGATGAGTTCCCTCAACTTTGTGAGGATCTTTCGGGTCCTCCGAGTCTTCAAGCTGTTCTCCAAATCATCCAAGGTGCGTTCACTCGATGCCTTCGATTGATAGCAAGGGCATCGCATCGGGTTCGAGGGAGAAGTAGTAATCTGTGCGAATGCCGCTCGGCTGGTATCGCGCATTCCCAGAATCTCTGTCGGCTCTGCTGACCGGCATGCGGGGTGGGACTTTCGGATCATCCAGCTCAAGGTGCTCGTCCAGGCGCTCTACAACTCTAGAGATGGTAAGGACTGTCTGTCCTCGACTAGGTCTTGAAAGTGGCCGACTCGGTTTTAAACCTGGTCGACTCGGTCCGGGAAACCCCTCGTTTGCCCGGTATTGACAGCGCCGACAGGCATTTTGGCTCTGTTCTATGTCTTGCCGATCGTGATTCTGTTCTTTGGTACACTCGTGTACTTTGCGGAGCAGATCGACTCTTATAGCGTCGACGGCGTAAGTTGTTGGCTGTGTAATCTTCATGGCCAGGAGGATCTCTGGTTGGTTTCGCCGGCTCATGCTCCCACTTCCACTTCCACTTCCACTGGTTCGTGGCATCGCCCTGGCTGATTCGGCGTCTGGTCTAGATACGCTACTACCACGATGGATCCTCTTCGGACACTCCTGTTGTATTCCAGTCGATTCCGAGTACCTTTTGGTTCATGATGGTGACCCTGACTACCATTGTAGGTTTTCGCTATCCATGGCCTGTCATTGCTGTGCGCCGTCCGCACTAGGTTGGATCATATCGCATCATACCACATCATATCTTATCATATCACATCACTAACGACACTATATCTTCGACGCTACTGCGGCAGGGGTAATCTACCAGCACATCTGCCGGTCTCACTGGTTCCCACAGCCAGATTGCGATGGTCTCGGCGCCCTGGACTAACCGTTTGCGTATGCTTTCTCTGGCTTCCAAGATACGGGGATACCACTCCAAAGACGCTCTGGGGCAAGCTGTCTGTCACCGGAGCTATGGTAGCGTCGATGTTCATCGTGGCCTTTCCTCTGACTATGATCACGACGCAGTACTCCATCATCGTACGCCAGCTCAACCAGAAGAAGCACGCGGCAACACCCTGGCATGAGACACTTGAGCGGCGCCAGGAACAACTTCTCAGTCCTGCCGATGCCTCGACACCCAACTTAGCTGTGCCCACATCCTTTGGTCGTCTTGATCCCGACAAGGACTACACTCCGGTGGTTGTCGAATACGCCTCCGAGCGAGCACAGGAAGATTCTAGACCCCAGAATCCCGCCGAGCCCAGAGACAGGCCGCTGGCTTGGACACTGGAGCCTGAGACATCCGACAGCAAAGGCGTGGCGGACCGAGGCCTCGAAGCTGAAATCGAGCTGGTCACCGTTGCAATCCACGACCAGCCCGCTGGCAATACGATGTTCCATCCGTCGAGCCAGCTGGAATCAGTAGTCGCACGCCCGTTGGAAGCTGATGACGCCGCCGACTTGGAACCGATGTCAGCGGTCGATCGAGACTCGCAATCGATCCATACCATCGCCGATGCCGAAATCGCAGACAAGTACGCCTTGCACTCTTCGGGATCCAGGCTGTTCCGGCCGTTCGGCAAGTCCCAGAGCATGTTTGGCAGTGACTTTGCCCTCTTGCCTCCAGGGTACCACGGCATTTCTCTACTGGATATCGGCGGCATGTCTCGGGCAGCAGCAAGCCTGTCCGGCGACCCGGATGCGCACCATCGCCTTCGGCACAACTGGCAGCACCCACATCATCACGGCGGCAGCCATCGTCGCAGTGATCTGTCGCATAGCCCGCACCGACACGACTCTGGTCGCCATGATCCGGGCCGCCACGGCACACAATCGGCTCGCAGTAATCTGGGCTCGCATCTGCCTCACGCTTCGGGTCGCGAACCAGACTACCCCTGCCCGCTCTGCGTCGAGCGATTGCTGGCGCCCAAGCTGGATGGCGGAGAGGCACCGGACTCGGTGTATCTACGGGTGGTCGACTGGAGCCACAAGATCGGCGAAGGGCTGGAGGAGGACATTCTGTTTATGAAAATCGCCATCTCGAGCTCGGAGCAGTACCGCAAGCTGATGCGAGTCCTGGCCGAGTGCTGATGGTCACTACGGCAACGACATGGATCGCTTCAATAAATGCGCAACCGGCCATGCTTTAGGCAGGGCAGATATTCGCGATGCACTTTGCAGGCGATCCAATAAATAGCGGGACACCCTTGATTTTGACCATGGACTTGATAGTTTGTTCCCCAATATCATCGCATGCTGGCCATGACCATTCGCCAGTGTGTCCAAGAGCACCATTCACCGCTGGCCCACCGAGACCAGTGTATGCAGGTGATTGTGGGGACCGGAGAGCGACTGGTGGTGTTCACTGGGAGGTAATCAGTTGAATTGCATGTCGTCCAGTTGGGCGCAAGCTCATCACATGCTACGCTGACATATGGATATAATATCAAGGCGTCGCATCTCCTGCATCCGACAGTTGCGTGCTGCGATTCAGCCTATCCAGTGCCTGGTGACCGGCACGCTGATCCCATCCATCCGCATCCACCCGCATCCACCCCCCATCCATCACAATCCATCCCCATTCATCCCAATCCACCCCCTCGACTCTCGCTGGCCCCCCATCCACCCTCGTCCCTCTGGTTATATTCCCGCTTCTGGCTGCCCTCCAGACCTCATCCAGAACATCCCGTTCCGAAAGATGTCGGCCAGTCCCAAGGAAGCGCGCACATCCCTCCAGCGCCTAATCGATGAGCCCAAGGGCAAGACGGCATACGCCGCCGGAGAGCCGTTCCTGCTCCATGTGTTCTGGGAAGCCCCCAGCGCCGCTGCCTCGAAGCAGCTTCTCGAGGCCCTGGCCAAGTGCGCCGTAGCAACCCACCGCGATACGCCCTGCGTCCCAACCTACTTTTTCCGAATCTCGGCAAACGACGAGGGCTTCTGGGGCAACGCACCCCGGCTTGTCGGCGAGCACAAGCTGCTGGCCGCGGCCATCAAGAAGGTCAACATCGGGGTATCCAAGGTTGCCGTCGCCGCCGAGCTGGCCAGGCAGGGCCTAGACCCATCGTATCTGGACTTGGATCTCTCGGCCGAGCTGCCCGCCCCACTCCAAGGTCAGCGCCCTGTTGCACTCGAGTTCACGGAGGTATATCTCGACGAGCGAGCCTTCATGGAGCATGCTGGATCCAGAGACTACCTCAAAGCCTACGGCGTTGTCATGAGCCCTGGGCTCTCCAACTCCCCGCCGGTCACCTTTCGGTTTGGAACCCCCTGCGAGAGCGTGGTCGAGAAGATTCTGGAGCCCATCCTCAAGGAACGGGTGGTGCCCGCAACGCCCGGCTTCAGCGTCTGGCAGCGCCCCGAGGTGGCCGACGACGGCTCCTTTTTGATTTCGGTCGATGTCGGAGCAGGCTCGACAGCCCCGCAGCTCTCCGAGGCCTTCCAGCAAAGCCGCGTGTGGTCGGTGTGGTTTGAGCATCCCCACCGCGAGGGTACCGCTCGGCTGATGGCCGTATTCCCGGTGCTGCCGACAGAGTCGATCTTGGGCGAGATTGCTGCCCTGGGCCCAGTGAGAGGAGAGGCACACATCCAGGGCGGCGACGCTGCCTCTGGTCGCCTTCGACGTGCCTTGGATGCCGCTGGCTTGGCGGTGGTCCGGATCAACGCAGCCGATGCCGTCGGGTACATTTTGCACGGCAAAGTCACAGAGTTGCACCCCGAGTGACGAGCGGCGGTGCCGATGATGCCGGCCTCGGTGTTTGTTGGCGGCATGGTGTTGGGCGATTCCCTGGCCGAGGACGATATGCATCCCGAAAGCGAAATAAATTGGCAGTGGCCGAAAGATACAATCGAATGCAACGTGGCTGGGGGTGGTGATTGTCGGTGTGCAGCGTGCTTGGGCACTGGATTTGCACTGGATTTGCACTGGATTTGCGCTGGATTTGCGCTGGATTGCATTGCATTGCATTGCATCGCACCACACTGACGCCGCATGACATCACACCGCTGCAGTCGCTGATGCAATCGCACCGATTTACACCGCGTTGAAGTGACAATGGGACACATCGTCTCATTCGAACAAACGCGGCGTCGTCGGATCATATCACACTCAGTCAAGTGCATGGAGTTCGGATGCCGATCAAAGTCGTCTGGTTCACACAAGCCATGCAGCCCACACTGCCCACACTGCCAACGTAGGTCATCCGGGGTGTAAAGGTGTTCCGTTTCAAACCGAGTTCGATGTTATCATGCCGCAGCGTCCCCGTTGCTCTGCCGCCGCACTCGCCCTGGGTTTCGGCCTATCGCGCGGCGGACATTGCTCGGACTTTGAATCGCTTGTCCCTTCTGCCCGCTCGCTCACTCGCTCGCCTTTCTGTCCGGCTCTGCTGCCCGTGCTCGCCTGCTGTCCCTCTTCCCCAACCATCGCTGCCAATCCCTCATTGCTGACTGCGTTCTGTCGCTGGTCCTGCATCCATCCTGCTCCCCCTTTCTTTCCGGCACACAATGCCTTGCCGCTCGAGCCCCGTCTCTCGCCTCTGGTTGCGCTGCTGTGCTCTGCTCGTCCTCGCGGCCCTGCCGCAGACGCTGGCATTCCGTCTCGGCGCTCTGCGGAAGGCCGTCCCCGAGGTGCTGGGAACGCTCTTCCAGGACGGGATCGTGTGGGCACCCACCACCAACATCTCTTACACTGTAGCTATCGTTCGTCAGCCAGAGTCGCTCCTTGCCAGCAGCCACCGCATTGCATGTGCCTGCGGCGCTATCGATCGTCTGCCTGCATCGTTTTGTTCCTCTGCCGAGCCTGCGACCAATCCAGCCCGCCGGCTAGGACATCCTACTTGCTCTGTTGGGCTTACAGCGCTCTCTCTTCCACCCACATCCTCATGCAGTGCCGCTTTGCTGCATTTGGTCCCTCCGTGCACCATTCTGTCGACGACGAGCAGCGTATGCATTCTTTCCACCCGCTCAGAGCGATCGCTATTCTGTGTGATCTTTCCCTCCAGCCATGGCTGGGTTGTCTCGACTCGCTCCATCAAACTATTCCATGGCCACTCGAGCTGCACTCGAGCTGATAAGCTGTATCGACAAACACTCATCCATCTTGTCTGGTTACCTTTTGCCGCATTTTCTCCACCGGGCTGGTCTCTGCTCGCCTCCTGCATCCATGGTGCTGCCCTCCTGAATGATCAACTCAACTCAACCGACATCGATATCCACATCGACATGAACACCGGGACCCTCAATGCTTGGTACTTGCCCCCTCCAATAAACCAGTCCCCCACGGCAATCTCTTCTGGGCGGCGACGCTCGATCCCGACCATCGTCCGTTTGGCTGCCATGCTCCGCTCCTCAACCGCACCGACTCGAACGCCACCCAGTGGATCGCCCTGGTCCAGCGGGGCGGCTGCTCCTTCTCCGAGAAAGTCCGGGTTATGCAGGCGGCCGGCGCTGCAGCCGTCATCGTTGGCAATAATGTGCCCTCGCAGCCACTGATCACCATGTACGATATCCCCCCCCCAGCGGAGGTCGCTTCGACTGCACGTCCTGTTGGCTGTGCATCTCCTGCTGAATGTGCGTGTGTTTGGAGTCATGTCGTTCGGCTCTGGCATTGGCTTTGATCCCTGCCACTATCCTGCCACCATCCTACCATCGTCGCTTCTAGCAGCTGATTCTGCCCCTCTGCTGGCTCGCCTAGGTATTCGACCGACGATGCAAGTGACATTGTGACTCCCTCCGTCTTTGTCAACCACGCCAGCTACGAGCACCTGGTCGAGTCGCTCAAGGCCGCCGAGAAGCGACATGAATCTTTCGCGGTGGTGCTCCGGCCAGAGGTGTATCTGGGCAGTCCGCTGTTTGATTTTGTGCTTCTGGCATCAGGTCAGTGCGATCCCGGAGCGGAACAGAGGAATCCTCTCGCCCGCTTGCCAATCAGGCTGCGTTGATCACTCGGCATGCCCTTTGCATCCAAACCCTCACCCTCACCCCCAGCTTTGCCCTGCTTATCCGTCTGGGTGTGTATGGTGCGGCTCCGTACCTGCGTTTCGTCTCTGCCCACGCACGCTTCTCACGCGCTCGAATCTCCCGAACCCACCATGGTCGACGCTGTCTCGGTCGCCAACTCGACGCTTCTCGAATCGGTCAAAATCGCCAAACTGCCGCCGGCCCTGGTCGTCTTTCACTTTGCAGTCCTCATCGCATTCTACGTCATCCACTCTGTTCGTGAGTATCTGGCACGCCGCCGAGAGCGTGCTCCACCCGAAACGGTGATTCTTCTGCCCACCCGCATCTTTGATGTGCAGCAAGAAGACCTCGACTTTGATCAGAAGGCCACCTGCTCCATCTGTCTCGAGCACTACGAACGCGGCGAAAAGCTTCGGATCCTCCCCTGCAAACACGAGTTTCACCAATACTGCATTGATAAGTAAGGCTCTGATTGCTGGCCCGGTGTGGCTTCTCACGCTCGGGGGAACGGCTTTGATGTGCTGCTGCTCTGATGTCGCTCCCAGAGTGCCTCAAGAGCCAGGATCCGCCGAGTGTGCCGACACAGCGAAAGCGGGCTCACACTCCACTTTCGCCCCGTGGATCACCCAGATGGCTTTTGGAACGCAACAAAACCTGCCCGATCTGCAAGCGCGATTCATGTGCCCCGGCCCCCGATACTCAGCCGCCGACCGAGACGACACCTTTGCTGGCTACCCGCCATGTCTCTGACGACGATACCCACAGCCACGAGGCTGCCACGAGTTCTACTGCCCACATCCCCCGCAGCCAGACTCGGGCGGTGCCTGTCGAGCAGGGACAGTCCTCCGTGCAGCAAGGCGCACAGGCGGCTGCGACCCCAACTACCCTTGTCAACACTCCCATGAACTCGGCGGAGCAGATCCAAGTCGACCGTTCTGCTGCCTCGACGACTTTGTCGTCGGCGTGCGAAACACACATCTCCATCCTGTCGTAGAGGCGGGGCTTGTTTGGACATCCGTCCTTGCCCTCGCCACAAATTATCCTTCATTGCCCACCACCCCGACTTTGCCTTGGTCATCCTGGTCCGCCGGGTCTCCCGCCACGTGTCCCTCAGCCATCCAACCGGAGTTTCCTGAGCATCTTGGGCCTTTACCTGTCGTCCTCCCTCCTGGACCAGGGTCATGGGACAAGGAGGGAGTGCTCCTCATGATATCCATCCAGAAGTTGTCCCTGCTCGGTCTTCTGTGCCTCGCCTAATGTCTGCATCGTGAATTGACTGGCGAGTCAAGCCTGTACATACAGCCCACTCCAACACATGCCGTCCGAGGTTTTGGTTTTGTATTTGCACTATGGATTCCGGGCAAGTGCGCTGGCTCGGGGGTGGGTGGCGCAGTTGCGATGTCGACAGCCGGCTCGCAGGCATCCGTGCCTCAGCCGCAAGCAGTGCGAGTATGTTTGCATCGCACGAGGGGCACCGCAGGCGACGATGCGTATTCTACAGTCTAGACGAGCGCTGATGTGTGTGGGTGTCAATCATCGGCAAAGGCGGCCTTTAGCGACGAGGCAGTTGCGACGCCGGCAGGCACCGGATGGTCGTTGTTGCGTCTGATCAACACGCTGTTCCAGCCGATGAGCTTGGGCCCGTTATAGTCGCTGATGGAGCACCGATACAAGAGACAAAGATCAGCGTCCGATACGTGAAAATAAAGGATGAGCTGGAGTCACTCCGCACGGTATGAGGCGGGACCGGTGAACCATCAGGCAAGTGTAAATCCAAGGATGCGTGGGAATCCAAGGGATTGAATGGGTCTGGCATGAATCCTCGCAGCGCTGTTATGTCCGCAGATCGCAGCGGCCATACTCCAGTGATGCAGAGACACCAAGTCAACTGCGAATCGTCATATTGAGTTCGTCGCATCACTTCATGCTTGCGGGAGTTCGCCTTACCGCTCGAGATCGTCGCCCAGATGCAAACACTCCTCGGCCTTGCAATTGCGGGCAAGGAGTCGGGCCTCATCAAAGATCCCCCGGCCGGGCTTCTCGGATCCAAAATGATATGCTGTACTGGGGGGCCGACCCAGGGTCCGTCAAGGGTGGAGCGGGGTTGGATTAAATGAAAGCGGCTCCCAGGATGGTCGGTCAATCAGACCGAGGTTGGCAGTAGCGCCATACCAGTGATGGCCAGTCAAGCAAGCGATACAGACACACAAATGCAGATGATCCGAGACTCACAGTACAAAGTCAAAGTACTTGGCCAGCCCAAGCGACTGCAGGATTGCCTCTGTAAAGCCAGGTCGTGTGGCAGCGTGAGAGACGCCGGTCCGGTTCTCTCCTGCGGCATCGCTGCGAGATGGAGGTCTCTGGCAGCCATAGCCAGGACAGCCGCAGCGTCTCGCTCGAGCAGCCCAGGTGGTTACTGTGCCTCAGTCGGCTCTCACCTGTTCGATCGTCCGAGTTCGAGACCACTCCCATCCAGAACTTGGTCCCTTTGCCCATGCCGTTCGGAACCTTGTCCTCGCACACCGTTGTTCTTAGGGTCTCAAGCACCGGCACAACTTCTGGGTAGACCTCATAGGGGGCGGCCTGGGCATAAAGGTCAAAGAGCTCCGCAAAGACTGGATCCAGAGCGCCGTCGACATCTTGTGTCCGGAGAGATTGGCCCAAATGTGAAATGTGATGGGCTGCAGGAGTCAGCCGATCGGCGGATCACAGAGGACACAATGTCGAGCGGGAGTTGATGCAGAATTGATAGCGCAATAGCAGTAGTCGTTGCTGATGGTGGATTCTTCCGGGGACTGTACCTGCTTTGGGGCATCCAGATCCGATCAGGGTGTTGCGGACAACCTGGAGATGGGAGTACCCGCACGTAAAGTTGAAAAGTCAGACATTGTTGGCAAGGGAGCGCTGCGGGGGTGAGCCAATGGCCTCGCCTCAAATCTCAGGATTGGTTATCGGCCTGGCCGCCAACGACATGCAGATCGGCGTACCGATTTCCACCAAGGACGAGATCCCTGGCTCAGTCTGCCAAAGACGGGATTGCTCGCGCCTTGCTTGCGATAGGCATCCTGGAACGAGGCCTTGCTTCAGACACCATGTTGGTAGAAATCCACAGCCGCGCATGAGAAATTCAAGGCAGAGTAGCGTGCGAACGAAATAAAAATAAATTAATGAATTAATAAATGCAAAATGAGCGATGCGGCGGTGAGGGCACGTTTGCATCGATGCTGCCATGGCTGTCGCCTGGTTTGCTTGTTGCTTACAGCCGGTCGGGCTCCGAGACAACTTTGAGCCCGTGTGCCTGGGCGATCCGCTGGTACGTCAGCGCCGGGTGCTCCCGCATGCGAAAGAGGGTGCCGAACGCATCGAATGTGACCAGTCTCAGTCGGTGTCGGTTCATTGCGGCCGGGGGCGGGTGGTGCCGATGGAGTCGGGGTTGATCAGAACCAGATCGCTGTGGGCTGTGGGTGCGGCGCGAAACGAATGTGATCGCCACGAACCCGGGAAGGATAGTGGCGTGACCACGGCTTCTCTCGCCTCCCTCTCGCCTCCCTCTCGCCTCCCTCTCGCCTCCCTCTCGCTGGCACATCCAACCAAACCAGCTCGGCTTGGCTGGTCGGCTGGCTCTTTGTCTTGGTCGCTCGATTGCCCTGCCCAAGCTTCCTCATCGCCGTCCAAATTATGAGCGACTCCCCCAGGAGCCCACAGTCTGCCGCACCGGCCGACAGAGCACTCGCAAACCAGGAGAAGCCGAAGGTCCTGAAGGCTGGCGAACGCAAGCGCTACCTGTGCGAGTGCCAAGTGTGCAAGAAAAAAGATGGAAACGGACAGAGGCTTCCTCGATCAACCTACTATCTGCACAAGAAGCGCTATCGCACCGTTCAGGTCCCGAGGGAGCCTTGCTCGAAGCTCATAAAGCTCGATGGCCTGGGGTCTGGCGGCCAGCGTCTCGATCTGCTGGAGCAGCAGCCCAGAGGGTCGCGGCTAGCCTGTCCCAGCGTGCCCTCCATCATCACCATCGACGAGCTTCCATTCTGGATCAACTACTATGTCAAGCGGCTGATTCCTGTGCCAGCGCAGCAGCCCGAAGCCCAAGCATCACCATGCCCTGCGCCCAACAGCAACTCAGGTGAGCAACCTGCGGCCTCTGGGAATACCGCTGCTGTGGCTCCAGCACCCTCCACATCAGTAACCACCTTTCGCCAAACCGCATCCCTTGGGGCCCATCAGCGGTCAAACCCGAGTCCAACCCTGTTGAGTGCGATTCGAATGGTCGGTCTGGCAAATCGCAGTGCAAGTCATGATGCGCAACTCCCGATGGTGGCAGAACACGAAATGGCTGGACCTCGATGCTTCGCCGAATCGGGCCACAAATCTTTGAAGCTGCGATGGGAGCAACCTTCGTCACGTTTCCGCCCAACGTGTAGACGACGCGCCCGCCCTCATCCGCGGGATGGAAATCATCGTGATGCTCGATGGAGCCACGATAACCTGTGCAACTTTCGAGCGAAAGCCCTGGTCCTCTACAGGGATGCGGCGATTCTGCTGTTTTTGGAAATGGGATGTATCAGACGCATTTACGGCATTTGCTGCATTTGCTGCATTTGCCGCTCCTGGGAATCAGGGAACAGTCGTACTCATGGACAAATAGACATGTGCATGCCCAGTATCCAGTTCCAAACGTTCAGCGTCCGCTATCCAGATAATCTCGACGCCCACGTGGATTTGGACGGTGTGTCTGCTGTGTGTCCATGTGCAGTACGGCATCTGACAGCAGAGGCAGCCCTTGTGCTTTGTCGTCGCTTATCGTTGGGAGAGCGCCTTCATCAAGCGGCGGTATTCGTCCGGGTGTGAGATGGGAATACGCATGAACAAGAGATCCTCGCCGATGCTGCCCTCCGTCCTGGCTCTTGGCGACCAGTCGACGACACGCAGGTACACTCCGTCCGGGGCCTCTCGCCCATCGAGCATCGTGTCCATGGCCTGTTGGATGCAGAGTGTGCATGGGTATTCCTCTATGGCACTCGGTTTGGTTCCACGAGTTTGACTCATAGTCAGTCTCCAGGGAGCACCGCCCCGAGTGCGCCGGCGTTCAGAGAGCCGACGAAGTATTGTCGGTCGAGGCAGGTTGATGGACGAGCGTCTCCCAGAGATCTCGGCCTGAGACAAGCCAGCCGCTCCGCTGCTGCTGCTGTTGTTGTTACGGCTGCTGCTACGAAGTGCCAGGAGGTTGACGGCCGGTGCGCTGGCACAAGCCGACTGTCTAAATCTGTCCTTGGCTCTCAGGAGATGCGAAAGTGCTGAGAGTCGAGCAAAGGCCCGCCGAACAGCCAACGGTTGCCGCCACATGCCATGCGCCTCCTCTCGGCTGCTTAAGGTCCCTCTATCTTGGTTGTTGTCGATCTTGTGCCCAAAGCGGAGGCTACTTGCATATCCGAGCTCAGTGGGCATGCTGATGGCCGAGACGCGGTCGGTACAGTGATCGGGAATCGACTTGGCGGGCACATCCAGCAAGATGTCGTCTTGGCGTTGGGCGTCGAAGCCACTGAGTTCAGAGGAAGCATCGATCCCAAGCAACTGTGTAGAGGTCCAGCAGCTCTGGCTCTCGGACGGTCTCTGGACCATACTCGGAGAAGACTCTGATTGGTCGGTCTCAAATATATCCAAGTTGAAAGAGAGCTTGGAAGTCGAGCCCTCGAAAAAGTCTGGGAACCGGTCCTTCCACGAGGTTGTGGCGAGGAGTGGTGCCGGTCGCTCGCGGTCCATGTCTCCAGGGGTGCTGATGGATATCTGAACCGAGGCCGAGGGGCGGGCGGTCAAACTTGGCTCGTCCAAGCCGCCGGGCGCCAGCGACTCGGGATTTCGACCCGGGATATCGAGCCTCTGCTGCTTGAGCCAGCCGCTAACTGGTTGGTCGTTGCTAATCACTTGGACAGGAGCATCGCCTTCCGGTCGCAAAGCCCTGTCCAGAGGCTGCGGCGCCACCTCTGGACTGCTGCAGGCAAGGATTCTTTGTCGGCGGAATTCCTCCAGCTGCCGGATCCACTTTCCCTCGCGGCGCCTCCGCTGGTTGAACTGACGAACAATGACGGCATACTGGGTCGTGATCATCGTGAGCGGGAAAGCCACAATGAACATGGAGGCCAGCATGGCGCCGATTGCAGCGAGCTTGCCCGTTGCTGTCTTTGGGGTGACGTCGCCGTATCTGGGGCCCATCCACAAGATCCATCCACAAGATTCCGCACAGTGACTCTGAGTATAAGTCGACGATGAACCGAGCGAGGTTGGCGGCTCGGTGTTTGCCTCATTGATCCAGCTCAAATCGGCCCGCGTCAGATCCGATAGAATCAGGTTGTTTCAGGCCCACGGAATGACAAGGAACTTACCCCTGTGCATCCCGGCCGCAACGCCGACAGAATCGTAGGTTAGTGAGTCAAGAGCTCAGGAGCTTGTCCATCACTGCCGTCGTCGATGTCGCTGATGGATCGATGTTTGGAGTGGCTCACCAGCGTTGTCAATGTGACCATCATAAACCAGAATGTTGACGGAATAGACTGAAACTGGCCGATTCCCGAGACACCGGCAGCTGGTTGATAGTACCAAACCTGTTTCCAGGGGGAAAGTCGGCGTTCCATCGAGCTCAGACAGAAATCGAGAATCGCTACCATCGCTGTCATCACCGAAACCGAGGGCAACTCAGGGCACCATCGTGCGGCCAACATGGATGTTGCATGGAACCTAGCTGCGACACATGTGCACCAAGTGAAGCAATTCATGGTCAGGCCCAAGGAAAGTCGGTCGGAGGATCACAACTCACCCCGTCTCTGTAGTACTCGCCGATTTGCTCAGCGAAGAACACGAGCGATCCAAAGAAGATAATGATCAGCGGGAGAACATAGAAGAGCGCCAAGATGCCTGGAAACATTGGCAGTATCAATTGATTGAGTGATTCGACGGAATTAGTTGATGGGGTCGATCGATCAGTAAGATTCAACGGCTGGCAGTGTGGTGGATCCTGAATATGGCGCTTCGCTCAGTCAGATGCCATACCTTCTCGCGAGTTATACATCGCCTGGACCAAGATCCCCAACTAGAAGTATGCGATCCATCCCAAGAGATGGTTAACATGGCGATTTTGGCCAGCGAGCGGCTCAGCATGTCAGTGGTTGGACAGAGAAGCTCAGTTGGCGACAAAGCTACCGAGCCCCATGTGTCCCTTCCGGATATCCGTGTCGAGCATCTGGCTAGCTCCAGAGACTCTCCGTGTGTACCTTGGTGGACTTTTGGAAGAGCTTGAATATCCGACAGACCCGCAGGATCCGTATGGGGTTGGGCGACTGGGGGCCATAGCAGTACTTGAATGGGTCCATTCTCATCGAAGCCGATCCAGCCAGCTCGCCGATAAAGGGAACGATCGCCAGAGCGTCGACCAGCCGCGCCCATCCCCACGATCTCCTGTGCTCTGTAGCGACAAGTATGAAAAGCACCAGCTCAACAATAAAAGCTACCGTTGCTGTGACATCAATGGCCAAGATGAGTGTCTGGTGGAGGTCATGAAATCAAGGCTGTTAATGCCGCGACAGCAAGGCAAGGCTGAGCACGGAGCTTGCGTCGACCGGCTGATGAATGTGACAGCAAATTTTGCTCTGATCTCTGTGACGCGGACTCTGTGGTCTGCGTCCGAACACAACCTACCGGCATGAATGGTATTGCCATGACGTGATTTACGGTCGAAACGCAGAATCCAGCCAAGGAGAGCCAGAGAATCAAGAGCGACACGCAGTGGTATACGCGGCCCTGTACTGATTCTGTGTGATGGTAAAGGCATATGTAGATCTGCGCTTTCCAGGCGGGCATGTTCCCGAGGGTATACATATCAAGCTCTCCAGTATCGAGCTGGCCGGGTTTGCAGACCGAAGTGGGATCCTCATGATGGCGATCCATTGGGGCATCGCCAGGTGCACCGGTGTGGCTGTCGATGAATTCAGCCAGCGTACTTTTGCCAGCAGGACTTTCGCAAGCGTTTGCGAGTTTGCCAATATGGTCGCTTGTGCCGTCTGAGAAGTTGCCCTGGAAGCGACAGAGTCAGATCCGACTGAGCTGCGAGCATGCAGAGCCGATCTACATCCGTGTCGAGCACTGTTGGAAGCAGAGAGATGTGACTCGGACTCGAATCAGTATCGAGGGAGCCATACCCTGAAAGAGTTGCATGGATGCATTTGGGACGACGGTGCGTCGGGTCGTTGGCTGGCTGCCCTCCAATGGTCGCCTGGCTGGACGTGTGCCATTGCATCGTTGTCCTCGCGTTGGCTTTCTAAGATGCCCCCTGCTGTCAAGGACACGAGTGGCCGTCTGCTCATGTCTGCAACCGACGCGTCTGCGATGCGCTCATGCGACGAGGCGAGAGTACCCCTGAGGCGCTGGGTGCTCGGTCGGCCTCAACTGCCGATGCCAATGGATGCCAATGGATGCCAGACAACACCTGGACAACAAGCGCGCGCAGCCAGGATGCGCGCCAAGTGCTGTCAACGAGATCGCTTTGGCGACGAGCCAGCCGCACAGACCAAGTCAACACGCAGACCCCTGCAACCCCTGCAACCCCTGCAACCCCTGCAACCCCTGCACAGCGTTGGGTGGGGCTGTGTCGGCCAGGGGCGGTGGCACCGGCAAAACGGGAGAGTGACTTCCGGCCGCAAAAAAACGATTGGCCACGCGCCTGGCACACAGTGTCCAATGAGAAATCGCCTCGCTGCTGTCTCGTCGGCGTCTCGCCGTGGCTGCGCACAGAGTCTGTGTGGCACGTTCCAGCTCGTGTCGACACCCGAGCGCTCTCGCTGCCCTCGCTGCCCTCGCCGATCCAGCTGGTTGGCCAGCAAAACATTGATATTCGATCGACCGCGGCCTCCGCGGTCAATGCATCTGCCCACCCGATCGTCGCCGCCCAGCCTCTACTCCCCTCGCCATGGCCTCCCATCCGTATTATCCCCAGAGCCTGATCATCAGCCACTATGCTGCCTACCCCTATGATCTCACCCAGCTCCTGACTGTCTTCTTTGGCGTCGTTGCCATCGTCCTGGTTGCCTCAATCGTCATCATCTCAATCGCCCGCCCCACCTCCAACCTGGGCTACCGTCTGGCCTTTGTCTGGTTTGTTGGCACGGCCAGCGTCCATCTGTTTGTGGAAGGCTATGTGGCCTACTTCCATAAGGACATTGCTGGAATGGACACTTTTATGGCAAATATCTGGAAAGAATATGCCCTCTCCGACTCGCGATACTTGGTCTCTGATCCGTTCGTCATCATCATGGAAACGATTACTGCGGTAAGTGCTCTTTTTTGGCCGGGGGGGGGGAGCCGTACCGCTTGTGTTCTGTGGGGACGACAAGCTGATCCTGTCTGGCGCCGGGTCGGCCACATCGAGCATCGGGCCCACCACATAGACTTTGCCCAAACCCCGGCGCAATCCGCTCGTCCCATCGATCATGCCCCCGCATGCATTCTGCTCGTGCCTGTCTTTCGACGACCAGCTGCAACCATCCGCTGACACTGACTGTGTCTTTCTCGGCTTTGACCAATCCAGTTCGCCTGGGGTCCCCTTTGCTACGTCATTGCTTTCCTCTACCTGATCCGCTCGCCTCTGCGCCATCCCCTGCTCATCCTCGTCGGCACCGGCCAAGTCTACGGCGACGTTCTGTACTACTGGACCACCTTCTTCGAGGGCAAGGGCAGCGCCCTTAGCTGCCACCCACATCCGTACTACTTTTGGTTCTACTTTGTGTTCCTCAACAGCATCTGGATCGTAGTGCCCTCGATTCTGATCGCCAACAGCTTCCGGGTCATTGTCTCGGGCCTGTCGCAGATCGATGCTGCTGATAAAAAGAAGAAGAGCAAGTAAAGGCCGTGACTGAGGGTGCCAATTCTTGCGACCTGGATGAGGCAGGGCGAGCTGGCGCGAGCAAGCACTGGGCTCGGGGCACCTGTCCAACTCTCTCTCTCGCCAGACACGACTGGCCGACCGGGCTGAATCCGAATCGCACACCCCCAGACGCTGCGAGAGCCCCCTGATGTCCATGCTCTCGGTGCGATATTTCTTGGTAGACAATATACTACGCCCGACACACAACAGGACACGCCGTTTGAGTCAGAGTTGTCGCTCTCCTCTGGGTCTCGAATGCACACAGATCCATTCCCCACAAATAGTACTCCAAGGAGAGTGATGGGCGGGATGTGAGTGTCATGGGTGAGGAGCATCTAGCCTCGGATGATGAGAATGCGGGATTCGATTCCAAGTTGATTCCATGTGGCAGTATTGTGGCAGTGCATGTACAAACCAACGGATCGAGCCAGGCTTGTGTGTGTGTGTCTTTGATGGCCAGTATATGGCTTGCCAGTGTTTGGTCGCTTCGCCACAACTTCCATCTGTATCATGTCCATCTCCATCAACCACTTGCCTCCTTCCTGTCTCCATCAACATGGCCAACATCAACGAGTCTGCTTCAGCCACGGCATCATCATCCACCCACCAAGCCAAGCTGAAGCCGGAACAAGCTTGCCGATGCCCGATATTGCCCGGCTCTCACTCGAACACAACCCAGATATCGTCGCCATCATTTGTTGCAACGACAGCTTCCAACTCGCACTCGACCTAAACACCATCAAGTCCACTTCGAGTGTGCAAACGAGCCCAGTCTCTCCTGAGCTCCAAGCTGCCTCGCTTCCACACCTGGTGTCACAATGCAGGACTGTGTCATCCAGACGGACAGCTGCGAATCGGACTCACGCTCAGCGACCAGATTGCCCTCTCGCTGCATTACAAGGATCAAGACACAGCCACCAGATCCTGGCTCGAAGATCAAGCCGACCAGGACATTGCTGCCGCGTCGTATTTCCTGCCCCGACTTCTATCCTATCAATTTTTTCCGGCCCCTCGCGGCTGCTCATCTCGAATATGAATACACGCTGTAGACCAAGATGCAGCAAAAGTTGGAATCCGGCCATGGTCGGTTGACGGCATTTGGTATCACCTTGAGCCGATTGACGGTGGTGGTGGGCAATTGGTGTGGAGGAGTGACCAATTGTATCATTGTTGGAAGCTCCACTCCGATTGCGGACAAGAACCACCACCATCTGAATCTCTCTGGTTAGAAACCGAGTCAAGCGTGGCTGTGTGTCAGCGAGATGACATGATCGTTTGGCTATCAGGCAAGACCCACCTTGACAAGATGTCTTCCCACGACTGATTGAGCGAGCGATGCGTTTCTGGATCTGAATCAAGGACGCCACTGCGCAGTATCTCTGCCAGCCCAAAATGCGCTGGTTTTGAGGAGATTCTTTCTTCCCCAAGGGCAGAACCAGCCATCGTCGCTATTTTCTCGCCAGATGGCTCCCCGCAAGAGAAAGACACCACCCAGGCGACCAAGTGGATCCAGAGCACCCACAAGATACTTGGTCTGCAGAAATGGATGAGCACCACACCAAGTCCCAAGATCACCGGGTTGGCTTCCTTCCTGCAATACATTCGCCATGTGTTCACTGGAGACATGCTGGAGAAACAGCTGTACTTCAGCCTGACCCGGCGACGGCGATTCAAGCGACTCGATCTCTACGGCAAGCGACAGCGCACCGTCCACGAGATGTGCAAGCAAGTCATCGACCAGGCACCAAGGGAGACCGAAGTGGTGATTGCCTTTGGGAATGCATCCTGGAAACAAGGGAAGGGATACGCATCCAGTCCCAGGAGACTCAGGTTTGCCAAGTATTTCGAGCAGTTCCACCACCACCAGAGAGGCCCACCAGACCGATCCGTCTCCAAGATCCATGTGTGCTCACATTGTCGGGAAGCCAAGCGACTCGAGAAGGTTGAGCATCTTGTTATCGAGAAACCACACTTTGTCCGGAGCTGTGCAAGCTGCCATACGCTGTGGGATCGAGACATCAATGCAGCCAGGAATATGATCTCGGTATGCCAGTCGATCATCGCCACAGGAGATCGGCCGAGTGTATTCAAGACCATGCTTCCCAAACCAACCAAAACAAAGAGATTGCCAACGAAGACAGGAGTGCAATGCCATGGCCTGCCCGCTGGGCCTACAAGTCAGTCAGCGGGGTTCAGACATCTGAAGCCTAGAAGGGAAAGTGTCCCGTTTCTTTCTGGATAGACTGTAGGTATTTTGCACTGTTTCTTGAGTATTTCGACAGTGGATGCCGGGTCGCCCATATTCTGGGCAGTCCACTTCGGGGTTGCCATCCCTCTTGGGATGGTCGATGGGAGGTGGTTGACTCCCTTGCAAAGTGTGTGTGTGTGTGTGTGCAAAGTGTGTGTGTGTGACGGCGAGAGGCTTCTCGCCTTCCCTCGGGGGTCTCTCGCCAGAGACTGCTCTTCTCGCCGACCGAGGTGGCTCCGAGAGCGCGTTTTTTCGTTCTCGCTCATTTTTTTAACAAGAATTTTCATAGTGTCCTATCCTATCTCGTGAGCGGGCGCGCATATCGATTGGCTATCGGCGCCATGAAGGGGTCACGCGGCCGACCCGTGCGGTGGCTCGTTTTGGGCATCTGCAATCTCGCCTGTCGGTCCGGCCGCTGTTGTGCTCGCGCCCGAGGAGGGGATGTATTCGTTCTTCTGCTCTTCGACCTGCCATTCCGTCGGAATCCAGACAGCCCGGAACTTCTCGGCCGTCCCACCGAGTCTGCTGTCGCTTCGCATCCAGTCGTCCTCTGCCAGCTCCTCTGCTCCCTCCGCCCTGCCTTCCTGCCCATCCCAGCCGCCGCACTCCACCACCAGTATGACCGCCGACAACACCCCCCAGTCTCTCGATCCGATCCAGATGCTCTCGCTCAAGGAGCTTGCCCGTCTTTCGGAGCTGTCCCCCGAGGAGTTTGAGGCCCGTCTCGAGTCCATCCGCAACAAGAAGGTCAGCAGCGACGCTGCTGTGCTACGCTCGATCGGCGAGAATGGTGGCCGGCGAGCCAGCGGACCGACCGATAATGGAGACGAATGGGGGGCAGCTGGAGGCGTTTTGCCTGGCTCGGCCGATTGACTAACAAGCCGGCTCTGGATGCGGCCCCAATATCCAGGGTTTTATCTGCGACATGGATGGCGTCATCTACCATGGCAAGAAGCTGCTTCCTGGTATGACCGCATAGACCTCTTCCCCCTCCAAACAGCCAGGAGGAGTGCAGCTAGCCGCGGTTGTGCCGTGAGGGAGACAGTGCCTGGGCTTGCCGGCTCATTCGAATGATCAACGCCCGATTAGGTGTCAAGGAGTTCATCGACTGGCTCCAGAAGAACGACAAGAAGTTCCTGTTCCTGGTGGGTGCATCCCAGTCCGATTCAACCAGTCTCTGGATCAGTCTCTGGAGGAGGCTGGGCCCACAACCCGCCGCCTCGGCCCTCACCCCCACCCGCCCGCAATGTTCTTTGCAGTGGCCGGCGCACTCTCTGAGCCAATACCTCTTTCCTGATAATGCCGTTCTCCCGCCCCATCGTCTGACCGAGATAGACCAACAACTCAGCCCCCACCCCAGCCGAGCTCAACCGCAAGCTGCAAAAGCTCGGCGTCAACGTCCCCGAGAAGCACTTTTACACCTCCGCGATTGCCACGGCCAAGTTCCTGCAATCCCAGAAGCCCAGAGGCGTATGTGATAGTGGCAAGGCGCACTGCGATGATGTGACTACTTTCTAACAGGATCTGCATCTGCATCTCTTCGACTTGCGTCTGCCTCCCCTGGCCAAAACTTGACGATCACCGAACCAACGACCATGTCTGGGCAACTTGGCTATATCTCCAGGGCTCCTGCTATGTTATCGGCGAGCCTGCGCTGACTTACACCCTCTATGAGCACGGCTTTATCATGAACGACACCGTAAGTATTTCTGCGGCCAGTCAGCGGATCTGCGACGATGCGGACTTGTGTTTATCGCCGGAATGCAGCGGAAGTGTTGAAATGCATATCTCTGCCGTCGCCCCCTTGCTCACCGGCCCTGCTTCACTCTCGCTTTTCCCTCCCCCCCCCTGCCGTTCTCCAGGATCCCCAGTACGTTGTCATCGGCGAGACGACCTCCTACAACTTTGACAAGATCAACACGGCCACCAATCTCGTGCACAGGGGCGCCAAGCTGATCGGAACTAACCCGGACGTCAACGGCCCCCTCGAAGGCGGTGCCATCGAGCCCGGCTGCGGTGCTTTTGTGGCCGCAGTAGAGATGGCGACGGGCAAGAAGGCGTTCTTCTGCGGCAAGCCTAGCTCGCTTATGATGAGCTATGCCCAGAGCATCCTGGGCACCACCAAGGAGGAGACCTGCATCATCGGCGATCGCATGGACACGGACATCTTGGCTGGCACCTGGGCCAACATTGATCCAGGTATGCACATGCATGTATATGTAGGCATGAGGATCTGTCTGTGTTATCGGCCGTTCGATCAGCGACTGGCCCACTTTGCCATATATCCCTGTCGTTGTGATAACCCTGTTACTGACGCATCATCCGCGGCACTGGCACCACACTTGCGCCTCGTGGGGCCCAGTCGTGGTTTTGTCCGGCATCACCAACGAGGGCAACCTTTACAATGAGGCCTACCGACCCTATATCGTCTTGAATGGCGTCATTGACTTTGTTTCCGAGCCGAGCCAAGCCTAAGGCTCTCCATCGCCGGCCAAGCGAAGCTGAACCGGATGAACTTCAGACCACTCGTTCATAGACCCGCAAGTAATGAGCGGGTCGAGGCGCGATAGAGACCACCTGTCCTTATTTCCGCTCCTCCCCTATTGTCGTGGGTGTCGATATTTCCTTCCTCTCTCCCTCATTTTCCCCATCGATCTGTCCTTGTGGTCGTGGCATAGTTCATAATCAATCCTACAATCCAGAGTCCGTGATTACCTCTTGTTCGTAACGAAACGGAGCGTGTATCCCCGAGTATCCCTGAGTGTCCTCACAGTGAGCTGTAGGCCCCGGTGAGCGGGTCATGCTGGGGTGTATTCAGGAACGACAGCCAAGACTCAGAACAGGGTGTCCCGCTTCGTCTTGGTTCGCTGTGAACTTGATTGGATCAGCATCCAGCATCCAGCATTCTGCATTCTGGCTTCTGGCGGCGTGCATGATGCCAAGAAGCGACCTTGCCCTGGCCTGAGAGGTGAATGGGTCATGGATTGCCGAGGCACAGGAAGGACCCGTGGATGACGGCTGGATGCCTCCGAGGCTGATTGGGGATCGGAGAAACATTCCCGGACCCATTTTTTGATCCTCCTCTTGGCTCTAGAAGGTCACAGTCTTTCGATCGATCTCCATCCAGCTGCGAGATGCCTCGCATTGCCGGCCTTGTGCTGGCGATCCTCATTGTTACGTTCCTGCCCAGAAGCAGATCTGCCGCGCGAAACAATACCATCGCCATCAAGATCGGTCTCAATTACGATACAACAAACGCAACAACTGTAACTGAAGGAGGCTCGATCCTCCAGGCGATGCAGCTGGCCATCGACGAGATCAACAATAGCTCGACAATCTTGCCAAGTATGTCGCACGGCTGCTGGTTTCCAATGCGTTCCTCGTCTATCCAGCTCGCATTGTCGTCGCCATGAGCTGCTGTCCTCCGCCATCACTGCCTGCGCTGACTCGGCCCCTTCCGAGCAGCATTCTCACCCATATCATGCTGGATCGCAGATGTCACGCTCTCAGCTGTGGTCAGGGACAGTCATGGAAACATATGGGACGGAATGTGAGGCTCTCTGACTACTCTCTTGCTGCACTCATCGACACTACTCTCACGGCTTCCAGTCGCATCTGCAGAATGTCTCGGTCCCATGCTAAACGAAACCGTCTGTTGACACACGCATCGTGCGCTTCTATCACGCAGCGTTGGACTCCTAGATATGCTCCAGAATGAAAACATCAAAGCCGTCATCGGCGACTCGTTTAGCCAGGTGCGCTGTCGGCACTCCGTGTATGCAGTATCGTGCCGTGCTCGCTCGATCCATCTGACCGCAGCTCCTGTTTGCAGCAAAATCAATACGAAGCAACGATATCAGGCTTTTACAAGGTATAATGGTACTTCAATCCATACTCTCCAGGATTCACGCCAACTCCCTCCGATTCACACCAACGAATGCGCCTTCGGCTCTGCGCACTCACGGATGTGTCGCTGTCTTCTCGCAGATTCCGCATATCGGGCTCACAACAGCAGCCACGATACTCACGGATCGAACAGCCTATCCGGTATATATGACTCAAACGCAAAACATTGAGAGTCGGACGCTTCGCTGACGCCGCCTTTGGTCACAGACTTTTGTGGCGATGATCGAACCAAGCCGGCTGTACAGCCAAGCTCTGCTCAGCTATGCTTGGGCAATGGGTTGGAGATCGGTATGATCCATGCCACCGAGCAATGCATCTACCTGAAGTGCAACCAGCATCCAATCCACGATAACATGATCGATTTCACTGATTTGCAATGAATCGCTTGCTCTCAGATTGCTATTTTATACGGACGAGACCAGTTTGGGATTACTGGTAGGACAACAGGCCGTTGTGGGGGCTGATTCATGCCTTGAATCGTTGCAACACGAGTGGAGGTGCAAGATGCAATGGCTGCGAGTTTGGACTGTGTGTAGCTCCAGAGAAGTACTCGAGTCTGACCTGGCACTCCATGACACAGGAAGCAATGATGCCAAATCCGTCGCCTGCTCTATTGGATTCAACATTGTGCTCGAGCAGGTGTGTTCACCATGGATCGCGATGCTTCTTTGGCGCGGAGTATCGATATGGTTGCTCTGCGCGACATGAATTGGCATTCGATCGGCTCTGTCGTTGCTGAGAGAGATGGTTGGTCCCACTCCAGGGATTCTATGGCCCCACGCGGGGAAGCCGCTCCGATCTGGCCATTCCGTTGGAGAATCTCAAAAGGTCAGGAGCAAAGATCCTCTTTGTCGCCGCTACATTTGAGTACACCTCGGATTTGTACTTTTCAGCGTATGAGAATGGCCTCGTTGGCTCGTCCTACGTATGGATGGTAGGTGCACCGACCGTGGCCGACGATATACGGCTGAGATCTCGCGGCTGTTTTGATTGAGTCATCTGTGCTATTTAGGGCCTCAACGTGCCGTATACCCCTTTGTACAACCTCTCTTGGTTTGGCAGCAATGCTCTGCAGGTTATGCAAGGATATACCATCGGTATGTGGGGCTATAGTTACCACCCTGAAGGATGATATGCGACATGGTGACAAAATCGCGACATGTAACATGACTATATGCTCCCAGCGAATCAAAACATCACTATTGGTGCAAACTACTCGCGGTTCGAGAAAAAGTGGAACGCTCTCTCGCTGCTAAACGATACCATGTATCCGACTCTCTATGACGATGGAAGCGACTGGCCATACAGGTTAGGGACTGCCCCAGATACTGCATCAAAAGTTGGTCCAACACTCTCAGCCACTCACCGCGCCTGTAATCGCTCGTTTACACTATCGCGCAAGAATGATCTATGATGCTGTGTATCTGCTAGCCTTGGCATGGGTAAGGCCGTGCCGATGAACGGCGCAAATCTTGGGCACAACAGAGCCAGTCACCGTTGGGTGCCCTGCATCTCACTGGTTCCCTTCTTGCAGACCGATCTCATGCAGATATACCCAAATACCCCACTTCTGGAGCTACTGTCCACGAACTATTCTTATCCTCTGGATTATCTCAAAAACAAAACCTTTGATGGGGCAGCTGGATACTTGATCTTCGATGCCAACGGATATTTGAGGGTAAGTCTGAGCCCAGCGCCAGGTGCCACAGCCGCAAATACATTGTATCATTCAAGCTCGATTCTTTGGCAACCTCATGGACATGTGGATTCATTGTGCTGCTGTCTGTGCCCGACTTGATTAACACAACATGCCCTATAGCGTCCATTTTCTATCGAGACCGTTCAATGCCAAGTCGATGGTTCTGCAGAGACCCAAATTACTGCAACTTACTTCAACAATCAAATCGACTTGGTATGTCCGGGATGTGTTTTCGTCAACAATGACGGATCGTCGAAGGTGAGCATCCGCTCCCTTGGTTGCTTGGGTGTGCCACACTCCATTCTCTAGCATCGCACGCTTGACTTTCCGTCGGCCTCCATGATCTACCCTGATCTCTCTGCTCCATCTGACACCACCTGGCTGTGAGCTCCTGACATCCGCACACTCACTCACAAACTCCACCGCCTGCGTTTTCTCATCGCCACTCGCATCACTGGTCCAGGTTCCGTCGGACTCACTTACCGCTGGTGAGTGACGAGCACTCGCCACTCAATGAAGTCGTTCTCAACTGACCCCACAGTGCATCAATTCCAGCATGCCCGCCAGGCTGGCAGCCCTATTCAAGCGGAACGGCATCGCAGATATGCTTTCCGTGCCCCGCTGGTAGGTCTGACCGTGTCTCATATCTCGGGAGACGATCGTCTATGGCATTCATGCATGTCCAACGAGTTTGCAGAATGACATTCTTGACATCTCCCCACTGCCGACCCCCGGGGACAGGAACCTACAACCTCAACTACAACTCGGCATGCACACCATGTCCGGTTGGCGCCACATGCGAGAACGGCAACATATTGGTGTCGCGAAACTACTGGTTCGATGCAAACGCCTCAACCATCGACTCGGCCTTCTATCTGTGCGATTCCACAACAGGCTGTATGTAGACAGTGAATCGTACCGCGACCAGGGCCTGCTCTGCTGCCACACCCTCGCCTTGCTTGATGCCGTGTGCCGTGGACGCTCGCTGATTCCGTTGCTGTCAACAATGATACGAATTCTTCGTGGGCTCTTAGGCTGTGCAAGCGCATGTCGCATCGACGACGGCAACCAGTGCATCAATGGCCACGTTGGAGTGTAAGTATCGATGGCAGATGTGTGATGGCAGCGGGTCTGGAGAGATCATGTCCGTGGCTGTGACGGTTGTGGATCTGGCTGATAGTGACCATGTCCGATCAATGTCTCTGCAGGCTCTGTGGACAGTGTCCAGAGGGGCAATACGAATGGGGCCGCCAGTGCGTCCGCTGCGACGACGCTGCAAGGAACATTGCAGTTGGCATCGCGGCATTCATTGCGTTGTTTCTCGTGGTCTGCATCCTGTGTGTGATTCCTGCGTCAAAGGAGAGCTTTGTGTTTGATATGGTATGCAGCGCATCTTTGCCATGCTGACGGATCGGGCACATGCAAGCCTCGCCTGGCTGCATCAGAGATTTGCCCTGGATTGCACGCAGGAGCATCACCAATCTGGACCCAGCCGTAGCTCGCCCCACTGGCTGATCCATCCTTCTGTTGGCAGGTCCTGATATATCAGCTCGCCTACCTGCTGGACTTTGATCACACGACTGTTGTTTCGAAGGCACTATCGTTTCTCAGCCTGAGCCTCAACATAGAGAACAGTCAGGGCGGATGCGTGCTTCCATTGAGTCCGTTCGACAAAATGATCGCTCCATATGTGGTTGCTCTTGGCATGATCGTTTGCCAGGGTCTGTGGCACGCGATGATCCAGTTCGTCCGGGGTCCTGATCGAGGCCCGCTGTTCAAGAAGATCTGGGCAAAGACGATCCATTGGTTTCCGTATCTGGACACAGGCCTCAGACACTCTCTGAAACGGACAAGCATCATCCTGATCTTTTTCTACTTCAGCCCGGTCTACAGCACAGGTGAGGCGCATCCTTCGCAAGATGGATTCGTTGTGCACGCTCGAGAGTGTTCACACTGATGCGGACGTGTGCTAACATCGCTCGAGCAGCCGTCGGCATTCTGTCCTGCAGGACCATTGAGGGTCTTCCCTCAGTTGTGTGGGACTATCCGTCGATCCAGGTGAGCTGGATGAGGGACGAGTGCAGCAGAGCGAGTCAGTACTTTCTCGCAGCAGCCAGGAACTGACTCAGCATCGGCAATAGTGCTGGACAGGTTCCCACACAGCCGTAGCCATTGTATCCGGTGCCATCGTGGTGGTTCAGGCGATTGTGCTCCCAGGCGCCCTCCTCCGATACGGGCTCCATCGACAGAATGATGCCACGGACCAGGGCAAGACCGTCCAGGAAGATCGTCCTGAACGGGAGCGGCAAAGCAGAACCCATGTCGAGCTGGAGAAGACGGATCCGTTCTACGTCCTGCACAGCTGCTACACAGACCAGTTCCGCTGGTGGATGGCTGTGGATTTGATGGAGCGATCGATGATCATTGGGTTGCCGATGCTTCTTCGGCCAGTCGGAGGTAGGTGCGATGGATAAGCTGTCCACGCCAGTGACCATTGGGCGGACCGCGAGCTGAGAGACTCGCTCTGCCATCATATAGCGTACGTCCCCATCTATGTGACGCTATCAACCCTGTGGATGTTTCTGATGCTGCGGTAGGAGTGCTGTGCTATGTGCTATGTGCTATGTGCAGCGAGGCAAACGGTCGAATGCAACAGTCGCTCATCGAGCTTCGCCCCAACAGTGCCCTCATGGCGCCGTACAGATCGTCCATCGATCATGCCGTCAGGATTCTGGGCTATTCAGCCCTTATTGTCGAGTTTTCGTTTCAGCTGCGACAAAAGTACATCACAAACCAATATGGAGTCACAGAAGGCGATGCGTGGATTGAGCAGATGGTTGCCGTTGTGGTGCCCGCGGCGATTCTGATCCCCGTCAAGCTCTTTTCAAAGGTTCCTGTGGAGAGGAGACAGCATCTGACCGAGCAGCTTCTCTACATCTCACAAAAGTCTCTGAGAGTCCTTCCCAAATCGCCGTCCAGCAACTGAATACATCGCCGCGCGGACAATCCGCGATGTTACCAGCCCACAAATCGTTTGGTCATTTGTCAAAATACTGAATGTCCCATTTTCATTGAATTAGCTGCAAATGGGCATTTGGTGGTGGTGAAAAACATCGACTCAAATGGAAAAGAACAGAAAGAAAGCGTCTCACACATCAGAAAGGAGCAAGGGCGTTCACAAACAGGGGTAAGAAAGGAGCAACAAACATTGCGCGCCTTGCTTATAGAGCGCATCCAAGCAGGACGAGCGACGAATCAAACATGTAGATGCTGGGATGGACAAGCTCAAAACCAACAAACATAAATGCACGCATCAACGGGGTAAGGTCGGCGCGGGACTTTTCGAGACAGATGACGACGTTCTCGCACTCCAGACAGCCCTCGGCGAGCTCGAGGATGGCCAAGACAGACTCCTTGAAGCCAAAGCCTTGCGGGTCCCACTCGGTCGAGTCCTCGGGAATGCGCAGGAAAAAGGTGTTGTTCGCGACTACGCCGGGCCAGGACTTGACGCCAGAGCTGGCGGTGGTCCGCGAGATGACATTGACGACGGCCTTGACCTGGCCACCAATCACGGATCCTCGGACTTCCTCCACGAACGAGACCGCAGCCTTGGGGCACGGGGCCCATTCCCCGACGCCCTTCTTGACACCCGAGGGGGTGTCAGGAGCACCACCCTGTTTTGCTACCGCTCGTGAACCAAAAGTTTTGCACCCGAGCCGGGGTAGAGCAAGGAATGGGCGCCACGGTGCAGACAGCAGTGACTTGGCTGGTGGGTTCTGGGACAGCGACGCCTCCTTTGGCACAGGGGAACTCGTGGGCCTTGGAGGCGCTACTATTCGACGAGGTATTACGACTCAAATTGCGGATCCTGTCGAATGGGGAGAAAGTACGAGGGGAATTAGTCGATCGTGGAGGGGATGCGATGGCCTTGCCCTGGATCGAACTGAGAGCGCCGACGGAACAGATGGAGCAGCGGATACGATCGAGTATGCAAGGGCATCTCGGAATGCAGATGGCGTGCCACTGGACGGACGGATGGATGGACATGGTGACTTACATCATTTTCTTTTCGTTGGCAGATGATGGTCAGAGGAGTTCGAGTGTGAATCAGCCAGGAGTCACGGAGGGTTCCGGAGATCGGGCGGATATTACTTAGAGAGTTGTCACGGAAAGGCGAGGGAGACGGTCAATCCACACAGACGGTTTGAAAGTGGATGCCGAGAGGCTAAATGTTAAGAAAAGATGGCGAATAATTTGGGCTTGGACTTGGTCGAACAGCTGGACGAGCAAAGAGTCGTCGAAGCAGAGCGTGGGGAAAGAGGAGGGAGGAGCACACGGACGAAGGAAACGGACGAGGACCAGGCCCAAGCGGTGGCGGCGGTGGCGGGAGCGAGGCAGGAGAGCCGGGTGCAGAGCGAGACAATGTCAGAACACAAATGCAGACAGAGGACAAGATACACAGGCGCAGACACACGCACGGCGGCACCACAAAGATGTCGATGGCAGAGATAGCGCCGATGGCAACAAGTGCAAGCAGTGCAAGCAGTGCACCGTCGTCGTCCCATGGGCGTCTCCATGGCTGATTGAGGACCGGGGATGCACCTACATGGCAGAGGACCAAAGAAGGAGGACCAGTAGTTTCGCCAGCTTGCGTGAAAGGAGACCGAGGCAGTTCCCTGGGCACAGCGGGGAGGAGGGGAGTGTGGGATGAGAACGGGGGCCCGTCCAGCACAAACGGACACAGCGCCGACAAGGCACCGGGGTGTGCTGGAGACTGTTTCTATCCAGTGGCGAACCGGAAACAGCGTCGCGGAACATAGACTCTGGGCCAAGGCACAGCGGCGACAGCGACAGCGACAGCAGCGGGACTTACTCGTAGTTTCAGCGACTCAGAAATCGGCCCTTGGAAGGCGAGAGTGTGAAAAGAGAATCAAAGTATGGGGACGGGATGTGACAAATACGTGGAGTGGGCCCGAAACGAAAGCCAAGCAGATTCAGCGGCGCTTTGGGCGGGTTTGGGGGAAGGGGCTGGGATAGAAGGCAAGGGGGTGTGCAGGCGCGAGCGACGGCTGAAGGGCTTGCAATCGAGAACGCAGATGCGACGGGAAGACGGTGGTCGGGAGCGGCTGAGAGTTCAGCAGAAGGATCAAAAGGGATACGGAGAGGCCACGGGAGCCGGTTGGTTGGGATTTATTGGACGGGAATGGGCTGGGACGGTATCAGCAGAGAGCTGCGGATGCTTGCGACGCACGAGAAGGCAGATGGATAAGGCAGGAAAAGAGGAGGGGTGGAGGCTAGATAGACGAGATGGGAAATGGCAGGACAGAGACGAGACGGAAGGTGTATTGGGATGGGAGATGCCAAGGTGGGTGGAGAGTCAATGGGCGGTATCGAATCGAGTTGGCCACGGGAAGGCGGAGAAGGCTGGGCTGCGGGGGCGGCGACGAGGAAAGCCACGGGTCTTTATACCCGCCGGGCGAGAGCACGCCCGGGCCAGTCTCGGCGGCGCTCTCGGCGGCCCCTCGCTCCTCGCGGTGCGGCCGCGTGTGTGTGTGCTGTTGTGCTGTTGTGCTGCTGTGCTGTTGTGCTGATGTGCTGTTGTGCTGTTGTGCTGTTGTGCTGTTGTGCTGTTGTGCTGTTGTGCTGTTGTGCTGTTGTGCTGTTGTGCTGTTGTGCTGCTGTGCTGTTGTGCTGTTGTGCTGCCCCGCTTCCCCTTGCGCAACACACCGCCCCGCAAGGCCGCGCTTCGGTGCGGCTGACCCGGCGTGAGTCTGTGTTTGCGGTCACGTTGGCGGCAGGTGCCCTGTCTGCTCTCCGCCCGCCCGCTCACTCGCACAGCGCCGCGGCGGCTGACACGGCGGCGCGCTCTTGTGCGATAGAGTTGCCGCCGCTTCATATGTCCTTTTCGGGCGATGGATCACGACACGTGTGCGGCCACGTGGCTGCACTGCCACGCCGCCTTGCCGCCCTCCATCCGTCTGGGTTTTGCCTCCTGTCGCGCGCCCGCCATGCTCCCCCTGCCCCCTGGCATCCGCCTCGGCAGAAGGCTGATCCGGTTCAGCCCCTGCTCTTCGCGATCCGTGCTTGCTCCCACCAGCATGCTCACCGCCGAGCCCAGTCTGCTGTCCCAGTCGCCATGGATCCGCTCGTTCCATGTCCATGGCCGATCCATCCCAAACCCAAGCCCGCCATCCCAGGACCCTCGTTCTTCCTCCTCGTTGCCAGGGGTGCCGCGTCCCCAGAAGCAAAGCCTACCCCTGGAGCTGATATGCTCTCGCATCAATAGCATCCCGATCCCTTCAGCCATCCAAGACAAGTACCTCTCCTCTCGCTCTCCCGTCGCCTGTCAGCTTCGCATCTCCCTCTTCGATCTCTCCCAGAACGTCTTCTTTGGCAAGACGTGGATCTGCCCGCTCGATATGGATCTGCGCGTGTCGTTCCAACACTACCACAAGTACCACGATCCTTCGCAAGGTGACAGCTGCAGCGATTCTACCGCAAGCGAGCCAGATCGTCGAGGCAGGGCCGATAGTCCACACAAATCGGTGCCACGCCGAGGGTGAGTCTCCACCGCAAGGACCCAGCTTTCCCACGCTCTCAGCAGTCACGTTGCTGGCGCCCACAGTCGACGCATATCTCAAACAGTCGCATTCCAGGCTTCACCAATGACCACAGCCCCATCGCTTACCACCTCAAATTGGCCCATTTTCTCAGACGGACCTCTGAGCGCCATCCACAGGGACGCGGCCGGGCCAGGTCTGCCACATTACCGCCCAAGCCATCTGTCTCCAGAGACACCTCTTCAGGACATGGTGGCTCTGGAAGCTCCCGCTCTTCATCAACTTCGCCGCACGCCCAACGTTCTCGTGGTCGTCCACGATTTCGGTCACCGTCACGATCACGATCGCAGTCTTCATCTGAGTCTCGATCGACCGGCTCTCGTCGCTCCTTGGACCGTCGTAGCAGCGGCAGTAGCGCCGAGTCGTCGCAGCGTCGCAGCCATCATCGAAGCTCAGACTCTCGCTCCAGCTCTGGTGAAAGCAGCGGCCACTCGTCAAACCAGTCAGCTTCGAGCCGAACTGAGAGTTCGTCGAATGAGTCTGAATCGCCGAGCGTTCCCTCGTACAAGTGTGCGGTCATTGGCCGCCGAGTCTCTGTGAGGCTCCGGAACCAGGTAAACTTCAGTCAGGCTTATGCATGCTGCCTCAGCGACGCCCTGCTCTGTCAATTTCTCCACAACAGCCTATCAACCGGCTCTCGCTGGTTCGCATCTGCCCTCCAGAGCTCGTTCTTCCATACGCACGTTCTCTCCAAAAACGTGGTCCTGGTGGCCGAGTTTGTGTTCCTTGGTGAGTTCTCGTGATTTTGCGGATACGGCCAGCATAGGGCTTCGGGGTGACGCACCACTCGGTGCACTTGCCGGGCGCATGTCCCAACTAACTTTGGTCAACCCGCGCCAGTCCAGCAAACAGCGTCGCTCCCCGATCAAGACTCGGAGGGGTCAGCCTCCCAGGATGGCAACAACATGGGCGATGGCTCTACGGCCACCATGATATCGGCTGGCTGGACATTTCTCCATCTGTTTGATCCAGCCAAGAATGGCCTCAACGTGGCCCTGTTGACAAGCGAGAAGGGTGCCGCAGATGGTACTATCGTAGATGGACCGATGATCACGTACGTCGCCGCACCACCCGCGTTCTCGAAGCACGGCCTTGGATCAGCACAGGGGCATACACGGCCACTGTAGCCCAAGTGGAGTCGGCGTACTCCATTCGATTCCCAAACCATTGTATCCCATGCTCACTCCCACACCCGTTTTTCTGCTGCCCGACCATTTCCTTCCACTACTCCGTCCGTCAGTGCTCCAATCTACTCTGGTACGCCTCGCTCCCTCTACATCATTTCGTCAGCGCTCATGAACTTGAAGGTCGTGCAGGCACCCCTTCCCGTCCTTGCCGGCTCGACTTTTTCGTACAAGCTCGTCTACCGCCCAGATCTGTATTCCATATGCGGACTCTGGAACGAACACATCATGATCGACTGCACGGATCCCGTCGCCGGCATCGAGTTCTTCACGCCGCGAGATCCTGTGGCTGCGCAAACGTCCATCGGATATTTGTCCAACGTAGGTCCCGAGGACTCATCGCTCCTAATCCTGCGCTCCAGCACTTTCTCTCGAACCTGGCTTTGGCCATGCATTCGCACCCGAACTCGAACCCGAACTTGCCCTTGTGCTCACGTGTGCTCTTGCCTGTTGCGGCTGATACCGCCATTAATATCCAGATCTCCTTGACATCGAGCATTCCGGTCGCGCAATTCGAAGAGGCCTTTCTCGCCGCCCTTGCCTTGTCCCACGCAAAGACATTCCAGGATCACACAGGCCCTGGTCCCGTCCAGGGCCAGAGTCAGAACCAGAGCCAGAGTCAGAGTCAGACCCCGCCCGAGATTCTCGAGCGTCGGCTGCGCCTCGGCTTCCACAACGGACACAGGTTCATGAACGACCCCATCATCGTCAATCTGAACCCAGACGACTCGGCCGCCGCCCTGGTGTTCCACGGGAGCCTTGAAATCGCGAGCTTTGATCCGAACGAGAAGATAGCTCTCGTCGCGATCGCCGAATACAAGGTTGCCTTTGTGGAGAAGGACCAGACCCGACGCAAGACAGGCGTAGGAGCGCTGCTCGAGAAGCTCAGCGGCCACGGCAAGCCATCGGATCGGCCAGATGTCTCAAAGACCGTGGAGAAGCTTGTTTGCGTTGGCTGGACAGCCTGGGTCCCAGCCGAGCAGCCGGGTGGGTCACGGCTTGTGTTGAGTGCAGTGACAAGAGACGCAGAGCACCTCGGTATTCCATCAACCCTTTCGTTGAGCATGTATCCCTTCCAGTCCAAGCTTTCCCTCTTGTACGCTCTCGAATGCCATAATTTTTGAATCACTGTGATATGCGATAGCCTACAGCTTCGGGCTCTACACAGCTTGACTGTTGTGCTGAAGCAAGCACCTTCCGGGTCCTCGATTCTCGGCTAACCTCCACCTCTGCTTTGGATCTCGGATGGCCTGCATATACCACTGTGCCACCTCGTAGCTCTATCGCCAAATCTGCCCCTCATAACCGCCACAAATCTGAATCCCGTCTTTGCTCTTGTGTACAACCCGGCCAGCCTGTCCGGTCCAGCATTGGCATCGACGGACAAGCTCGATCGCACGCCAACACTATCGCTTTCGTTCGACTTCAGCCACCAAAATCCTTCCCTGAGCCCCGTGCTCGATCCTGTGGGTAAAGTTTTCCTGTCCCAACTTGCGCACATGTTACCGCTTGCGCATGTGTTATCCTCTGCCACCGCTTGGCCGCTGTCCAGACAGTCCCTGCTCCGATATGACTTCCTTACCCACTACTCTTTGACCATCGCTTTGGTAGCTCCGAGACCAAGCGTCGCTTCCGTCAAGCCAAGGCCGCTGCTCATTGACGAAGCCACATCGCCTCTCACTCTGAGCGAACAAGACGAGACCTCCAGCCAAGAGCTGGAAGTGCTCCAGCCCCGACCCTCTTCGCGGGCCTCTCAGCGACCCTCCAAAGCAGCGCGAGAGGACTATGAGCCAGATCTGAAGCCAGTTGAAACGACCAAGCAATGGCAGCAGGCCCCTTATCTGTTTCGGAGCCCCAAGAGCTACCCGTCGCGGCCCCAAATCTCCAGATCGGACAAGGCGCGCCTCCTAAATGCTGGCTTTCCCGTCATTCTGGACGATCAAGGTCTCAAGCCTATCCAGATCGGACTTTCACCGGGTGACATCAGTAACCTCCGTCTCGATATGGACGTCGAGTTTAGGGACCCAATCCGACGAAACGAGCTCTGTCTAGGATTCATGGGCGTCAAACTGAACCAGAATGCTCAGGATCGTATCACCGGTCGGTGCCCCCCCCCCATCGATTGCAATATTGCCTGCGTCCTGTGCATGTTTGCACCGAGTGCAAGAGTATCCGGCAGCGTTGTGATCGACGCAGTCGTCTTTGTCGAGTCAGTCGCTCACCTCAATGTTGCTGCTGTTCCAGGCAAGTTCCCGTCCACCGTTGTTTTCTCCTACCAGTTTTACAACTTTCCTCATGCCACCACCACACGCGTGGGAGTCTACACTGGTCCTCTACCTGCCAGACCGCCAACAGCGTCCGAGCATCCCTTTCGGCCGACCTCCACCGGCGGCCAACGGCCACAGCGCCCCCACCCAGGCCACCACCGATCGTCGTCTCTGCCAAACCACTCTCGGCGCTGGTCACAACAGTCACATCTATCGCAACAGTCGCTTCAATCGCATCAGCCTGTTCCGGCCACAGCCGAGAGAGAATGCGAGTGCATCTGGCCTGGCATCCTATACGAGCTCGATCAACAAGGCGAGATTGATTGTACGCATGCGATGGAGCCAATTGCTGCTTGCTTCCCTATGGCTTGACATGAATCAAGAGCTCACCCGTTCGACTCCCCAGTTGGATTTTTCGAATGAGTGGGACACGCGTGTTCATCGATGGCTGACTGAATGCTCGTGGTCGCCATCTCCACACTCTCGTGGAGCCAGACGACAGAGCCCCAGGTATCCTTCACAGCTACCAGGTCGACCTCGAAGCCGACGCTCCATCGACACTGAGCTCGAATCGCTTCGGGCCGACGGCGTACCTGCACTATCTCGGCTTCCGGACCATGGTCATCGATTGCTGGGACGGTGACTCGATGATTTACCTCGGCAGCAGCACCGTACAAATGTTCCCGGCCCTGCGCCAAGGCCGCCTTGCGGTTACCTTTGACGTCGAGGCTGACATTGTGCACGAGAAGGTAGGCCCTCGTCTCACTGCCTTGCAGTGCGAGGTTCCGATCGCGATGCAGACCCTAGATCAACAACAATGGCAATGATTGGGTCGCCTCTCCAGGGATAATAGCGGAGACGATCTGTGTGATGACTTACGCACTGCTTCTGCTTTTATCTGGCTCGCTGCTATTCCCAGTATCCCGACGACCCGATCGCAAGCCCCGAGCCTGGCGAGGTTTCCAAGGTCGTGGGTGCGCTGTACCTGCGCATCACACATTTGGGACACGCTTCAGCGGCTGGAGCACAGCCCGACCGATCGCTTTCTCCGACTTTGGCAACTCAGGCTGGTCGAGACGCCGTCGTTTTACACGATTATCACCATGGCCTGCAGAAGCACGGGGAAGTCACACACTATCCTCACCGAGTACGATGTCTGATTCCACCGGTTGCGAAATGCAGAGACCTGATGCCGCCGCAAGGCCATGGCAACGCACGAGTCTGAGGCAATGTGCAGTGCAGTGTCAGACATCGCCCCACTTGAATAACAGTCGTATAAACCCCCGCAGAGCCACTGATCTAGCCTCTCCTCTGACTTCCTGCACAGCTGCCGGAGGTGGATCCGGAGCTGTATCAGATTCTCTCCAAAGCGTACGAAGAGCGGCTCAAGAGCAACTCCGACACCAGTCCGCGACACTCTGGCTCGGCGGACAGCACATCCACAGACAAGAAGGCCAGAATTGCTCGTGTGCGCAAGTCCCTCAGAAACACGGGGCTTGAGATATCGGAGGCATGCTATGGCGAACATCAGGTATCCCCTTGCTCGGAGCAGCCTCCTATTTTGTTGTTCGCAATGTATAAGAACGGATCTAGCTGCACGGACTGTCGCTGCCCGACCAACGAGCTCGCTGGGAGTGGTGCAGACGCTTGGGTGCAATGACAGCAGGGACTCGGCTCGGCTGCGTCTTTGCCGGACTTATTCTCAAACAGTCAAATGACGCCATTTCATCCAGCTTGACATGCGAGATATGTTTACGTATCAAATGAGTCGAAAAGATCGCCAGCGAGACCTGCAGACCATCGACATGGTCCGCAGCAGGTACGCCGCCATGCTGCACCATCATGCAGATGGCTTGCGTAGGCGGTCGAAAGTTGCGTGATGGAGGGCTTGCCAAGAACGCTCAACCCAGCATCTGACGCACGCGGGCGTTGTATCTTGTCTAAAACTCTTCTAGAAAGCGACGAACAGCCCTCGACAGCCACCTGCGGCGGCAGATTCTCAGCCGACACACCGTCCGAGCCACCTTTGGGCAGGCTCACTTTTTCGAATTCTTGCTGCAGAATCCGTACAGCCACGAGAGCACTTTCCGGATCGTGTGGGACGACCAGGAGCTCAGGTTCGTCATCTTTGCACTGCATTTGGTGGCAACTTGGTTTCCCTCGCGCTCTGTGAGCACTTGTAGTCGGAGGTAGACAGCAAATTGGCGGCGGCGATGCTCATTCAACTCCACCCAATCAATCCGCACCCATGGTTTCATCATGCGTCTATGCAGGCTTGTGACGGACGCTGCCGAGTGGCGCTACTTGCGCCGAATCCACTCGATCCGGAGCGGCATCGACGAGAGGATTGTGTCCTTTGCTTCGGACGGTGTACCTGAGGTTTACATGCTGCCAAACGAGACCATCCCGGTTGCCTTTGTGTTCCAGAGCTTTCTCAGCGGCTCGGTCACATCCATGTCTCCAAGATCAGACGAGCTGCAGGACTCGGTCTTTGGCATGGATCTCCACGATGGGATTCAAGCGCGGGTCATCAATGTATGAAGTCGACTTGTCCGCTTCGTGGCTCTCTGTGGTGTCACAGTCGCACGCAACTCGAGCACAAAAGTCCTGCCATAACTCACCTCTCTCCGGCCCTCGTGTGCACGGCGACATTTCCACACGGTTGCTTTGTCGAGCAGGTGTCGTTCCTCAATCCCTCCAACACCCCTATCGCACTGTTGGATCTCGCCATCCAGCCACAGAACTACTTTGTGGACCGGTCGCTGCGCCTCTTCCGGTCAGAAAACGAAAATCTGTACAAAGAGATCAGATTCTCGTTCGGCTCAATGGCCCACGCAAACATTCTCTCGGCGACTGAAGGAGTCAGCACCGTGTACAACTCTGCCAGTCCCAGTCAAAAGTATGTCGTTTGCCACGACACCGATGTCATATGCGGGCTCAACGAGGTTGCGGTAAGTGAGCCACCCGCATGTGTGTTGACTCTATACTGTCGGCGGTATGGGCGTTCAGCTCTGCTTCCGTGAACAGCGGCTTGCTATAGCTTTGGCATGGCTACGGCGGTGGTGAGAAGGCGTTCGGTGCAACTACAGCTCCAAGGTGCTATGCCAACATCTGGATATGAATATGCAGCTGTAAATTGCAAGGGTGTTCAATGTTTTTGATATCTTCTCTGTGTTATGGCTGGGATCACTTTCACCCATGTCGTCTCGACTAACAGCACGGCAAGGGCAATGTCTCGCAGCTCCACTTCCGACTGCGTGTCGGGCCGGCTCCAGAAGTACGGTCCATCTACTTGCTCTTCTACGACGATCCTTTCAACGTCTCCCTATTTGAGATCTGGAGGGTCGTTATCCACTCGCTCCACCGCCTGGATCTCAACTGCACCATGGGCCAAACCAACATTGCCTCGCTCGTGCTCCGGGGCTCGAACTACTCCCGCACCGTCGAATGCTGCACCGATCGATCGGATGAGCTGATGGTAGGCGGCGAACGGCGGTGGTGGGGGTGCATACACGATTTCTTGGCGACTCGGTCTGTGAACATACCAAACGACCCTGGCAAGAGCGACTCTGATGCACTAACTGGTTCTTTTCACGGCTTTCATCCGGCCCCAACCGGTGTAGGTAATCACGCCTTCGCCATTCACGCTGACAGCAGGCTCCCTCAACGAAATCAGTCTGGCAGTGCGGCCGCAGAGCGGGACTGCCTCCGAAATCTTGCTCAGCATTATTGGTAAGCATGGAATAGTAGCACGCAGATCACGGTCTGATGCCGGCGGGGCCGTCCGAGTCGTCGCCTGGACTCGGGGACTCCAAACCCAGGGCTGTTTGAGCGATGGAGCAAGCAGCGCCTTGCACTTGCTCTGAGACACACATCGACTCGCCTTTATGGACTCTGTCATTATTTGTTCGTCTCCCTCTATAGATTATGAAAACCGAAGCCTAGTCAGCAGCTGGATCGTCGTGACCCACTGCAAAGCGCCGCATATCACAAAGTCGTTTGAAATCTCGATTCCGCGCGGACGGGCTGTCAATAAGGTACGAACCGGCAGACGATGGTCAGTTCTGATAGACTCAGTTCAACCTGATTGTCCGCCCCCAGACAAGCCAAGCGAGTGCGATGCAAGAGAGTCTGGTGGACATCATCCGGTACTTGGCAATGGAGGTCCAAGGTGCGCAAGAATCATGATCGACGGCTATCTGATCGCAATACCCCCCCCCACGACTTCCATATATTGGATAGCGAGTGTCTTTCAAAAATCCGTACCCGCAGCCCAAGGTGTTCTTCCTCAAGACTGACAACGACAAACTGCTGCAATTCAAGGACACAGTTATCGAGCTCGAGAGTGGCCAGAGCCAGTACATTGGCCTGCGCTTCGCTCCCACGAGCCTCATTGCTGCCGAGATCCTGATCTTCCTCAATGACGAGCACGATCAGATCGAGGAGTGCTTGCGAGTGAATGTAAAATACATTGACAAGATTTAGCGTCGCTACGAGAGCAATAATGTCATTGACGATTTAGAGGGAGTGAATTATTTCGGGGCAAAGGCCAATTGGAGACATGGCAGCGGCTCCTCTGGGTCGCCAGCACTCTCCTGCCTGGACAGCATATATGGCAATGCGACATTGCAGTCTATCCAGAAAGAAACGGGACACTTTCCCTTTCTGGCTTCAGATATCTGAACCCCGCTGACTGACTGTAGGCCCCAGTGAGCAAGCCGTGCGATTGTTTCCCGTCTTGGTTGGCAATCGAGTGGTTTTGGTTGGTTTCGGGAGCATGGTCTTGAATACACCCGGTCGATCTCCTGTGGCGATGATCGACTGGCATACCGAGATCATGTTCCGTGAGGCATTGATGTCTCGATCCCACAGCGTATGGCAGCTTGCACAGCTCCGGACAAAGTGTGGTTTCTCGATAACAAGATGGTGCTGTGCTTGGCCACGAATGTGATGAGTGGGTGGGTGTATTCAGGTTCCAGAAAAAAACACTCTCATGGCTCAAAACGGGGTGTCCCATTTCATTTTGGAAACGCTGTAAATCTGCCCGAGTCCAGCTTCACTGTTCCGGTTGGTTCGTGGTGGGCCCGGGGTTGAATCCAAGCATAGTGGCTCATCTTCAGCCTCTCCGATGCCCCGGATGCCCCGGATGCCCCGAATCCCCCTCGATCCGATCCTCTCCAAGGGATGCTGTGATCGAGGCGCTTTCCCACATCCGTTTGGCGGGCTTCTGGTCCAGCATCACTTGCTCGCGGCCATCGTGCCCGCAACCGTCAAGCCTTAATCCATGAACTGATCTCGCGCTGCCATCCTACACCTGGGCCGCACAGTGCATAGTGCATAGTGCTGAGTCGCTGTCTACCGCTCCACGTCCAAGCATATACTCTCAGCAAACCCGCGGCCTTCCATGAGCCTCAACCCAAACGTAGCGTCCGTATCACGGTCGCCCTCTGCACTGGGCATCGGAGAGCCTTCGTCGATCCTCCCCAGCAGCGAGTCCATCCAGGCAACGCTCTCGACCCTCGAACACAAGCGAAGCAAGCTCGTCTCGCCCAAGAAGCGCACCAACCTCGCCTCGTTCCAGCGCACACTCAACCAGGCTGGCGATCTGGCCCATTCGGTCGACCTGCACATCATCGATGCCACCGGCGACGGCGGCGACTTGCGGAGCGATATCCTGGGCGAGCGCGGTGCAAGGGTGTTTCGTCTGCCGAAGCCCGAAAACATTGCCGAGGCCGAGAAGTATCTCCCGCATGATGGTAGCGCGCTTTCTGTTGCAAATTGTCTATCCATGGCTGCCTGCTCTGATTGCTGCATGTGGCTCTCGACTCTTCCAAGCCCCTCCCACCATTGCGGCTTTGGCCACAACCTCGCTGATACTGGCACATGCTGACGCATCACTATCGAACACGCATCCGCACAGACTCGGCCAAGATTACGCGGGACCAAGCCCTCCAATTCATTGGTGTTCTGCAGGCGCCTCCCGGTAGCGGCGCAAAGTATGAGAAGCCCAAGCCCCCGTCAGCCGATCGTCCGCTCAAGCCCGAAGCTCGGCTCGACATCGAGTCGCAGCCAGATGACTTTCGCAAGTTTCAGCAAAGCGTGCTTCATCCTGGTCGGGTCCTTGGCGTCATGGCCTTCGAAGACGACCGGGCAGTACTGTCGACGTTTGATCAGCTCTGCAACGAGGTGCTTTCCTGCATCGCCGAGTTCGAGAGCTCGCTTGAGGAAATGACAACGTGGAAGAACGCATTTATGAAACAGAGCATACCCTCGAACGTGAAGCTGCAGCTGGCTATCCTGTTTGGAAGGCTGTTCCGGTGGTAAGACGTCTGTCTCGGAGCTCTTTGGAGCGGGGATACTAAGCCGAGGATGCATTTACTCTGCGTCTCGTTGGCGGCATCTGTGCTTGTGGAGATTCGCCGATGATACGCACGTTGTGTACAAGCCATCTGGTCACCGCTCGTTCGTGTATACTCACTGGTTGATAGCAAATCCGATCTTCACGAGCCCCTGTTTGAACTCATCAAACAAGTCCGCATCTACTCGCGGCCGTGGCTCAAAAAGCAAAAGGCTCTCCTGGAGCTCGAGAAAGACTTTCAGAGGTGAGATTCCCTATGGAGGAGATTCCCTATGGAGGAGATTCCCTATGGAGGAGATTCCCTATGGAGGAGATTCCCTATGGAGGAGATTCCCTATGGAGGAGATTCCCTATGGAGGAGATTCCCTATGGAGGACGCCGTTCCCATTTTTGCGTGCATCTGTCCTGAGTCAATCCGTCCTGAGTCAATCTGCTCTGCATGTTAAGGCTCACCATCGCTGGCTTACTATCTGTATCTTTTGCGGCAGCCAAAACCATGTGCTCGACGTGGCCATCCGGAAGCTCGAACATCTGCACGCACAAAAGCTCAAAATCATCACCGAGAAGAGTATCTCGCTCTGGGACCGGCTTGTTCGAAGTTTGATGGTGAGCACCCCGCCGGCTGAGCCGAGTGCGCCTCCGAACCGACTTGCTGACCAAGCAAACTCTACACATCTCAGGATGCCACACCAGCATACAATCCATTCTATGAGGCACAGGCGTCTGTGTGGGTACAATTCAATGCGTTGTCTCCGGTTATGACTGCTGTACAGCAGCCCAGGCGACCCCCGCCATCCGCCAATTGCTGCCCTTGATTTCACACGATTCAGCTCCTGGCTCATCAGCATCCGCGCTTCTCCCTGCCATCATACCCAGAAACTCCTCTGGCCTGGCGGATTCAAAACTAGGCGCACAGTCGTCGGACAATCGAATGGCGTTGTCTATGAAGCGCTCGGGAGCCCTCAAGAGCATAGCTTCCAATAGTGCACTCTCGCCACTTCCGGGAGTAAACAAGCTCAAGACCTCCATTCTCGAATACATTACCACTGACGACCCAAGTTGGAAGAAGCAAGCACGCAACCTCGTCGAGAAGTTTAGGAAACACATCAACAAGCAGTGCCGCGGCTGGCAGGCTCTGTTTCGCAAGCTGCATCAGCGTCCGTTCCCGAGGCCATCAATGTTCCCATACATGTCGCTGCTGAACCAATCCTTCATCAAGCCGCCTCGCCCCTTCCCGCTGCGCAAATCTTGGTCGTTGGTAGATCTTAGCTCGGCCAGCACCCTGCCCGTTCAACCCAAGAGCTGGCTCACTGGCGACGAAAATGAATATAGGCACGACAGGGATCTGTATGACGGTAAGATTCCTCGGTCAAATAGCTTCAATGCAGCCTTCGATCTGAGATCGGCCCGGATCCGCAATATGCCTTCGCGCAAGCGAACCAAGGGCGCCCGTCGTCGCCACCGCAAGGCCATGTACCGAATGAAAACACAGTTCCGCATCTCGGACGGCCAGTCGTCGGATTCGGACTCGGAGAGCAGCAGTAGCGACGACGATGACGACTCGTTTGTGGACGACGAGCTCGCGGACTACGAGCAGAGGGTAAGTGCTCGTGCGAGAACGACGATCCGACCCACGAGCCTGCATCGATGGCGGTGGCCCGCGGCCAGTCTGCTGTCACCAACGCATGAATGGGATTGTAACCACAACTGTGCTGGGGTGATTTGTTTGCGGCCCGTTGGCTGTACTTGCCCCCTTGCTTTGAGAGCTGCATCGTCCTGACGCTGTTGTATTTCCGAATAACATGTGCCCTTGGGCGGCTTGTTTCTTGGCGTTGCCAGTATTGGGACTTTTTTGATGAGGACCAAATCCAGCATACGATCGACAGTTTCCTTACGGCTCATCCATTCACGAGCCACTCGCAAAAATCAACGCCGTGGCGGTCAGAAGTCAAAACGTAAGCACAGCAACAGACAAATAGCGCACTCTACTCCGTGGACTGTGCTTCCTTCCTCTTTGGATGCACGGCTACCAATGCGATGCGTATACCCTGCCCGTAAGTTCTACTTTGCTATTCTGATCCCCAGTTTCCCTCTGGCTTCCGTTCCACAATACCCCCCAGTCCAGCAAATAGGACCGAAAGCCAAGAAAAAAGCACCGTCACCGTCTCGTTTCCTTCGGACGAGCCTGAAGTTCCGGACATCATGGCTGAAGAACCAGCTCCGGATTTCGCAACTACGACCGAACCTACCGAGCCATTGCATGGAGACGAGACGCCAGCGGATGCCGCCGACCAGCCTGATGTCGACGTTGACAAAGGCTGGTTCTCGCTCCAAGATGTTATGGAGCTGACTCTTCTGCATGCTCAGCAGATGCAGCTGCTGCAATCCGAGTACAGGTGCGTGCTGATTTGGGCGTCCAGACAGGCTGGTATCTGTCTGGTTTGTGCCTCCAGCCTGTCGGCGGCGCCATTAATGCACACATCCACCACCAACAGCGACAAGTTTGACGACATGACTGAAAAAATGGAGGCCATGGAGGCAAAGCACAAGGAGGACGTCGAAGATTTGGAAAAGCGTCTCGTGATTGCGCAGGAGGCAGCGCAGCGGATCGCTCGGGACTGGCAAAATATGGCCGAACAGAAAGCGTCGGCAGAGAGCCGGGCCATGACCGTGCTGACGGGGCCCGGGGGATCGACGCATGGCCCGGGCACGGCCGATTCAGTGCGATTTGAGCTGTCTGATACCGCAGGAGGTGCCTCAAGCACCAAATCAAAGTCGAGGAGCGGCAAGTCACGACGGTCGTCCAAGTCCAAGAAGAAGCAACACCGAGGACCATTCTTCTTGAAGCAGCGAGAATCGGTATGAGACGCGGCACTGCAGGCCATGGTGTATCTGCAGCACTGGGATCGAGTGTTGTGTCGTGCGCGCTCTGACCATATCGCGATCTCGATCTACCAGAACAATCAACGAGGTCCAATCTTCACGACAGCCCCATTCGAGATGAGTGTACGTGCTCGATTCGGCCCGTCGTTTTAAAGCACTGCGACTCACCACACTCTTGGCTGAGTGCCCTCGCGTTGGTACGTCGACGCCGCGCCTCTAACGATATCCGTGCCTGTTGTTCATCGGGATAGTTCCTGGAAAGACTTCGCTGGTTTACCGAAGAAAAGCTCCGACGCCAGAACTCTCTGAGAGAAAAGTTTGTACGCATGGAGGTCATGGCCAACGAGCAAAGACTCGCACAGGCTCACCTGCTCAACCGCGACCCCGACCCAAGTAAGCTTATGACTCTTGCTGGTCTGCAAACCATCTGAACATCTCCCAACACTTCCACTCCGCTTATCACATGCACATATTTAAATGATGCAGATATGGCATATCTACATGCCGAGTTCATGCCGATCCCTCGTCCGATTCCACACCGGCCAAGAAACATATGGACAGACCAAGGTAGCAGTGCGACATGGATGCATGCGCTGATCGCTGTGGAGGACGGCGTACAAATAGGTCACGGTCATGCCGAGCCCATGCAAGCAACCACGCAGAGAGCGATGTGCTCAGCTTCACTCATTATTCACAGGAATCACCTCGCCTTGGGGTGGAAGATTCCACATCTCATCCGGCCAAAACGAATCCGAGGACACCCAGGCAAGTGAAGTGCCAGCGCGATGGCAGATCCCATTGGGACTGGCCATAATGTTGCCGGACCTTGTGACAGATATGTCGTCGCTGAAATCGTGATCACTCGGATCGAGTATTGTCTGCGCATGCGCCGTCTTGATGCACTGTCAACTCACGGTGAGTTGTCGCGATCCAGGTCAATATTCTCAACCTGTTTGATGTTGCCATCAAGACAAGAATCAAGCCTAAGCAGCAGAAAGACGCCAGTGACCAGACACTGCAACATAACCCATGATCAGGTCGATCGCTGTGAGAAGCATTGGGCTCTTGGGTGGCTCAGTTCCTTGGCATACTGGAAGCGCTGTCTCCTTGTGCGGAAACCATTAAGCTTGTAGCGCTCACAACGAAACGAGACGCTTTTATTGATATTGGAATCATCCAAAATGGCCGTTCGCTGTGGATGCAGGATCTCACTCTGTGGCTACCTTCTGCCCACGACAAAGTTCGGATTGCCAGCCAAGATGGGAGCATCGCGTGTCTGACCCACAACCTATACATCATCAGGCCTCAGGCTCGTGATTACTTTCGTGGGCTCGTAACCGGTTCTCAAACGGGACACCGTCCCGTTTTGCTCTGCTCTCGCTGAAATGCATGCCTCTCACTCCTTTCCGTATGGGTCAGACAGATGAGGGCAACTCGATTTATAATGTCTTGCGTCCATGTGCGGATGGTAGACGGTACACCAGCACATTCCTGGCGCAGAGCACAGCAGTGTATAGATGCGGAAGGCAGAACCAGTCAGCCCAGACTAGGCGATGAGATTATCAAGTGTTTCTGCATCTACTTTTTCTTCTTGTCAGGCTTCTTGCCGCCCTTTTCCTTTCCGCCCTTCTTGCCCCCGTCGTCTTCCTCTGGAGCAGCAAGCAGGAGCGCTCGCTTCTTCATCATCGGGGTCTTTTCAAACCATTCCTGTGAGACGAGGTGCAGAGATTAAGTGTCTCGATCCTCAGGAGCGCTGGCAAACAGCTCTGCGTCGACACACTTGTCGTAGAAAGTGAAGCACAACACTCCTCCACATCACCAACCTTGAATAGCTTGCTTTCCTCTGCGTTGACCGGGGGGATATTGAGGATTTGATCGACAAACTCATCAGTTGTCAGCGAACAGTTTCGGATCTGCCGAAACACAAGATTCGATTAGTTAGTAACGGAGCGGGGTATCTGTGGTCCAAATGGAGCGGGGTTTCTGTGAGCCAAATGGAGCGGGTATTCGTGAACCAAATGTAGTGCCTTCGGGTATCACCCATCGGTGTGGAAGTGATGAACCAGGCCCAAGGCCAGTGGGATGGTGAGACATACCAGTTTGATGCGGCGGTCGGTGAGGGCCCGCTCACAAGCCAGCAGAATCATGCCGGCCGAGAAACCGCTCGACATCCTGGTCAACAGCGAGAGGTTGACGTTTTCGTATCCCTTCTGAACCTTTCTCTTGATAAAGTCGCGCCACAGAATCAATCGAGAGGAGTAATCTGGGTTGGGGCAATAGACAACCTTGTTGAATACCGGGAGCATGGCTTTGGCGTCGCCCTCCCACGGCTTGAAAGACGATGCCAGAACAATGATGCCTTCTGAGGCCTTGAGCCCCTTCATTTGCTTCAACAAATCCTTCTTGATGCGCTTTGGATCCGTCTGGTCGTCCTTGGGCACCTTCTTGGCGAATACCATTTCGATATTGTCGATGTAGATTATGGAGGGTTTGTGGGCTTTGGCCACTTTGAACGCCATGTGCACCATTTTGGTGACGTTTGGTTTGCCAACATACTGTCCGGCGGTCACGCGCGGAGTGAGGTTGAGGATGTATGCTCCGAGCTCGTTGGCGACGGCGTTCACGAGCATGGTCTTGCCCGTTCCTCTCGGCCCGAACAGCAGCATTGAAGCGACACTGGGAACTTTGTCGAGGTCGGGCAAACCCGCCGGCAACAAAAAGTATTCGGTCAAGACCTGCAAATACGCCAGCAAGCACATGTGAGAAGTGGCACGGCTGTCAGGAGTGCGACCTTTGCAGCGCTCTGCAAACAGTCGGCCCACCGGAGGCCCGCGTGAGGCCCTTACCCGCTGGATTTCGCCCAAGGTCGAGTCGATGACAGGGGATGTCGAAGCCGAGTTTGCCAGGAAATTGAAGTCGCCCTTGAAGTCCCGCATCAACGTTTTCTGCGGCTGTATGGCGTGCGCAGGGCCATCGGTTCAGCGGCGGTCCCAGCGATGCGGCATGAACGGCATCCGCGCAATTTGCGGGGTCCAGCATGCAGCATGCCGTGAATCTTGCTCCACTCCACCCCGTACCTTCTGGAGAATGCCGCACTGCACGAGCTCCTCAACTAGAGACTCCATCGTGCGATTCGAGGTGAGATCTTTTTCCTTCTTTCCCTTCTTTCCCTATAACCATCGTGAGCAAGTCAGCGACACGATCGGTCGATGGATGCTGCAGTATCGATGCTGCACGGAGCTTCCGATACACTCTCTCCCTCGCAGCTCCTTCAGTACCAGCTGCAACATGAAACAAAGACTCTGCTAGCCAAAGCACCAATTCACCGACGAGTGGCACGTTCACGCACCTTCTTTCCTTTTGCCGATTTGCCTTTGCCCTTTTTGCCGCCCTTCTTGCCTGCGTTTCGTCAGTCCAGAAAGCATGAGGCCACGGAGTTCGGCCCCCGATACCAGTCCACTCCGCCGCACCATGGAGCAGCATTACCCTTGCCTGATTTTCCCTTCTTCCCCTTGCCCTTGCCCTTCTTGCCCTTGCTCTTGGCGCGCTCGACTGCAAGTTTGAGATTCTTGAGTTCCTCCTTGAGAATCTCAAAGACCTCCTTCTTGACCTCGGCTTCGACCTCTTTTCGTTTCTCGGTCTTGATGATTTCCTGGTCGTGCTTCTGGGCAAAGTTTTGCATCTCCTCCTTGCAGTGCCACTTGGCTTGGTACTGCGTGTTCTCGTTTGCAATCTCTCGGATGAAGGGCGAGTCGTCAAACTTGAACTGGTCCTCCTCCTCTTCTTCGTCCCCGCCTTTCTTGCCCGAGCCTGGCTTTTTCTTGTCGCCCTTTCCTTTGTCCTTCCCCTTGTCTTTTTTTTTGTCACCCTTCTTGTCCTTGTCTTTGCCGCCCTTGGATGCTGCTGTCGCTGGCTTGGAGCCACCTGCGCATTCGGGATGAACAAAGTGTTGATGCAAACTTGTATGCCACTACAACAACCAGCAACAGGCCCTGGTCCCTCTCCGCTCCGCATAGGCTTACCTTCTCCCCCTTCCGATTCCGGCAGCATTGGAATGGATCCGTCCGTCGGGAACTGGAACCCAGTCACCTGCCAGACTTTGTCCGCCGGAAAGTCTGGGAACTTGCCGTTGATGCGTTTGTACTCCATGTACCACTGGCGGAAGTTGTCTTGCATGGCTTCCTTCATGTCAGGTCCCTCTACTTTTGCAATTCTTGACAATGTACCCAGCATCAGCCGAATCAGCGCTAGCTCGGTGTGCCGCAGATGTGACTGAATGGGGCGAGTGTTGTAGCGCGGCATTCTCGCTGGTCGGCGAAGAGACTCGGACAAAGTCTCGTCGACTGCCGACTTACTTTTCCTTGGTCGTGATCAAGGCCTGTTGGTACTCTTCTTCATGCTTCTGCTGTATCACCTTTCTGCGGTTGCTGTTCGCTTCGGCCAGGGAGCCGGGGCTGCTTTTGGACTCTTTGACGTTCAGAGGCGCCATACCTGTGTTGTAGTTTGATGGCGGAATGAATAGCCGGGTGCGATCGAGCTCTACTCGGCCGGTGAGCGCTCGAAGCCAAGACGACGTGCACAAATGCCGCAGCTCGGGGCACCGAGCGCGCAGGAGACTCGAACTTACCCAGGAATATGAGCTCCTCCTGCATTTTTTGTCGAAAGAGCTTGCGTTCTCGATATCCACGATATCTGGTCATACAAGAGTAAAAGTGAACCAGCGTCAGGGAGAGGCGCACCATTTCGTTTATAGCAAGCGCATCGACGACTGGTTCGTACACTCGCTGGATCATAAGTGTTGCCTTGATTGCTTCAGACTCGTCGTCGTTGCCTTCGATTTCCTTTTCTTTGAGGGCCTGCGCCCTAGAGTCCGATCGTCTCAGATATCCAGACGACAAAGCAGCGGCCCTTCAAGCAAGGAACAGACAGGATCCATTCTCCAGATAGCAGCGGGCACTGCGACTTACTTGAGATCCCGCATGTACTTGGCTCGCAGTTTGCCCTGTCGGCCGCGCTCGTTCACCTGAATCATTCGAACGGCCTCGGACATTTTGTATTCCGGAAACAAGACAGGGCCTTCGCCAGCGCCGAGCGTCCGTGCATTCAGCGAGTCCTGGGGACATGGAGTGATTGACACCATGAGGAAGGCGTTGCAACCCTTAGCCATTCAACCGATGCCGTGGGGGCCCAAGCTCCCTCCCTTCATCGTCACGCGGCGACAAGATGAGAAGCGAATGCCAAGGGCCATACCAGTATTTTGCGCCTCATTTCAAGGTCCTCACTGTGCTCTTCAAAGTAAAATCGGGGTGTGTTCAGCCGCAAGTCGTCCGGAATCAGTTTGAGATCAAGAAGGATGTCGGTGAAGTTGTGGAAGTCGGAGAGCTCCAGCTCAACCATTTTCTGACGGAAACCCCGATTTCCAAGTCAATACGAGTCGCAGAGGTCAGTAGAGCATGCAAGCGACCCCTCCGAATGGCCTGGCGCCTCTTCACTGCCTGGGGGCCCTGTGAATGACAGCGCTCACATGTTTGACTTCGATCAGACGCGAAATGACCGCAATCAAGACCTCCCGCATCAACCGCCGCTTCTGCGGATGAACGATTTGATCATATGCCGTCTGTATCGAGTCAAGGCGGGCCAAAATACGGATTTTAATTGCTGGAGGCCATCGGCAAAGACACCCTGGACAGTCTGGACAGTCAAAGGCGTATGAAAGCTCGTTGGCGCCGGGCGTTACCTCGAGCTTCTTGAAGATTTGGTTGTATCGCACATAGAGCACGACGAGATGCTGGAAGGCATGTTCGCGATCCTTCGGCACCATCGTCATGTCCTTGGGAGTCTCGTACTCGAGCTGGTCCATCAACTTCTGGTTGACTTCCTTCCAGTACGCGTTGTAGGTGCTGGTTGAGCCAAGACAGTAAGGGGGATGCCCGAGGTTTACAGAATGCAGTGGCATCAGAACGAGCCGGGACGGAGCGCTACCATGGATAGCTCCAACTCAACACCTGCGGCTTTGCCTTGCAGTCTACCCTCCTCCCCTTCGCATGCGCGGTGTGGCTCGCGGAGATGAAGGTCGATGCAGCATGACGAGCTTCACTCATGGTATTTACGCGTTGGACATGACGGGCAGATTCGATGCCCGAGACAGCGACAGAACAGAGGTCGACGAGGGCCGAGCAAGCGGTGCGTGCAGCAAGGGATAGTCAAGACGTTCGGCAAGCGACCGCCAAGAAGAAAGGCACCAGGGATGGGCGAAGCGACTGAGGGCCTTTCGCTCCCAACGCCGATCGGGATGCCCCAATCAGCAGCCACGGCTTGGTGGCCATGGCAGCAAGGGATGCGACAGATCTTCGCAGCAGAGTGCCGTCAGGCAATCAGATCGTCCGAGGAGGTAACATGCAGGCCGGCCTCTTCCACAAACATTTGGACCTGTTCGATGAAGTCGTTCGCGGTGAGTACACCGGGAGTTTGCGCTCCGGCTGTGTGGTCGAAGGAAAGCATGACATCCTACGCAAAGCACAATCCAACACAAGCCCAGCCCAGCCAGACAACACAAGCGACACAAACCCGTATAGCGCCCATATCAACAGTCCGCAGCGGCACGATCGATGGGTTCGACACGCGGATCTCGTCCTCATCGCCGGGCACCCAGGCCGATCCCTAGAAACGGAGGCAGCGACAAAGCGGTGAATCCATCGAGCTCGGTCTGAAACACACATATGCGCCATGACACGCAGTCGACTGGCGGCTCATCGCTGCGTGATATGCCCTGGCGCACATCGGCTGGATGCTCTACCTCACTGCCCATGCTGGCTGGAACAAAGTCCTCCTCCATCTCCACATGGATCCGGAAGGTGATGCCTGAGATTAATGATATGGGAGAGAGTCAACATAGCAGCCCTGGAGAGCCCGAGCACCCACACGCCGTTGCAGAGCGCACGGACACTTGTGTCGGACGTCTACCTTGCGGAAGATTCGACAGATAGCCCTCGCATGTGGCGAGCTTCATGAGAAAGGCCCGCAAGTGATCTTGAAGCTGGCTGATAGAGACACTGCCCTGTCGTCTGCATGTGGCCAATGAGGTAAGACGGCATTGACGAAAGAGTCCAGCCAGACGCCAGGGCAAGCAACGGCACGGCACTTACTGGTGGCCGGGATCTGGGCTGCGATTCGCAAGCGATTTGATCTCGAAAGTAAACCGCTCAAGAGCGGCGTATTTGTCTGAGAGGATCACAATATGGATCTTCTTGACAAGCCCCTGTGGTATGGTGCAGTCGCCGTCCCCGCTCACGGTATCAGTAGCTGATGTCGGAATGCGAGGTCATATCGACATCGGCCAGACCCATCTGCTTCGATGGCCAGGACTGCACCTTTTCCATATCGGGCTTCATTGCAGCAACTGCCTCGGAGATGTACGAATTGAGATCGGGATGCCTCGATCGCTTGACTGCGATCCCATACTTGCGACATGTTTCGAAGAGGTCTGAGCACATCCCAGGAGGTTGTTGATCGGGGCAGGCGTTCGGAGGCTGGGATGAGACTAAAAGCTAGGGTCCGGTCGCTCGGGACAAAGATCCACAACCGACGTGCACAGCTTGCACCGCACCGACCTACCCGCAGGATAGACGCCTCGGTGATAGAGAATGAAATGCACGGCGACTTCAAAGAACTCGCACAAGACGTCTGGCAAGCCAGGACATGCGATTGCGTCAGCTGTTCGCCGATTTGGCTATTCGTTGGAGGAGATACTCTGGCATGCAGGCTCATGGCAGACCTCTTGGCTGCGGATCAGCTCTTACCAACGATCTCTGTGGAGCAAAACCAGGACAGAACAAAGCAGCCATGTGAGTAGAGCAGAGCAGGATACTGCAGAGGGCGAACAGCACAGCAGGTTGCTGCAGAGGGCGAGGGAGCCCCATACCGACGTAGTTTAGCATCTGGGCTCCCGCCATGACGGGCGCGGGCTGAGCGAATTGATGCCAGAAGGAAACTCTGGAGCCGGACGCGGGAAGAAGGACAGCAGATCGAGCCTGGCCGCTACCGCCACCGCGATCGGATGGATGCGATCGGATGGATGTGATCGGATGGATGCGGTGTTGGCCGCCAAACGATCGGCAGTCAACGCGGGCAAACGCTTGGATGGCGCCGCAAGTGCGAGGATATATGATGGGGGCCGGCGATGCCGGCCTCGTTTGTCCACACCGCAACCATGACCAAGCTATCGCTCTGGCTTCTTCCTGCTCTTGCCTTTGCTGCTGCTGCCCAGACGCCCTCGAGCAGCGCCATGGGGGGTGTGGGCGACGAGCATGACTTTTCCACCAACCCAGCGCTGTATCAGGTTTGTGCCATCGCTGTTCTGGCGAGGCGGCCGAGGGGCGGCGACAACCGGCTCATCTTTGGTCGAAAGCTGAGATTCTGGAGTGCTGATCCAGCCGGTCTTTGCCACTGTCCGAACAGGAAACGCTCCTCCTCAAGGGCACCATCGAGAAGATGGTCCGCAAATACAATCGCCATCATTACCGCTTCAAGAAATTCGAGCCGTGGTCATATCGACAGCAGGCCGTCGCGGGCACCAACTTTCTGGAGAAGATCAAGGTCACCGTCACAGACCAATGCCTCCATGTCTGGATCTTCAAGGGCTTCGATGGCGTCTACACCGTTGAGTCCGTCGACCACGGCAACCTCTACCCTTGCCTGGAGCCGTTCACGGTCCTGCCTCCGCCCGAGTGACCAGGAAGTGCGCAACCGCAGCGTTGGAGAGATGGCGAATCGACGCTTGCTGCAGACTCAATCGTTGCGTGGCTGAATACAGTCCATCCATTCAGTTTGTACATGAACGAGGGCGGAGCGAGCCAATGCATGTCCCCGGCGGCCTGTCGCTTCCCGAAAGCGCTGCGGATGGCGTTTTTCGTCATGAGGGCTCGGCGAATGGTGCCAGCGCCTGGCGGGAATCAGGGGCGCGCGACGGTTTGCTTTGTACAGTAACAGCGCCAGGGGCTGCGCATGCATCGCCGCCCTGTGCCACCTTCATGAGCACAAAAATAGAGTTACAGTTTTGCCATCACGTGCACAGGCCCTCCGGCATACATATACCTCGCTCGCAGTCGCAGTCGTCTCAACCACACCCACCCAGCCCGTCCCAACACCAACCCACCTCACCGCTCCGCACGATCCACATCGAAATGGCCGGCATTCTCAAGGTTACTGTCCGTAAGTGATCGTGCAGTCGCTGGCATGTAGCGTGTCACGGCAACGATGACCGCAGCAGATCGCTGCGAGGCGATCGGCCGACTTGTCCTGATGCCATCCCCCTTGCCCTCTGCAGTCGAGGCCAAGAACCTCAAGAGCGAGGACCTCCTCGGCAAGAACGACCCTTATGTTGTCCTCGTAAGTCTCTGGGGGAGAGTAAAGACACGGACTCGCGATCGCACAATCGGCCGGGGGGATGTGTGAGAACGTCGGCGTCACTTCCCTGTCCGAGCCGATGTGCTGCTGCTGACGCTGCTGTTTGCTGCAGTGGGTCGATCCCAACCACAAGCAAAAGACCTCGGTCAAGAACCAGGCCGGCGCCCATGCTACCTGGAACGAGCAGTTCTCCTTGTGAGTATGAGATCTCTGGCTTTGCGACGCTGGACATGCCCTTCTCGTTCTTGCCACAAACGCCGCTGACTGACACGACCAATCTCCAGCGCCGTCAACCAGGACGACCACAAGACCCTCCACCTCACTGTCCTCGACCAGGATCTCATCCACGACGACAAGATCGGCTCTGGCTCGTTCAGCTTCAGCCAGCTTGGCCCCCAGCCTGGTACGTGGGCCCTCCGATGCACTGCGATCTCGTCCGCTCGGATGGCGTCTTCTGTCATCGCAATCCATATGAATGGCCTTTGTGCTGCCGCGCTAACACCATGTTTTGCTCGCCTCAGTCGACGTCTGGGTCCCCCTTCCTGCCCACCTTTTCTTCTCGCACGGCGAGGTCCGTCTGTCGGTCTCGTACCACAAAGCCTAAGCGCTCACTTTGTCGCTCGATCCCCTTCACCCTGTATATGTCGCTGCCATGCTTGATATGCGTAAATACACATTGTACCTACAGCCCCACAAACGAAGCGGATCACTCTGACGTTTGGGCCTTGCCTGGATCCCGAATAGCATTCGCTCGCCATAAGAGCCAACAGTGCGTGCGGTTGACTTTGGGAATGCATCGTGGGAATAAGGAAGGGATACCCTGGCCGCACGAAGCTTTGTCCAGATGGCCGAATGCAGGCTGGGGCGAGCATGGACTGCCACCCAGCGGTATATATGAGCGCCAGAATGGACCACTGCTTGGCGGTGATTCATCAGCCCCGATACGAGTCTCTCTCTCTTGGTGTCGTCGCACCACCAGAAGATCCAGAACCAGTATGAGCTGTATATTGAAATAGATTGCGACGTTGAAAGAAGCACTCTTGATCCAGTCGCTGCAGCACGTCGAGAGGAGCCATAGATGGCAGAAACAACAAAGTAATAACGCGCTGAGGTTGTCCTGCTGTGGGGCAGGCTACGATTCCAGAATCGGCTCGAGGAAGTTCAAGGGCACGACACCCTTGCGATCCTTTTCGTTCTTGGCAACGGCCCATCCGTCGTCCAGCACTTCAAGGATGGTAAGGATCTCGTTGGCGTGGATCGTGAGCTCGTCCATCTCTCTCGCCATCCGGGTGTGTCGTACTCGGCGCAGATCCTCCTCGGGCTGTGCCCGAACTTGAGTCTGGGGCAGCTCATAAGCCGGCGGCGGGACATCGCCGACATCCAGATGCGCCGGGTCTCGGATCGCTGCGAAACGCGGCGGCTCGTAGCGGTTGTTGGGGTTCAGCTGTGTGGTTGTGTATGATGTCACCGGCTCCCCGGAGGAAGAGGACGACAGCGACAGGGCAACTGGGGCGGGCCTGGTCAAAGCAGACAGGGCCACATCTGCAGGGCCGTAGGCGGCACGGCCATCCTTGGCAGGGAGAGGGCCAGGCGAGCGAGGCGATCTTGGGCTATTGCCGATGTTCTGGATGGGAATCCACTCATTCAGAGGAGCTTCGTCAAGCTCGACATGCTTGAGCACAGCCTGCCTGTTCTGGCGATTGATGCGGTGTCTCCATATCACAAACCCGATGATCACAACGGCCAAGACTCCGCCGCACGATGCCGCGACGGCATAGATCGCAGAGTTGTTCGAGGATGGTGGAGCAGGCACCACGATCACGGTAGGAGTGGTGGTGAAGATGACCGTGGTGACGCCGGAGACAACGGCGACGCTCGAAACCGACATCATGCTTGTGCTGGTGGCCATTGCTGTTTGGGACCCAGTCGAAGACGAGTCTCCAGATGTCGAGGCGGCGCCTCCCCCTGTGGTGGGGATTGTCGAAGTCTGGGAGTTGGCGCCATCAGTAGTGGGGAGACCTTGAGTTGTGGAAACGCCAGGAGGGGGTGGCGGAGGCGGAGGTGGTGGTGGAGGGGGAGGAGGAGGAGGAGGAGGAGGTGGTGGTGGTGGTGGTGGTGGTGGTGGTGGTGGTGGTGGTGGCGGAGAAACCCCATAGTTGATGAGCACACCACCGGCACAGTGGTTCGTCGCAACCTTGTCCTGGCAGACCTGGAGCATCCACAATCCAGGATTGGTACTGCTTGTCAGTGTCGTGTGTGGGGCCATGACACTCGCCATCAGGCCAAGTTGACTGCCGCTGTAGACAGTGAAGGTGCGCGTGCCGAGAGAAGAGTCCTGTGGATTGCCCCAGACGATGGTTAGGAGGTGTATTCGTCGGGCTCAGTGTTACAACGGCAGTCGTCCGAAGCGCCCCGAGACAATACGACGGCGGTGCAATCCGACGAGCTGGCCCGGTGCCAGTAGCGAAAACGAAGCACGGCAGCGACAAACATGGGGGCTGGATCGGTGCCCAGTCCTGCGGTGACCATAGTTGACCGCCGGGGGCGGCCAGCGACCGTACCTGCGGAAACAGACGGAGCTGCCATGTTTCGCCTGAGATGAATGTCGTCCCTGGCTTCCAAGTGACGGTAACGGGATAGCTCTGTCCGATGGCCCAGTTCTGGACACGAGCAAAAGGGCAAACGGACAAAATGGCAGGCAAGCGGTATTAATGTGAAGCCAAGAGCGAGACGGGTGCTTGCAGGACAAGTCCCCGGAGCCCAGGATGCCGGGAGGCTGTGGGGCCAGGAGTCTGAACAGACGAGGCCGGCCAGCCAACCAACCGCCGCCAGCCGCGGGCAGAGCTCGCTGGATCCATGCGGGGCACTCACCGTGTCCGGGACCGAGAGCTGGTCGAGGTCGGTGTCGAGTGTCTGGGCGGCCAGCTGCCCGGCTCCTGCCAGGAGCAGCAGCAGCAGCAGCAGACGGCAGACTCGCTCTCCGGCCAGCATTGTTGAGACGGCGACAAAGCCCAAGGGGGGGGAGGCCGGTTTTTAGCAGAGCGAGACTCGCCGGCTGCACACGCGCACCGATTCCCAAATCGCTCGCGCACGGGATTGGCGCCGCGACGGATGTGCCCAAGGAGCCGCCCTTGTGTGCTGCGCACCGTGGCGCAGCAGCGACGGCGGCGATTGGACAGCGCTCGGCCGTCACACGCTGCTGGGTGCCACAAACGCCAACTTGGGCAAGCCTTGCCAAACTGTGCGCTCAGTCTGTGCCTGGCTCCGCCACCCCAGGTAAACAAGGAGCCGAATGTACCCGAGCCAAAAACGCTTCGGTATCAGATGAGATCAGCCGCGCGCAGCTCTGTATGGACGGCTTTTGGGCTTGCTTGCCTGCTCGCCATCATAGCCGCATCTCCCCCTCGACGCCATGGTATTCTTCCAGGCAGCCACGCAATGGTGTATTGAGTCGTCAATATGCGCTCACAACGAGGCGAAATTGCCACCCCCTCGTTCCTCGTCAGCGGGGCTTGACCTGGACTCGGTAGCTGTCCTTGAAGTTGTCCCAGTCCACATACGTACCCTTGTAGTGCCGCTCGCCAGAGAGCGGATCGAATGCCGTTCGGCCGTGCAGCACACGTCGGTTGGCAAAGATCATGAGCTGGCCGGGCTTCAGCAGGGTTCTGTAGACAAGCCGGTCCGTCTCGATGATCTCCTCGAATTTGGCGAAGGCCTCGTAAAACGCCTCGACGTCCTCGGCGCGATCAGCCAGCATCGGCCCCATGAAGGGCGGGGCATAGTACACTTGCATGGGCTCGTTCAGGTCGGTGGTGGTGATGGTATACCGACGCAGATGCAGATGGTGGCCGTCGTTGTCGTAGTGGAAGGTGACGGGAGTCCGGGAAAGCACCTCGTAGCTCTTGGGGCTGGTGGCCTTGAGAATCTCAACCGCCCTGTACGAGTCCAGGAGAAGTGACTCGCCGCCAACGACGCTGTTCTTGAGGCTGTGGAGGAACTGGAGACCAGGAGGAGCCTCAAAGTACCTGGAAGGGGCCGGCTGTGTCAGCCATGGGTGTGAACACCACGCAGGACGAACAACATGCAGCACGCTCTCATATCGCCCCACGCGCATGCGCTCCCTGCAAAGCGATAGCCTACATCAAATCCATGTGGAGCCCGAGAAAGAGGTTGGTGTAGGCAATGTTCTTGGCCTCGGGGACACTGCGCACATCCCAGGATGTGCCGTAGAACGTCTCCCGGATCTTGCCGAATCTCTTGGCGACCTGCTCGATTTGCCGGTCGTTCTCGGTCGGCACACCCTCGAGAAAGAGTAAGCCATAGTCCTTCATCTGGACCAGCGCCTTGCGGAAGCCCTCGTCGGTGTTCATAAACTCGTCAAAGCTCAGGCGATGCTGGTCGACCGCGGCAAAGTCCGAGGCCTCCCACGTCTTGATCTGCAACGTCGGTTGCTGGAGCGATCGGGCGCGCGGGGCATATGCATTTTGCTTCAACCAGCTGGCCGTGAAGACAGACTCGTGGCTTTCGCTGCTGTGCTGACCCTTCAACGAGTTCTTATCCCAGACAATCTTCACCGCGGCCCCGTTTTCCGCCAGCTCCACCGAGCGAGGCTTGACGCTGTGCGGCACCTCGCCAGACGAATGCAGCTTCTGGTGGTTGTGCGGATGGACGCAGAGCGGACACTGACAATTGTCGCGAAGCCAGGGATAGTGGAAGGTGGAGCGGGCGATCGCCGGGGCATCCTTGGCCGGATGATTCTCGTTCAGGAGGGAGGACGCCGGGGCTAGCGAGGTCTTCCACTCGAGCTCGACGGAGGACTCGTGCTTGACAAGCGAGCGAATAAAGCGCTGAGAAAGGGGAGCCCTGGCCGCTGGACCAAATCGCGAAAGACGGGCGAGTCTGGCAGTCAGCATCGTTGCGGTAGACTGGGACAAAGGGCGAGCAAGACAGGAAGAGCCAAGGGGTTCCGGGAGTATGATCGAGACGGGCAGGCAGCCGGGCGAGCGATGGGGGATGAGGGCAGCCAAGGACGCAGATCAGAGGACAGTGGGCGATGCGGGATTTCATGCGCGGCTCGGGCCTGGCTGCCGTATCAACACCAGCGACGCAGGTCACATTGCCCGCATCACTTGGGCGCCGACAAGGCTTCCCGGACGGCCTGTGACTCTGGAGGTGTCGCTGCATGCGCAGATGAGCCATGGGGCATCATCACCGGCACCGCCGGCGTCGCTGGAAGTATCGATCGCACATGTCGGGCTGGGTCGATCGACAGGACCATCGTTTGTCTATTCACACGCATGCGCACCAAGATCGCTCATCAGTGCGCGAGAGAGACCCTGCGGATCCAGCTCGACTGCAGACCCAGCATCGGCCCCGGCCACCGGCTCTGTCGTGCCGTTGTGGTCCGTATCGACGGTCGCTTGCTCGCCCTCGCTCTCATCCAGCTCGCCCTCCTCGGCTGCTTCATCTGTATCCTCCAAGGGCTGGTCGGCCCCATTGACGACAGACGCCCACCTGTCCAAGACGTATCCTCCGGGTGCCGGCGACGGCTCTCCGGATACAATCGTGCCTGGCACTGCGAGCGAGGAGGCATATACCAACAGCGTCGGATACTCGATCAGATGCTTGCCAGTCAGGAACTGCTGCACTGTTAGTGATGCGTCTGCCAGATAGAACTGGGGAGTGTTTGCCTGATGATAACAAGAATCCAGAGTCAGCGCGAGCGAAAGGCCGAGGCAGACGCATGCCATCGACACCGCATTCATCTGCGTCGACAAGTTGCTCTGCGCCGGGCAGTCCATGTGCTGTCTTGGAGAACCGCCCATCGCCAAGCACGACCACGGCGCTCGCAAGCAAACTCGCCAGCGTCATCCAGATAGACACGCACCGGCACGTCGACTCGCCGCATGAATATCCTGAGATTCTCGAGTCCGGCTTCGCAATAGAGCTTCAGCTTGTAGCGCTGGAGGGCATTGTCTTTGCCGCTCTCTCCAAGATGCTGCTTCAGCAAGTCGGCGAAGGTTGATGTTTCGCGCACCCTGTCGGACGACCAAGGCGGGCAATATTGAAGATGCAGCCCAGGGATCACGCCGATCGTTGGTCAAACAACGGAAGCCGAGGCTGCGGCGATGGCCGTCTTGCCATATCGACGGACCGTCCTCAGCACTCATGCAGGGATATCCTACCGGTGTTGGATTATTCGATGATCGCAGTCGACAAACAGCCACTCAATCGTCCAAGAGAACGAGTTGAACCTAATGCGAATCCGACATCAGCCTTGCGATGAACAGCGATAATCTCGCTTGTTCTCGACCCAACGACTGCCTGCCTGCCTAAAGGCAATGCTGCGTCTTCGATCCACTGGACCGCTGGCTCCGTACCTGGTGTTGAACTTTGAAAGATTCGACTCGTGGCGGCGCATGCCTGCCGACAGGAACCGGATGAACATCCGGCGAGACTTGGCTCCCTTGAGCATCAGCTGGTATCTGAATGGCAGCCTTGGCCTGAGGACAGCCCCGGCCTGATCTCGGACGGCGTTGTCGGTCACCCGTGCAATCTCCTCGAGCAAACAATAGTCTTGGCATCCCGTAGCAATAAAAGTGTCATAAGTGGGACTGGGGGCGATCAAACGACCTTGCTCCGATGGTCGGTGCGCCTGCAGCTGCGATGCGACAGCTGGTCCGGCGTGATTGCTGGTCTGCCGGCTTACCGCTCATCATATTGTCCTCGTTGTATTCCGACATGGGCACATACACCGTCCGATTGCGTTTGCCGTCGCAGCCAGTGAGTGTTTTGTGCTCGCGCGAACATGGCAGCGAGCAGGTTTTGCACAGACATCCAGGGCACTTGTACTGCAGCAGAAGGCATCCGAGCACATTAATTGAGCTGCGCTGCGAAATCACCCCGGATGATGCGCACCTCTGGGGCTGTCGTTTCTGGGTGCCGATCGCTGCACAATCGAGACGATCTGTGATCTCGCGACGATTCCTGGGAGCACGACCGCATACCTTGGATGCCGTGGCATGGCAGACTTCACAGAGATTCTCCTGGGCCTCAGCAGCAACGTCCTCGCTGCGGTCTTGTGTCGGGCTGCTGGCGCCTGCCGGCTCTGGGGGTGTCGCTGCCGCACCGGTGGTCTCCATGCTGCCGGTTTGGTCGTTGGGCCGGTGTGATCGCAACTAAGGCAAGAGCGGTTGATCGGGCGAACCAAACTCAGCCAAGCACGTGCGAGGCTGTCAGTGTTGCTCACATGTCGGGCGCCGAGAGCCGCCGAGAGCGCTCTCGCCACGGACCTGGCCTCGCCTTGCTGGGTTGAAATACGGCCTGGGCATCGCCGACGCTGATCCCATCGCCCCAGAGACATCGACGGCATCAGCTCCATCATCCCGCCACTGCGAATCCCCTTTGAAGCACCCGGACACGCTAGAAACACCCGCCATGCTCCGCGTCGTCCAGAAGCCCCAGCGACTCTGGTGCGCTGTTCTCCGCTGCGCCGCCCCGTGTTCGTCGCAGGCTTTCGCAAATGATTCTGCTTCGTTGGATGCGTATCGTCGGATGCATATCGCCCCATGCCTGCCTCTCTGATCTAGCATGCTGTCCCCATGTGTCGCCGAGCAGTCAATTGGGCAGGCTGGTCAGAATGCCTGCTCTCCAGACAGCCGTTCTTGGAAATGCCAAAGCCGTTCCCGCAGGCAGCCAACGCCCCGCCATCCCTCTCCAAGCACGCGCGGCTATAGTTCGGGCCTTTGGCACTTCGGCACACCTGGAGGTTCGTCGCAACCTCGATCGCAGCACCGGGCTGGCATCATCGACAATTCCAGTGCCCCTCGGCTCCTTTGCATCTTCCCGACTGACGCCTTGAACGCATCAGGCTCCGCAGAGGCACTCTGCGGTCGTGTCCAGCGACACCAAGAGCCAAGTCACCGTCGCCTATCCCGATGGCAAATCTACCTCGTTGTGAGTTGACAACCCTGATTGCGCAACTTGTGTATCAGGCTTGCTATGCGAGAAGCTACCAAGCCATGCTCACTCGGACCGGCGTATCGATGTCGTCGGGTAGCCACGGCATTTGGCTGCGGGACCATTGCCGCTGCCCACAGTGCTTCCATCCCATCACGAAACAGAGACTCTCAGATACTGGCGAGGTAGATGACAGCATGCACATCCGTTGCGCTGCGTTGGCCCTGCGACTTCGGCAAGCGCTGTTCATTCATTGGGATTACTGACTTGCTGTGAACCAACGCGTCACATCGTTCGATTACTGGTAGTTTCCCTTGGACATCAAGCCCCAGAGCATCGAGATTGTCGGAGACAAGGACCTCCGGATAGTGTGTATGTTGTCAGAGGGCGTCTTTGATTCGCGTTGAAGCGCCAGGCGAAAGAGTGCGACGAACAGCATTCAGCAGAGGCCCAACCAACCTCTCTGATCCTCAGCATATCGGATGTGATGGAATCACTAATGATCGTAAACACAACTGCTGCCAACTACAGGGCCCAGCACCCAGCACGAGAGTGTGTTTTCCCTTGAATGGCTGCGCCAGCACTCGTACTGGCCCAACATCGGCACTGCCAGGCCGGCAATCAGGTAGGCAGCGACATCCACCTCTTGGCACCAACAGAGACACCCGCTCTATGGAAGCATTTCGTGTGTGCGCACACCGTGGCGGCGGGCTTACGGCCTCTGGCGTATACTGTCATTCTCAGGGAGAAAATCCTCTGGAACGCCGAAACCGCAAATACTTTCCCGCGCGTCTCCTACGAGAGCATCATGGCCGGCGACCAAGGCCTCGCTGAGTGGCTCAGAAACATTGTGAGTGCCTCGAGGCTGCATCCTATCGTCTGCAAAAGTCGCTCAGCATGAACGAGCAGCAGTTTCCTGCACAGCATTTCGTGCATATCCAGGGTCCCTCAACAAGACATCGGCATCATCGTGGGAGTGCCAATCCGTCTGCGATTGCCGATACATCACTCTATTCCTCTCACTGCTCCCAGCTCGCTTTACGTGCGCACAGTCCGTGTGAACAGGACCATTGACTTCATCCTTATCATTTCGCTGTCATCAGGATGTATACGGAATCGGATTCGTTGAAGGCGTCCCGCCCAACGCCGAGGTGCTGAGAGAACTAGGAGCTACAGCAGAAGTGTGGCCCACTTACACTACAAAACTGATATCCCCCCCATACTGACTCTTCCACTCGACAACGCTCAGGACACCGAAACGCTCGCAAAACGAATCGGTATCATTCGAGAGACCCACTATGGTACGCAGAGCGGTGTGGACTGTGTTCAATCAAAACGGCAGCACCCTGTCCAGCAGAAGAGCGTGCTCGACCTGCTCAGAGCTCGTGTTCCAACTTGCACGGCTCCTGTCAGTCGAATCTAACCGCCTTGGCGATGTCTGCGTGATCCAGGTGGATTCTGGGATTTCACTTCGGATCTGTCGCACGGAGACACAGCCTATACCACCATCGGCCTCCCAGCACACACGGACACGACGTACTTTACGGACCCCATTGGGTGCGATGTCGCTTGCAACATCATCGGGCAGCAGCGCCCTCCTCCGTTTGCACCACGAGGCCCTCGAGACGGCCTGCATTTCAGCGACTGCATATTGACGTCCTTTCCGCTGCTAGGCTCCAGACCTTCCATCTGCTCGCCCATGAGGGCACCGGCGGCGAGTCCATCTACGTCGACAGCTTCTATGCTGCCAAGCTGCTCAAGGAACAGCACCCCGAGCATTACGAGACTCTGTCGACGGTGCCGGTTCGTACGCACTGCGCCGGCGACGAGGACGAGCTCCACTTTTCGACGCCAAGTCACCGCCCCATCTTCGGACTCGATCCCATCACCGACGAGCTGATCCAGGTGCGCTTCAACGAGCCTGACCGCAGCATTCTCAACCACATTCCCGGAGACAAGGTCTACAAGTTCTACGAAGCACTGGCGGTATGGCGGTCGATCCTGACCCACCCCGAAAGCGAGTTCAAGATTGCCCTGAGGCCTGGAACCGTTGTGGCAGTTGACAACTGGCGGGTGCTGCATGGCCGAACTGCATTCACGGGCTATCGCCGTCTGGTGGGCTGTTATCACGGCTGGGATGAGCTGCAGAGCCGCATCCGGGTGGTTCTGGACAAGAGCCAGCTGAAGGAAACCGTTTGAAGATTGGCGCGCTCTGGTCGCTGGCAGGGCGACAGGCAAGGCAGGTGCTCATGGGCGATGGGCGGGTATGTATTCAGGAATCGAAACAAAGTGGCCAGCCTTAACCCCAACCCGTTTCGTTTTGGACATGGTGGGGCTGGATGGACTGAACCGACGAGCCGGCTCCTCGCTGGGTCTTCTCGGCGAGAGCAAGCGAGAGCAAGCGAGAAGAGCCCGTCACAGCTCATGCGGATTGCGGGGACGGCGATCTGCAGATCGCTCGTTCGTCGCCATCTGGGCCAGCTTTCCCGATGGCATCCGAGAACATCGTCAACGCCGAAGGCACCAATGCCCTCGACATCTATTGCCCACGCCCCACCTGCCACTCCATCGTGCTGAAGCGCGGGGCTGCCCGGAACACCGTTGCCAACACCGAGGATGTGGTATGAACCTCGCCTGAGTCATGCGCATCTGAACTGCGAGACTGAGCAAGCCCGGAGCATGCCCGGAGCACCAGAACGATGAGGGATGCGCGGCGGTGTATTCCCGTCAGCGGCAGGGAGATATCGTCCAGCAACCGGGAGCGACCCTGTCTTACTGACGGACCTGCGTTGTGCTCGCCACAGACCCTCCCTGCGCTCTCCTCACCCCTGCGTCCAGGTCAAGAGTCCGACACCAGTGCCGCCGGCGACGGCTCGTCCCCCTTCTTCTGGAGCGTCGCCAACATGATGGTCTTTGAGAACGTCGGGTTCTCGAAGCCTGTGGCAGATCTGGAGCGCCTGCCCGAGGCCACCGCCCAGCTGGTCGGCCGGTTTCTGTGCTGTGCTGATTGCGACGAGGGGCCCTTGGGCTACGAATCCAAGGCAGACCGAAAGCTCTGGATTGCATCGGACAGGGTGTCCTATCGATAGATCGGTAGCGGTGGGCAGTGGCCCCACAAGTGGGAGTCTGCGTACTGCCGCCAGCCCATCGCTGATGCATGCACGGACGTCTCCAAACCCACCAGGGCTTTCTCTGGGAGCTCGCCCTGCGGGCAATCGAGCAGCAACAAAGCCCTGTTCGGTGCGCTGCTGCTCCTGCAACTCGAGAATACAGAGTTCGATCTATTGACGCAGCGATGCAAAAGCCACCACTCCAGCAGCTCGGCAACGGGACGAGGCGAGACCAGATCGGACAGATGCTGCAGTGTCGACAGCAGCTATCGCCCCCTGCGTGCCTTGCGGATGTACTCGTGGATGTCGAAGCGATCCTCCTGCCACTCGCCGTTGTAGATGCACAAGACGGTCATCCGCGGGTGGTAGTCGAGGTCGGGTAGGAGCTTGGGAGTGATAAGGAATTGCTGCGAGGCACCGTCGCGGCAGGCCACATTGACCATCTGGCGATGGATCATTCTCTCGTTGCGCGGGTCCATGCCCTGGTTGATCTCGTCAACGACCCGGAACGGGCTCGTCGACAGGCCCTGCAGCGCCATCAAATAGAGAATGGTGGACACGCTGCGCTCCTGTTGTGCCAAAGCAGTTGTCCGGGGGTCAGCCACGGCGTCGGATAGGATGCAAGACTGCTCGGCAGGAGCAGAGCGACTGCCGGATGTCAGCGGAGCGGCAGATCCACCGAGCACTTACACCACCAGATTGCCGGAACCCGGTCAGCACTTGCAGCTTTTCGGTGTCTCGAAACTTGACCAGGATCTCGACTCCCCACTTGCTGTAATCCTCTTCCTTGCCTAAGGCGGCATGCATAGCAGATGTCGACGATGAGCGGCGGGGTCGCTGAGCTGGGAGTCTATCGGCTGCATGCACAACACCACTTACGAATCCTGACTTCGCCGACGCATCCGATTTCTGTATCCATGGAAGTGAATCGCGTGCGGGAAGCGAACATACTGGTCATTAGTACCGAGATCGGGGGCCGACAGCGGAGCACTGCGATGTCCTATGCGGCGAGGAAGCGGACGTACCAAGGAACGAGTCTGAGAACGTCTGGCTGATCTTGGTGATGAGAGCCTCCAGCTTCGGGAACCACTCATTCTGTGCAACAGGCCAGTGAGAATCAGAGGCATTCAGCGAGAATCAAAAGCGTTCATCGGGGGCCGGCGTTTGCGGCAAGCGACTCTGATTCCAAGCGACATGCCGGAACACAACCCCCAAGGCATTGTGCACGACGCAGCCGTACGTGAATGTCATCGATGCCTTGAATCATGTCGTGCTGTCGCGATGTGCTGGAGTCAAGCTTGGCCTGGAGGCGATCAATCTGGCAGCGAAAGTAGCACAATATGGTGGGGGTCAGCACCATCGTAGCATGGATCCAGATGCTCTGGGCTGCAGCAAAGAGTACGCTCGATACCGCTAGCAGCGGAACACACCTCCTGCTTGCGCTGATTGAACTCGTTGATGACCCGCTGATCGACGTGGACCATCTCGGCAAGGGCATTGAGCTCGTTCACTTTGAGCTCCAGAGATTCCAGAGGCATATCACGGTATTTCTGCAGGAGGGAACACGGATGAGCAAGAGGCGATTAACACCCGAATGGGAAGGGTATGGAGCACGCATTCATCGGTCGGCTCCAGCCTTGGAGAGTACTCTGCTGCCGCAAAGCACGATACGACACCAATCCAGAGTAGCTCCATGTCACGCACCCTTGCTTGCGACCATCTCGAAGGCGCTCATACCTCTCGCACGGCATCCAACTCTTCCTGCGTAAGCTTCCGCTTCTGAGCAACGCTCCTGAAGGCATCGCGCTTCTCTTGAGCTGCCCGCTTAAACTCTTTCAAAGACTCCTTGGCTAGTTACCGTTGTTGCCAACGGATTGCACGAAAAAAGGCGTCGTTAGAGTCGGGCTGGCTGGTCCATGTTTCCAGCAAAGTCATGGGCGCACACTGCAGGCGCGAGCCGACATTGACACTGACCTTGAAGCAGTTGATTCGTAGCGTCTCGACATGCAACCCGGGCCTCCTCGAGTCGATTCTTCACATTCTGGAAGTTTGATGCCGCATACAGCATCCCCAGAGACGATTCGATCAGCTTGGTAGAGCCTTCGTTGCATTTCTTTGTCGCAATCTGTCGCAAAGAAGCAAAAGCAATAGATCGTGTCAATAGTGATAGGACTGTAGCTGCCGCAAATGCACAACAAGCAGTCCGGAAATGCCAGGCGCAGCTTTTTGGCGGGACCGCATCGTAAATGGCATCGACGATCTACCTGTAGCCGAAGCGACGCCTTGGCTTTTTGCTTGGCTGCCTCGAATATCCGCCGCTCGAGATCTTTGAGCTTTTTGGACTGATCCGATCGCTGCTGATTCAGATGCTCCAACGACGTTTCATCAGATTCTGGATTGAGGAATGCAGGTGCGTAAGACGCTGTAGTTGCCGCAACGACCTGTTCCCGAAAGCTCCGCCCAGCACCAGGCGGCTGTGAATGCAGCCTCAAATGGATGGGATGAGGCACACCGTACTCACCAAGCCTCAGTTTGGCATGTTCGTACGCGGACTTGACGCTCTCGATCCGTCGGCGCTCGGCCCATTTGAGTTTCTGGCGAGCGACGCTGTATCAGTGGCCATGCAAGGGAGGATGCGTCTATGACATGCCCGACGCAGCTATGCAGTGGAAGGGACAGCGGGCGGACCAGGGACTCGCTCACCTGGTCGTTCTTGAGGGTTTCGTCCTTCTTGCGCAACTTGGATTCCTTTGCGCCAAGCTGCTGCATCTTGGAGCTGTTGGTCTGCAGCGAATCGATCAGCTCGTCCATTTTCCTCTTGATCTCGGCCTTTTGGTTCGTATCGACTATCCACCAATGGGGTTAGGTATTGACAAGGTATGCGGCCAGAGGGTGTCCAGGCAACTAGGCATCCAGGCATCCAGGCATCCAGGCAACGACATACATCAAGCCAACGACCAGGGCACCCGCCCGCTTGGCAGCACCCAGCAGGCGTGAAACTCACCCGAGTGAATCAGATACTTGGCTGGACGAAGCTGGCTTACGGCTGTTGTCGACTGGCCGTAAGCAAAGCGCGTGTGGTACGTCATATCACCGGCAATGTAGCGTGGAATACCCTTGTGGTTCTGGACCCGCTCGTGATCGACGCTGTTTGCAGACAAGCTGACGGGCTGAAAAGCAGTGTGTATCCGAGGAGGGGAGACGATGCGTCAGAAGTATCCAGCACAAATCGAGCTGGTGGGAGCAACCAACGACCAGGCTCAGTTGCCATCGGACACTCACCATCCGATGGATGTTGGAGAGATGACACAATGCCTGGATGATTTCCGGCGGCCCCTGGATGTAGTCGATCAGATAGCCATCGAATCCGAGGGAGCGAATCTGTGATGGTGGTCGATGCAACAGCCCGCAGCACCAGTCAGTCTCCGTGTTCGAGCCGAAATACAGCATTGCATCTTCTGATGGGGAGGGACATAGCATACCTCCTCTACAGGAACCGTGGGGCTGTAGTCGCGGTCAAGGACGCTCTGCGCATTCAGCGAGTCGACACGCCAGTGGTGCTGGTCGTTGACTTCACCACTAAACTTGCGGTAGTCATCGGTGTTGAGGGCCACAAAGGTCTGCGTTGCGGCAGCGGATCAGTTTCGGTAACTTTCTTCTGAGTGAGAGCATCGGTCTGCTCGCACGCGCGAATACAATGCCGCCGCGCACCTCCTTTCACTGAAACACACTCCTGACCAGCCCGCGCAGACTGGCGAGCCTGAAGACTTACCAAGCTATACCGCCCAATGGCAGCCTCGATGATTTGCGCGTACTCGGGCTGCGTAGCCTGAACTTCGAGGATGATGGGCAGAAAGATCTTGGACCGGAACTTGGACTGATTGTGCTTTAGCCAGTCGATCGTGCGCCGGACGTGGACGAGATAGTCGTCGTTCTCGATGATCTGGATCTTGCGGTTCTGGATGCTGTCCATGTCGTCGAGTTTGCGCTGCATTTCCTCGCGAGCCTTGCGGATCCGATCAGAGTCGGCATCGATCAGCGCCATCTCGTTGCCGATGCTTTGGACGTCCTTGAAGTTCTCTCTCAGCTCCGTATTGATCTCGTCGATTTCGCGGGCAAGCTCCTGCATCTTTGGCGGCTCATCACCACTGGGCGAGTAGCCCACTTCGAGAAACGCCTCGCGTGCTTCGTGCACCTTGGCCTCCGACCGCTGGACAGAAAGCTCGAGCTCTTTTCGCCGCTTTTTGCGCTCCTGCTCTTTGCGCTTGACACCCTCGACGTTTTTCTTGGAGGCTTCGTAGTCGGCCGTGGCCGTACCGAAAGCCTCGAGCGACTCTTGCATGGACGACACAAGCCGGTCGTACTCGGTTCGCTTGGAGTTGTCCGTGCGCCGGGATTGGTCGTTTTTGTCCTTGGCTGCGGTAAACTCGGCTTCGGTCGCCGTGAGCTCGTTCTGGGTCTCCTGTTGGTGGGTCTCGAGGCCGCTCAGCTGGGATCTTTTGCTTTGGTAGACCTGTGCGGCCGCCTCCATGGCGCTGTGAGCGAGGAGATACTCGACCCTGCTGACCTCATCCAAAACCTGTTCGCGCTGCTCGAATCGGTGAACATCGGCTTCGATCGTGGCATTCTTGCTCTTCAGGGCATCGAGATTTGCTTGGTCTTGCGAGACCGTCTGGCCAAGAGGAATCGAGTCGGTAAGCTCGCCCGGAGCCGACAACAAGCGCTACACTATGGATGCAGCCACATAGCATACCACACCAAAAGACCGCTCTTCGTTCTTGAGGTTGATGAGCTGCTGATGCCACTCGAACAGTCGTGGGTCTCCAGCGGCCCGCTCAGTCTCCTGCAGAAGCTGGGACGAGTTCATCTGTGCCGCGACGGGTCTGGAGTAAGCCAATCGGATCAAGAGCCGCATGCAGGGCAGACACAAAGTCCAGCCACACACATTACCAAGCCGGCAAGTCCGCAGATGCAAATGCAGCGGCGCCACCATGTACATACCTTGGCAAACTCGCAAACCTTGTCCTGGGGCAAGAATTGGCTGCAGGTCGCCGTGGGTGTGCATTGGAAGCAAAATATAGAAAGTCAGTCACTGCCTGGCGTGTGAGTCGATGTGGAGGGCGGTGCAGCGTACCATAGATTGTCGACCTGGATCTTGAACGACAAGACTGTCTCCTCAACGACCTTGGGAGTGACAACCGATCCTGGAGGAAGCAAGAAACGAGGTGAAAACCGTCGTGGGTCAGCTGCACGACTATTGCCGCTGTGCTCGGCGTATCCCAAACATGCTTTGGGCTGCCGATCGGCCAGAGTTTTGCCGCACCATTGATCTTCCAAGTGGTTTGGGTCGAGACCTGGCCCGAGCTGCCCTTCTCGATCTTCTTGAAAAGGCGGGTGATGGTGACGTTGCCCCGTCTTCGAGACCGCAGCTCAATCTCGATCTCAGCTTTCTCGTGGCCATGCTTGATGAACTCGTGCAGCTCCTTGGCTCGGCCCAGTACCTGAGAGGAGTCGAGGAGGAGGATGCAATGTGCATATGTGGGTCGGCAACAGGCTCAATACAGCACGGCCGATGCGATCCACACGGCGATATTCGGGTCCCGCCCTGAAGAGAGTAGAGGCCCGAATGGTGCCACCATCCACCATCCACCATCCACCATCCACTTGTGATCCGGCTTTGCCAAACAACTTTCGGTCTAAGCACCACCCCGATGATAGCAGCGACGTCTACCAAAGCAGGGCCTGCAACCATAGCGAGAATGGGAACAGAGCACCCGTCAGCCGCTTTGGGCTTGGCTTCATACCTCAGGCTTCCCTGCAAGTCCCAGTGCGAGGGCGCAAACGATCGTGCTCTTGCCAGCGCCGTTTGGGCCGATAACCATGTTGAGATCAGGTCCAGGGAAGAACTCGACCAGGTCGTAGGTAAGGAAACATTTGAGCTTGATCCGCACGATCGATCCGTCCAAGAACCTGTCTCCGGTGCACAGCGACGATTATATGAGTGCACAACCGAGCCAGACAAGGCAGTGAGATCGCCGAGGATACCGTTTGGGTTGAGTTGCATTGGGTTTCGATGGGTGCGGTCGATCCGAGCCCATCCCGGCAGAACGAGGGAGGAGACAGCGGGGTTAGCAACCGTTAGATATCAGCCTCGGTGGCTACGGCAGCCGACAGGAGACTCAAGCTTGCTGCAGAGCGGGACGCCGGGGCTTCACCTGTCCTGGTTGTAGGGCGATTTGGCCGATCGGTCCGTGCGGGAGCTCTGGATGATGGCCCGCTGCTCAGCTGGCGCTGGCGTCGATGCCGCCTTGCGGCGCTTTTCTTTCTTGACAATGTCGCCTCCGGAGCTGGCTTCGGGCTCGGGCTTGACTCTGGCCGGCAGCGAGGCCGGCACGGCGTCATCCTCCGGCTCGGACTCAGATTCGGGCAGCTTCAGGTGGCGCTTGCGGGCCATGGAGAGCGTTGGTGTGGCTCACAAAGGAATGATGGACAGGGTGGCAGACCAACGGCTCGCTATCTGCTCTGGATAGGTCGCGGAAGGCAGCAAGGTGCGGTCGTCTGGGCTGCGGGGTGCAGGCTGGTGACTCTGCGAGAGCAGCTTGGCCGGGCAAGACCGATGGGAGAGCAAACCCGAAGCAGGGCAGAAAGCGGCAGGAAAATCTCGCGCCCGCTGTGCCACGAGCAGACAGCTCCCACGATCCCCGCTCCCCGCTCCAGATGGATACGGCATGTCGACGATCCGATGGAATGGGGGGAAACAGTGCCCCGATTCAACTCGGTGGACGAGCATGCATGCCCTCGGCAGTCAGTAGAGGATGTCCATCGAGCCCACGGAGCCGTCCAAATGTATATCCTATTCCAAGCCCCCACCAGCTTTATGCACATACAAATGTGCCCAACTGGCATGTGGTTGCTCCTGGACATTTGCCCAGCGACTCCCACTTGAGACTGGGTCGGCACACAAGCACATCATTGCTTGTGCTGCACGCGGCAGAGCCGACAGAGGTGCAGCCGCTGCCGGATTTTGGACCGACGCACTGTTCGGGGAGATCGGTCGAGTTCTTGAAGACACCGGCAGCGGCAGCCGTACCAAGGCCACGACCAGCAAACGCCCGCCAGATCTCGCACGAGTTGGCGGCGTTGTTACCGACCTGGTCGGCCAGCAGAATGGCGTTTCGGGCACTGATAAAGTCCGGATTGCAGGGCTGCAGCTTGAGTGCGTCCATGACGAGATGGAACTGAGCAGGGAGAACAGAGGGACCATCAATGCCGCGATGCCAGCCCGTATTGCTGCCGCTGGATGACGGCGAACACTCTGATGCGAGCCCGACCACACCGGCACTCGAACATGACGGACAGAAGCAGCTCGACTGCGTGTCCATTGGCAGTGCTCGGAGCCGCAGCCACAATCATAGGACAATGTCGGCATCACCGGCACCACCACCAACAAGTCACCCACCGCAACGATATTGCCCTTGGGGCTCTGGCTGTTCCGGATGTCGGGCTCAAATCCGTACTTGTCGACAAGGTTCCACATCATATCCAGCAGCATCTGCGCCCACGCTTGTCCAATGATGTACGGATTGCGCGGCGACTTGAATGTGCCCAGGGCCCCGTAGGTGAGCGGATTGACGGACACGCTGGAAGAATACGGGTACTTGCGGGCGCCGCCGACAGAGCCCATGGTATAGGCACCCATGGTGATTGGTGCTGTCCTGTTTTGGCTGGCATTGAGGGTGAAGAGAATGGCGAAAAAGTCGCTCCAGCCCTCGCCCATGCCATAGGGAATCTCGGCGGTGAGGCAGTTGGACTGAGCCTTGCCGCCCGTGAGCCGGTTCGAGACGCCGTGGCCATATTCATGAGCGATGATGGCGTTGTCCATGGCGCCGTCGCGGTTGGGAGTGGTTTTGGTGAAGATGAACATTCTCATGCGACCGCGGTCGCCGTCAGGCGGCGTTGCAAAGTTGGCTGGAGCAAGAGATTCACAGAGCGCAGATTCAGTGGGCGCACGCATACAGCAGCGAATGAGCGAGCCCTTCTGTATGTGGCAGCGAGGGGGCCAACGATGCAGAAGGGCTGTATCTCGGCCAATGACATGGCACAAAACAGGATGAATGGCCAGGTCCCGCTCGGGGATGGAGATATGGCATTACCGTTGTTGACGCCCGTGCCGTCCTGAGCAAACGCCTCGACTGGGTCGCCCTCGACCCCGCCCTTGCCAAAGTTGGTGTTCTGGAAGTTGCCGGCGGCCTCGGTGAATCCATAGGCGTAGAAAACGTCATGGGCGATGTTGACCATGTAGAACAGCTGGGTGATGGACGCATCCTGGTTGGTCTGGGGGCTCTGCTTGGTGTCGTAGACAAAGTCAAAGGTGTAGCTGTCTGAGACGGTTGGGCGGTAGTTGATGCTGGGATCGTCGGTGCGGTCCCGGTTCTCCTGTGCGTAGACGTTGTTGCCGTGGGTGCTGGGTGCCTCGCCGGTGCCGTCGTCGTGCCAGCCAGCCGGCGAAGAGTTTGCATCAGCCGGGTTCGAAACAAGCGCCTGAGGCCCGGCACCGAGGTCGGTGGTGCTGAAGGGCACGACACGGTAGGTTGCTGGCGAAAACCGGTTGATCCAGTCCGAGACGGCAATGATGGTGCCGTCGTTGCAGTCGACAAACACATCGTACCAGGCCGCGCCGCTGATCAGCTCAAGGTTGATGTTCCAAACGAGAGCCATCCTGCCTGGTAGCTGGTAGTATTTAAGGTGGGCATTGATGGGCCGCTGTGAGAACGACCGGCCGTGCAGCACGCTGTGCGTTGGGCTGACGACCACCTCTCGGAGACGCCGGCCGATATATTGGATCCCGGCGGCTCTCAGAAAGATCTTGAGGGCGGCTTTGGCGCCGACTCGGATGCTCCAGGCATGCTCGCTGCGCTTGGTGAGAGCCGGCCGACGCTGGGCTGAGAAGCTGGAGCTGACGGACAGTACATTGCCGAAGGAGTCGACATTGATATGAGCAACGGCGTTGGCCACGGGCAACCCATCATAGACTTGCTGGACATAGTGGTGCGTGATCTTGCTGGAGGGATCATGGAAGCTGGAGGGGGACGGGAAGAAGCACAGCAGCACTGTCAGCGGAGCTGAATGAGCGGACCTGACGAAAGTGTGAGGTACTTGGACATCGAGCCTGGTCGCTCCCGAGTGCTGTGTCTCCTAGAGCCTTGCCACGCGCCGGAGCATATCGGTATGTCAGCATCATTGGTCTACCTACGATGATGTAGACACGATCTGGTCATCCTGGGTCCGCAGCCGAGCTGCCAGTGTCGCAAAGGCACTCGAGTTTAGCATGTCCGGCTCAAGTTCCATGAACGACGCGAAGCGCTGCTGGTCGCCAGAGAAGTCGCTGATCTCGAAGGATGGCGAGGGCCAGTATGGCGGATCAAAGACCGGCTGGGCATTGACGACAGCGGGATGACGCATCGAGCCCAAGGCCAGCAGAGCCAACAGAGCCAAGAGACTGGGCAGAGTACATGTCATGGAGGGCATTGTCGGCAGCGAGGAGAATCAGACGACGACCGATTTGTTTGGGGATGTTTGTTTTTGGGTCCGATGCAAAGATTCAGGGATAGTCGCCAGGTGTAGCTCGATGCAAACAAGCGGGCTGCAGCGGTTCCCACGAATGCCGTCCTGGCGATATATGCGAGCGGAGCGAATGTCGATGCTCCCGGCAGCGGCTCAGCGGCACAAGGTTTGCCAATCCGGAAGCAGGCCTGTCGATCACGATGCTGGGGGCAGGGATGGATGCACTTCTATCGGCGGATGCTGAGATACGGTTTGCGAAGGCGGAAAGGCGACGGATGCTCCGGATAGAACATGGACACATCCAAACAGAAGGAAATGGCTGCGACCAACCTTGCGCTGTCTCGCTTCGTTCCGAGCAAGTTGAATCCAGATATTGATCCTGTCAGCCACAACATACCATTGGCGATCAAGCCAAGCCAACAGCATTGGAGAGATCAACTCGCGGATGGGCGGTGGATTGAACGATGTCGATTGATCTGGCTGAACGATATCGATCGGCACCCGCGCTGTTGCGGTGGACTGGGCTGAAGTTCGCTGTAAGCAGCGCAAAGTTCGCTTAAGCAGCAAGTAGGGGGTGTGTATTGATAGATCGTGATCACAACACGGGTCGAGTGAATGAACAAGAACCAAAAAATGAAATACGGCTGGACACGGGCGCAAAAGGGCCTACAAAGCCAGACACCCCATGCGCGGCAAAGCGACGGAGAAACAGTCAATTAGATGCGGTAAAGGTGTGCTGGAGGGGGGGAGGAGGAGATGGGGGCAACGGCGGTGGGAATCGGAGGCTCCGCCGCTGAGCAGCAGCCGTGCGCAAGGAATGCTCCGACGCAGCTGGACGGGACCAGAACTCGGTCGCTTAGTTCTGCGACTTGCTGTTCTCGGGGCGGAGAGAGCGGACGGTGATACCAGCGCGCCACATCTCCGAATCGGCAATCTCCTTGAGCTCCTCATCGAACTTCTTGCGGTAGTCGGGCTGGCCGCAGAACTCGAGGGTGCGGCGGGTCTCGGAGCCGTTCTCGACAGCGGCATACAGGCGCTGGAAGACGGGCTTGGTGGCCTTGTGGAACTCGGGAGCCCAGTCGATGGCACCACGGCGGGCGGTGGTGGAGCAGTTGGCGTACATCCAGTCCATACCCTGGCTGCCGATCAGGGGGTAGAGGGACTGGGTGGCCTCCTCGACGGTCTCGTTGAAGGCCTCCGAGGGAGAGTGGCCCTTGGCGCGCAGGACTTCGTACTGGGCACGGAAGAGACCCTCGATGGCACCCATGAGGATACCACGCTCACCGACGAGATCAGAGTGGACCTCCTTCTCGAAGGTCTGTGAGTGGGAGAGAGGCGGGAGATAGAGGTGGTTAGCGTCTGAAAGATCGATCCAGGGCCACAACAGGAGGCGAGGGGCAGAACGAGGCCGATCGCACTGAGACACCGGGCGGGGACAGCAAGATACTCACAGTCTCGAAGATGTAGCCAGCACCGACGGCGACGGCCAGACCCAGAGCTCTCTCACGGGCCTTGCCGCTGACGTCCTGGTAGACGGCAAAAGAGGCGTTGATGCCACGGCCCTCCTGGAAGAGGGAGCGGACGGTGGTGCCGGAGCCCTTGGGGGCGACGAGGACAACGTCAACGTCGGCGGGGGGGACGATGCCGGTCTGGTCGTGGAAGACAACACCAAAGCCGTGGGCAAAGTACAGGGTCTTGCCCTTGGTGACGTAGGGCTTCATGGCGGGCCAGGCGTCCTTCTGGCCGGCATCAGAGAGGAGGTTCATGATGACGGTACCGCGCTCGAGAGCCTCCTCGATGGGGAAGAGGGTCTTGCCCTCAACCCAGCCATCCTTGAGGGCCTCGCTCCACGAGACACCACCCTTGCGGACACCGACGATGACGTTCAGGCCCTGGTCGCGGGCGTTGAGGGACTGGCCGCGGCCCTGGGAGCCATAGCCGATCATGGCGAGGGTATCATCCTTGAAGAGCTCCTGGAGCTTGGCCTTGGGGAAGTCGGCGCGCTCGTAGATGGTCTCGAGGGTTCCGCCAAAGTCCAGGGTCTTGACACCGCGCTGCTGGGTGCGCTGTGGAGGGGAAGGATGTCCCGACAGAGAGGGGAGCATGGGAAGATGGGAGAATGGGAGACTGCGTAAGCGCATGATCCGAAGCGATCTTGGCGGCACTGTGGCGATCGTGCCCAGTATGGGTCTACCTGCCAGATCGCCACGATCTAGCCCACCACCGCGCATCGCGATAATCGCAGACCGCGGCTGTCGGAGGTGGAGAAAACGAAGCGATCTGGATGCGGGTATCACCGCATTTCCATCAAGCCTCCCGCCAAAGTGGTACAATTTGCATCGAGAACACGGCCAGACAGCAGCACGACTTACAGTGGCGACGGGGGTGGCAACGGCAGATCGGCTGAGGGCAGCAGAAGCAGCACGGGCAGCGACGCCGGAGAAGAGGCGAGCACGGGGAGCGGCGCGAGAGGCACGGAGGATGGACGATCGGACGGCCGAGTTCATTGTGGAAGAGCAGGAGATGAGGGCAGGTGGGAGCAGGGGCGCCGATGATCTGATGGAGCAGAGATAAGGATCAGGAAACGGCCCAGGCGGGGAGCCGGGGGCATTTATACTTTTTTGCACGCCGGCGGGGTAAACAGCGGAGGTCACAGGGCCTTTAGGCAAAACGCAGATGACAGCAGTGACAGAGCAGCAGCAGCAGCAGCAGCAGCAGCAATGCGCGGTTGTGCGCGGTGGGCCAACGAGAGCGCAGCGAGCGAGACGGCGAGAGAGAGACCGGGGATATGCAGCGAGACGCAGCGAGATGCAGCGAGAGCAGCAGCGAGAGCATCGGCAGCACCGTGCCACAAACGCGCTGATAACCCCGATCCCGATAACCGCGCTGATCTCGCTTGTCCGCTGCGATTGCTCCCCGCAGCACGGCCGCGACACCCCCCTCAGCCACGGCCACACACCCACAGCCGCAACAGCGCTGCTGTGCGCATGTTATCGGCCGCAAGGCCAGAGCACGGCCGCGACGTCGCACAGCGGCTCCCGGCTTTGTCCGATAAGACCGCGGGCGGCTGCGCGGCGGCTGTCTCCTCGGCAATCACGCTCCTTGGGGCTGCCTCGTGAGTCTGATCATGTCTTGGCCCAGGACAAGCGCGATAGAGTATCGGTCTGGCAGCAGCAGGACCAAGCCAGCAGGGCCGAACCAGCAGGGCCGAACAAGCAGGACCAACCACAGGACCGATGTTCAAGGCGGTGGCACTCTACTTGGCTTCCAACAGGCATCAGATCGCCCCCCCCTCTGCTCCACGGTTTCATTTCACATCTGTGGCTTCGTTCGCGTTGCCGGGGTGGCTGTGGATTGAGCTGGCCGCCCTGTCTCGAGCACACACATTGGAGCGACCTGTTCTCTGTGCTCTGCCCATCGGTGCCATCGGCCTGCCAGCCCCCTTCTCATTCCACACAATTCCCAGCAGCAGCAGCAGCTCACCCCACCGGTTTTGGTATGCAAATGTATTGAGTATCATCCAAAACAACACAGCACAGATCCGCGATGGCTGCTCGAGCCGCAACAGCTTCGGTCGCCTCCTGGCCCCTCGATGTGGAAGACCGCTTAACCGGGGGGAAGCATGGTGGCATCGACCTTGCTGCCCTGGTCTGGCTCAGGCTCCTGGGTCTCGCCGTCCTGGTCGGACTGGGAGCGGGGCATGGCCATACATCCTGTGGTGTCATCGCACGGGGGGGGCAAGTGTCAGAACTCCACACGATCATGACACTGGCGGCACATTGATGCCCTGCAATCTCATCGCCACCCAACCCACGCACTCCTTACCTGATCGTGTTGCCTCGATGATGCCATAGGGTTTCAGAAGGTTGACAAAGGCGTCGATTCGCTGGGGGCTGGCGCAGACCTCCGCAATGACGCTGTCGACAGAGATGTCGACGATGCGGCCGTTGAAGAGACGAGCCAGCTCGGCGATCGACTGTCGCTGGACAGAGGCAGCCAGGAGGGGGGACAGGCCAGTCGAGGGTCCGTTCTCCTGCTGGCGCCAATCGAACGCGCCGGGGCAAAGACAGTCAGGGATTAGCATGATACATGCAACCATCGGATCGATGTCGAAGCAGGCACCGGTCGCAGGCAGAAGTACACGCACTCAGCCAGAGAGTTGCGCATCGGCCCATATACGATTCCGCCCGGCACCTGTCCATGAATCGTAGCTGCACACAGATACATACTTGGTTGTGGACAACTTCGGAGGCTTCGTCAATATCCTCGTCCGCCAGGTGCTCGTGCGGAACAGTCGAGACCTTGACGAGCAAAAGCTCGCGCTCGACCACACGGGCGTGCGTGTAATCCAGCACCGCCCAGACCGGGACCAGGTCCTCGACCTGTCTTCGGGCCTGCTCGACGACGGACGACTGTCCGTTGATCACGATGGTCATCCGGCTCAGATCAGGCACGTCCGTCTTGGCAACGACGAGCGAGTCGATGTTGAAGTTGCGGGCAGCAAGAATACCCGCGACTCGAGCGAGGACGCCCGGCTCGTTGGTCACCAGGCAGTTGAGCACATGCCGAGATACAGGCGCCTTGGCCGTCGAGGGAGTGTTATACAGAATGTTGTTGACGGCTTCTTCGGCCGATGGGTTGCCGAGGATCGGGTGTGGGGCAAACAGATACTTCTTCTTTCGCTTCCGCAGCTTCATGCTGAGGCTCAGCGTCGACATGGACTGTGACGGAACCCCGAACTGTGAAAGGCTCGAGGCCATGCGGGGAGCCTAGGCAGGGCGGAGCCATCGCAGAGGGGGAGGCCAGTGACAAACAAGGCAGCAAAGTCAGCGGTGGAAGATGGGTCTGAGGTGATTTTCCACCACCCCACCCTCAAACTAAAAACGCCACTCTGGCTCTCGCTGTTTACGGGCAAAACAGCCCAGCGATACAGCAACAGGGAGTAGCAAGCGGGCTTGGTTGATCGTCGTGCGATCGGCGGGTCGTCGTCGGTGATCGCTTTCCAGAAGGACGGCGGCTTACCCATTGTCGCGGAGACTGGGACACGGCCCCAAAGACAGCTCTTGAGACAGGCAGCATCAGACAGATGGACGAGTTGACGAAGCGCACGGGCTGCACCAGGCCAAGCAGGAGAGGGAGAAGGGCCTTTTTCTATCGCGACGAAGCACGAGGCGCCGACGGTCTCGTGACGGAGGGACAGATAGGGGCGAGAGCGAGAGCCGGGCGAGGGCTGGACGAGAACGACTGCGAGCAGGGCGAGAGGCGCGTCGCGCCTCGGCGAGAGCAGCAGCGAGGCCGCACCTGAGAGGCCGCTGATAGTGATCTTGTGCGACGGATGTGCCACAGTGACCAAGTCGACTCACCGGTGACAGCGAAGAGAGCGGGTTGGGCAACAAGGGACAACGGCAGATCAGGCAGATGCTGACGGAAGATCAGGCGAGCGGAGTTGGGATGCTGGATGCTGGATGCTGGATGCTGGATGCTGGATGGGACCATTCTCGGCACGACCGAGTTCGCCGAGTGTCTCAGCGAAAGCAATCTTCATTCCCCGACCACGCTTCTCAGGCCCAGCTCCTCGATGTCGTCCGTGATCATGCGAGCGTGAATGCGCCAGCCAAGCGGGGCTATGTATTCGCTCAAGCCGCCATGTCAGGGCCATCGGTATTCAGACCGTCCAAGACCGAGCCGATTCGGAGCGCAAACTGGCTCCGATCTCGCCGGCGATGCAATCACCAGCGATCCCCTTCAACTTGTCGCACATATTTGGTTGGCTCTGGTGAGGATCGCAGGGTCTGCCGCATACAGTCGACGCTTGCTCGATCCCGAGGCTCGCTGTTTGGCCAAAGGCCATCGGGCATGGGTGTGTGCCGCTGCTTACTTGACCTTGGAGAATGTCACGCTCTTCTCCAGCGTCCGCAGTTGGACCTTGCCTTGGCTCAGCAGCAGCTGGATGCGGTCCTGGAAACAGCAAGCCAGACCATGCACCGTTGGCGTCCATCGATTCGACAACCACAATCAATCCGCAATTGTTGCGAGGCTGCCACTCTGGGCTGCGCTGGGACATGCCAGCCCGATCGGCCCGCCACTGAGCTCATCGCCCAGTCCATCGTTCGGCGCATCGATTGGCTCGGGCCCATGCTGCGATTGCTGGACCTACTGGATCTGTGACTGTGCGGTAGCGTTCGAAATCGGATCTTGCCCAAGATCGGATAAACTCAGCGTCGTCCTGCGGCAGTCCTGGATAGGCATCCCAGCGCCGTGGTTCGTCGGGATCGGATTAGATCGATGCTCGGCCGGGATCGCTTTCCTCTGCCCGGGTCAATCTGAGCCTGTGATCTAGGCTCGATGCGCTGGCTGCGACAATAGCCACGCACCTTTTGTTGCTCGCAGGATTTCCCGATACAGCGAGAGGACCTTCTGCTTGGTCATAAACTGACATGAAGGGACGCATATCGAGGCGAGAGAAGGATTTGCAGACCAGGGCCGAGCGGAGAGGGGGCAGGGTCAGCACGGTTGTATCGGGCGGCGAGACCAGCCACAGCAGACAACGGGCCGCTTGCCAGAACAAACGACCGGATCGATATCGTGCCTGCTGCAATGTGGGTATGTTTTTGCCTGCGAACCGTGAGGCTGACATGGTCGATGGGTTGTTGATGGAGGGTGCTGAGACAGGCGTGCGGATTGTGGGGGGCTCGACTGAAGCAACTGACTCGACTGAAGCAACTGGCTCGACTGAAGCAACTGGCTCTGAAACAACCAAGGGCGCGAGCCCGCGCACAGCGTGCACCGCCGTCACACACCGCCCCCACCCCGGCGCCCTGCCACCACCGTGCCACCAAGTCGCTCGTTTTCCTGGCTGGCTGCTCCCTCGCCTCCATCCTCTCCTCCAGACTCTCATCCAACCTGCACACCGCCCACGCCGAGCCGACATGATCATGGCTGAAGTGGTATGCTACTCCCGACCATCTTTCTCCCAGGCGCTTGTGGGGCACAGACCGCCGGCCCCTGTCCTCCGCCGGATCTCGTTTGTTTGGGTGATCCGATGCATCCAGCGCATCGACCCAGTCCCAGACCCAGTCCCAGACCCAGTCCCGGGCCCAGACACCTAACCTTGTCCATCCGCCTCTGCAATCTGTTTTCCTCCCTCTGCAGTCGCCTCTGAAAGAGTGCTGGGATGTGGTGAACGAGTGCGTCGCCAAGCTGGAGCCATATCGGTATTTCCTGAAGCAGCCAGGTAAGATCGGAGGCCAGCGCCTTCGGCATCGTTGCTCCGACGGCACCAACATCCCCAGGCACACCCCGCTCGACGATGCCCTGTATCCACTGGGACCTGCGAACCAAATGGCCAAAGTCGGTGCGATCGAGCACACCCGTCTGTGTGGCTCTGCATTCATTGGACTCTGTGCTCACGATGCCGCCATCCACTTCCCAGGCGAGCAGCTGGCGCTGACCCCCGAATTGCGCCAGAAGCAGCTGGACGACATCAACTTTCTCCGGTGGGCGCTTGGCTCGCTAGAATCCACCCTGGTGCTGCCCGAGGCTCCTGCTGATGGCCACGCTGCCACCTCTCCGACCGTCGCTGCCCCGATGCTGCTCAAGTTCAATCCGTCGCTTGTGAGCCGCAGCCACACTCTCCCACCGCCGGGCTCGCCCTCGGCTTCGGTGCAAGCTGGCTCCTCCAACACGAGGTCGTTGACCGAACGGTTTCATCGGGTGGCTGGTGCTCCCGGGGCCGAGTTCGACAGCATGCCCACTGGGCATGCTGCAGCAGAGCATGCTCTTGGCGGACTCGAATCCGAGCAAGCCGACAGAGCCACGAGCGTCGTCCCCAGCGTCATTCCTGCTTCTGATGCTGCCCTCGGCTCGGCCCACTCGAGCACTCTCTCTGAAGCCGCACTGGGCTCCTCGACCCTGGCGCCTGGACAGGACCAGACAGCAGCTGCCCAACGAGAGGCCACCTCCAACAGCAGCCGATCTCTGCCAAACAGCATCCGATACTCCCTGGCCAACCTCGCCCAAATGGCGCAATTCCTGACCCCCGTCTCCGAAGCGACTCACAGCGTCGATGATACGTTCGTCGCCATCCGTGACCACCGCCCCAGCGAGGCCGCAGACGATCTCGAGGTGCGCATGCGAGCCGGCGATTTGGTCAGGATCACCATGTTCATGGACAACAGCATTCATGCCCTTGGCAAGAACATCACCACCAACACCGAGGGCATGATCCCCCTCGACGCCATTGCCTCTGCCGAGGAGCTTGGTCTTTCCAAGGACAGCCATGCATCGGCTACCCTCGCAGAACCCCATTTCGAAACAGAGCTCAGGTCAGATGAGCCCAAGCCCTGCGGCGAGCATCGTGTCATCAAGCCTTTCTCGCCCGGCAACAACCTCGAGGGCGTCGCCATGGAAGTTACTCTCAAGATCGGCGATGTTATCAAGGTTAGCTCCTGGATGGACGAGTATACGGCCTTTGGCGTCCATCTGCCCACGGGCTTCGAGGGCTGCTTTGTGGCTTCGTACATGGTGTACGAGCCCAAGCTCGCAGTCGAGCCGCTGCCGCGAGCCAGCCCTGGTATCGCTCCCCACACCGCATATCCAGCTCCCGTCGCGATTGAAAAGCCACCCAGTTGGGAGGCAAGCGGGCATCTCGCCACCATAGTGTCGTCGCCCGAGGCGGAGCACCCGACAGAGCCGCCCCGCACGGTGGAAGTGCCGATCAGCTACCGAGCCACCTTGGATATGCGGCACTCGATTAGCGCATTTCCTGCGCCGCAATCCGAACTGAGTCTCGTTCCGCCTCCGCGCTTGGTGACGACACCCATCCGGCCGTTGCCACGAAACATCTCGCACATGGCACCGGCCCCGCCAGCACCCAGCAACTTGGCGCAACAACCAGATCCATCCGCCGCATTTCTGTACAGCCCAACACCACTACCTCCATTCGAGGCGCATCCAATCCAGCCCACCGCCCCTCAGCCCGCCGTTCCCCAAACCATTCCCCAACCCATTCTCCAACCCATTGTCACCCAGCCCGAGTACCCGCGACGGGTCCAGAGCCCCATTGAAACAGGCCACTCTGACAGCCTTGTCTACCAGCCTGTGGTATCGCCAGGCAGAAATGCTGAGATATCCGTCTACTCGTATGCAGATTCCGCTGGTGACGAGGATCCCACAGCACCGGTGCGGTCGTCATCAACGGCTAACATCATCCGGAACTTCCAAGAACAAAGCGCCACCTTCATCAAGGAGCACATGAACACCGTCAGCCAGCTCAAGGCCGAGGGCAAGGAGGTGCCATCGAAGCTGGTGAGTGCATGGACATGGGCAAGCTCGCTGAGTGCACGTTGCTTGCGCGTCAGGAGCCTGCCGCCTGCTGCTTGCCACTTTGAATGAATCCGGCGTGAATAGCGTTCATTGGGGACCGAAGCCGAGCTGCATCAGAGAGCGAGCCCCCATTCTTTCGGCCCAGTCAAAATCCATGATGCTCACCTGCCCCGATGTTCGTGCACTCGCTGGTTGCCGCTTTCAGATTGTCGACCTCGTCCGCAAGCTGACCCAGAACATGTCCCACTACCAAGTCGACCGCGCTGTCCAAGAAGCCAAGATGAGGTGGGAGCTCCCATTGGTCCCACTGTTCAACAGCCCGCTGGCCCGGTGCCAACTGGCCAACCGCACGTGCGTCGAAGAGCCTCGCTGTTTTTCATTAATACTTGCGTCACCACAGGGAAGCTGCTGTGGTCCAACGAGGACCGGTGGACCCTTCCAACCCCGCCGAGGACGACAACATGCCCGAGGTGCCCACGCGCATCCAACCGGAGGCAACAAGCTCTGCTGCAGCGAGTCAGTTTTCGTCTCCCGTTGCGATCCAGCCCCTGACCGTTCTCCGAAGCTATACTCCTGAACCAGACACAGAAGTCGACATTGTCCCGGCCCCGACGCTTGGAAAGGGCAAGGAGACGTTGCGGCGCTCTACCAGTCAGCGAAGCGACATCAAGGTCGCACTGTCATCGGACGAGCTTCCGCAAAAGCTGCGAAAGGAACTGGAGTATATGCAGATGCACCACACGGACGAGCTGAAGCAAAAATCATCCCGGGTCGTCATCGAACTGGTCGACACCGAAAGAAACTACCGAAACGGACTCAAAACGCTGCTGGATGTAAGTCTGTCTGAGCAGCGGACCCTCTGCATCCCAAAACCAGACCCCATGCGCGGGGATGCCACTTGTTTGCGCAAAAGAGACATCCATGCTCTTACTCACGACGCGCACGATCCCGACACGGGTCTTCTCCGCCTTCTCCCTCGTTGCAGCTGTACCGCGATCGTCTGCGAGACTCGGGCTTGCTGAAACCCATCGACATCGATACCATCTTTGGAGTTATTCCCGACCTCTACCGCCTTAGCTGCGACCTCTACACCCAGTTTTGCGAAGCCCTCAAGCGCTTTGAAGAAGAGCCCTATGGCATTACCGCGTGCTTCCTGGAACAGGTGCGGATGGCATTCCAACATCGAATCGACGATGTCGGCGTTCGCCGAGGTGTATCTCGTGCACGTCTCTCGTGCACGTCTCTTGTGCACGTCTCTTGTGCATGGGATAGGCTTTTTGCAGGGCCGATTCTTTGGCGCACGGCAAACCCGCTTGGCCATGGCGGCTCGCTTACCCGCGCCCCAACGACGTTGCCGCCACGCTCATCCGCGACACGAAATGATTCACAGATCGAGCGCTGGAAAATCTACATCATCTATGTGAAAAAGTTCTCGGGTGCCAAGAGACTGCTGCGCGAAATGGAGGACAAGAACGAAGCCTTTAGCAACCTCCTCGAAGAGATCCAGCGGATGCCAGAGTGTCGACGACAGGATATCCACCAGTTCCTGCATCTGCCAATCCAGAGAATGTCGAGTTATTGGTTGCTGCTGGATCGTAAGTGGAAGCGAGGGACGCCCAAACAAAGGACATGCGTATTAATGCGAGGACGCTGGATGGCACCTTCACTCTCGCTCGACAGCCACATACTAACCATGGCGAATGGTGGGGGCACCCTGGTTGCTTCGTCAGGGCTCGGCAAGTGCTGCGATCGTAGCGATATCCAGTGGGAAAGGTAGGCACACAACAGCGGCGTTTTCAAGACAGCTCGATAGAACGATGGAACGATGGGTGATGGATTGCTGCTTTCTTGGCGCATCGTGTATCGGCTTTGTGTCTCGCCTTCTCCTGTGCGAGGCAACTTGCAAGCCAGCACCACATGTATCGCATCCCAACTCCAACTAACGACTGACCCGACGACGGCTTCAGAATCAACGGCACCGCAGAGTATATTTTCCAGATCGGATATTTGCTGAACACGGCCCAGCGTGAGGAAGAGAATGTGTACAAGATGTTCAAGGTTCAGCAGACGGTCAAGAACTGCCCGGTAGGTATCTTGGCGTGGCCTGCCGCCATGACGCGCAGGTACAAGCCGATGCATTGGATCAAATGCGCGCTGACCCGCTTCTCTTGGCACATATCTGCGCAGGCCGACCTGGTGTCCTTTTCGCAGCGGTCGTATATTGATGAGTTCCAAGTCCTGGACGACATCCAGCGTACTCGCATCATGACAATCTTCCTGTTTACGGACTGTATCCTCATCACAGTCGACAGGCGCTCCATGATCAAGGGCGATCGATGGAAGTACGAGCTGGTGGAAAAGATCGACTTCAAGAGCATCGCGAACGAGCTGCCGATCTACTTCAGTAAGTGGACTCGCACATCCGGCGTGCCTCTTGGGGATCAAGAAAACAAACGGCCCTTGTGCGCGGCGCAGGACATTGGCGAAATGCACCATCCCCTGCTAACCACCTGTTGATCTCGCCACTGCCTCGCCAGAGGGTGACGACAATTGCGTTCTCCAATGGCAGACACGCCTGGTATCCGAGCCGCCGCCTCCGGCGCCAGCGTCCGACCGGCGGGCCAACTCGACCTCCAAGTTTGGCCTGTCCAGTTTCTTGAATCGCAACGCTTCATCCTCCGTCGCCGAGAACGTGACAAGCCCGCCCGGAAGCAGCAGCGATCCCGGTCGGCGGCACCCCGATGGATCCAGCCCCACTCACGCTCGCCAGCAAGCATACTACGTGCGCTTCTCCCAAGTCGCCGAGCGGGACCGCTTTGTCGAAGTGGTTGGACAGGCGTTCGATCGGTTCAAAAAGTAGTCGACTTCCTGCGACTCGGCCACTGCAAAGCCAACCGCCATTTCTTTTCGAGATCCCCGGGTGCTTGCGATGGGATCGGATGAGATGGGATGGAACCGAATCGTGGCTCCCGCTCCCACACGACACCCAATGCTTTTTTCTACTCCATCTTCTACAGCTTGTTCATACCGAAACATGACAGTATCCATTTGTGTTCCTTCACAGTCCAATCCTGCGCGTTGATGGTGTGGGAAGGGGCACAGTCCTGGGTGAAAATATCGATTCGACCTTTGGGTGGCTCCGTGGACTGTTTGGGCATGGTGGACATGCATGCATGCAGATCCAGAGAAAGCAGCCACCTGCTCGCCCGTCTGCCCGTGGTCACGTTGCGGCGACAAACCTGGTTGTCCGTTTTTGGGCAAGTGTTCCGCCTGGCCAATCGCTGGCATTTTTTGCCCTGCCCTTCTTGTCCCAACCGACCGATCGATCGATCGATCAAGGCCCTCTGCCCTCCCCCGCACACCGATCCAGCCGCTGGATTGCATGATCTTGGTCGCCAGAGCCGCTTACCAGCTTGTCCCGTCCAGCGCCCGCCTGCCAGCGACACTCCCGCACTCTGCGACCCTTCCGCACTTCCGATCTCGCCGCCGCCGAGCTGTCTCGCCAGCAAACTTCTCAGCCATGGCCGCCCAGATCCCAACCCCCGAGCAAACGGCGCCGCGCAAGTGGCCGCTCGAGTTCACCATCCAGGCCGAATGCAGCACCAGCAAGGCCCGATACTCGCACATGAAGTTGCCGCACTTCACGGCGCACACGCCCATGTTCATGCCCGTGGCCACGTCGGCGGTGATGAAGGGACTGACGACGCAGCAGCTCCTGGAACTCGACTGCCAGGTGATCCTGGGCAACACCTACCACCTGGAGCTGCAGCCCGGCAAGGATCTCATGAACGAGTACGGGGGCCTGCACGAGTTTATGAAGTGGGAGCGCGGGCTCCTGACGGACTCTGGCGGCTTCCAGATGGTGTCGCTCCTCAAGCTCTGCAACATCAGCGAGGACGGCGTCAACTTCATCTCGCCCTTTGATGGCGTCACGCCGACGCTCCTGACGCCGGAACACTCGATCCAGATCCAAAATGCGATCGGCGCGGACATCATGATGCAGCTGGACGATGTCGTCTCGTCCCTGACGACGGGTCCGCGTGTCGAGGAAGCCATGTGGAGAAGCATCCGCTGGCTCGATCGCTGCATCGCTGCCCACGGCAAGATCGAGTCGCAGAACCTGTTTCCGATCATCCAGGGCGGTCTGGACCCGCGGCTCCGCGAGATTTGCGTCGAGGAGATGGTCAAGCGAAACTGCCCTGGATATGCGATTGGCGGTCTGTCCGGCGGCGAGTCTAAGGATTCGTTCTGGAGAATGTAAGTCTGCGGAGCAAGGGCAGGGATGGAGGAGACAGGGATGGAGGAGACATGATGTCAGAGGGGTGATCGAGAGGACAAAAGCGCTATTTTGGAGGGGGGGGGTCAAGCACCCATCTCTCACAAGCAAGATGCCCTCTCGTCACTGAGACTCTGCGCTGATTTTAAACACACCCATTTGCTCGTGCCCCGATTTTGAACTGCTTATTCTCGATTTTGAACTGCTTATTCCCGACATCCAACCACGGCCCCCCCCCGAACAGCGTCTCGCTCTGCACGGACTTGCTGCCGAAAGACAAGCCCCGGTACTGCATGGGAGTCGGATATGCCGAGGATCTCGTCGTGTGCTCGGCGCTTGGCGTGGACATGTACGACTGCGGTAAGCATCGGTTGTAGGAGGAGGAGGGAGGAGGAAGCAGAAGCAGAATGGGTTGTCGGAACGTTATCGAATGGGATGGAATGGGGGTCAAGATCATGTTGACAGCTGCGGCTAACAGGAGGGAGGCCAGCAGCGATGGCAGTGTCGGAAGGATGGAGGGAAATGCGCAATCTTTGGTCGAGGATTCGAGGCTCGCTTGTTGATGTCGCCAGGATGTGTGGACGGGCTCGATATGCGTTGCTGAGCATGGCTTGACTGTGGACAAGACTCATCGATACTGACCGTCTTGACATGGACTGACTGGATTGGATTGGACTGGATTGTGCAAACCAGTCTTCCCGACAAGAACAGCGGTGAGCATCGCAGTCAATGGCGGGCGGGAAGCGAGAGCTGGGTTGCTCGAGATGGCATTGCGATGTAATGCGTCGGTCGATTTACTTCTCTGCGCTCTCCCCGCTGAGCAGCGACTGGCTCTGGACTGACCACTTTGGCTCCTTCCTTGCTCTTCTCCGCGACTGCCTATACTCTGCCATCTCCACCCGACGGAACGAACGTACCCGGCGCCTCGCCCCTCTTTCCAGCGGTTCGGCAACGCCCTGACGAGACGAGGCACCCTCAACCTCCGAACGGCCAAGTACTTTGCGGACGACTTTGGTCCCATCGACCCGGAGTGCGAGTGCCCGACCTGCCGGAACTACAGCCGCAGCTACATCAACCGACTGATGGCGGGGCACGAAACGACGGCCTGCCACCTCATCAGCAGCCACAACATCTACTTCCAGATGAAGCTCATGACGGACATTCGCAAGAGCATCCAGAACGACCAGTTCCCCGAGTTTGTGCGGACGTTCATGTGGAACTATTACAAAAACCGACACACCGAGGGCGCCCGCAAGATCGGAGGGACAGGAGGCCGAGGCCGAAACAGCGACGATGAGGAGGATACAAACCCCTCCGATCCTGGCAAGAAACTCACCGACGAGGGATATCCCGTCTGGATCGTGAATGCGCTGAAGAGCGTCGATATCGAGCTGATCTGAGGTCGCGGGTGCGGGAAATGTGCGTCGAATGGCGAATGCCGAGAGGGAGGGGGAGAGAGGGAGTGTACATCAATGACGGAATGCTCAATCATAATAGAGTAACATATGCAAAGGAGCGAGTGGCACGATGGAGATGGCGAAGACAGGTGGCACCCTGCTGTGGCATATCTGCCGAGGGCGACTGGTGGTGCAGAGGGTATGTGCCAATCGGGGGCACCGATCGCGCGATTGAACGGGAATGGGCTTGGTGGCGTGTCGATGGCAGGACGCTGATGGGCCATGATGGTGAGCCACGCCGATGTACCATGACGATGGGCCATGTCGAACCGCAGGAGAGGCGAATGGAACGGAAAGGAAAAGAAAAAAGAGACTGGAGGGGAGGGAGAGAGGAGAGCTTGGTGCAGATGGCGCATGAACAAGAGGAAAGAATGTAACCATGTGGACATCGAGGGGGCACAGCATGGAACAAGGCGAGTGGATCAGAGACGGGGAGGGGAGGCGGCTGATGAAGAGAAAAGGAGGGGGAGACGAGGAGAATCAGGTGGTGTGCCGAGGCGCGGCGGCTGGAGAGCCGACAGGGAGGTTGGCAGGCATGTGGAACGGAGGTGGGAGTGCGCCATGTCCATACTGGGCGGAGCCATCTTGGTTAGCAGATAAGGTGTGTCCAAGATTGCGCTGGGTTGCATTGGATTGGGGACAGAGCTGATGACATGGACAGAGCTGGTGACATGGCAACATCGATGACATGGACAGAGCTGGTGACATGGACAATATCGACGACATGGACAGAGTCGACAGTGGAAGAGCACGGGTATGGCCATGGCCATGGAGATGGCGCGCCGCTCGGTGGGCTGATGGCGGCACAACCGACAGGTGACCCTGCCGCGCGGCAACGGCGAAAGCGGGTATGTCAGCGAGCTTCGCGGAGCAGAGGCAGAAAGGGGGCGCGGCGAGTGGCGCATCGGCCGGTGCAACAGCGAGTGTATCGGCGCGGGGGCGTCGCCCACGGGGAACAACGCGGGGGCTGGTGCAGCGCGCGTCGGGGGGAAGCACAAGGTCCAGCGGGCCCGGGTTGCGCCACCTCCAGCCCGCCCTTGCCTTGGTGCTGCATGTGGGGTCGGCCCAGCAAGCCGCACTGTCAGCATGGATCGCTCCACACAGCCCGGCGCGGCAAGCCCGCTGTCTCGCAGCAAGGCCCTGGGGCACCGCCTTGCCCTCGCGACCAAGACAGCGCAACGGAGGCTGATGCGTGTGCGACGCATGTGTGGGTCCATTCTGTCTGCTGGTGTGCCTCCTGTGTCGAGGTGTGGGGACGAGCGGGCCGACAGCGATTCCCACGGCTGCGATCTGGGCACCGGCGGCAGCAGGACGCAGCCACGGCGGGAGCCCGCGGAGCCGCCAAGGCTGGCCAGAGGCAGGACCAGCAGCAAGGAAGCGCTGGGCATTTGCAGCCAGTCACGGCCGCCCTTGGCATCTGCAGACAAAGACTGGTTTCGAATCCGAGGCGAGAGCATGCGGTGGGAAAGCCAGTGCCGGGCTGCGGCGGCGCGGTGGGTGTGGGGAATGCCTCTGCGCCAAGGCAGCGAGCCGTGGGTGCATGCGGGAAGATGGACAGATGGATGAGGATGATTGGGGGGGGGCCGATGCGGCTGATGAATGGAGGAGAGGGGGGACGTGGACAGTGCCATGGGTAGACGAGGACGGGATGGCCGAGTCAGATCAAGCCCATCGGAGGCTATGGGATGACGGGGGGGGGCGACTGGCCAGGATGCGAGAGGGGGATACCAATGCGTTCTGGGATTGAAGCGACGACCCAGATCGTACATCTGCCAGACCATACATCTGCCATATCATGCATCCGCCAGATCATACAAGCCCAGTCGCACATACATCTCCGCCTGATCTGGCCCCTGGCTCGGCAACCTTGGCGTCTCCTCACCAGCCACGCCAACCTTACCAGGTCTCTCCAAACCCAAAACGGCGCCATCGAGGCCAAGCTCCAGGCGACATCATGCATGGACTGAATAAACTTTGCGCGACACAATCACCATGTCCAGCCATGGGATGGCACGACCAATACAGTTTTGGGGCCTGTTAGAGTTGGCGGTGGGCATGAGATACGGCTGCTGGGCGTGGGAGACGCGGATCCAGATCCAGATCTGGATCGAAACCGAGGCGGGAGCGACGACAGGGAGTATGAGTAGTGATGCGTCTGCGCAGAGGACGGATGAATGTATGGATGTATGGATGAAGAGTCCCACAACGCTCGCATGAAAATGAAGGTCTGTCGTATGCGAGCAATTAGATATATTGCAGCGACCATGCACTCCGACAATTACAAGAGGAGAGGGGAATCTGTGCATGGGCTAGGCTATACACCACGAGTTAAATAACGGATTACATCTGAAGCACGTATGAGAGGGGGGGGTCTTCAAGATGATGATGGGAAAGATCAACAAATGTACATGCAGTGTGGGGGTGGGGATAGGTGGGTTGAGCGACGATCAAAATCAAAGGCGGCGATAAAGAACAGAAGCAAAAACTAAACTCCATGAACGGGTCCAATCTGGCGATGAGGATCAACAAACAAGCTCTATGATGCGGAGAAGGGTGGGGGATATGGGGGGGGGAGAGGACGGCCGAGACAACTACAGCCTCGGGCTCTAAGCAAGCAGCGTACATGAGGATGCCAAAAAGAAAGAGAGGATGGGCGAGCAGCCGCGATAGATAAGCAGGCCGGCGGCAGACTCTCTTAGTGTAGCAGCTGATAGGACTTTGCAGTCACAGAGGCAGAGTGGATCAGCTGGGCAATCTCATGGTCGGAGAGGCCGACGGAGCAGCTCACTTGGCGGCTCTTCTCGCAGTAGAGGTGCTTTCGCAGGGCATCGGCACGAGCAAAGTGCTTGCCGCAGCTCGGGCAGCCCCAGGCCTTGGCATCCTCGCCGCCATGGACGGAACGCATGTGGCGGAGGAGCTCTTGCTTGCGGCGGAAGAGGGCGTTGCACTCGGTGCAGGCGTGCGATCGCACGTTAGAGTGGCAGCTCTGGTGCGAGCGCAGGTTCTGGCGGCGGGTGAAGGTGGCATTGCAGCCCTCAAAGTTGCAGGCAAACTCGCGAGGGGCCTTGAGCGAGCCAGAGCTAGAGGAGAGATCGGCATCGGCCTCGAACGGATCGAGGGAACTTGAGCGGTGGTGGTGGTGGTGATGGTGCTTGAAGGTCGTGGCGCTATCGCGCGAGAGCTGCGGCGAGGACATGGGTGAATCGAGGGAAGAGTAGACCGAGTCCATGCTGAACTTAGGGAACGAGGGCGACTTTGGATACATGGGCGAGACATCGCGGGAAGGCGGCGGCGAGACAGGCGCATGGAGCAGGGCCGCGGAAGAGGACGAGACCGGGTAGTGATGCTTCTGGTTGTGCAGTGGGGTGAGCAGCGAGTGATAGGAAGGCAGCGAGAAGCCATGGAAGGCATCGGAGGCATCATAGGATCGCGAGGGCGAGTGCGAGGGCGAGTGTGCGGGCGAATGGTCGCTGGGGTGGCCATAGGCCGACTGGGGCGAGCAGGCAGAAGGGCAGGCCTGGTGGGCAAGCGAGCCATCGGTGTTGACCAGATCGGTGATTCGGATTCGGCTCATGATAGAAGGATGCGTATGGGAGGAGGAGCGTGGGGGTGGCGCGATCGGGGCTGGATGCGAATGTGAGGAGCGAGAGGGTTGGAGAGAGAGAGAGATGCGGGCGAGTGCTCGACGGACGGTGGATATATATATGCAAAAGTGGGCGATAATATAGCCCGGACGGACAGAGAATGGGGGGATGCGATAGGTGCTTGGTGTGCGCGGATGGCGATGGAGCACAGCAGATGGAGCACAGCAGGAGGCGACGGGCGCGGCATGGGGCTTTATAGGCTGGGCCGGGCTTCGGCAGCCGGGTCAGGATTGCCTGGGACCCACGACGGAGCCAAGCTTTGAGTTGAGCAACTCTCACACGCAAGGCCGGCGCTGTCGCAGTAAAGGGCACAGCGCCGCAGAGCGCAACAAGGCGACAGGAGCAAGCCCGAACTGGTGCGCACGGGGGGGCAAAGGCGTGGATGGGGCGGCAAGGATGACCATGGCTGCACCCGCCCAGCGAGCCGAAGCACATTCCACGGCAGCAGCAGCAGCACTGGCGGGCGTGGGGGAGGGCAGCGATGCATGCGATGGGTGCGATGGATGCGATGGCGTTAATGTTAAAGCACGGGTGTCTTAACAACATGGACAGCCGTTAACGACACGGGCACTGCGAGCAATACCGACAGTGTTAACAGCACCGATCTATGAACAATATCCATCACCGTTAACAACATCAGCAGCCATTAACACACATCACAGCCACTCTCCGCCCCCCAAACAAAACAATCGCAATACAATCGCCCATCCCACTCCCAAACGCAAATGCAAATGCAAATGCAAACAACCGCCACACAAAGCGCAAGGCCATGTCCAGCTGCATGCGCCCACCCGCTTTTTTTTCTCCATGTCGATCCCGGCCTCTGGCCAGCCAGCGGGCGCTTCCCGTTGGTTGCTTGTCCGCATCAGCCCTCAGGGCTTGTTCGTCCGTGCGCTCTGGTTGGCCGGGGGTCCTCGCCCCGGCGCCGTCGCCATTGGCCGGCCGTGGGCCTTGTCGGTGCGCTGACGTAAGGCGGCCGGGGTGCCATCCTCCTCGGCTGGCTGGGGGGGCGGCGGCGGGGGAGGCAAGCCCAGCTGCGCATGGGTGGCGACGACTGGAGCCGGTGCCAGCGCCGCCGATGGCGTCGACAATGCCCACGGTGTCGATGGCGATGGTGGTGGTGGTGGTGTCGATGGTGGTGGTGTCGATGCCGGGGAGGGTGCAGGGAGCGTTACCATGTCGCTACCATGTCGTTACCATGTCGTTACCATGTCGTTACCATGTCGTTACTCGGTCGCTGACGCTGGATCGCCAGTGCAACCGCTCTCTGTCCATATCGCCCACTGAGGTATTCCCGCCCTCGAACTTGAGCTCTGTCTTCCCCCCTCAGAGCTGCACAACGCTCAGCCCAATCCTTGGCATTCCCCGCCTGGCCCTCTGCGCAATCTTGGTCGATACTGTATGCGCATCCTCCCTGGGCACCAGACCTCCCTTGGCATCTGGGCTGGGGCTTCTGTGCGCCCTGCGCGTGTGATCGTTGCCTGCTCCTTCCACCAGCCCGCAACCATGCAACCATACATCTGCTCTCTTCTCCTGCGGCCGTGTTCATTTCGAACGGCGCCATCTCTTGTCAGAGAGAGCGTATATAGATTTTTGGATCGAGGAGGGGATTTGGAGTATTGGAGTAGTGGATATAGAATGTAGCGACGATCTGTGGGCTGGGTTCTAATGCACCAGCCCATGGTCCATATCACACATTCAGTACTCCATGAACCATGCCACCCATGCCACACCGTTCATACCACATTGCCCATACCACACCGCCCATACCACACCGCCCATACCGCATCGTCCATCGCCTCGAATACTCCCATCCGCCCGCTGCCCACGCCCGTTTCCCATGCCGCTGCTCTTTGGCCACCGTCGCAGTGCTGTGCCGCCATTGGCGTGGCACCAGCACCAGCCCGATCGCTCCTGTCGCACCACACCGCCTTCGGGTTGTTGGTCGCTTGACTCTCCACGCGAGCGTGTGAATCGCAATCCGAGCCATCGACCACCAGCCCGTCCGCTGGGTCACTCTGGGCTGGAGATCTCCTGGCTCAGTCGCTGCCACATGAGCCGGACGCTCGATTTTGTGGCTGCTTCAGGCTTATCTGTCCTCGCCCTCCCTGACCAAGACCGACGATCTCACCTCCCCCGGTCGCCGCGAGCAGGCATGAACAAACCCTGGGCTTGACTCTGATTCAGATCGTGCCCGCATCCGCCACCCCATTATTCCTCCCCGGGTCGCCACTTCCCTCATTGCCATATAAGGCCGGAGCAAGTGGTCGGGCAGGAGGAGGAGCAGGGGAAAGGGAGCATGCATCCGAGTCAGTGCACTCAACCGACCAAGAGGAACAATTGTCGACGTGTGCGTGCGGACGGCATGGCCTTCCACTGTCGTCCATCCAACGTCTATGCACATCGGTTGCATGCTGTGACTTTGTCCTGACTGTGCATGTGTCCAGGGACGCCTCAGTTTGCTCTCCTCCCCCCCGGATGCCCATGCGCTGTCGCCGACGCCATGAACCATGCCGCTTGCTTGTTGAGTTGGTGGGCTGTTGGCTGGTTGTTGACTTGGCGGGTTGTTGACTTGGGGGCTGCTTCCTCTCTTTCCTGCTTTCTCAGCCTCTCTCGGTGCCAAGCCGCTTCGCAGCAAGCACTGCTGCGGAAACACTGATGAAGGAAAAAAGCAGCAGCAGCAGCCGCAGCAGCAACACGGCACTGCCATGGCTTGGGATGGCCCGAGATGCCTCTTTGTCATGACTTGAGATGGCTTGAGTCAGAGTCCCCGCGGAGGCGTGCAACAGAGCAGCAGAGCAACAAGCGCCTGCGAGCCCACCACCAAGCAAACAGGAGACGAAGAAGAAAAAAAAACACCCCCGATATGCACACGCCGCGCCGCCCGGCTCGGTTCGGATCACCCTGGCTTCATGCACGGGAAGCGAGTGACGACGTCCTCTGATATCCGCTGCTGCAATTGAGGGAGGTGATTCCACACCCAAACATATCACTTACAAAACACAAACATATCACTTACAAAACACAAACATATCATACACAAAACGCAACACAGCACAATTCACAACGCAAACACAAACACTGCATGTCCTGCGATGTTGAGCCAGAGGGCAACCGACTCTGCCGAGGAAACAGGAGGCGCCCGTGGCTTGCTGTGGCCTGCGGTGGCAGGAAGTTGTAACGGTGGAGGGCTGAAGGGCGGTGGGGCGACATGTCCCTGCTGAGGCGGTGCCTTTGCGAGTCCGTGCCTGCTCGTGTGAATGGGGGGCTGGCTCTGCCGCCCTTGTGAGCATGTCTCGGCACAAGGAGGGTCGCTCTGGGTCCCCCCGTCTTTGGCTTTCCCAGAGACTGGTCGCCATCCCGACGAAGGACATCCCGGCTTCGGAATCCCAATGTCCCGATGCCCCCCCCTCTCGACAAGGAAAAAAAAGTTCATTCTCCGGCGATGGCCATTGGAGAGGGGTGAGATTTTCGTGGAGATGCCTTCCCGACCCCCTCCCGCCGCGCTGGTGTGGAGGGAGGGAGAGAGGGAGGGAGGGGGACAGCGCAGTACTTGGCTCATCTCTTGTCGGCTTGCGGGGAAGAGAGGACGAGGGCAAGGCCAAAGGACTCGCATGTCCTTTTGTCGTGGGAATGCGCTGTCCGTCCGTCAGCCCAAGTCTTCCCCCATCGACCTTCCCCGCACCAGCAGCGCCGCCGTTCCTTCAGGATCCTGAGCAAAAAAACCCTTTGGCCAAACATGGCTCGACGGAAAGGGAAACCTCGGCTGACCAGCAAGGCACATGTCCGCCCCGCCCCGCCCCGTTTCCGTCCCGTCCCGGTCCTGTCGCCCGCTCATCAGCCAAGTGTCGTCATCGTCATCGTGTTATTGCAGTTTGCTGTCCTGCGTCATGTTTGGCTCCCGGTTTGCCCTCTCCCGCCCCCATGCGTCAGTATGAGGCAAACGGTGCCGATCCGTCGCCCACGCTTTCGCTTTGTTCTCACTCATGTTGACCCCCCCCCTCCTCACACTCGGGCTGACGCTCTCATCCACCAGAAAAGACGGGAAAAAAAAGTGAGAGGGTACCCATGCATCCATCGCATGCGTCGATCGCCGGGATGGCGGCCGGAGCGAGCTCCGGCTGAATTCAGAGTTTGTCCTCTCGGGGCTGTGAGCAAGCGTCATCCATCGCAGTGACTGGAAATGACCAGGGTGGGTGGATGGGCTGGTGCGGTTCCGCCGGTGGGCTGGTGCTCTGGTGCGTTGCCGTGATGGCGGTGGTGTGTGGATGGGATGGCTGGCACAGTCTCGTCTGGAGGACCATGATCCCATTTTGAAACGGATCGCCCTGTCTTGAGCCAGGGCCGTCGCTGATTTACGGCCTGAATGCACATCGCCTATCCCTACCACGACCAAGCAGTATGCCAGGAAGCCAAGCGGCTCGAGAAGGCCGAGCATCTTGATATCGATACACCATGGGATTGTCCAGAGGGCTGAATGCATCCACCACACTCACACATCGAATGCATCCACCACACTCCCGCATCGAGACATCAATACCAGTCGATCGTCGCCACAGGAGATCGATCGGGTGTATTCAAGACCACGCTTCCTGAAACCAACCAAATCAGAGAGATTGCCAACCAGGACTGGAAACAATCGCGCAGCCCTGCCCACTAGGGGGAGGGGTCCCTACGGAAGTTCAGCAGGCTGGCTGCAAGCCTCTGGATGCCAGAGTAAAAACGGATCACTGTCCCGTTTTGGATTGACTGTAATAAATAGATGAGGGACGCTTCATGCGCGTCTTCCAAAATGAAGAAACCCAAGGGCAAAGAAAAAGAAATGAAACGAAAGGAAGAGAAACGAAACAAAAGGAAAAGGAAAAGAGGGAGAGAGTAGTTTGCTCTGTTGTGATCAACATCCCTCGGTTGTACATACGACTTGTGGAAGAGGAAGAAAAAAAGGAAGGAAATGACGAGGGGAGGAGGAGGAGGAGGGCTCCTGGAGTGGACTAGCCAGTGCAAGAGCAAGGTGGGAACGGGAGTGGGGAGAAGAAGCCCGGGGAGGGGGGGGTCAGCCACTGGTCTCTCAGAGATAGGCATTCCAGGCAACGGTCGTCGGCTCGGGCGGAGCAATCGTAAATTGGCTCGGAACAATCACATCCTCCATCGGGATGTTCAGTCGTCGACACATGGGGTCGGCGCCGACGACGTGAGGCGGCGGGATAGGGGCTACGACCGGAGCCATGCGTCCGTCGAAACCTGGGCCGGATTCCTGCAGGCTGTGGCCGTTGTCGTCCGGGCCGGACATGTCATAGTCTTCGTAGCCCTGTCCGGACTGATGGGACTTTTCGTGCTTGCGTAGCGAGCGCGAGTGGTAGTAGGCCTTGCCACAGTTGGGAACCGCGCAAACGAAGGGCTTGACGTTGGAGTGGGTCTGCATCGGGCAAGACGGATAATCGCGCAGCACATGTGTGAGCAACCACAGACGAGCCAGCAGGAATCGCACAAGCAGCGCTCTGCAAAAGACCACGATATCATCCTTGAACTCTCGCTGCAGCCAGAAACCCCGCTCCGCCCTCGAGTTCAATTGGATCCGCCAACCCAGCAGCTCCCTCTCCCGACCCGGATTTGGCTCGCATCCAGGACCCAAACGGACATCCTCGTGGCCTTACCTTGATGTGTGTGTTGAGTCCGTCCTGTCTCGAAAAGGTCTTGTCGCATCCGGGAACGGTGCAAGCAAAGGGTCGCTCGCCGGTGTGGATGCGGATGTGGTTCTGGATCTTGTGTCGCTTCACGAACGGGCGGCGATCGCGGCCGCATCCTTTCCAGTCGCAGATATAGTTGGGCTTGCCACCCTGAAAGCAAGAAAGTGGCCGGGTGAGTCAATGTGGCATGTGCTAGGCTGTTGCCAAAGGATGATTCTGCTGCCAAGGGGTCCTATATCGTGCCATGACCCTGCAGCAATGCCGCGATCCTGCCCGACATGTCACGATCCCATATCGATCGAAGCAGCGTGCTCGGATGCGGACTCGTTGTACCGCCTCTCGACAGCTCCGGCTCATGGACATCGATCCCACTGCGGCGTGCTTTGGTCCGGACGAGCAGCGATTGCACCCACACGCCTCGGTGCGGCGCTTACCCCGACATGCTTGTCCATGATGTGTGCTACCAGGTCGTTCATGCTTGTAAAGATCAAGGTGCACTCCACCCACTTGCATTCGTGGCTTCGCTTCTCGCCGGTGCTGCCGTCGTCTAGATCATCGTCCACGTCCTCGCCAGAGTACTCATCATCATCGTCATCGTCGTCCCTGGGGAGGTTCTTGCCGTCGTGATCACGATCGAGGCTCGGGTCGGACTCGACCTTGGGCTGGGCAGCAACCTGGGGCTTGATCACGCCATTGATTTCGGCTTTGGCGTTGGACGAAATATACATGTTGGACGGGCTCGGGCCGTAGGCGCCTGCACTCGACTGGACGCCGAGGACATTGGGACCGAGGTTCATCTTGGCGGCGGCATATGCGGCAGCATGGTCTCCGGCGGCGGCGGCGGCGGGGTGCGGCATCTTGAGCTGCTGGAGATGTTGCTGGTGCTGGTGAAGAATGTGCTGCTGGTGCTGGAGATGCTGCAGATGCTGCAGATGCTGGTACTGCGACTGTTGGGCTGGAGGGACCTGCGTCGACATATACGCTGACTGGGCGGCCTGTGGGTCGATGGCTCCAGGGCCGGGATACGGCGCGTTGCCATCATAAGAGGTGCTGTGTTGGCCGTAGACAGAGACTTGGTGGAGGAACGGGGTGCCCATGGCAGTGAATGAGGCTTGCAACTGGCCGCCGGCCGAGGCCTGGGCTGCCAAGTAACTGGGATGGACAGGCTGGGCACCCCCGGGCCCGTAACCCTGCATGTAGCCATCGCGGTACTCGGCTGTGGGCATGGCACCTGGGTAGACAGATGGGGCAGCAACATCAGGCGCACCGGTGGCGCCCGATTCTGCTCCGGCGATACCAGCGCCGACGGAGGGAGCCATGTCGACAAACATCGAGGCCGGATCGGCCGAGGAGCCCTGGGCAGCAGCGGCCGGGTCCTGGGAGAAAACGGCGGGAGTCTGCGAGTCGATTGGAGGGTTCATGTGGAAGGGCGGATAGGCGTTGGGATCCGGCAGCTCGGCAAGACCGAAATTCGAGCCGTTGCTGTTGTTGGTGTGGGTGCTGTTGGCGACGGACGAGAAGCTGGCCTCGCGCGAGAGCACCAGGTCCTTCTGGGAAGGCGGGAAGCCAAAGGCCGGGGCGGCGGGAGAGCCATGGTCGATCGAATCCAACTGGGGGGGCTGCATAGCCGGATCGAAAGAGGCCGAGTTGGACTGGAAGGCCATGGCGTTGGCATCGTTGTGGAGGGAGTACTTGACCCGCAGGGTCTGGAGGGTGTTGGGGCCGTTCCACTGGTCTACAGAGTAAGGGGTTTTCTTGCGGTTGATGCGGTCGAGTGAGGGATGGCGAATGGGGCTCGAGTCCAGGTGTGCGGGATAGACGGTTGGATCGGGCGGGAAGGTGACGGGACCGGAGGAGCCAAAGCCCTGTGCCGACGCAATGCTGCCCATGGAAGCGCCTCTCCGGTGGCCAAGATGGGGGCGGTGGCCGTGGTGGTGGGTGGCGCGGGGCAGGGTTTGGCTGTGGGTGCCAACGATGCCAAAGGAGCCGTTGTCGCTGGTGAGGTGAGGTGACGGCGAGGCGGTAGCGTACGGCAAGGGATGGTGGAAGGTCGGCGAGCCAGATGGATAGCTGGCCATGGAGTTGGTGCGCTTGTGGTTGCCGGCATGGGGCAGGGACGGATCTAGCAGCGAGTGGTCTGCGGTTGGTGTGAACGGAGACTGGATACCCGCAGGAGCGACGAGTGTCGACGGATCGAGAGTGAGGGTTGTCATGGCCGAGTTGATGGACGCTGTCCGGCGATGGCCCGACACAGGTAACGAGCCCGCGGCGAAGACGGTACTAGATGCGGCGGTTGTGAAGGGCAGCACTTGTGGCTGTTGTGAGATGGGCTGAGAAGGCGGTGGATTGGACATGGCTGTTGGAATGTGTTGTGACGGAATCTATGTTTGAGCAAACACAGGAACGAAACCGATGGTTTGCGAGAGTGTGGGGAATAGGGCTCTGTGGAAACAAGCGAGAGAGAGAGAGAGAGAGAGAGAGAGAGACAGCAGCGGATGGGTTAGAAGGGTGCCGAGCCAGAGGACACGAGCAAGAGAGGCAGTCTCAGGAATGGATGGGAGAAGTGCGAGGGAGATTGAGGCGATGTGCAAGATGGATTGGGGGGGGCAATGTGCAGGATGAACACCGTGGCCATCAGGGTGTCTCTGGGCCGATGCGTCCCAAGATGAAGGGGACGAGAGGTCGGAGGCAGCGGAACTTTGGTGGCCCCGGGCCAACAGCAACAACAACAACAGCAGCGGCAGCAGCAATGGCAGCAGCAATGGCAGCAGTGACAGCAACAACAAAAGAGACATGGAGGCGGGAGGATGGAGAGGGAGACAGCGGCTGAGAGACCGCCCCGACCAAGACCACGGTGGGAGATGCGACGAGGGCGGTGGTGGAAGGCGAGGATATGAGCGCAGCGGCAGGCGGCAGGCAGGCAGGCGAGCAGGGGAAAGAGAGAGAGCCCAGGCAACATGGGGTCGATGGGTCTCGAGCCAGCAACGGCGATGGAGCGATGCGGGAGCAGCAGGGCGTGGCATAGAACAGCAGGCCACGCTCGCCAGAGACGCACCACGGGGGCGACAGCCGAGAGCGATGGCAGACAGATGTGCAGGACGGAAGCGACGCTGGCCGAAGAGGATGGGCGTGGCGATGGACGATGGACGATGGATGTGGCGATGGGACGATGGAAGGCGAAGATGGATGGATGGCGACGGACGATGGAGACTCAAGCCGGAACAGGAAAGCGACGGGGTCGACGAGACGAGAAAGGGAAAGGGCGCCGCCGGCTGGGCTTTGCGATGGGAAAATAGGGGGTGGGAGGGGCTCAGGACAAACGGTGGGTGGCAGGGGCGATACAGCCGACAGTGCGAGGCCGACAGTGCGAGGCCGAAGCACACGGACAGCGGACGGACAGACAGCGGACGGATGTCGTGAAGGCGTGTGGGGAGAGCGAGACCGGGCAAGCGTCTGGCGTGGGGGGGGGGAAGACGCTCTGGCGGTGGACGATCCTACCTGGCGAAGAAGGCAATCTAAGTTCTAAGCAACCCCAGAGTCTATGGCGGCAGCGGTCTAAAGTTCGCAGGTGTTGGAAACGGGCTGTCGAAAAAAAGGGAATGGGGAGAAGCACGCTATATAGCGTCGCCACAGCGCAAACGTGAGCAGCAACGGCCGTCTCTTTGGGTTTGTTTGTGTCGAGCTCATGCTTGTGTGCGACATGGGTGCGCGCCATGGGGCGGGGGCATGAGCGGCGGGCGCAGCCAGTTGTGCTGCTGCGTTGTTGTTGTGCTGTGTTGTTGTGCTGTTGTGCTGTGCTGTTGTGCTGTTGTGCTGTTGTGCTGCGATTGTGCGTGTCGAGTCCCAAATGTGTCCGACACAGATCCGTGCTGCGCAGCCGACAAGCAAATGAACACACAGCAATGCCGACAAGCAAGGCCGACTCATATCATTGCCTTTGCAGAGCAGCATCAACACAGGCACCACAAGATCTGACGCAATGCACCAACAGGAGCACCAACAATACCACACAACAGCACCAACAATACCACACAACAACAGCAGCACACCACACTGCATTCTGCCGACAAGGCCATGTGCGCGCGTGCCTCCACGCAGCAGAGTTTGTCCCCATTCGCCGATCCTGCCGCCATCTGCCTTCCCCGGCCCTTGTCCCCCCTGCGGCAACAATTCCTTCCCCGCCACCGACGCGCCGCCACCGGCCCTTGCCCTCACCAGTTTGCCGGGCCCGTTTGTCGCCGCGGCTGTGCCGCCTGTGCTGTTGTACCGCCCAAAACACCTTCCCACGGCCCAAGCGCTATTTCGGGGCCCCAATTCCCTGGTGGCCCACGCCCAGGGCCGCCCCATTGTTTGCGCATGCCTGTGCTGCTGACAAGCGCTGCAGTCGCATGTCCTACAAACAATGGCCCTTCGCTCTCTCGCCCGAGGAGCAAGGGCACCGGTTCCACACCATCGCCGTCCGTCCCTCGGCTTTGCCCATTCATGCTCCCACAGGTCATCTGGTCCTATGCGCGTCTTGGCGGGAGCTTGGCGTCGTTGCATCGGTGCGGCGTCATTGTGCATGGCTGTTGGGCTGCGACCGAGCCACAGCACAGCAGCCGCATTGACGTTTCATGCACAGATTCATGGATCCACCGCCAAGTGATCCATCTCCATCTCCATCTCCATCTCCATCTCCATCTCCATCTCCATTTCTATCATCAACGGCTCGACCAACACGCTTACTGCCGTGTTCTCGCCTGCTCCTTCCTCATCTTCCCATGTCACCCTCCTGGTCCCGACGCGACACCCTCCAGGCTGTCTCAGAGCCGCCATTTCCGCCCCACTCCTAAACCAGCCCGCCATTCCTGCAGGAGTGTCCCCATCCGGTCCGGCGTCGAAATCTCATCGGCCCTTGCCACCTGCGGCCCACCTGTGGCCCACCCGTCCGCCATCTAAACAAACCCACTCGCAACCCAAATGTCCCGATTCCGCCCTCTCGGCCATGCAGCCGCCATGAGCTCGCGGTCCCAATCCTTCACGGCACCATCACCGGCAGCAGTCCTCGCTGCCACCAAGATCCAGGCGTGCTTCCGCGGCTTTCGTGTGCGGCGCCTGCTGCAGAAGCAGGCCGTCGCAGCCACCAAGATCCAGTCCGTCGTCCGGATGCTTCTCACGCGTCGCAGCACTCTCAGATTCATGAGTCGCCGGAGATGTGTTCTCGAATCGCACTCGCGTCTGCTGCAGACCCGAGAACGCACCCGCCGCAGAGAGCAAGAGCTGCAGCGCATCCTGCATACCGAGCCCGGCAAGCTCGCGGGTGCCGATGAGCGCCTCCGTCATCGGGCTGCCATTCGCATCCAGTCATGGCTTCGTGGTTGTTGGGCCCGTGCCAGGGTTCATGAGCTTCGTCGCCGCTTCCCTGCCGGTCGAGATCCCCGGCGGGCCGGGGCCGATATGCGCTCCTCGCCGACCCTGACAGCCGACTGCCTGAGCGACCATGAGGATCCGGCCGCTGGGCTGTGGGAGCATACTGTCCAGCTTGAAGTCGTGCAGAAGCTGATCCTCGACAGGCTCCACAAGGCCAGGGCCGCATCGGCCACAGCTCGATCCTCAGGCGACTTGCTCGTTCACGGCACAGAGCGAGGCATCCACGAGCGTCTGCTCTACGCCAACCGCTTGCTCGACGACTACTACAGCCCAAAACGTCTGCCTCACTTTGCAGACGGAGGAGGCTTTCAGAGACCCGGTGGCATGTACGATCTATCTCATGGAGTCTACAGCTCCCGCAAAACAATCCAGCGGATGCACGACTGGATGGAAGGTACAGAACCGGCTTGCCCTGTTCCATAGCCAGAGCCTGGCACCCGCCTTCAGGATGAGATCGCCACAAACTGACGAGATGGCCGCAGATTCGCTGCTCACTCCTGCGCTTGGTTAGGAGCATGACCCACCAGGTGCTGGCCGCCACATTCACATTCGATTCGCACCTCCCTCTCCCACCAGAAGTGGATGGCTGGCTTGACGATCCCACAGAAGCGGTCCGCCAGCTGCATATCGAGCCTCGACACAGACTGCTCGTCCGGCAATGCCACAATGCTGCCCTCCGGGATGCAAAGAAGCCCTGGTGGGAGCACCTGGACCAAGCCAACCAGAGCTTCCAGGACGACGCCGACCTCGACGACTGGATCCGGTGGAACTGGGTCGAGTGTCGTCTCGACGGTGATGATCGCGATGATCGTGATGATCGTGTCGATTTACTGGCATTCCAATAAAAAACGGGACACCCTGGTTCTTTGACCATTGATCACATATATTGTCACCCAATACCATCGCGCGCTGGCCATGACTATTCTGTGATGCGGTGCAATACCGTCATCCATAGCCTGAGAAACGTTGCTTCCATATTCAGTGTGTCCAAGATTGCTATTCACCGCTGGCACACCGAGACCAGTGCAGCGTCAAGGCAAGGGCCATTGATCCAGCCCTCGGAGGCAGCGCTTGGCCAAGTACTTTGAGCAATTCAAGCACCACCATTCCAGAGCCAGGTCGCGCCAAACCAAGCACCGGCCAGGACTCTCCCTCGATCTCGCCAACCGATCCTGCTGCCCTATCGCCTCTCTGCATCCGCCATGGCTGCTGCCCTGGCCAATCCTACCATCGACCAGCTTCTGCGGCAGCTCAACTCGCTGTTTGCCGATGCTTGCCGACAAGCATCGCTGGTCGCTCCCGACACCAGAGACCCCGAACCTTCTGCATCAACTGCACGCTCCTCTGTCGGCACAACCGCAACCGCCCATCCGTTTGCGATCGAGACGGCCAAGCTGCGGGAGGAGTGGACCAGCCTCCTCGACCAGATAGAGGATATCCTGGCCACGTATCGAGACCATGTGCTGCCGGCCATCTCCACGCCTCAGGACATCAAGACGTTCAATGTTGTTTTGGGTGTAAGCTGCCCCCGATTTGCTCGACTCCGTGGCTTCGAGGCTGTCTTGGCTGCATCGCTGGGACCATGTCGACCGCCTTGGCCGCACCGAATGTTGAATCTGATATCGGCGATGTCATACACTCTGAATTAATCACCAAACTCGCCCCTATCGTCGGTGACTTGGAATCTGCGCTGGGCTCGCCGTCCTCCTGAACGCTCGTCCACGATCGCCGACACCATCGCATCTCGTTACCAGGAGCGGGCCAACGCCCAGGGCACACTGTCGCTGACTCAGAGCGCCGTCGTAGACTGCGTAAATGCACTGCGCGAATATCAATCGGCCCGTCCTGTGCCGCTATCGCTTGCCATGAACAAAGTCGAGTCGCTGTCCAAGCAGCTTGGGTGAGCTGCTCTCGCCCAGCGATCCATCCGGCCATGGCTCTGCAGGCTTGCACCCCATCGGCATCGCTGCACTTACTGCTCCAGCTACACCTTTCGCAACTGACTCTTGTCTGCCCTCGCACGCCGTCGGCTTCAGCCTCCAGATCTTCCCAAACTCACAGGAGGATTCCGACCTCAAGACCGTCACCATCTGCGGCTCCTACTTCCTCGTCGACGTATGTTGAAGATCGCTGCCGAGCCATCTATTGCCCCAGAGGTCCTGGTGGAGCCATTGGACGGCCCAGACCAACGTCGCTTTTCTTGGGCAAGCCTCATGCGGACGATCACTCTCGGCCGCCATCCAGCATGCTGCGACATGCGCTGTTCCCCGACATGATTCCTCCCAATAACACTCTGCCCGCTGCTCGGGCAATACCCGCTTCTCTTGGCCAATGGGCGACCCTTTGCCGCAGATCCACACCATGCCAGACGGAACGATACCCAAGATCAATCTTCAGTACACCAATGACCAGGACTTGCCCCAATCCGACACATCTGGGACTTTGGTAAAGCTACCACACATGGCTTCTCGAAGCAAAGCCAAGATCGGTGTGCTGATGGAACCGAGGCTGACTACCAGTGGATCGCTGACGGGGAGGGGTGTGCCGTTTGCTTGATACTGCCGACAGAGCACCCATTCGGACAAGTTCCTCTTGGAATCGACCAGGTAAGCATCGCATTCCATCTGCCTTGATCGATCCAGGCAATGCCAAGCCTATCCGGACATTGTCAAGAAAGCGACCGCGGGACGAGCATCGGATGCCATTTGTGTGATTTGGACACCCAGCGCATTTAGGAGCATTATGCCTGTCCCTCTGGAAGGGCCGCTCTTATCACTTGCAAGTTCCATGCGAGTCCATATGAACTAGATCGCGTTGGTCATCCTGAACATCTGCCTGTGATTCCATACAGCGACTTTAACACTTTCCAAGACATCCTCAAGTACTTTACATTCATCGACAACATCCCGTTCGAGCCCAAAGACCGCAACTTTGATATGTTCCAGGTTCTGCGGGCCGTCAAAAACGATCTTGCTGCCATCTACAAAGAGGAACTGTGGGTTATGCCTTGCAATCGGGATGATATTGTGCCGATTTGTGTCGACTTGTGGTGGCCTGCTCCTGGGGCTCGGGGTTTTCCGATAGCATCCATCTTATCTTATCTCATTTCATTTCATCCGACTCCATCCCCTCAATTATGTCGAGAAGTGAGCACAGCCTCAGCGATCACTACAGCATCATCCGACATGGCCACGGAATCCCGCAGTACGACATTGGTAGATTCGGTCCGTCGTGCGTGTACTGGATCACGCCAGAGTCCTGTCTTGATCTGAATTGGATCGAAATGAAGGAGTATAAAGGTTAGTCAGGACAGTCCCAAGCACCTGTACCAGTGGCGATCTGCTCTGTTCCAGCAGCTCCCATCTGCAAAGCCAGCGTATCGGCTCAACCAGCCTTGACCTGGCCTCACCTGCGTGAGGGATCGCCCCAGGAAGTGCTTGCTTACCATCTGCCCGGCCTTTGTCTCCGCTCGATCCCTTGGTCGCCCCTGCATCAGATCATATTCCGGACTTGAAGGAGATCACTGGTGCATACAGGGCCTTCATCTCGATCAAAGCCTCGCCAGAGCCGCAAGCCTTTTGCTGCAAGCCTCTGGAGAACTACCTGCTGACCTCTCAGGGCAAGAACATCCAGCCCTGGATCGGCGATTTGTCTGCCGAGTAAGCCCCTCGACATTTTTCTCAATTTGCACCCTCCCTTCTTTCTTCCCTGGACTTCTTAGGCTGCAGCTTCATTTCTGATAGGGAGGTTTGCGTCTCTGGCAATTTGCTTCACGCGTACTGACAGCCCGACGACCCACTCAGCTCGCTTCCCACTGTCGAGTCGACCGGCTGGCGAAACCAGCTTCGCTTCCAGTTCTTCAAGCCCGAGACACAGATCAGCATGATGGGACGCCCCGTGCTGGTTGCCAACGCCGCCTTTGCTCTGATACTGGACCCACCAGTGTTCTTGACCCGGAATGCTGCACAAGCGCTGGCAGAAAGCGTCGGCATGCACACACCCGGTAAGTGAGCGATTCACTTGACCGAGCCTTTCGTACAAACTGAATGTAACATGACTCTGACGGCGGCGCTGGTGCGTTTGGGTGTACAGCAAGCATTTCGACCACAGCCGAAACATCCACTCAGCCTCCAAATGTGAATGAGCATGTGCCGATAGAACCGACAGTAGCTTCCACGCTCGAGGAGGTCCTGGTCAGTAGATCGCCGATTTGTTGGTGCCGAGAGCCGTTGCACATGGACCTTGCTTGACGGATAACTTGGTCGATGGCAATACCGCCGACCAAGTGCTCGGTGCCTGTCGAGCGATCGTTTGGATGACGGGTCCGTCGACTCGATCCCACAGCGATCCCACTGACCATCTCACATGCGTGTTTTGGTACAACAGGCTCGCAGCCTCACTCGTGAGCAGCCAGATCTTGAGCCTATGGGGATTGCATCGATGCGCTTCCGAACGGTGGGTGCCAACAGTGTCGTCCCCGAAGATTTTGCATGAAACAGACTCTGGTCAACAGCTATAGCCTGCCAGATCAATGGCCGAACGATCACTCACGATCCCTGTCGCCACAGACCACGGGCAACCTCGTCCAGAACATATACTTTGCAGCCCGATCCCGCCACGAGGCCGTGGAAGTTCGACACATCCGCTTCCAGAACCCAGCCCAACTATTCCCCATCTTCCAGGTACGTGTGCTCGGCCAACATCAAGACCAAATCAAGCACCAGCGACACTGCCACGAGATTGCACTGAGTGGACTAACGCTGCTCCGATTCCACTCCCCCTCGTTTACGTGCAGACCCTGAGAAAACACATTGCCTTTAGCGCCCTCTTCCAAAGCTGCTTCAACGAGTTTACGCTCGAATCGCCACACAACCTTCCGTCGAGTATGCATCCGTCGGTCATGCCCCACTACGGATGCGGACGCTCTCTGCTGTGGAAACGAGCGCATCCTCGGTCCGCCGTACCTTTGACACTCGAGGCGACCTGCTTGACGGCCCTGTGGCGCCTGCCCAAGACCCGATTCCGTACATGATTCCTCTGACGTATCCGCCCATCACGCTGCTCTAGGCACCATATCCTCCAAGATCATCCTACAGCTTACCCACTGGCAGCCGCCGGACTCGATCACGTTCTCGCTGCTGTCGGTTCCGGTCTTCAAAAAGGTCCTGCTCAAGTTCCAGATCTCGGATGAGATCGACCTGATGCAGCCTCGGGATGACTGGATCCGGTTCGAGATCTACACCAAGACACCCGAGTCCAAGGAGCCCTTTGCAGTCAACTTTGACGAGGCCGACCACGCCAAACTCTGCGATCTCATCAACCGGTCGGCAAACATCCCGGTCTTTGTGTGGGCGCTCATTGAGAAACTGGGCCTGTGAGCCGTTTGCGACACAGATCGTGGCTGCCCGATGGCCACGAGCTATGCATCTGATGTGGTTTGGGTGCTCGTTTTCGATTCGGGGAACATGGATCGAGTTGTGTGCAGTCGACCCATGAGATTGCCTGGGCACACGCTCCATATAAACGAATACATGCACCCTCGATGAGCAGGAGCCGTGGAGGGAGAGGTAGATCAAGCATACTGGCCGGCATCGCTCCTGGCGGCTCTGCCTGTCATGCTCGCCGCTGCTGGGCGGTCGTGCTGGTCTCGGCGAGCAGGTCCGAGAAAGCGCGAAAGGCCCAGGCCCAACCACCGTCAATCTGAAACATCGCCGACATCCCTGCCCGCTTCCTATTGCCGAAGGAGCTCCGTGGGAACCTATTCTCCTCGATCTCTGCTGGTCGGTGCACCTCCTTCCTCCAGGCCGTCGTCTGCAGGCGCATCCTCACAGCCCGGGCTCGGTCGCTGCTATCTGGATTCGAGTCCCGTCTGGGTCACCGCCAGTCGTCCCAACAGACCCCTCTGTCTCTATCCGTCCTCCATCCAGCTCTTCCAAATTCTATTCCGTGCTGTGTCCTCTGATCAGCAACTTCCATCCACCCAGCGTCGCTCTCACCACCGGCTCGTGAACTTGCTCTTCTCTCTGGACAGACCTTGATCGTTCCGATCCATCCGTCGCCCCGATTGCATATTGGGCCGTCTCGGCTTTCTCTCGCCCATTGGCGAAGCCATTTCGATCGCCGTTCTCCAGGGCCGGTCCGTTTCTGCCGACACCGTCCATCGTCCAGGTGCGTCCGAGACATCCGTGCTGCAAGTCGGGCTTGGGCACCGGGCCTTGGCCCTGTGTTTGGTATCTTGGATGTGTGTTGTTGCCTCCAGTTTTGCGCGAAGGGTCGCAGGGCAATCACATTCGCTTTGCTTCTGCTTCTGCCCTTCTGCCTGGTCTCTTGCTCATCGCCCATCCACCCATCCATCCATCCATTTCCCTCTCGTCGATCGCCCGATCCACCCCACTACCTTCCTCTCGCCTCGACCGCCTGGTGTCGCTCGTCGCTGCCCCCCCCCCTCCCGAGAAGGTGTCCGTCATCACCGGCGTCTTCATTGCGGCTGTCCGTTCCGTCGTCGTTCATCCCGTAGCGACCTCCCCTCAATCCTCTCCTCCAGGATTCCGACAGACGCCGCTTCCTCGGCCCCCCGGCCTGAACTTGCGCTGCCCCACATCAACCAGGCTCGGAAATCGCCCATCCATCATCGCAGCTCCACCACCAAGCCTATCCCCCATCTCTTGCGAACTGCTGCTATTGCTTTCTCCAACCTTGGCCGAGTCCTGGTAACGCTCACTTGCCACCAATTACCACCAACTACCAACCACCAACTGTCAACCACCGTTTCCCTCTCTCTCCCCAGCTCCCGAGACTGATCATCCATGAGCGAAAGTGTCTTTGATCAATTATCCCTCCCGTCCACTGCCAACCCAAAGCTCGACCCTGTTCAAGACCCCAAATCCCTCTCCTCGCAGTCGACATCGGCGTCAGCGTCGTCGTCCCCCGCCCTCCTCTCCCACCAGCAATCGGCTCTGCAAAAGTCACGATCCGTCGCCTCCTTCCAAACGACTCCCCCGACACTTGCGAATGGTCTGGCCGCCATGGCCAACTCCAACATGAAACCATCCTCGGCTGCTCTCCAGAATGCAGCATCCAACAGCGGCGGCAATGGTGCGGTCTGTTCCTGTCTCTCCGGGTCGCCGAGATCCATCTTGGCCTGGTCTCTGCCGCTTCGTTGCATTCTACGGCTAGCCATTCCTCCCATCCCCCCCCCAGCTCGGAACTGCGTTTCGCGACCCTAGCCCTGACATGTCTCCATGCTAACCTTGCGTCCTACTCTTGGTTCCGATCTGAATTATCGGCCGATCCAACCGCAATCGATGGGGATACCCTTGGTCGACGCAATATTCCTGCTGCAGCCACATCGTCGCCCCAAGTCAAGGCATCGACTCTGAAAGGCCGACCCCAATCCAAAGTGACTCCAACTCGATCAAACGGCGTCAGTGTATCCTCTGCGATCGCATCCAGCGCTCCCACGCCTGTTGCTGCAGGGAATGCTACCTCGACAGCGACAGCGACATCCAACGCAGCACATGCAGGCTCGTTGACGTCGGTCTCGCCTCTGAATGCCGCCCTGCGTGCCAACGGGGTTGCTGGCCAGTCCGTCGCTGGCGACGTCTCCGTCAATTCTGCCGCGAACCCCGTCGGCAACGTCCAGATCAACCAGTTCGGCATGTCCCTGCCCAACAGTACAACAGCGTCGGGACTCGCGCAGCTGCGAGGCGTTGCCTCGTATCCGATCGGGTCGCAGCCTGCAGCTCGGGTTATCAACGCCATGTCGCCCAACGTCGGTGCTGCGGGGCTCACCATGGCGAGACCACCGGCTGCTCAAAAGAGCCTCTCGGGGCTCATGAATCCTGCCTTGGCCGGAGTGTCGGCGCAATCGTACAACATGCACACACTGCAAAACCTGCAGCAGGAGCTTCAGAACATCAACCGCACGCTGAGCACAACGACCGATCTGAACGAAGCGAGAGAGCTCAAGCTCAAGAAAGCTCAGATCGAGAGTTGTTTCCAGGCATCACCGGCACAGGCTCAAGTCAATGCTGCCCAGATCCAGGCCCAGGCATCGTTTGCAGGTGGGTGTTTGTGGTTGCACCCTGTCGAACAGTGTGGCGGGTGCCAACGACGCTGTGCAATGCGCAATTGCCCTTGTGGCCAATCTATCGTGGGTGCTATGGCTCTTACACGACCTAGATCCATGATCACTCGCAAGTCCATGTACATCAAGAAGCGATGCCCATGAGCGATGCAATAATCACAGAGCCATGGTCGCAATAGCAGATCAGGTTTCCAATGCGCCTGGGGGACCGCCGCAGTGATCTCACAGTCGATCTACCCATCATCTCGTCCATCGCGCAGCCAATCAATTCAACCAAGCCAACCTCAGCAAACAGACACCTGTAATTCAGAACGCCGCAGCCACTATTGCCAATGCGGCCGCAGTGGCTGCAAGCGCAAACCAGCGGACCATGGTCAATCTTGTACAGCGTAGGTTCTACCTCCACAGCCAGACGACGGAAATACGAGAATCGATCCCGAGCCTGCGTTATGCCTGCGAGCCGCAACAGTAACCCGCATATACCTCTGCGCGCTTGCTTGCTTGCAATCGCAACAGCTGGACAGTCGCCGACACCCGGAACGCCCGGCACGCCGTCCGCGGCTTCGCTTCGTGCTGCAAGTAACATAGCGGGCTCTTCGCAACAAACCTCGCCAGCACCCTCCGGTGCCGTGACGACCGTCAACGGCCAGGCGCAGCCCCATCCTGTGCAGCTGGGAGCTGTGCTGCATTCGCCCAACCCCTTGAACTCTGTCAAGATCTTCACTCCTGACGCTCTGACAGGCGCGATTCCGTTCCTGTCTGGGGCCGACAAACCGCTGGAAGCCGGCACTCCGCTCTCGGCAACCTCGACAAAGTCACCGGCGTCACAGGTTCCACCGGGGATACTGATACGGAAGCGCTCGCGTCCGGCCGATTTTGTTGCAGGGGCTATTCCGGAGTACTGCCAGCGGGAGCTCAAATCGCTCCTCCAGCACGGCGTCCTCAAGAAGAAGCGACTCCAGACCCTGATCGACGAGCTCAGCCCAAACTCCAAGCTGAACCCCGACGTCGAAGATGTGAGCACTGTCGCTGCCGGCCCCGGTCCCCCCCCCATAGCCAGATCGAGTTCCATTGCGTTGAATTGGATGCGTTCCTGTGATCCGCTGTATTGCTGGCAGTTACTCACGCGGACAAATGCTTCAATCAATGGCAGATTCTGCTACAGATAGCCGATGATTTCATCGAAGAGACGACGCAGTTTGCCTGCAAACTGGCGCGCCACCGCGGCTCCCGTAAGCCATGATGCCCAGCCGGAGCCCGCTTGCTGCGTCTGCTTGACCGTCATTACTTTGGCGCTGTACTGAGGATCTCCGTGCCGCTACATTCGTCTAGATACCCTCGATACCCCGGATCTGCAGATATGTCTAGGTTTCTGGCACCTCTGATTGCGCATTGGTTTGGATGCACTCCGCCGGCCGTGCGCATTAGCTCGGTTGGATCAGCCGCTACCCGCTGCGATGCACGCCGATGCATTCGTCGCTGAATATCAGCAGCTGCTGACTCTTGCATGTTTCATCCGGCTCATCGCTCTGTTTCGCCCCGCAGAGCGTAACTGGAATATCCGTGTACCAGGATTCAGCAGCGATTTCCGTCCTCGTCTCAAGTCCATCCCGACGATTGCGCACCAGGCCAAGGTCTCGACCATCAAGAAAAGCATAAGAGACGCAGCCATCATCAACAAGTTCCATTCGACAGCGGCCGCGGCCGCGGGTGTGTTGGGTCAGGAGCAGACGCACAGTGCCGGTGCAGACGGTGCTGCGGCCGCCAACTCCTCGACCCTGGCGACATCAGGACTGGCGCCGCCGCCCACACCCGGATCAGTTGCAGCAACACCGGGACAGACCCAATCCAGTCGTCTGGTCGACATGGTCAAGTCATCAGCGCCGACAGGATCGTCATCACTGTAATCCGGCAGTCGCGCCGGCGAAGCGTACCGGTCGCCAGACAAGCACCAGCTTTAGGCACACACCCGCTTCCCTTGGCCATAGCCAAGGCATCGCCAGCCAAATGGAGCCCATCTGGCATGCACCGCAAGTGGATCAAGTCTGGGCCATCTCTCTCTGTCTCACGCTCCTTCTTCCTTTTGTATGGATCCCCCACTTTCTTCCGCCCTCCTCTACCCCCCGATATGCAATGGATGGCATTCTCAAGTGCCCCGGCGATACCTTTCTGCTCGCACAAAGCACATTCCAAATCCTCGCCATCCACCAGCGCTGTATCATCGCCACGGCCCCGTGTTCTTTCTCCACCGCCTCCGATCTCTCGATTGTCGTCTTTTTGCATTCCTACAGCACATCCAAGAAACAGACCCCAGGACCACCCGATAAATGGGGGGCATCTCCTTTGCATCGAGAGCGGGCCCGTACGACTGTGGTGCCCTCGTGTCCGGAACAATACCGACAGCTGAGCGAGCTTGGAGTGAATGGTGAAGGAATACGTGGGCCAGTTGGCTGCTTGCCAGCGGTATGGTGAACGGTATGGTGAACGGTATACAAACACATGTATTGGATGAGATATTGATTCCAAACAGAATGGATAGGGAGTGAGTACTGGTGAGACTCTAACAGACAAAGAGGAGGATAGAGGCACAGGGAGAACGCAACTACAGCGGATGACAGAGATGGCTGAGACGACAGGCACGGCAAAGGCACAGACGGGATTGACAGAACTGCAGGGGCAGAGCGCGCCACGGAAGAACATGGCAAAAAATCGGGATTCAGGGCTGGAGGCCAAGGCGAAGGCGGTGCAGCTGGAACTAGAACAGGTTGTACGAGTAGCTTTGCTCCACGGGAGACGAGGATGTCGGCGACGATGTCTGGATGGGGAACGAGGGGTCGTAGCGCCGAAGCGACGGCAGCGGCGAGGTGATCATCTCGGGCGAGTACGCCAGGGTCGCTGGGGTGTCGGGATTCCCTCTGGAGGCGCTGGGAATACCTGGCTGGGGCCGACACAGCGTTGCCATGGACGAGTCCGTTCGGTGGCTCAGAACGCTCTCGCGGCCCTGCAGCGAGGCCTCGGGGGAGCCTATGATGCGGATTCCAAACGGCGCCGCAAAGGCCTCTTCGCTGCTGGTGCTGGTGCGCCATGAGTGGACTCGGTCGATGATCTGGGCGTCCTCGGTGGCCTTCTGATGTCGCCGGCGAAGCACCAGGAAAGCCACGATTCCCACGGCCACAAACGCCGAGCAGCCGACACCGATCAAGACAGAAAGCATGCTCGAGCCAGGCTGGGATGCTCGGTTCGATGAATCCTTGTCGCTTCCGGACCCGTGGTCATCCGGGCGAGATGGAATCGGCGGCTGGTTGTTGGGAAGAGACGTCGGGACCACGGGATTGTTCCGGGATGTCGCAACAGGCAGGATTGGTGTTGAGGTGGCAACTGGATCGGGCCCAGAATCAGATTGAATGACAATGTTCTGGGAGGGGGCGCCCACCGACATGGTCGACAGAGGCTCTGGCGGGACGGTTGAAGCCGAAGGAGGAGGAGCAGTCGACATTGGAGGGGGCGGCGGCGGCGGTGGTGGTGGTGGTGGTGATGGTGGTGATGGTGATGGTGGTGGTGGTGGTGTTGACGGGGCGGGCGCTGTGGTTTGAAAGTAAAACACTGGCGATGCGGCGACGGCGGTGGAGCAGTCCTCGCTGCTGCAAATGTAGATCTGGATGGCACCGGGGTCGACGAGCTGCATCTGAGCCTGGATGGTCATGCTGGTCTGGGAACCGGACGTTCCCCAAGAGTTGCCGGCGACCCAGACTTGCTGGTTGGTGTTGATGTCCTGGAAGAATTTAGTTGGACGGGCGTGAGAACGGCGATGGCGGTGGTGTTCGCGGTCGGCCCATGTGAAAGACAGATGCCCAAGAGCAGATATGGACCTCCAGAGCGATGCAACGGGCTGCAACACTATGCGATTCGACCGCTGGCAGCAGAGGGGCGACGAAGGTGCACGAATTCCGGCACTCACCACGGCATAGACCGAGAACCAGTCGCCGCGATTGAAGGGCCCGTTGGGAGTGATTGAGACCGAGACAGGAACGACCGACTTTGTGATTTGCGAGCCAGGCGTGGGGGACTGAGAGACAGAGTCGCGGACGACAGACGATGGTGAGATGCAATTGCACACTGGACTGGGGGCGCATTCCGATGCCTGAGCTCGAGCTCGGATTGGTTCTGCCCATCCACCAGGCGGAATGGTGTCTGGCTGGACTTACGGTGATGGCAACATTGATGCCGGCGGCTGCGGCTGCCGGGAGCAGCGCCAGCGGGAGCAGAGAGGGGCCGAGACAGACCATGCAGCAGACAGCCCGTTGGCGGCTGGGAAGACAGCAGTTCGGGACCGAGAAGAAAAAGCAGCGAGCGCCGGGATAGTGGGATCAACCGCCCTAAATATTCAGCGGGCGGCCTTGCTTGGCGACGAGACCGCGACTTCATCGGGCGGCCTTTGATGGCCATGCAAACAAAAGGGCAAGACAGCACCACCGGCGAGCACAGCCCTTGTGGGAGGGCGCCTGAAGGGACGGTGCTCGGGAGGCTTGTTGCAGACAGCAAGGCAGAGCGGGCAGCGTCCTTGCCATTGCCTGTTCGAAGCAAGCGTCGCCTGTCCGCTGTTGCATCCGACGGAACACAGGCGCAGTGTTCTTGTGGGTTCCGGGGGCGAGTGTGACAGAGCAATTCATCGCTGGCGGCGAGCCGCCATGGGTCTCGCAGGTGGGCGACGACCTCGAGTGGTTCTGCGAGGAGGCCGAGCTGCAAACAGACCCGCCGGCAAAGAACAGGTCGCCGACAAATGCAGGCCGGTCGCCAATGGCGGCGCAGCGTCGGCTGGCCCGCCCGCTCGATACATCTGGCTGCAGGGTGGTCCTGCGAGCCCGGTGCCTCCAGCCGGCGATATTGCACCAGCCACATGGTTGCGGCTCCACCACCAGTCCGCTCGCAAAGCAGATGGCCCCCCCGTCAGCCATCTATCATCTGTGGCCGCGGCGCGCATGAATTCACAGGCCCGGGCAAATCAGCAGGCATGTATTCACCAACCGCATCGACCCCGTGGCCCCTGCCGGAATGGGGCTCGTGGATCGGCTGGGGCATCATCCAGCTGCGTGCAGCAAGTCTGTTTGCAGCACAACAGACAGCACAGGACGCGGCACCCGCCAACCGCCCGCCCAGGCAGCCCGGCATCGCAAACAAAAGCAGCGCCATCAGATTGCATGGGGGGGATACGTCGGGTTGCTCATGACGGCGATTCGGACGCCATCGATGTCGCCACCGTCCTCGGCCCAGACAACGATTTGGGCGGTGGCGCCCTGGGCTTCCTGGTGAATCCATGAGGCAGGGATGTGGTACCATTTCTGGCTGATCTCGCCGCACTCGAGCAGGCACTTGTCGCCATTGAAGACTCCACGGTAGTCGCAGTCCTTGGCTGCTGCGAGGCACTGATCCTTGCGGAACTGGCTTGGCGCTGGAGACGACACGCTCCAGTACCGGCCGATCGAATGGCCATTGACCCAGACCTGGCCGCTGCCCATGGTCGAGAGATCGATGGCATAGTACCAGCTCGATCCGTCGGCCGGAAGGTCAGCCAGCGGGAGCGAGAGCTTGTACCAAGTCAAGGCTGTGTCCTGGTCGCTCGGATAGCCACTGGACCACTCTGTGTCGGTGCGAGGGTCGTGGAACTGGAGAGCGAGAGTGAGGATGACGGCGGCAGCACCGTCAGGGATACCGTTAGTGATACTGTAAGTTGCATCGTTAGTGATACTGTCAATTGTATCGTTGGTGATACTATAAGTTGCACCGTCGGCGAGGTCGTGTGCGTCCTTCTCCGACTTGTCCCACACTTACTCGTTTGCGTTCGCCTTCGAGTCCAGCTTGGTGGTTCCACACCTGCAGCTCTTGTCCATCGAGCCAGACCCGGCCCTTTACGCCCTTTTGCAGGGTCTCCATGAAGGCGTCAAAGTTGTACATTCCAATCACTGTCGCGAGGATGGCCAACGAGTGAACACCGGACTCGGCGCCGGCAGGCTCCAGCGGAATCGTAAACGGTCCAAGCGACTCTGCTCGATTGCCATCGTCCGAGAGTCGCGAGCCTTGCACGCGAGCAGCCAGGCGGCCATCCAGAAAGACCGAGGCTTGGTCCTCCAGGCCGTCGATCTTGAGCTCGCCGGGGGCGTCAGACGACAGCGTCACATTGGCGACATACCACAGATGGTCAGTCTGGTCCCAAGTCAGTCGGATCTGCTCAAGCGGGCCACTGGTCGACAGGACTGTTTCGGAGGTATTCCAGATGCCGATCCGCTCTGCGATGTATCCGGCAACAGACGGCTTGACTATCTGGCTCGTGTTTGAAGTGGAGTGTGCTTGGATCCAAGCTAGGTTCTGCGAGACGGACGAGAGCTTGGCGGTGCTGTATCGAACTGCAAAATCGGCCTCTCCGGAGCGCCGGGTGACCACTGTCACGGACCATGGCGGCAGATGGAATGGCTGGCCTTCAAATTCGACGCTCGCCTCCCGCTTGGTATCGGTGTTTGAGAGGAAGGCCATGGTGTTTCCGTGCTCGTCGCTGTACACATGGGCCTCTTGGTAGCTCTATGACCGGCAGTCGGCAGCGTCAGAGTCTGGTACTAGAGCTTCACACAAGCTCAGGCCCGACTCGTTTGCCACCGCCAGCCCAGTCCACTCCCCAACACTGACCACGCTACACCATCAAATCCACCGCCGCATCCTACCATGAAGGTGCCCAGCTTGACATATTTAGGCTCGTCCGCCAGGAGGGCTTCCACAAATTCGATCAGGACGGCATGCATCTCGGCGAGGTGGTTGAATTTCGGCTGACTCTCGACACCGAATTCGTTCAGAGGTGCGTCGTAGTCGTAGCTGGCGGTCTTGAAGGAGCCTGACCAACGGCCAAAGTTGGTGCCGCCATGCCACCTGGAAAGGCATGTCGGAACCGGTGAGCACAGCTGGAGTCATGTGCGTGTATCGGTCGCCCATCCGTGGTGCTCGCCTAAATCAGCCCAGGCCAGTCGCGCTTACATATAGTATCCGACATAAGTGCCGCCTCGCGCAATCCAACGAAGGGTCGAGAATGCAAGGTCTTCTGGAGGTCGAATGGCTCGGGGACGGCCATAGTGTTGATACCAGCCTGACCATAGCTCCGTGAACATGGACGGCTGCCTGGGGCGAGTGAACTTGTGGAAGGGGATAAAGTTGTCACAGTAGAAGCCATTACCTGGATCGCGGTGGTGATCAAAGGTGTGTGAGAGTTCTGTCAGAGCTCTGGTTGCTGCCAATGATTTCCTCATCTGCAAGGGCCCGCTCGCAAAGGCTTACATGTACTAATGACTTTTTCGCTCGAATCGGGCTGAACACACATGATCCAGGGAACGCCGACGTGGAGACTAGAAGATGAAAAGAACCCAACGAGGATGTAAGCAGGAGACGAGCCCACAGGCAGCGCATAGCGACGACTGCATCAACCCGATGAGAAACGACGGCATCCGCATGCTCCTCACCGCCCCGACATACCTCAGAGCAAGATCTTCGGCCCATTGGACGTAACGATGGCCGTCCAGGCCATATCGCCACTCAAAGTTGCCGTATTCGTTTTCAATCTGGGCGAGAATGATAGGCCCTCCATTGCTGGCGGGCGATATACCGCAGCAAGCCCAATATCAGCCAAGGAGTCTCCCTCGGATGCAAGCCGAATCTTCCTTTTGCAGCGCTAGACTTTGCGTGGACACGGCAGGATGCCAGACCAGTACTCACGAAGCAAAGTAGGGCCGAACCTCCTCGACGACCTTGCGGACAAACTTGGCCATTTCGCCGAGCCATGGCTCGTTGAAAGTGCGGAAGACGATCCCATCCTTCTTCAAGAGCCAGGCTGGGATGCCGCCATAGTTCCACTCGGCGCCTGTAATATCGAGAAATCGCGACCCCGGACACACTGTCAGCTCAATCGGATCAAGAGCAATACACAGAGCTCACTGACGACTCCGTGGAGGGTACTGGCGCTTTCTGATCAAGCACAAGCTATCTACACAGCGGTGATTGTGGGTGCAGCTTCGTCGACTGCCACCTCAACGTGAATACGCACACACATAGGGTCCGATTCGGAGAATGACCTTGAGCCCAGCATCGTCGGCAAGCTTCAGGAACAGAGGAAGGTTTGCATAGTCTGTGTGTGCAAAGTTGCGGATCGCATAGTCCCCAGCGAGACCAGAAATTCGTCGTTGCAGGTCGGGTAAGCACTGGCAGCGATGGCCGCACCTCTCCCTCTCATCGCGAGGCCGGTTGTGAGGCTTGCTATCGGCTATCCGGAAAGAACGAACCTGTGGAAAAGTCATACTGCCCCTCCTCGGGCTCATGCAAGTTCCAGAAGACATAGGTGTCGATGGTGTTGATGCCCGCCTGCTTGGACTTTGCAAAGAGCTGCGGCCACATCGACGGGGTCGATCGCGGATAGTGGATCGAGCCTACAATCAAAAAGGTCCTCTTGTCGTCGATGGTGATGGCTCGGCCGTCGTATGAGACGGAGTGGCTGTGCGTCGCCGATTCGTTCAGCTTGACTCGCAGTGGGTTTGTCTGGAAGCATATGGCGCCGAAAGACAGCAATCGCAATCAGTCGAGCCAGCGGCGGCACAAGATGGAGATCCTTGCAATATTGGAGGCACCGAGCTCCAAGCAATGCACAACGGAGTGCACAGTCGGATAGAGCAGCGCCAGCCAAAGCCTCCTCCTCCTCCACCTCGCTGGCCGACACAAATGGTGCCTCGTCTACACACCTGGTCGGCTCCGTGAACCAACTCGCCGGCGCCACTACCATGGGGCACATTGACAATCATTGAATGCTCGGTCATGAGGACGTTCAGCATCAGTCCGCAGATCAGAAATACGGCAAGGAGCACCGTGATGGTACAGCAATTCAGGATGCATCGGAGGCCGCTGGTACGGTTGCCGCTGCGTCGAGGCCGGGGTGCAGATGTCCCGAGGAGAGGTTGGAGGTCGGCATCGGGTTGGGGACTTTCAAGTTCGTCGCCCCAGCTGCCGCTCTTGGCGGCGGCCTGTTTTCGAGGGTGGGCCATGGAGCAACGCAAGCGGGTCAATAGGCTACGATGCGGAGGCAGTCGGACTGAAGTCCAGAAAGGTGAATAGAGACGAAGATGCAGATCGAAGCGACGGCACAGCACCCAAGCCGTCCAGAAGGCGGCTCTCGAGGAAACGCAGGCAAGCGCGCCATGCCAAGGTTCTTGCTTGGGCCGACAGGGTCCTGCGCGGGACATGGAAGCCAACAGCAGGGTCTGCTCGGCTGCGTGCCTGATGCTTCTGCAGACGGCAGGAACGCACGACTGATGGCAAGACTGCAATATCGGCAAGACTGCAATATCGGCAAGAACACACAGCCGACGAGAATCCGCGCTCACCCAGTGGTCCAGATATCGGCTCGGATCTGCAGCTCATTCTCCGGCAATCTGGGGAGCTCAAACGATCGCTCCCCGCATCGCCGTTGTTGATCCCTCGACCCTCGGGTGGCTTGAGCCCATATCTAGACCCTCATTTGCACGTATGTGAGCAACCGCCTCCTTGCCGATGAAGGGATTGGGGGACCCGACACACGGATATGCGAAATACTCGCGGCATCTCGGGACATCAAGGCAGTGTCGAAGAACGCAAGTGCATGTTCATATTCGAGAATCTGGCACAACAGAATCTCGAGATCACACCCACAAATTGCCTCATGCACTTGTTGCATCCACATTCTTGGCTTTCCACTCCCGCAGCATCTCCACCTCGGCTTCCAGAGCCATGAGCGCCACATCAAGCTGCACGACCTGGTTCAGCGTCTCCATGTACTTTTGCTGGTAGTCATAGAGACTGGTACCGTGTGCTTGCTGCAGTTCGGCGGGGATCGTGCCAGGCCATGGCATTTCGGATCAGAATACATCGGATGGGATCGGATGCGGGGTTGAAGCGTCGTTTGGGTCCATCCATGCCGTGTTCCAGGATGAACATGGCGACGATAACGAAAAGAAGCGCAGATCAGAATGAGCCACAAGGCGGCGGGATGGTTTCGAGGATATGTCCCGCTCCCGGTGCAGATTCAGCAGCCAGCAGCCCAGAATACAGCTCCCTCCCCGCCTCAGTCGAAAGGCAGTCTCCACCGACCTGATCCAGCTTTCGCTGCTTGTTGATCTCGACAATGGCCTGGCGCTCCTCCTCAATCTTGCGTTCAAAGGCCTGCACCGTATGCTCCAGCTGGAAGTTGTAGAGCTTCCAGGCATTGGCACCAAACTTGTTCATCAGCTCCAAGTTGATCAGTCGGTTGTGCTGGTGTTCGAGCTGGGCATGGGCGTTTTCGACGGCGGCGAGCCATGCATCGGGATCGTCCGCCTGGTCCTCGGCGGGGGCATCGAGCCGGAACTTGCTGATGTCGATCGCATTTAACGGAGTGCCGGCGCGGACTCGAGCGAGCTCTTGTTTCAGAAGGGGATCGTCCTGCGTTGCGAGCAGCGCATGTATGCATTTGAAGTGAAAGCTCAATAATCGTCCATCACCGGGTGCTCAATGGGGCGACAGTGCCCCCACAAGATGAGCCTGCTAGATGCCTGGATGCCTCGGCTCGGCCTCGACGACGGACTCCAGGGCAAGCGAGCAAATCGATCCACCAACCTCAAACAGATTCGTGTATGTCGGGAACGGATTCTCCGGCCTCGACTGTGATTTCTTGATCTCCTCGGCAATCAACGACTGCACATAGTCCCGAGCGCCTGAATCCAGTGGCCGAAACCATCAGCGCCGACATCACCAATAGCGTTGCAAACAGCGTTTGAAAACGATCCGGTCAGCCTCTGATGATTCGCCGAGACGATAACATCTAGCAACTCAGCGGATGCCACAAATCTCACAGCGATCTACCTTCGACTTCGAGTTCACGATCGACATAGGGCAAGCTAACGATGGCGATGGTGGTGGTGATGGTGATGGTGATGGTGATGGTGATGGTGATGGTGATGGTGATGGTGATGGTGATGGTGATGGTGATGGTGATGGTGATAGGGCAGGCAGGCGAATGGGTGAATTGTCAGCACAAGAGTCGTGGCGATCTTTTTGATTCATCACGGAGCAGCTACGGACCTGTCCAGGCTCATGTTGGTGGCTTGTCGGTGGAAAGGGCAGATGAGGGAGAGATCGGTGGAGAGCCGGAGCCAAGATCTGGCCGGATCGTTGGGCATCGGATCTAACCGGGAGGGCTTTCTTGCCCAACCTTCGCCACTATTAACCTCCCCAGGATGTCTGTATTGTATCAACCGGACATCACAGCGTGCAGAGAAGCCGTTCCATCCTCCACCACGCCAATGTGCGCATTTTCCTCTCAACAGGTAGCACCACACGGCAGAGACGCATAACCCAAAAAACGCACAACGAATGCTCACCAAGATGGATGGACATGTGTATTCAGGAGCTCGAGAAAAAGCGCCCGTCGGCCTCAGCATTAGGGTGTCCTGTTTCATTTTGTGGATACTGTAGATAGTCGTTTGCGATGTCGCCGTAGTGGTCCAGCCCACCAACGCCCATGCTCGACATATCTGCCGACTCAAGCGAATACATCAGCTGCTCCAGCTGGGCCGCGCTCAGGTCGTCAAAGTTGTTGTCGATTGTATGGCCCGCTGCTGCTGCTGCTGATGCTGATGCTGCTGATGCTACCGCTGCTGCTGGTCCGTCGCGCTCCTCCTTGATCGATTTGAGCTCCTCCTTCCAGTCCACTTCGGGATGATGGTGAATAAAGTGGTACCGCAGACCACCCAGATTCTTGTACTGCTTGTGGCACTCGATCCCTCCAAAACGGCACTTGTAGCGTCGCTGGCGCTTCTCGCTACCGTCCGACTGCGTGCCATCCTCGTCCATGTGGCCGTACTCGATATGGTATTTGAGTCCGTTGGCGTTCTTGTAGGATTTCGTACAGTTTGGGAACAAGCACTTGTACGGCTTGGACACGGGCGGGTCGGCGCTGCTGCTCGCGGCTTTGGACTTTTTCATGCCCGCGCCCGAGCCTGAGCCCGTGCCTGAGCCTGAGCCCAACCCGCCGCTAGGTCCAGAGGGAACTGCCGGACCCGACATCAAGCCAGCGATGGAATGCGGCGTCGCCGGGGCCGAGACCGAGCTGAGGGCTGGTGATGACGAAGGCGAGTTTGAGGCCGGCGCGGATACAGACGATGCGTGAGATACCCGGGGAGATGCCTTTGGAGAAGGCTGGGGCGAGAACTGTGACATGGGCGTCCCGCTCCTGGTAAAGTACGGATTGATATCGGGCGCCAGATACGAGACACCAACACCTGGAAGGGGCGGCACGAGAACATGGGCGCCGCCTGTTGCGTTGGTTAGATTCTGCGAGTCCGGAACCAGGTCCATCGCAGCAGACTGCGACAGACTCGGGTCCAGGAGCGAGAACTTTTCCATGTATGCATCGGTTGCGACGATCGGAAGAATCGGCGGGCTCTTGAGCGAAGTTGATGTCTCGAGCGACTGGATAATGTCGTCCAGCTCAGTGCGATGGCTGGAGCTAGAGACGGGCCTGTGAATTGGGATCCCGGCTGCGTGCAGCAGGCCGCTTGGGTTGACGAATCCGCCGTCAAAGATCTGGGCGCCCTGGGTGGCCTGGTCTGCTTGGGAAGCGCCATTCACTGGGCCCATTCGGGCAGGAATGCCCGGATACAGGCCAGCAATGGATCCGGATTTGGCGTCGATCTGGGTGCCGTTCAGCTGCAAGAGCGGGTCCGGATGCATAGGGCCCTGGGCATTGTTGGCCAGCATCGATGGAGCCGCGGCGGTGGGAATGCCGCCGGTGAACATGCGGAAGATAGACGCATCGGCCGGAGGTGGCATCGGATTCTGAGAGAGAGCTGGCGTCGGTATCATGGCTTGCGGGGTAGACTGTGCGGCAGACATCATCTCGGGTGCAAGACCTTTGGTGAGTTGCGAGGTGGGTTTGTAATAAATAGTGCCGGGATCTCTTCCTGGTTGGGAAAAGGACCGCTGCTGCGAGAGCAACGGCGAAGGTGTCGACAGCTGAGCAACGTGCTGGGTCTGAGAGGCTTGTGGAAAGATGGTCGAAGTAGACAGGGAAAATGGCAGGATCTGGCCAGGGAGGCTTGCGGTCTGTGCAAGGCCCGGTGGCTGGGCAGCAAGCTGAGCAGCCAGGGCTTCTCGAGCTGCATCCGGGTGAGATAGCGATGCGCGGTTGGGCTTGCTGGCCAGCTGGGTCTCGGAAGCTGGATGCTCGTATTTTTGGGACTGGGAGCGCCCGTGTCGCTTGACATGGTGGCCGGCATGCGAGGCCCTCGAGATGGGATGGGCAAAGGTGCGGGTGTGCGGGCTATCGTGCGACTGAAGATCGGGCACAACAGTGGCATTAGACTGAGGCAGCTGCGAGGGATCAGCCATGGCTGGCGGGTCGAATCCCGGAACCATGCCGCCAAAGTCGGAAGGCATCATCGGGCTTGGGATTCCCTCGCGGAAGCGCTTGAGATCAAACTGGCTATTGTAGGAGCCGATCGAGAAGGCGGCGGTGGTCAGCGAGCGCTTGGCCTGGCCCTGGGATGTTGGTGTGGAGGCCATTGGATCAAAGGCATTGGCTCCAAGTGCCCCGTAGAGTCCGTCAGGGACAAAAGCACGAGCCTGGGCATTGGCAGAGTCTCGATTGTAGATCGGGATGGTAGCGCCGAGAGCGACGGGATGCTGAAACTCGCTGAGACTCGTGCCGAGCATTCTGTCGCTGACGGATGTGCCCAACATCATCTTGTCGCTGATGGATGTGCCAAGCAGCTTGTCATCCACCGAGGTGCCGAGAGACTGAGCAAGATAGCTCAAGATCGAGTGATTTTGTGCAGGGTCGTCAAAGGACAAATACTCGTGGGCGTGGCTGATCTGCAGGTGTTGCATGAGCTCGTTGTAGCTAGAAAAGGTCATCTCGCAGCAGGAAGGAATCGGATAGTCAAAGTTGGAGGTATCGGTTGTGCTGGGGGCTTCAGCGGCGGCACTCGAAAGGCCCTGGCTGCTCTGGATGGCAGAGACGTTCAGCGCGGAGCCTGAGGATGGTGCATTGGAAAGCGAAACAGACGACGTTGAATGACGCATGGACGAGGTGGATGACGTGGCGGATGGATCGAGGATCTGATTCCACATCGCTTCGGGAGCCAGGTACGCAAAGCTGGACGGATCGAGGGTGCCGATGGGTCGAATCGAGCTGGAGCTGGAGCTGGAGCTGGCGCTGGCGCTGGCGCTGGGCACGACCGAGCCGATCATGTAGGGATCGCCGAGAGGCAAGACTTGCGGGGGCAGAGTCCAGTTCGAGATGGCAGCGGATGGGTTGGCATTGGCAGCGCTGAGCCCCGCCGACGAGACGTCCTTGCGAACGGATGGCATGGATTGGGTCCGAACATTGCTGGGCTGGGTGCCGGTGGACGAAACACTTGATCGAGATGACCCGGTGTCGGTACGGAGCAGCGGCAGCCCCGAAGCATAACTGGTGTTGGGGACAGCCGGACTGGTCCGGTGGACCGACGAGCGACTGGAGCCACCGCTGGGCAGGGCAAGGGCGGGTGTGGAGACTGACGGAGTGGGAGAGCGATTCTGGAGAGCCGGCGGTGCCTGCGGTAAGGACTGCAAGCCGAGAGGGTCGGTGACGGTTGGATTTAGGATGGCAGCAGCCGAGGAGCTGCCCTGCCCAAGACCGGCGAGCTGGGAGGCCAGCATTTGCAGCAGGGTCGCCGGCGGCTGGTCTGTGGACGATCGTTTGGAGTTGGCTGTGGACGAAGAGGTTGTTGGGTTGGAGGACTTGCTTGGATCCTGGAAGGGCCCCGAGGCAGACGTGCTGGGTCTCATTATGCGGTCAGTCGGCCGAGCGAGCGGCAGAGGCTAGACGCAGGCGAAGGTCGGGCCGATTAGCGAGAATTGCACTCGAGCTAGAGGTATGAATGAGATGGATGCGCCGACGAACGATGGACGGCCCAGATAGCGGTGGGCGGTGGTCTATGGGCGATGGCTGATGAGCGACGGGCGGCGGAAAGAAGGGGAGAAAATGGCGACCTCCTGTCCCGCAAGGCAATGGGCAGAATCCAGGGACCTCAGGCGCCGACAATGAGGCCAAAGGCGGAGCCGGGATTGGCGCGACAGGACGGCGAAGTGGATGGAAGGTGCGAGGATGGTCTCGCGCTTATGCTGATGAGGCAGCAAGTCGTCGACAGAGACAGAAGACGGAGCCAGAGATACGGGCCGGCGCAGGCAAGGGATGGGAAGAATCTGGCGACAAATGGCGGCGTAGGACTGCAAAGGGCTGTCCGGTTGCAAATGTGGGCGAGCGGACGGCAAGGGCTGTGCGAAACGGGACCAGATTGGCGGCGACAGAGAACCGGAGACGGAGGACGGAGATCGAGTGGGAGGGATGGGCCCAAGGAATTGCGCAGGAATGAGGCCGGATGAGTCGACGAAAGGCCCAGGCAGCGATCCACAAGTCGGGAGTTGTGGATGCAGGATCGGTCGATTGTGCGGGCGAGCGAGCGCGTGCAGCACGAGCATCAAAGGGCTTTCTTTGGAGAGCCGGGATCAAGCGAGACGGATGCAGAATGAGCCGGAGACGCATGAGTCCTGAGTAGCAACGGAATTGGAATCGGAATCAGAATCGGAATCAGAACAGCACGGACGGGACAGATGGTAACATATGGGTCGCGGCACTTGTGTCTCTCTGCACGGCCGCTATTTGCCATTGTTCGATCGCCCAATCCCGCTGGGTCAGGCAGATCAGATGCAGATCAGATGCAGAAGCGACACCCAGGCGAGGACGTTGGCCGTGGCTTTGGGCGAGCAAAGCGATCCAGCCCCGGTGCATAGCGTTGCGACCCCATCTGCCTTTCCCACGGCGGTCAGCGCAGGATCGCCGGTCCCATCCAGGTTGGACCCAACCCTTCTGCAGCCGCACTGCTCTGCTTGCTGGACCGTCACTGCTGCAAGACTTTCCGCTGGCGCACAAAGACTATCGCGATGCAAGTCCTTGACATATCGTTCATGGTCGACGAAGTCGTGCCGTCGGTCTATCTGAGCGGGTATGCCGCACAATCCGTTGCTGCGACGGATTCTCTGGAGCGCCAGCCAGCGACTGACTCTGTTCGCCGACTGGTGTGTCGGGGCGGCCGTTAATCGCAACCACAGGATCCGGCCGGCCCAGGACCCCAACAGGCTCCGGGAGCTTGGGATCACACATATCGTCGATATCAGCAACACCTTCCCAGCGCCGCCGAATCCGGCGATGCCGTCCGTCTCCGTCCTTCGGCTGGGCTGTCGCGACGTGCCCGAAGAAAACATTCTGATCCACATGCCCAAGGTGTTTGCGTTTGTCGATGCGGCGCTCGCTCGCGGCGGCAAGGTCCTGGTCCACTGGTACGAGCAAGCACGACTGCTGCAAGCCGTGAGCGGGTGGTGCTGATCAAAGAGCCAATCTCAGGGCCGCATCAGCGAGAGTGATGTCCAGGCATGGGTATCTCGAAGCATCCAGTCGAGGGTCAAGTGGGCAGCGATCCACATCCGATTTGAAACGCTGGGCCTGGCAGACGGTGGCTGCGGTTGACTGACTGACGAAATGCTCAATCGCCGGGCGTGTGAACTGCCTCCAGCGTTGCAGGTATCAGTCGCTCGCCGACGCTTGTGACGGCCTGGATTATGAAGACAGCCTTTGCCAGCGGAGCAGCCATTACCGTCGAAGAGGCGCTCGACACGGTGCAGAGGGCTCGGCCCTATGTGCAGTTGAGTTTGTTTTGATCCCGCATGTGCGGGCTTGCCCCGCTTGCCCCGGTTGCCTGGTGAAGGTCGCAGAGAGCGGCGCTTGACAAGACCGGGTGCTGATGCCAACTGGGTGCGCGATGCCCATGCGCCCTGGCTTTGCTGGTTTGCACCAACCCCCCGCTGGCTCCAGGCCCAACGAAGGATTCCTGTTCCAGCTCGGGCTCCTTGAGACCCACCGAAGCGTCGAGGCAGCGATCAAGGCGTACGAGGCACTAGCCAACAGCGGCCAGCTGTTTGGCGGGCTGCCGATGACCGAGGGGACCAGGATGAGCTCCTGTCTGCTCATGTAGCAGCGACCTGCACCCGGCATCTGCACAAAACGATGCGTTCTCGACTGGCCTGGGATATGCGACCATCTGCGTGCTCAATGGCGAAATGACGGCGGTGCCTGGCACCACCCAAGCGAGCAAAGGTCCTGGGACATCAAAGAGCCGGAGCCGCCTGGTGCCGCGTGGGGACACAGGCCGGATGCGTGTGCGACGGATGTGCGACGGGAGTGGGACATCGCGGTGTGGCTGTGCAGAGCGCCTGTGTCTGTGTGGCCGGGCTGAGCTGCGTGAGTGGCAGATGGGAGCAAGCTGGAGAGAAGCAGTTGCTGTGGGCGAGTCTGAGGCAGAACAGACAGCACAACAGCACAACAGCACAACAGCACAACAGCACAACAGCACAACAGCACAACAGCACAACAGCACAACGGCACAGCCACAGCCACATGGCCCGGCATTGCGCTCTTCGGGTGCGACAGTGGGCGGGCAGTGGGCGCGCACCGGCCCGCCAGGTGACACCCTTGTTGCCGATGCGCCCCCAGCCCCAGAATAAAACCCCACGCCCGAGCCGCCTGCCCAAGTTGCCGTCGCAAGTCCCCTTCCCTCGCCAGCCCCCGTCCTGGAGCCCCCCTCTTGCTCTTGCTCCTGTTCCTGTTCCTGTTCCTGTTCCTGCTCTCGCGCTCGCTCTTCCCACAGGCACCCCTCATCTCGTCTTCATCGCCAATGACTTCAGAAAAGCCCCTTGTTTCGTCCGACTCGTCCTCGAAGCCGCCAGAGGAGAGCTGGCTCTCCATCGACCTGATCGATGACCGGCTGGCCATCAGCGGGTCAGTTGCAGCGTGTGATTGCCGTCGTTGCTCCTGCTGCCTGTGCTGGCAGTCTTGCGCTGCCAGCCCTGCGCTCCCTCGGCTGCTACCGGGCCCTTCGGATCCTGTCTGAACTCCTGGCCGGTCTTGGGCACTCGATGCCTCCCACTCGCCATTTGCTCTTTATTCGCTCGTCTGGCCGCTGCCACCATTCCATCCATTCCATCCGACCCGGGGCGGCAGCGGCATCGCACGCCTGTATCCGCTAACACCCGACGCGGCGACTTGTGCTCGGACCGTCCATGCAGGCTGCAAGGCGCCCGCAATTGGGAGCTCATCCGCGACCTCGGCATCGTCTACATCATCGACCTGACCGACACCCACTACTACACGGCCTTTCCGAAATTCATCAAATACCACCAAATACCCATGAAGGACAACAGCTCCGAAGTCATGCTCAAGAAGCTGCCACACGTCATCGAAATCATCGATAAAGCCGTCGAGGCAAAGGACGGCAAGGTCCTGGTGCATTGGTGAGTCGGCGAACACACCGTCATGTCGCCGACGGTGTCGTTGCTCCTCGCATTGCTGATACCGTCACCAGCATCGACGGTCGCTCGTCTGCTCGTGTCTGACCTTGCACTTCTCGCCCTGTCCTGCTGCGATCCGCTCCTGGCTTGTCGACTCACAGCGTCGCCGGCGTGAGTCGTTCCACCACCGTTTGTGTCGCCTGGCTCATGATGAGAGATGGCCTGTCAGCCCAAGCCGCCCTGGAAAAGGTCAAGGCCGTCCGCAGTGTTGTCAGGTAGAGTTCGGCATCAGCAGCCATCGTCGGTGCAAGCTGCCCTCGTGTCTGCACCCACTTGCGGTGGCACCGCTGGCACCCGCACCATCGGCACCCACACGCACCCTATCCGTGACTCAGAGTTGCTCGTCGCTGGGTCGGGCATGTCGCCGTCCTGTCGCCATCCTGTCGTCTCACCACCACCACCACGCCAATTGGCTTCTGACCCCCCCCCTCAGACCCAATCCCAGCTTCATGGAGCAGCTCAAGTGTCTGGAAGAGTCCGAAAACGATCCTAGCGTCGCCCTCATTCGGTATCGCGAGATTCATCCTGAGCCACCGGCGAGCCATCTGTGTTGCAGCCTGATGTGAGCCGCTGCAGCATACCCGCAGACGCCCGGCTCCTGGGTCTCACACCAACACCTCAGAGTGCACCCGGTCGACTCGGTCAACATCCTCCAAACCCTGGCGCGAGAGCGCAACCCAGCAGCCCTATCCGCTTATTCACTCCTCCCTGAACCACGTTTGGAGACGAACACATCGCTCTGGACAGAGTCGGCAGTCTCTATAGCCCTGTCCACCCACATCCCCCGCTCGTTGTCCCATTCATGCTACACCCGAACAACACCGATGACTATCGACAGAGGCACCCGTTTCCTCTGTCCAGCGAGCCATCAATGCCTGTCACGATCTGGACTGGCATCCATACTCTGCTGGCCCTCTGTGCACTTTCTCCTGTGCGGCACCCCGGCCGCCCTGGGCCAATCCAGAGAAATGCGTGCGCTTCGGCATCTGCCTCCTCGCATCCTCCTCCCTCCCTCTTACCTTTTCGACACCTCGAGTCGTCCCGTCTATTGTCACCCTCATGAGTTGCCGTGGTCTGGCCCGTTGGCCATATTCCCACGACACCCTTTGATCCGTCCATGTTTCCATCAACTGTGCTGTCCTCCGTCACTCTCCCTGCCACCGAGTTGGTTAATGTATGTATCTTTGTAACCATAACCACATCCGCACTGCATGCGAAAGAGCCAGCGTGTCCAGACACCGCTATCGGTTTGCTGCAGAACCCAGAATCGCCTCGTCCACTCCATCGGATGTATTCGACGCATCTGATGCTTCGACACCCCCCGGAGCTGCTTTAGAGTCACCATGGAGCTGTCTTCTCTGGTGCCAGCGCCAGATGAATACACTCCCTTGACTCCGTCAAACCTGCCTCCATTCCTCCGTCCTTTGCCTCCGTGGTGGTTTCCATGGTCGAACAGTACAGTGCGTCCTTGTGCTGGTCCTGTCGGAGAACAGCTGGATGTCACGGGACCACCTGTCCGAATTTGGACAAATGATCTCGTCCTCGTCTCTCCCGCTCTCGCATCGCCCTCTCTGCCTCGGCCACCATCATCACCGCCTCGTTTCTGCATCGCATCTGCCCAGCGCCGATCCGATCCGACCCGATCGTATCTGCTGATCTGACTTGATCTCCCTGGTCGATCAGCTCTCTGCAGAACCGGTTCAAGCTCACCAGTCGCCACAGCGGTCGCACCCATGAATCCCACCGGCCGATCCAGATCCACTCGTCGGGTCCACGCCCTCACTCTGGATTTGCAGAACCAGCACGGCCCAAGCAGCCCCTCGAGCAGTCTCGCCAGCAAAAATGCCGGCACTTCGATTTCCACCCACCAGATCTTTCTGGAAAAATCCTCGCTCTTCACGAGCCAGCAGGCCATCGACGACTTTCTCTCGGTCGAGGAGAGCCGACACAACATCCGCAAGGCCAACCGGACTCGGTCGGCCGGAGCCGGTCCATCCACGCCAACGCACAACCGAAGGTCGGATCGGCCAGAATCGCGTGACACTCTGTCTACCGCATACGCAGACGAGGTAAACGACGACGGCAACGACAACGACGACAACGACAACGAGCTCAAGGAGAACCAAGGGTCGGTGCTGGGTCGGAATCTCCATCGCTTCGAGCACAAAGCGCAGTCCACGAGAGCCTTTCGGCAGTTGGTCCAGTCCCAGAAATCGATCGAGGAGTCGCTCGACCAGCCAAACAGCGACAACGATGCCGAGATACAGCCCCCATCCACCCCGACCCGGCGGGGCCGCCGTGCCGGCGACACTCCCGCCAAAGCCACACCAAGCAAAGCCCTGTCGAGAGTGGCTCCGGGCCAATTGACCCCATCAAGGCTGGCGTTGGGTACTATCGCTAGCAGCCCCCATCGAACGTCGGTCCTCCAGCCAGCCGACCGCCCGGAGCCCTCGACTCCGTCACGGCGACGAGGCCCCTTGGCTGCGACGGCAACCAGTCGGCTTGCTGCCATCGAGCCCGATGTTGAGCTCCAGGGCGCCGCCACCCCTAAGCGTGGCGGACGTCGTCGAGTGCAGCTCCTCAACAAAAATGAAATGACACCGCGGTCGCAAGCACAGGCACGCAAGCGCATCAAGGTCGATCGCAAGTTCCAGTCCTTGATCGAGAACGAAGCAGAGTCCGACAGCGACGACAATGACAACGCCGACGACAACGACGGCGATGATGACGTCGATGACAGGGGCAATGCCGCGAGTAGCGATGAGGAAGACGACGAGACCAACCATGCAGCCAAAGCCGGTCGTGACGGGATGGCGCATTTTCGAGAGCAACGACTCAAGGTCGTCCTTGAAGGCGAGTCCACAGATGGCGAAGAATCTGAAGCGGATCGCGAGTCCCGTGGCGTGGGACTACTGGCCACGCTGGGCTCGAGCTTCAACAACTACTTCCAGAGCGTCCACGACAAGCGCCATACCACATCCGATCACACGCTGTCGCAGCTGCCGCCCTTGGACCACAAAATCTTCCTGGAAATATCCTCAAAAACTCACCAGATCCTGCGAACCGAGCGCGAGCGACTCGGACAGCTCCATTTCGAGCTGTTTCCACAGTGGTACTTTGAGCTGGCCTCGGGATTCAACCTGCTGTTTTATGGATACGGGTCCAAGAAGAAGCTTCTGACTGCGTTTGTGGGCCGGTACTTGTCGGACATGCATCAGATCGTCGTGAACGGGTATTTTCCGTCGATCAACATCAAGGAGATCATGACCCTGATACTCGACTCGATTGTGGTGCACAAGGGGCCCTGCGGAACCTTGGTCGACCAGGCCCAGCTCATCCTCAGCTACTTTTCAGATCCCAAGCGCAAGCACAAGTCCATCTGCATTGTCGTCCACAACATCGATGGCGACTCGCTGCGGAACGCCAATGCACAAACGGTGCTGGCAATGCTGGCAGGCCATCCACAGATCCATTTGATTGCCTCGATCGACCACATCAACGCCCCACTGCTCTGGGACACGGACAAGCTGAGCCGGTTCAACTGGATCTGGCATGACGCCACGACGTTCGAGCCTCTGACGATCGAGACGAGCTATGAGGGCTCTTGCCTGCGCATGCTGACGACCATGGGCCAGTCCGAAGGCACGAGTCTTCGTGGCTGCCAGTACATCCTCAAGAGCTGCACAGTCAATGCCCGCAAGATGTTCAAGCTGCTGGCCCAGTCGCAAATTGCGCTTGAGGAAAGCCGCATCTCCAAATCCGAGAAAGCACAGACGGACAAGAGGACCAAAGCATCCGGCCGGGGTGGCAAGCGCAAAGCACCCAGCCGCGAAAACGGCGACGACGACGGCATTCCCGACGATGCCGATGGAAACAGCAACGACGGTCGAGGCGCTGGTGATCCTGACGACCATGACGATACCGGCCGGAACGGCGCCGGTGTGGGTTCGAAAGAGAAGGTGGGCATGACTCGCAAGGCCTTCTACCAAAAATGCAAGGAACACTTCCTAGTCAGCAACGACATCACCTTCAAGACACAGCTGCGCGAGTTCCTGGACCACGAGCTGATTGTCGAGACGGGCTCGGGAACAGGCGCGGTCGGGGATATCGTGTACATTCCCATGAACGTAGAACTGCTGAAAACGGTTGTGGCGGACATGGAGTAGTGGCGAACATGGAGTAGTGGCCGACATGGAGTAGTGGCCAACATGGATCAGCGCCAACCACCAACAGCATTCGCATCAGCAGCGGCAGCCGTGCCGTCAGCACCAGTGCCTACTTGAACGACAGCAAGCCCAAGAACACGGATAGGGTGGTTGCTGATCTCCTGCAACTACTCCTCCATGACATGCATCCTTTCCCTTCAACCTGGGTCGTGAGCTGGCTTCATACATTCACCGACACTGATGCACACGATATACGAGTTCAGTTGCACGTTTGAATTCCCGTCTTTGAGCATTGCGTGCCGCCTTTCGTTGAGGCCCTGTGTACACGCCCGCCCGTCCGCTCGCTCGCATTGAGGCTGGCTTTGGGAGTGCGTCGTGGAAGCGTTGTGACGTGCGAAAGCACTCAAATGGAGACTGCCCCGTTTCGCTCCGAACAAACTGTATGCCCATAGTCAAGACTAAAGAAGGTCAAATAGTGCGACACGGTTCATTTTGAGTAGTGTTTACCGTGTTTCAAAGTGAAATGAGACACCCTGTTGAGTTATAGTTGCCAATTATTTCTGATCCTCAATACACCCACCCACTCATCGCATTCGTGGCCAACAGTATGTTCAAGGAGACCGAAGTGGTGATTGCCTTTGGGAATGCCTCGTGGAAGCAAGGGAAGGGGCATGCATCCAGCCCAGAGACTCAGGTTCGCTCGGTATTTCGAGCAATTCACCCACCCATGTGTGCTCGGTGAACGAGTTCAACACATCACAGGTCTGCTCACAGTGCCTGGAAGCCAAGCGAATCGAGAAGGTCGAGTATCTTGATATCAATCCACCATGGAGCTGTCCAAAGGATCGAGTAGATACACCACACAACGAGATTGCCAACCAGGACGAGAAACAATCACATGGCTTGCCACCGGGGCCTATGTAAGTTCGGCAGGCTACAGGCCTCTGAAGCCAGGAAGGAACTGTCCCGTTTCGTTCTGGATAGACTGTATATTGATATAGCATGTCCGCATTAAGGGACAGGACTGTGAGGCAAGAGTGAGCATCTTTGATGCCGCTTTTCTCGACAGGGGGAGGTGGAATGATACAGGAGGAGCTGTGAGGATGGACACAGAGCAGGAGGGCACAGGTAGCCAATGCGCTCGCTGCCTTGGTATGATAGACAGGCAGGTGGAGATGGCAAACGACATCACCAGCAACTCCAAAAAAAATACAAGGGCAGGTGGCTACTCGCCAGCAGCAGCACTAAAGCGGCCCAGGTAGGAAAGAAAGGGACACTTAGTGCAGCTCCTCTGCCGAAAAGTCCACGACGCAGTCCTTGTGCTTCAGCGCGCAATGTCGTTGCAGATCACCCTTGCGGGCAAAGGCCTTGCAGCACGCAGGGCACTGGAAGTTCTTGAGCTTGACGTGCGTTGCCGAGTAGTGCACCTTCAGGTTGTATCGGCGGGTGAAGCCGTTCTGGCAGTCGGGATGCGGGCAGTTGTACTTTTTGGTGACGGGGTCGCGCTGGACAAGGTTGGTGATCATATCGGACTCGATCGAGGTAGCCTCGGTGGGCCTGGGCAGGACGAACCCGTCGGGCAGAACGAGGCCGCCAAAGAGCGAGGGCAGCGGCGACGCCGGAGATGCGGGCAGGGGCAGGACAGGCTGGAGGCCGGCGAAGGCAAAGGCGTTGGCAGGATGGAGCTGCATGTGTGCCAGAAGAGCAGCGCTAAAGTCCAGGCCGGAGGGGTGGCAGCCAAAGGCAGCCTGGTCGGCAAAGAGATTGGCAGGCGGGCTCGAGAGCGGCGACAGCATGTCCGTGGCGGCATCGGTGGTGGGCGTGGAGGGCTCAGGAGAGTGCTCCAGGATATCGGAAAAGTCAAAGAGCGACGAGACGCAAGCCTGCAGAGGCGAAGCGACCGAGGGAGACGACGGAGACGAGGGAGCCATGTCGGTCATCATTTCGCTGTCGGGAGTATCCGGGGCGGCCGAGTCGTGGCATGGGCCGAAGAGGCCGTCGACGCACATGGGCAGGATTTCGGGGGCGGCATAGAGGGCCTCGGGCGTGCGCATGCACTCGTCCAGGAAGATGCTGGGCATGGGGCAGTCGCCGTCGGCGTTGCAGATGGGAGAAGGCGGAGGGCTGGGGCACGACATGTCGATCTGGAACGAGTCGTTGCGGGGCAGGCTGGCTGAAGCCAGATCAAAGTCGAAGTAGTTCTGGAAGGAGAGCGAGGACTTTGGCATGGAAGCGGAGCTGGTGTGGAAGGACATTGCGATGGTAAATTGTGGGGAGACTGGCGGGTGTATTGGCTCGAGCTGATGATCCAAGTTTGGGTGCGTTGGGTGCGTTGGGTGCGTTGGGTGCGCTGATGTCGTCTGCAGTGTGGGCGACCGCCCCCCTTTTTATGTCCTCCTCGGCCCAACAGGCGGCGTCGCGGTGGCGGGACCGCTGCCCAAATGCGGCAGGAGCCACATGGCAGAGGCTGCCGCAAGAGGCAAGTGCCATGCGATGTATCCGCACGGCCGCATCCCCCGATCGGGAAAGAGCCATGTGCCCCCATGTGCCACTTGCCTCTTTTGGCAAGCTCCTACGCCCTCGCATCATGCGCCCACGACGACCAGCGCGATGCACAGCCTTGGCGAAAAGCCGTCGTGGGCCCAGCCGGCTCAACCGGACCAGGTTGCTGGGGGGGGGAGGGGGACCCGCTGGACTGTGTTGGCTGGACGGCCGCAGCCGCCACCCACGCACACGAAGCGAGCTTGCTGGTGGAAGGAGGTCACAATACACGGGCGCACGGGCATGTTGGAACAGGTACAATGTGTATTCGGGATCCAGGCAGCAACTTTGGCTTCGACGGAGACAGCTTGCCTCATGATGCCGATGATCACGAGAGAGCCAAGCCGCCCAGGGTCATCTGTCCGATGCACACCAGACAGTCCGGATGAAACTTTTCGCTCTTGAAGTAGCGAGCCATGACCCCGCGAGCATCATCGTCGACCTTGATCGAGTCGCACTCAAAGTCGAGGCTCATCTGGCTACCGTTGTCGGCATGTTGCTCGTCGCGGCCTTGATTGTCGACACATGGGCTGTTGTCCGGGCAGTTGGGCCTGCAGCTTCCATGGCTTCCTGGTCCGTCCTCGATCCACTCATCGTATGCTGTCGTAAGACGCACAAAGTCACCCCTCGCAATGTCTTGGATGACATTTGGGAGCACGGCTCTCGGCGGCTCCGACGGCTCGGTCGAGATCGAGATCGTCCAAAAGAGCGACGGCTGGCTGCTCTTGGAAAACAGGCAGGGATGAAGCGCCGGCGGTGCGGCCGACGGCAGACCTTGGAGAATGAAGGCCGTGCGGCTCGGCAGAGCAATGAAATGGCCGCTGAAATGGGAGAACGGCCGACCGCCAAGAGATGCTGGTGTGTCGCTGGGATGAAAGCACAGGACGGCGATGCCAGAGCAAGCCGGGTGCTCAATCTCGGGCTCGTGCATTTCCGATCTGACCCGCCGTGCTGGGCTTGCGTTTTGTCAGAGCGACGGTGCAGATCTGGGACAGAGGTTATCGGAGCCCAAGAGCGACCGGCTGGGATGGAGGCTCAGATCGCGGGCAAAGGCGGATCGCAGACGGCGCTTGCACCAGCCAGATCAGGACCGCACAGCCACCGAGGGGTGCGGCGCTGAGGACAGCCCAGAATCGGGAAAATGAGTGCGCTGATGTATTCGTGCTGGGTTCTGGCTGGGATCAAGAATGTGGGGGCAAGAATTGAGTGCAGAGGGATCAAGTGGATGTCTGAAGCGAATGCAGATGGGGGCTGGGTGCAGATCTGAGTGCAGAATGCTGGTGATGAGCAGCGATCTTGGCGGACTGGCCGGATGTCGATCAGTCCAGGGCAATTACGGGGCCAGAGATTCGGTGGGCTCTTCTGCAACCTAGACGTACTGCTGACACAGGGCACAATACGAACACAACAGTGAGAATCCTGCATGATGTCAAATCAGGCACTGTCCATTGTCGGCAACTCGACAAACATCCTATCGCCTCTCGGAGCACCCCTTACCTGGTAGTTCTGGAAGCCATATTGGATGTTGTTGCGGTTAATGCGCCAGGCGTCGTTCATGATGCCTCGGGTGGCCTGCTCTTTGGCAGCAATCCGAATAAACAAGAACACCGAGAAGACGAGCCCAACCAGCTCAATGACTCCAATGACGATACCCGCGCCACCGATGGTCGAGAGAGAGCCCTGCAGAGCATCCCGCAGACTCGAGAAGCATCCCTGGGTGTAGCCATAAGCGGCGGCACAGTTGGTGGGGAGGGGGCTGTCGGTGACGTTGTGGAATCCGCAGCACCCAAACTGGTAATGGAAAGAAAGCGTCGATCAGCCATCCAGAGCTATCAACAGCAGACCGAGCCAGCATCTCCTCGCAAGCACAGCGGCAGCGATAAAACGCACCGACTTCTCCACGGTCAGGATCAGCGTGTTGTTGTTTTGTACTTGCTGGTACCAGTTTGTTTCGAGCAGTGGGACAACCTGGGAATGCGCAAGCAGGAGATGAGCAAATGGGAATGCGCAAGCACGAGATGGGTCGCTGCTATCGACACCATGACACCACCACACCTGAGGAAGCACTGCGGCATGAGCGCAGGCTTCCACCGCGGCTGCCAAATCAGCGTGAATATGCAACCTACGCCGTTGCGCTGGGTATAGCCAGCGATTCCCACGCCAAGCTCCAGGATGATGAGTAGAATGAGAATGGCAAAGTAGGTTTTGAGGAGAAGTCCCTTCTCGTTGGCAGCGCCAAAGCATCCCAGAAATGAGACCACGCTGACAATGAGGCCGATGACGATTGCTGCGACGGCAATTCCGCTTGAAATGCCGATCAGATCGTCTGAGGGCGCTTGGGTCTGGATGTAGCAGCCGCCACAGATGAGGATGATGCCGGCCAGCTGGGGAATGGCAATTGTAGACAGCATGGGGCCACCGATTAGTGCGTTGTGAGGGGAACTCTTGTTGCTCGCTGCGATGAGTGCCAAACAACTGAGCCCAGGCCAACCCATGAACAGCACAGCCAGCATCGCCAAATCTGACGCCTGAATCCCGCCCGTCGCTCGACCGCACCCGTTGCATACCATCGATAGGAAGTTGATGAGCAGCAGGATGTTTTTGACCAGCATAAAGCCCGTGGCCGACCAGAATGTGTTCTGGCTAAACGAGAACGTCGAAATCTTGGACATGAACGGCATCTCGACAAGGTCCTATAGCTTGCGTTGTGTTCAGTGCAGGGGGAGTACAGTCGCTTGAAGCAGAAGCGGGGTTGGTTGTCTCACATACAGCCAAGGGAAGATAGTGCGCTTTGGCTTCCAGACGAATGAGTTTCAGCACAAAAGCCTTGAGGGTCTGCCTTTGGCTCAGCAATGCACGCCGTCGGTTTGCAAGGAGGCAGAGTACGACAAACTTATACAGACCCTAGAGCACACATATGCTCGATTCCGGCGTTCTAGCAGTGCATCCAGGCGGGCTGCAGATACATATTCGCAGTCGGGGAGGAACAGCATTGTTGGCAGCGCATGATGTCACTCGTCGGTCGACATATTGCGAGTGCACGCAGCCACTTGCGCAGAGGGCCTACATATTGCTCAAGGGGAGGCGTCAATCAGTCCCCAGAGCCTGCGTCGAAGATCAGATCGGATCAGTCTGCGATGTTCGGTTGGAATCGGCCACAGGCCAGCTCGCTGTCGCTGGGATGAGCGGAGAGGATCAGCGGGAATGCACAGTTGTCCATGAGGCAGCCAACATGCACCGGACCGCATACTTCTGCATGGTCATTACATGCTTCTGCATGGCCATTGCTCTCGCCGATGCGCCGTCGATTGCAGCGCTGGTATGTGTTGTCGCCTGTGGGATTTGCTTGCCGCACGCTGTGGCAGTGGCAGTATTCTGTCGCTTGTTCGGACCGGGGCTGGGCCGCCCCCGCCAAGACAAACAGGCGGATTTCAACGGTTGTTCCCTCCCCGCCTGGCTTGTCCTTGCGCCATCTCATCTCCTTGGCTCTCGCTTCTATCGACTGCACCCGCCGCCATGTCGTTCGGAGATTTTGACAGAGCCTCATCGAGTCCGCGCCAGTATGCCATCAACCTCCAGTCTGCGCCTTCGGGCCTCGCAGGTCCGTCCCAGACCGGCACACCGGCAGCCGGCGGATGGCAGACCGTCAACACCAACACCTGTTGTCGCTGCCATCGACCATGCTGTCCCCTGCTTCCCGCTCTCGGCTCATTTCCACCTGCATAGCTGAGCCGAGGCTGTTGGTACTGCGTCGACTCCCCCGACCGTTGCAGCCGGAATCGGCAGTGGCCTCCACTCTGCCGCCGCTGTCGATGGACCATCGTTGCTGACCTGACCGCCCCTGTCTCTCGCCGGCTTCTTGCCTTGCGCTTTCAATACACCGATACGGCCCGACAGACTCGGACGGCGAGCGATCCTATTCCAAGATGATGGATCGATCCTCGCATACCATTTTCATGATCTCCAACAACGTCGCCCACATTCAAAAATATGTTTCCAACTTTGGGACGGCCAAGGACTCAGAAGACGCTCGCAAGAAGCTGTAGGTATCCCGGCGCATCCCGCTCCGCACCCAGAGTCGTGTCTTCTGGAGCTGCAAAGCTGGATATACTCCCGGAAGTGGGCTTGGCGCAGGCACCAATCGCGGTCGTTGCTGAGTAGTGTCTTGGCCTGTCGCTTCTGGAGGCAGGGCGACAGACGAGAGGCGGCGTCCAGCATCTGATGCCATGTTCGATTTTCTACCCGCAGGACCGAGCTGACCAACGCCACCCGCAACATGATCAAGCAGACCACGATTGATCTCAAAAACCTCTCCAAGCTCGAGAACGATAACGTACGACAACCGCTTTGCAAGCGGGACACGCACGGAGATGGCAATCTGCGGGGGGCGCCAGTATACCACAGAGACTGAGTCGCTAACACATCCTCTCTTCCACTCTCTTCCCTCTCTTCCCTCTCTTCCCTCTCTTCCCTCTCTTCCCTCTCTTCCTTCTCTTCCCCTCTCTTCCCTCTCTTGGCCTGCTCCCCGACTCGGCGGGGTACCAACAGCGACAGCGCAAGATGGCTCATCAGAAGCTCCAGAAGGATTTCGAGGATGTGCTGGGCCGGTTCCAGAGCGTCTCCAAGCTCGCGGCAGCCAAGTCGCGTGAATACGTCATCCGTGCTCGGGCCCTCCAACATGCGTACGTTCGAAAACACTGTGACGGGCACAGGGGACATTCGACGACCTGTGGATCGGTGTGCATTCCGGATGCTAATATCTCACTATCTTCTTTGGACACTTTGCTGACAATGCAGCGAGGAGGAGGACGAAAACGCCGGAGAGAATCAGCCCCTGATCAGCCAGCAGCAGCGGTAGGTGCCTCACGGTTGCGCCTTATGCTGTGACTCCGACGGAGTATAGCTTGGGATACGGAACATGCAGGATTGAGCGACATGCCAATCCAGATACTGCGGCGGCGACTCGCTCCATGGATATCTGCCACAAGGAGGGAACTTGCAACTCAAACCGCAAATGGCACCACTGTATCTCTGGGAATCCCAACTCACAGGCTGCAGATCCATGCCGTCGAGTCCGAGCTCCAGTTCAACGAGGCCTTGATCAACGAGCGCGACGGAGCAATTCGTCAGATCGAGCAGTCCATCGTCGAAGTCAATGAAATCTTTCGAGATCTGGGAACGATTGTCAACGATCAGCAGCACCATCTGGGTAGGTGGCTTGGATGGGGAGGGTAGATTCGCGCTGCAATTTCGACTTGGCACGGACATGGCCAGCTATTGCCGGGCTCAGTAGCAAAGCACAGCCTCCTCAGTATCGTCCCGATGTCGCACTCCCTTTCGCACATGCAGATAACATCGAATCCAACGTCGAAAGTGTCGCCATCAACATGGAAGATGCAACGACCGAGTTGCGAACGGCGAGCCAAGCACAGCTGCGGGCCCAGTCCCGCAAATGCTACTTGATGATCCTGCTGGGCGTCATCGTTGTGATCTTCACGATCGTGATCTTCTCCTGAAGTCGGCCTGTGGTCCTGATTGTATGCATATTATCGTTGCAGCTCTGGAATCGGGTTCCAGTCGCAGTCGACTCGCCCGATGCCCGAAAGCCTTTCCTCCTTTCTTCTGCTTGTCGGTGAAGCATCCGGCGCAGGCCATTGCTCCCATCTCCCCAGCCCCGGAATCGGATCGCTAGACACCTCGTTTGCACTTTTTCTTTTTGGTCCAAAAATACACTGTGCTGAGAGCGCCTGGATAGAGCGGGCCGTGTTGAAGTGTCTGGAGACAGCGGATTGTTGGCACATGGCCGATCGACTCCAGTGCCATGGTCGCCAGTGGCGTGGTTGCAGGCGGTGGAGGCGACGGACTGAATCATGATTATGGTGATAGCGGCAACCCCAGATGTCGGCCGATGATGCATGAAGGCATACATATGAGCGTCGATGCATGAAGGGACACTCGGAGGCGTTGGGCTCGGCGAGACCAGCGCAGACGGGCTGCAGAGGGATGATTTGTGTTTGGGGTGCTGCGGAGCCAGAGGTATCGGGAGAGATCGGATGGAGTTGTGGCGGCGTCGGTTGGTTGCTCATCGCTTGCCACCAAAAACCCGCCGCCACCCATCCTGGAATTCAGAGACAAAGACCTCGGCAAACTGGCAAAGTGGTCAGGAGGAGACGGTCAGTCAGAGGCAGCACGGAGCAAAGCTCCTGGAATGCCCATCGAGCTTGCACAAACGAGGCCGCCGTCTTCACTTGATGGCGACGGATTCATGGCCGCCGTGACTCATGAGCGAACGAGTGCGGCTCAGTGAATCTCCCAGATATATAAATGCATGTCCGAGGCTCTACGGCTTTGGCTCACCGTTTTGATTTTCTCTGCAGTTTCGTTGTTAGCTTGTTGGTCGTTCATTGACTCGGCGATCTTGCCGGCTGCAAACAAGAGCGACGCCAGTTGTCAGCAGATGCGGTCCAGACCAGAGGCGGCCGGTGTCGTTGAAGCAAGAATCTATGCCGAGTGAACGGTGCGGCAAGACAGCATCCGTTGCAGCGATCCTGCGGTAGCAAGTGGGGGGGGGCAAGCACTCTGAGACGATCATTACTCTGCTTCCCGAGGTCGTTGATGTGGGTTGTTGTCTTGTGGGCAAAACGCTGAAACGTAGGATTGTTGGACAGGGTCTCGACGATAAAGTTGTGGATGACTCGTCTCCAGGGCATGGCAGATGGGCAGATGGGCAGATGGGCAGATGGGCAGATGGGCAGATGCGGGGCTGTCTGCGCTCGCTGTCGGGGGACTGGATCAGACAACAGGATCAGACAACAGGATCAGCAAGCAGCGTCCACAGAAAAAACTCGCAGGCACGACAGCGCATAAACCAGGCGGGCTGACGCGGGCACGTGGGCGCCATGGGCGGATCGAGTGCGATCGAGCCGGGTCGAGGGCGGCGGATCCAGCCAGCGAAGGCCATCGAATCCACCAGAACAAACACGGCGAGCGCGCCAAACAAGCGGGCGGGTCAGGGGGGGCCAAGCCACAGGGGCGCCAAACAGGCGAGCGCAGCACGGGTGTCGCGCTGTCGTCGCACGGGGGTATCCCAAAATAGCGGCAGGCGGCTGCGCGGGAGGACAGCGAGGACCGAGGCGGCAGCAGCGAGGCATCGGCGAGGAGAGAGAGTGGCGAGAGCGCTCTCGCCCACGCGGTTGGCGCGGCGAGCTGCATCTCGCTGTGCATGGACACCTCGCCGAGAGCGTGCCGAGGCCGCGGCGGAGACGGCGGAAGCCCACAGAAGGCAGCGGAACGCTCAATCCTTTCGTCCCCCCAGCCCCGCTCCGCCGCTGCGGTTTTTTCTTTTCATGCCTCCGCCGGCGATCTTGCGCGAGTCCATATAAATTGCGGCCCCGCCCCGCCCCTCCTTCGCGGCCTCCATCGCTCGGACCTTTCCCACACTTGCCAGTTGATCGCTATTCTACCATCCAAAATGGCCGAACAGGAAACCTTTGCCTTCCAGGCTGAGATCTCTCAGCTGATGTCCCTGATCATCAACACCTTCTACTCCAACAAGGACATCTTCCTCCGTGAGCTGATCTCGAACGCCTCGGATGCCATCGACAAGATCCGCTACCAGTCCCTGACCGATCCCTCGGTCCTCGAGGCCCAGAAGGAGCTGTTCATCCGCATTACCCCTGATGTCGAGAACAAGGTCCTGGAGATCCGCGATACCGGTATCGGTATGACCAAGGCCGATCTCGTCAACAACCTCGGCACCATCGCCAAGTCCGGCACCAAGGCCTTCATGGAGGCTCTGCAGTCCGGCGCCGACATTTCCATGATTGGTCAGTTCGGTGTCGGCTTCTACTCTGCCTACCTCGTTGCTGATCGCGTCGAGGTCATCACCAAGCACAACGACGACGAGCAGTACATCTGGGCCTCGTCCGCCGGCGGCTCCTTCACCATCACCCGCGACACTGTCAACGAGCCCCTCGGCCGCGGCAGTATCCTCCGCCTGTACATGAAGGAGGACCAGACCGAGTACCTCGAGGAGAAGAAGATCAAGGAGATTGTCAAGAAGCACTCCGAGTTCATCGGCTACCCCATCCAGCTCGTCGTCGAGAAGGAGGTTGAGAAGGAGGTCGAGGACGAAGAGGCCGAGGCCAAGGCTGAGGACGAGGATGCTGACAAGCCCAAGATCGAGGAGATCGACGAGGAGGAGGAGAAGGCCAAGAAGACCAAGACCATCAAGGAGAAGACCAAGGAGACCGAGGAGCTCAACAAGACCAAGCCCCTCTGGACCCGCAACCCCGAGGACATCACCACCGAGCAGTACGCCGCCTTCTACAAGTCGCTCACCAACGACTGGGAGGACCACCTTGCCGTCAAGCACTTCTCGGTTGAGGGCCAGCTCGAGTTCCGCGCCATCCTCTACGTCCCCCGCCGCGCTCCCTTTGACCTCTTTGAGCAGAAGAAGAAGCGCAACAACATCAAGCTGTACGTCCGCCGCGTCTTCATCATGGACGACTGCGAGGAGCTTATCCCCGAGTGGCTCAGCTTTGTCAAGGGTATCGTCGACTCTGAGGATCTCCCCCTCAACATCTCGCGTGAGATGCTCCAGCAGAACAAGATCCTGAAGGTCATCCGCAAGAACCTCGTCAAGAAGTGCATTGAGATGTTTACCGAGATTGCCGAGGACAAGGAGAACTTCAACAAGTTCTACGAGGCCTTCTCCAAGAACCTCAAGCTCGGCATCCACGAGGACTCGACCAACCGCAACAAGCTCGCCGAGCTGCTGCGCTTCCACTCGACCAAGTCTGGCGAGGAGCAGACCTCGCTCAAGGACTACATCACTCGCATGCCCGAGGTCCAGAAGAACATCTACTACATCACCGGCGAGAGCCGCGCTGCTGTCGAGAACTCTCCCTTCCTTGAGGTCCTCAAGAAGAAGGGCTTCGAGGTCCTCTACATGGTTGACCCCATCGACGAGTACTGCATCCAGCAGCTCAAGGAGTTTGACGGCAAGAAGCTCATGAGCTGCACCAAGGAGGGTCTCGAGCTCGAGGAGACCGAGGAAGAGAAGAAGGCCGCCGAGGAGCAGAAGGCTGCCTACGAGGGTCTCATTGAGCAGATCAAGGAGATCCTCGGCGCCAAGGTCGAGAAGGTTGTGATCTCCAACCGCATCACCAGCTCGCCCTGCGTCCTCGTCACCGGCCAGTTCGGCTGGTCCGCCAACATGGAGCGCATCATGAAGGCCCAGGCCCTCCGCGACTCGTCCATGTCGTCGTACATGGCCTCCAAGAAGACCCTCGAGATCAACCCCAACCACTCGATCGTCAAGGCCCTCAAGACCAAGGTCGAGTCGGACAAGAACGACAAGACCGTCAAGGACCTCACTCACCTCCTCTTCGAGACTGCCCTGCTGTCGTCGGGCTTCTCTCTCGAGGACCCTTCGGGCTTTGCCAACCGCATCCACCGCATGATCAAGCTCGGTCTCTCGCTTGACGACGAGGAGGTTGTCGTTGCCGACAACGATGACGACCTCCCCACCCTCGAGGAGGCCACCGCCGAGTCCAAGATGGAGGAGGTCGACTAAACGCCTGGCGCTCCCCGCTGCTCGGCCGCGCTGCCGGATGGATGGGTGGTTCGCCTCGCTGACGAGCCCGTAGATTCCTTTGATCTTTACCCATTGCTGACCTTGTAATTCATTCCCTCCCGATCCCCGCTTTCTGTCTGCATGTATATGTTTCATCACGCCCATGTGCCGCGCTTGCGATCTGCACAATAAATTGCGATTCTCTGCAAACGCTGGTTGTCCCGTCCTATCCACAGCGCGGGGCCTGATGCCTTGGATGGATGGATTCCTGTTGGCTATGGCTTGCTGGGCGATTTCCCGCCTGAAAGAGGAGAAAGTCTGCGCCCGCGCCAAGCCCGCTTTGGCAGAGCGTGTGCTTGCCCGTCTTCCCCCCTGCTGTTCCTCCTCCGCCAGATCGCATCGTGCATCGTGCATCGTCGCCGCCATCTGCACACCATGTCCATCATCAACTACGCTGTCTTTTTGACGCTCTGCGTCGAGGTGCGGTTGCTGTCCGCTGCATCGCTCCCCGCTGCATTGCTGATCAAAGCTGACTGGGCGCCTGCCTTTCCCTGCTTCTCTCGCACCCTGGCAGATCGTTCTCTTCCTGGCCCTGCTTCGTGAGTGTTCTGGCTGCGCCGAATGTCCTCTGGCCCTCTGAACCGATCGGCCCCACCACCGTCGTCGCTGACATCGGCGCATCGTTCTGACTATCTTGCTGCAACTATCCCTGCCAGTGCCGCTCCCGGCTGCCTGGCGTCGCCCAGTCCTCCTGTCGATCTCGAAGAGCCAGCTGCTCAAGAAAGCCCAGCCGGCCGTCAGCATCGTGCTTGCGTATGTTCCAGCCGTTCATTCCGTCTGGTCCTGCTGCCTTACCTCTCCTCTGGTGCAGCCGTCTGAACCATCTCCATCTCAGCGGTCTCGTCGAGTCTATCAGCCGCAGCTCAAACACACATGGCACGAGCGCTCATCCGGCTACATTTTCTCTCGATCTCTCGCCTCTCTTGTCCAGCATCGTCGCCTTGGCATTCTTCCAGGCCTGGTCCGATGCCTTCCCGGACGAGAAACCGCACCACCACCACCACGGCGATGATCATGACCATGTCCATACGGTCGATGCCATCAACCTGCAATATGCCTTCAACAAGAAGATCTATGGCCAGCGCAACCTGTACTTGACCGGGTCCGTTCTCTTCCTGGCCCTCACCATCGCTCGTGTTTTTTACATCATGATCGAGCAAGTTACCTTTGAAGAGAAAACCAAGGCCGCCATGAAGCAAGCCCAAGGATCGCAGACGGCCTACCTGGTGAGATCTTGGCGAGGCAGTCCATGGATGTCGCATCCAGCTATATATTCTTCCTTCCTGTTGCCTTCCGTCTTTCGACCATGCTAACAACCCATCTCCTCGACAGACCTTGGTTGAGGAGTCCGAAACCAAGGACAAGACCATAGGTACTCGTCCGCTGCGGCTGTTGTTCGGATCGGCATGCGATCACCGGCAGTACCATCAGGCGCTCGACGCTGAATTGACTGCCCACTCATCCTTGTATCTCTGCCCATGTCACCCCCAGCCGACCTGAAAAAGGAGCTCGAAACGGCCAAGAAATCGTCCACGGACATTGAAACCCTGAAGAAGCAGGCAAAGTCCCTTAACGATGGTGCGTGTCTCTGGACCACTTCCTGAATCTGCCGATGGGTCTGGCAATCCTCGCATCCCTGCATTGCACACTTGTCCTCTCTGACGTTCAGTGGATGCGTCTACTTGCTGCTTGCTGGCGACTTTCCTCCGTCTGACTGTCCCTCTGCCCTCCATCGGATCGATCTCGCTGCGCCGCCGTAGAGTACATGCGGCTCACGGACCACTGCGCCAGTCTGGAGAAGCAACTGGACCAGCGACAAGAGAGCAGAAAAGACAAGTGAATGCCTTCCTTCAGCCCTCCGGCTTACTCAAATCCAGCGATCGCAAAGTGAACCAGGACGCCATGTTTTTGATGGCATTGGTTGCCTCCCTCCACCGGCGATGCCGAATATATGCATGTCCAATCGCTGTAGGGTGCTATAGACTGGATACCAAGCCTCAGCAGGGTCTCTTTGGCGGTCAGCGTTCGAGCGACCACCCAACGACGAAGGAATTGTGTGCTCGCATGCAAGAGCCGGGTATCCGTCTCTGGCTCCTGCAGAGGCTCCATTATCCCTGGAAGATAGCGACCGCACCGTGTATCCTATGATATCCTAATTTCGCAGAATGCAGTCTCCACCAGCGTCCAGCCCCAAAGACAATCGCTCCGAGAGGAAGGAGGGGTGATCGTCGAGAGCCCCCAGCCAGTCAGCCAGCCAGCCAGCCACGGCTGAGAGCGGAAGCCTCGTGGTCATCGCACTCGCGCCGTCCAAAACGCAAAGCGGGGGTTCTCTCCGGAATCTGTCAGCGACACCACTCTGCCCAGCCGCCCAGCTGCCACCATGAAGTGCAAGACGCTTCAGATCCGATGGCACGACATCATGCCGATATTCGCCGTTGACTTTGAGCCGTCTCCAAAGCCTCCCAGCCAGCACGCCCGGCTTGCGACAGCCGGTGCCGACGGAAACGTTCGGGTGAGCAACTGGCTGGTCAGATCTGGCATCGCCATCCTCCTGCTCCTCCAAGATTCTCGCAAACTTTTGTCAGCGCCAAGGACGATGGTGATGCCGATGCGAATGGCTCTCTCTTGTGCCTTCCAGTGCTGAGGAACACTTGGGATGCGTCCGATCTACCACCAAGGCACTCCGGACATGCGAATCCGAGTCGGCATTTCCGGTGCAGCTTTGATCTTGGCTTCTCGTCAGCAGGACAGCCTCTCGACGATCGGTGCTGCCCTCCCCCACCTAACTGTCCATATCCAACAGATCTGGAGAATCGTCGGTGCCGACCATGAGCTCCCCAAGGTCGAGTTTTTATCGAATCTGAGTCGCCATAGCGGACCTGTCAACATTGTTCGATGGTCTCCAACTGGTGGGTTTCTGGAGCCGTGGCTCGCACAGCCAGTTCCACCTTTCGCTCTGGCCGCTGGACCGGCGTACTTTCAATCCGACTCGCTCGACGCACTCAGTCTGCGACATCAACTTAGTTGTCACTGCCGCTGTCACTCCTGTTGTCCTCGTTTGCCGATTGCTCTGACATCTCATCTCGCCAAACGTTGGGCACCTGTTCGTATCCACAGGGGAAACGCTGGCGTCAGCCGGCGACGGTAGGTCGACGGATACGATCATGCAGATTCGTTCATGGCCGAACGCTTGTGGCCTGGATCCAGCCCAGCCCAGCCCGCGATTGGATTTCGGCATCAATCCTGAAGTAGTTGCCGTACAAGTCGGATCGTATCTGCACATTGACCCGTTCCGAAATGCTGTCCTTTCCCAAATGCCATTCGCCTCCCGACACCCCATGGGATCGCTTGTCCTTCGATTTTTCAACCCCAACGTTAGATGGAACGATCATACTCTGGAGGCGAGTTGAAGGTGCTTCCGAAGCGCAAAATGCACTTCAGGATGATGACGAGATCGAAAGTATGGAGACCTGGAAGGTGGCAACAATCATGAGGTAGGTGGACTTGGCGGCGAACCCAAGGTGACGGAGGTGCAGTCCGTCCAACTCTTCCCACTCCTTGGTCTAACCTCTATTCGCCGGACAGAGCTCTGGGATCCGAAATCTATGACCTGACATGGTCGCGGAACGGTGCATATATCCTGTCGGGATCGATCGATAACACTGCCCGTCTGTGGGATGTCAAAGAAAGTACGTTTGCCCACACCCAGATGGATCGAATATGCAGATGACCCAACTCCGGCCCTGCCAGGACAGTTACATCGGTGTCGCTCTGCCTCACTCCACCACGCATTTATCACACGTTGCCCTAGATCGGTGCATCCATATCCTTTCGGATCATACCCATTTCGTCCAAGGCGTAGCATGGGATCCTCTTGGCAAGTACATTGCCACACAAAGCAGCGATCGGTAAGGATCCCAGTCCACCGCTCCACAAAGTCGTCGACGTTAGTGATTGTACGGTCTACTCACAGGCACCACTCTATGTGTGCACTTTTTCAAGATCTGTGTTTGTCTACCAGTACAGCTTTGCTTCTAGAGGCAACAAAGACTCATCCATCTCCATCAAGCGAGTGGGCGCAATGTCCAAGATAGCAGAAAGGGCTAGCTCCAAGGACAGCTCTGAGAACGTCAGGACGAAGCATGAAGGGCAGATTTCCGAGCATCAAAATCACGGCTCGGAAGTTACTGACGCAAATGCAGCGACATCGGATGCGCCGACCCCAGCTGCATCAAAGTCTGCACCAAAAGCGTTCCGGATGTTCCACGATGAAACCTTGACCTCATTCTTCCGTCGCCTGACTTTTACTCCGGACGGATCGATGCTGTTGACCCCCGCGGGCCTCTACCGCAACCCCCAGTATGAGGGTCCCTCGAATCCCTCAGCGCCAGCGCCAGCGTCTTCCAGCGACACAAGTGAATTCAAAAATGTGTTTTATGCCTATGGCCGTGGGAAGCTGGAGGGGTAAGATTCACATGCAGCTTGAGACAGCGATGACGGCCAGGCACTTGTCGCTGCGAGCTCCTTATCAGCCGATCTTGGTGTTGGCTCCCTCGCACCATGAAGCCACAACCGTAGCTGTTGCTTCGAACACACATCGGCTGTCGAGCGTGCTGGTACGGCTGGGCTTGGCCGTCATTTGGCCCTCCAAAGTCCTTGGTTTGCTCACCATATGATCCGCATTTTGCTGTGAACCCGACAGCGACGAGCCGCTGCTCTATTTTGGGGGCCACCGAAAACCCGTCATCGCCATTCGGTGCTGCCCAGTTGCCTTTCGGCTTCGCGAGATCGAAGCTTCCGATCCAGAGTCACAAAAGCCTCCGTCTCTCATTCGACTGCCGTACCGACTCGTCTATGCGATTGTAACTCAAGACTCGATCGTTGTGTATGACACTCAGCAAAGCAGTCCGTTGGCCATGCTGTCGAACCTTCACTACTCGACATTCACGGATCTATCATGGTAAGCAAGCCCAAGCAGTCCCTCCGGTGTCATGCAGCTTTGCGGTCACTGAGCCTACCAGCAGCCTCAGCCGCCTCTTGACATGTATGCGGCTCCAATTTGGTCGGCAGGTCTCCAGACGGGCGCACTCTCATCGCAGCATCGACAGATGGCTACGCTTCGATTGTCACGTTTGGTGAGAACGAGCTGGGAATCCCGCTACCAGCGGACGAAGTTCCTGTCGGCATGGCACCGGAGGCTGATGGCGAATCGGCCGAGATGGCGTCGGCAGATACGAAACAGGTTGGTGGCCTGCTCCCGCTGCTTGCCGCTGTCGTTTCTGGGCACACGGATGCACTGCGGTGTGGGACTGAGGTTTACGAGCCCGTGGGCTGCCAAGCTGTTGGTATGTGCTCTCAGCCTGACTCGCTTCCTCGACTCTCGATCGCCCTGTGGAACGGCGTCGCAGACTCCAGCGCTGCCGAATGTACCTTGTGCTGTCGACGTAGAGATGTCTGCGCCGTGCCCGGAGATGGTTCCACCTGCCAGTGCACCATTTTCCGAGTCGGCACATATTCAGCCTGCAGCAGTCTCAAGCAACCCCGACAAGCCACCAAGCCCGCCGCTTGCCAAAACCTTACTGCAATCACCCGCCACAGATCCGCCGACCCAGAGTCAACCGCTGCAGGACAATGCCACGCCAATAATCGATCTGACGGCGCTTCCCGATGCAGACGGAAACACTGGCGGTGTCAAGAAAAAGCGGAGAATTGCACCGACCTTGATCAGCGATGTGGCTCTGTAACGAACCCGTTCCTGCTGCCTGAATACAACATTGATCGATCGATCGATCGATACCACCTGCAATGAAACCAGTCCTTTGCGCTGCATCGACGTCGTTGTGCCGTTGCGATTCACTGCCGCATCGATGGCTCTGCTCGCCACAGCATCGATGACCCGATTGGAGTGTTGTTCGTTCGAGAACAGCTGCAGTCAGCCCCGCCGGAGCACTTCCAGAATCGGTTCCCACGCCCGCTGACAAATGAAATTCATTTGTCACGTGTGTGTGTGGCGCAGCACTCTGGCCGTATAAAGGACTGTGCCGCACGGCGAGCGCCCCGCGCAAGGTCTGCCCATCATCCGGACCTCTGCCCGACCCCAGGCCAAATCTGCCTCTGTTGCCGAAGGATTGACTTGTCGACGTCTGCCTGCCCGGGTCGAATTCGACGATACCAGTCTCTCGCCTGCCCGCTCGGCCCGTCTCCACAGCCACAGCCACAGCCACAGAACAACAGCAGCTCGCTATGCTTACCTCGCACCTGTTTCCGCCCCAGCTGGCTCCGACAGCCCCAGCATCAACGGCAGCAGCAGCGGCTCCGCCTCGGCGCATCCAGGTGGACCTGAATCTGCGCCTGATATGCCAGAACTGTCGGGACCCGGTCCCCAACATTGTCGAGGACTTCGCTGCGGGTGATCTGATCTGCGGAAGCTGTGGTAACTGTCCTTTGCCTTATCCGTGAAGTGCAGTCTCGTCTTTGACTTTTGCCTGCATTTGCGCGCCTTTCTGTCTTGCCACATGCAGCTTGGATTTGGGTTCGTTTGGGTGACTTGGTTGTCGAGGGCCATCTGCACGAGAAATCCCCCCCCCCTCCATCCGGGAGATGCATCCCAGCGATGCCAAGTATGGCAGAGAAACAGAGAGAGTGACGGACCAGGATCGCTCTTGGGACACGCTGGGAGGAGCCAGTCAGCGAACCAAGCCGGCCCCGCAAGGAATGCCAGCAATTCATGCAACGAGGCGACTGGGGTCCGAGTTTCCTCGGTTCGTTCTGGGCGCCGCTGCTTGCTCGTTTGGCTGAAATATGGGATCGCTGTCGACGGTGTTGCAGCCAACATCGCTTTGGCAGTGCACATCAATCGGAAAGAAAAAACAATCGGCGTCGACAGCCAGGCTGCTGACGAGGCTCGGAGGATCAGAGAGGGGCCGCAAGCGGGTGGAGGATGAGCGCTTGCACCCCGGCGCACTCTGCGACACTTTGCGACGGACTGCCCTGAAGTTGCGATTCTGGCTTTTGGATTGTTCGTTTTTTGGCCGTGCTCGGCGCTTCGGTCCTCGTCGGGCTCGCTGCTTACTACTGCCGAGTTGTTCCTGATGTACTGCCTCGCTTCTCTGCTGCTCGTCTTGACCCATTTCTCTCCCCGCAGGCTTGGTTCTTGGCAATCGAATCATCGACACCAGATCCGAATGGCGCACGTTTGCCAACGGTGACGATGGGGGTGACGACCCGTCTCGTGTCGGCTCGGCGGGCGATCCGATCTTTGGAAGGCCAAACCAGCTCGATGCCACCACCATCGACAGACGAGACGGTGGAACGGGCTCGGCCAGAGATCTCAGCCGTGCCCATGGCAAAGTAACCAACCTCCGAGGGGAGCAGCAGATGCTGCAGGCCTTTCGGGAGATTCAGTCCATGTGCGAAGGCATCGGCCTCTCCAAGATTGCTGTGGATTCTGCAAAGCAGTTCTACAAGCGGGTTGAGGACGAGAAGCTTCTCCGCGGCAAGACCCAGGAGGCAATCATGGCCTCCTGTATCTACATTGCCTGCCGCGAGCACAAGGTCAACCGAACCTTCCGTGAGATCTGTGCCCTCACCAAGGTCTCCAAGAAGGAGATTGGCCGCTGCTACAAGGCGATGCATCCGCTGTTTGATCGACCTTCCGAGATCGACCACAGTCCCATGATCATCCGTTTCTCGTCGTTTTTGGGGATGGGGCCCGAGGCCGTCAAGAATACGCACTTGGTAAGGACCTGTCTTCAGGATCTGGCTTGTCGCTTCAGGATCGGGCCTGTCTCTTTGGAACCCCAGTGCCATCCGGGGCGGTGCCTGCTGGCGATCGATGTGGACTAGTGCTGCCCTGTTCCTGTTATGTCAGATGTCGCTCCCGTAGCTCCATGGCTCCCATGGCTCCCGTGGCTCTGCTAACCGTTCACATTTCGGTTGGCCCAGATTGTTGACCGAGCAAACGAGAGAGGTGTCCTCGCTGGCAAGAGCCCCATCTCGCTCGTTGCTGCGGCACTCTATTTTACATCGTCGCTTTCGGCCTCCCCCAAGACGGCCAAGGAGATTGCCGAGATTGCCGGCTGCACCGAAGCCACCCTGAAGAACGCCTACAAGGTTCTGTACGAGGATCGCAATCAGCTCATCATCCCCGAATTCAAATCAACCAAGCCAGTCGCCGAGCTGCCCACGCCCTAAGCCGGTCACAGGACGCACCAGCCCGGATGGATCGACAGCGAATGACAGCCACATCCTCCTGGCCATATCCTCTGACGGCCACCGCCGCCCAAGCGGATTCATGGCCTCCCCCCCCCCACTATAATTGCTAGATGAAATACACTCATCAGTGTGTCGTACTTGTCTCGTCCAAAGCCAGAGCGTCTCGCTTGCATACGAATCCTTTGCGGAAGTGATTCGGTGTGCGGTGGCCCATCGGCTCCCAAACACAACCGGTGTGCTTGCTTTTGGGGTCGGGGCGTATGGCTTGGGTGCGTCTTGTCCGAACACTATCAATAGAGTCGGGGGTCTCCTGGGGTTCCACGCCTCCAGATGGGCCTGCTCTGCTGCTATATTCATGATGCCTTGAGCTGCGAGCCCGACGGCTCTGGTACAAGAAACCCAACCATGCACTGGCTCAGCAGCATATCCAGGTTCACCCACGGATGCACCTTGAAGAACAGCTCGGTGGCATCCTTTCCGGCGCCCCGCATGAGCTGCGTCACCCCACCGGGGTGGAATTTGCTGTAGGCAGTGACATCGTACACCTTGCCTTGGATAGCCATCCACAGATCATCTCGCTTGTTGTGTGCTGCAATTTGCGAAGGAGTGAATCGAGACAGCTGTGTGATCCCGCCACGAAGGTTCTGACCTGACCGGGTCAGCCGTGCCCAGTCCATAGCTGAGTGCCCAGGCTCCAGCCGCACCTTGCGTCGGGCGCTGGTGCTTCTCGAGGGATCGGTGGAGACATTGGATGAAAATCGCACGGCCGAGACCCGTTGGGGGCCATTTGGAAGGGGGAACACGGCGGCGTCAATGGCGGCGCCTTCTTCATCATCGTCGTCGTCGTTATCTTCTCCTCCATCGCCACGATCTTTTTCTTCATGGTCTTCCTCGGCATCCAACGCATCCTCGGCATCCAAGGCCGGGTTCTCGACCGGTGGTGGTGGCGCCAAGGGTTTTGCTGGGCCTCGCAGCAGGGCCGCAAAGGGCGACAGAAACGACGAAGAGCCCGAGTTGCTGCTGCTCATGGCAAGATGTGCGATGCGTGGCGCGGTGTGCTGTCGGACTCTGGATCTGGGTCTGGATCGAGGCCGGCGGGTGGCAAGCTTGGGCCCAGGCGCTGTCGATCGCAAGCGACAGGGGCGATGGTGGGAGCTTTCGGGGTCGGCGCTGTGCCCTGGACGAAAGCGCAAAAGTCCCGCACCGCATCCAGCCAGAGGGCGGCCGGCCAGAGTGGGGCAGTGCCGAGATCCCGTGCCCGTCACTCCCGGATTACGTCACGTGCATTTTTTCTTCCGTTTTTTTCTTGAAATCGACAGGCGGGCGCGGCCCAGAGAGCAGCACCGTGGCAGAAGCGATCATTGTCCATCTCTGTGGCCCAGACCGCCTCGTTTTGCTGGAGAATCCCGCAGCCAAAGCGATTAGAATCCCCTTGGACGCACCCTCGGCTCTATCCGACTCCGTCCTCCCACTTGGATCTGCCCCTCCCACGGCCTTGATTTCAAGAGCAAAACCGCACCGCCATCATGTCTGACCAACTCACCCGTATCGCCATCGTCTCGACCGACAAGTGCCGCCCCAAGCGATGCCGACAGGAGTGCAAGCGAGGATGCCCTGTCGTCCGCATGGGTATGTGCCCTCGCCGTCCCACGGCGTCTCTTCGCTCAGTGATCGATCTGGGTGGCGGGATCTCGGGGATTCTGTTATGGGTCAGGCAGCGGCTATATACATCCCCTGGCTTGCCGTGGAGTGCGCAGGCCATTTCGATTCAATCCCGACAAGCCGGTTCGCTGCGGGCGGACCATCGAGGCAGCGTTTCCACAATTGTCGAGTCTGACCCTCTGGCTTTCCGTCTCGGATGGGATGGTGATCCACAGGCAAGCTCTGTATCGAAGTCGGCGCCAACTCCAAGGTCGCCTTCATTTCCGAAGAGCTTTGCATCGGTTGTGGTATCTGTGTCAAGAAGTGCCCCTTCGAGGCCATCAACATCGTCAACCTGCCCACCAACCTCGAGACCCAGACCACCCACCGCTACTCGGCCAACTCGTTCAAGCTGCACAGACTCCCTGTCCCTCGCCCCGGCCAGGTGCTCGGTCTGGTCGGAACGAACGGTATCGGAAAATCGACGGCCCTCAAGATCCTTGCCGGCAAGCTGAAACCCAACCTCGGCAAGTTCGATGTAGGTGCTCATGTTGCGCCGCAGCCAATCGGTGTCGATCCCGCGAACACCCAACAGCACCAGACCCCGTCCGCCACCAGTCTCGTCGGTGCTGTGCCTCTCGAATCCCGTGCGCGAGATTGTCTGCGCATCAAGTTTGTTGTCTGGCGGTCGCCGTTATCTCACCGCCCTCGCTTCGCTTCGCTGCGACTCTACTCTAGAACCCGCCCGACTGGGAAGACATCTTGAAATACTTCCGTGGCTCTGAGCTGCAGAACTTTTTCACCAAGATTCTCGAGGACAACCTGAAGGCAAGTGTCTCCGGCCGCAGCAGAACCGTGGATCCTATCGGCAGCGCAGGACTCATAAGCGCCATGGAGCTGACTGCCTCGCGACGTCTGTACAGGCCATCATCAAGCCCCAGTACGTCGACAACATCCCCAGGGCCGTCAAGGGCCAAGTCGACGCCATCCTGACCCAGAAGATGGAGCGCAACAACAAGCAAGAGCTGATTGACCAGCTGGACCTCGGGAACGTGTTGAACCGCGATATCGAGAACTTGTCCGGTGGTGAACTGCAGCGCTTTGCCATCGCCGTTGTTTGCGTGCAAGCCGGAGATATGTATGTGTACTTTCCGTCCCCGCTTTCTATTCTCTTGGAGAAATCCTTGTTCTGGAGCTCTCAGCGATGATTGGCTGAGTATCCACGACGAGCCCCTGAACACTTGGACTGGACTGACCTCTTGCTGAACATACTGGTTTCCACAGCATCATGTTCGACGAGCCCTCGTCCTATCTTGATGTCAAGCAGCGTCTGAACGCTGCGCGTGTCATCCGCAGTCTGCTCACCCCCACCAGGTAAGCCCTTATGTATCCTGGACAGCGCCGTGGGCGTAGGTCTCCATTTCATTTGCTTTCCTCCAGAGCATGGTCGCGGCTGTGGCTGACCGCTTCATGCTTTCTGTCCTCAGCTACGTCATCGTCGTCGAGCACGATCTGTCTGTGCTGGATTACCTCTCCGACTTTATTTGCGTCCTCTACGGCATGCCCAGTGCCTACGGTGTTGTTACTCTTCCCTTCAGCGTTCGTGAAGGTGAGTCCGTCCTGAGCGCAGTTGAATTCGATCTGGTTGGGTATATACCCAGCGCCCCTGTCGAGCTGCACAGCTGACCCAGCCTTGCTGTCTTGCCAGGTATCAACATCTTCCTTGATGGCAAGATCCCCACCGAGAACCTGCGTTTCCGTGACGAATCCCTCCAGTTCCGCCTTGCCGAAACCGCCGACGAGGCCGTTGTCGAGAAGATGCGTCGCTTCCGCTACCCCGCCATGGAGAAGCGGCTTGGTATGTCCTCGAATCCTCGATCCATTTTCGAGTGGTCTGCACACGCGGATCCTGGTTGGAGCGTTGCCTCGGATCTTAACGACTGCCCCGGTATTCGCAGGCGACTTCTCCCTCAGCATCGAGGCCGGCGGCTTCACCGACTCTGAAATCATCGTCATGATGGGTCAGAACGGTACCGGAAAGACCACCTTCATCCGCATGCTTGCCGGTGGCCTCTCTGCCGACGGCACCGAGCAGCCCCCGGAGCTCAATGTGTCGTACAAGCCCCAGAAGATTGCTCCCAAGTTCGAGGGCACCGTGCGCATGCTTCTTCTCAAGAAGATCAAGTCTGCGTTCATGCACCCGCAGTTCCAGACGGACGTTGTCAAGCCCCTCAACATCGAGAACATCATTGACCAGCAGGTGGGTTTTGCACCCCGTCTCCCACACGCCCGAACACACGTTATCTAATCCGAGTGCATACGTTCGCTCCTCTCCTCAGGTCATGAACCTTTCCGGTGGTGAACTTCAGCGTGTTGCCATCGTTCTGTGCTTGGGCACACCTGCCGACATCTACCTGATCGACGAGCCCTCTGCCTACCTTGATTCCGAGCAGCGTATCATTGCCGCCAAGGTCATCAAGAAGTTCATCTTCCACTCCAAGAAGACTGCCTTCATTGTCGAGCACGACTTTATCATGGCCACTTATCTCGCTGATCGTGTCATCGTCTACTCTGGTACTCCCTCCGTCGAGGCGGTCGCTCACAAGTACGTATCCATCGTATCTGACATTGCGTTGAGTTGAACTGGCGTGTAGGATCAATGTTCCGCATTCAACCCCCTCCTCCATCATCCCAACGCTCCCTTTCCCTTGGCTTTGCAATACACGCCGGGAAAGCATAGCAGCATGGATACATGTGATGTCTGCGCCGATACTCCTGACGCTCACCAACGGATTCCGCTTCTTTCAGGCCCGAGCCCCTGCTCACTGGTGTCAACCGATTCTTGGAGAGCCTCCAGGTCACTTTCCGCCGCGACCCCACCAACTTCAGACCAAGAATCAACAAGGCCGACTCTATGAAGGATAAGGAGCAAAAGCTGAACGGCAACTACTTCTTCTTGGAATAGATTCGAGGCTCTCGCCATTGGCGCACGAGCAGGCCGCCCCGGCCCATTCTCCCTCCATCTAACACTTTCCCCGACCCGTCGGCTGCCACCGAGCTCCCTTGTATTTTGACCAGCTCCATCTGTTTCGTGCCCTGCGACGGCTCTTGCAAGAATATCAAACGGGACACCTGATTTCCTCTGGTGCACTCTGCAGCCGTTGCGTGACGCGCCGATGCTCTGCTGGTGAGAGCCATCGCCGTTGTCGGTAGTTCGAGGAGCGAATGTTTCCTGGGGACCAAATCTTAAACACGACCGACCACCCTTGGTTTCTGTGAACCTTTGCACACTCTATTCAGGGGGAGGGATTGGGACAAGATGGTTTGCGGTCCAACCATTACATATGCAATAACTCGAGTGTCTTGATGCCGATACACCATGGAGCTGTCCAGAGTCGAGTGGATACACCACACTCCCACATCGAGTGGATGCATCGCACACCCACATCAACACAGGGGATCGACCGAGTGTATTCAAGACCAAGCCAACGAAATCAGAAAGATTGCCAACCAGGACCGGAAGCAATCGCATGGCTTGCTCGCTGGAGCCTACGGAAGCTCGGTGGGGTTCAGACATCTGAAACCAGAAAGTGACTGTCCCATTTCCTTCTGGATTGACAGTAATTACCTCTTCGCATCGCGTGTAACACAGCCCGATGACGAGCTGTCGATGACAGGCGGCAGAAATAGTGATGTTTGGTGGCCATTGCAGCATCATCGGCCGACACCGCTCCGCACCCCTTGCAGCGATTCCAGAATATAGGAGCATCACTTCTTCTCTTGCAGAAGTCGCTGCAGCTTTTGTGACAGGCGCATATTGTTCTTTGCCACCTTGCGTCCGTAGTAGAGCTTGCAGTCGATCGAAATACACGGCGCCGCATCGCCGCTCTGGAGATCCAGTTCCTCGTAGCCAGCGCACATCCGACAGGCCCGCTGATGACTCAGGTGGGCACGGGTCTGATCCGAGATGCGCTGCTGGAGCACCACAGCGGTTTTGATGGGATCCTGCTTGCATGACACACAAAGTCCTTGGGAGCGTGCAGCCGTGGGTGAAACGAACGTCCAAGCCGCACCGCCCGCGAGCATCAGTGCCTTGCTTCGTCACCGACCACCCCTCACCCAGTATCAACCATGTACTCTTCGTCTGTCCAGGCGACGACCAGCTGGTGCTTGCCCCTTTCACAAAGTTTCTGGTTTACCTGAGCCCGAGATTTGTCCGCAAACATGGCAGTGCTTGGACGAATAGTACTGATCGATCGTGATCCGGGAGTTGGCGCGGCTCATTTGCGAGAGCGTGAACTCGGTCGCCCGCTGGACCCGGGGCATATCTGCAAACCATTTCTGAATGTCTGTTGCAGCATAAGTGCATGGATACGGTTGTCTGGACTCTCTCCCTCCGCTGAAACCTGCTTGGAATGTAACATACCCGCTCCCACCAGGTTGAAGATCCGAGACAGGGCTGGATTGATTTGCTTGGTGATATAATACAGCCCGTTGAGGCGCAGCGATCTGTGGTGAACAAAGGATTCATGAATCGCCGGGCTTCAGGCACGGGTTACAACCAGCACAAGTATCGTCCTCAGACCCGCCAGGTAGCTGCTGTGGAGGGAATAGAGCAGCATACCTGTTGCTGACCAGCTCCTGGGGCTCAATAACCAAATCCACCAACCGCGTTCCCGGCCCGTATGCCACGAGATACGGAACTCGCTCTCCGTATTGAGGCTCGGACCGATGGTCTCTCTGCATTTTCCTTGTGCTGAGCGCCGCGCCTGCTGGCAAGGTGGCATTTTCGCTGCAGATGGCAAGGCATCACGTCGCGGTGAGCTTCTCGATGCCGCTCTGGATCGGCGAAAGACTTGGGATACTGTTGGCGAGATGATGGCGTACCTGTATCGACCCAGCTTCACTTCCTTTGCGATTATAAAATCCTGGATCAGCACATCGCCCGCAAGAATGCTGCTCCACTCGGTCTCCAGGTAGCTTTTGAGCGCCGATAGGTCCTGTGTCCGAAAGAACAGCCTTGAAAACGGATGGATCGGTTATCCCAGAGAAGGCCATGAGGTCGATCGCGTGTTGTGCATGGCGATACTCTCCCATTCGTCGTCACCACTATCTTTCGTGCTGCCTTACCGCAAACAGCTCTCGACCATATTGCCAACTGCAGGGCATCCGTCCCGTCGCACCGTCTCGATTCCTTTGGCATCAAACACTGGCTTGGTATCGGACTTGGACTCGAACTTGAATCCGACATATCGCTTTTTCGTCAGAAGCATGCACGGGTGGAAGACCTGGAGCCGTTGCAACAATTGTAAGATGCTGCCCAGACCGAGAAAGAGTTGTGCATTTCCATGCCCGTTCGTTTGCGAGGAGAGTACTGGGCTTATGCATGCGCCACCTTTTCAAACTTGAGCTTGATGGGATGCGGGTTGCTGTTGGTGACGGCCTCGCAGATCTCCTTGCCAATGTCGAAGGCCCGCTCCCGGGTCTGCCCCGGCAGATGTACAAAGAGACTGTCTGTGTCGCCATAGACGACCTGAGCTCCCCATTTCTTTGTTTTGTTGATCAGGCTGATGGCCTGTGTCCGATAAACGTACAACAGTAGCAAATCAATATCCCGACGATCTTGCATCGCAGCTTGTACTGTCCATGCATGCAATCTCCGTCGCGCTTGCATCAGCGAAACGACCCTCGGCTCTCCGCAACTGCTGTGCGACAGAATCAGATTGACACCGTACCCGCTCCAGCGTCACTCGCCCTGTCTGAACGATGGCGTCAGCAATTTCCACGCACGGCATGCGGCCAGAGTAGGTTGCTCCGGTGTATCCGTATGTGACATTGGCAATGAACTTGAGACCAAGCTGCCTCGCTTCGAGCAGCTTCAAAAGACTCTGTCGCAGTGAAGCACCATCTCGGTCAATAACTATCGTGCCGTAACTCGCAACCCATCCCCTCCGGTCGGTTCCAAAAGGCACTGGTCGTCCTCACCTTGTCGGAGTAACTCTTCATTGATTCTTTCACCATCACTCTTGTCTCCAGGATTTCTGTCAGCATCTTCCGAAGCGCGCCCTCGCGTACATATGGCTTCACGAATGCCAGTCCGTTCGGTGAGACTGAGTTCCGAGCAACGGCACGATGGTCAGCGCTTAGGACTTGATGTCATCCCATTCCGAACACCGAGCGTGGTTTCTGCGTTGCATCGTCGGTCGCTATGCCACGACGAGCATATGCCGAGCATCACCCCAACTTACTGTTGATATGGTCTTGGAGCTCGCTCAACACATCCGGCGGAGCGAAATATTGTTCGCTGACGCCCAGTTTGTGTGGGGTTCCGGCTGATTCCACGCGGCCAAGGCATGTAGAGTAACTGTGTGGCGCTATCAATATATCGATGTCGGAGTAATAACGACCGCTTGTCATTAAGCAAGCACTCTCAGCCGGATAGGAGCTCCTACCAGTAGTTGTAGGCAATCATAACGGACGGATAAAGCGACTGGAAATCCAGCACAAGCACCGGGCTTGAGTAGAATCCGGACTCGGGCTCCATGACAAGTGGGATGCACTCGTAAACCCTCATTCGGGCAACTTGTCCCCTTGACGGAGATATCATGATATAGTTCTCGGGCTTGATAATCCGAGTGAGGATTGACTCGACCTTGAACTGCGATCCGCGGCTGAGGACTGAAAAAAAGTCGATGCCAAAGACTCGTGCAAACTCGCTACAGCGACGGCGTCCTGGTATGTCAGCCAGAGCCAGAATTGCCCCGTACTGCTGTCCGTTGCCGTTAGCGAGAGATGCGATCGACGATACCTTGTTCTCCCAATCAGCTCAATGGCGTCGAGTAGCTCCAGGTTGTACTGCGCTCGATCGATGTAGTATCGCAGAGTCCTCCATCTCTTTAAGGGGCCGTGGTGGTACCACTCCGACAGCGCCGAGTTCGACATCTTGGGGATTCTGTGACACCATACCATATCATTAGAGTGGCTTCTTGTTGCGAGTAGCTGCCGTTAGCATGGATTTCAGCGGTCTTACCTTTTGCGCAATGTGTGATAGACCAAGTGCTCAACAGTGTACGAGCGCAGGTCGACTTCTGCCCGAAACAATCTCCAAACATTGAGAAAGATGCGGCCGGTGCTCGACAGACTGGACTGTTTCTTGAACCCCCACTGGTCTTGATCGCGTCCAAACTTTGATTTGGCGAGGGTAGCAACTCTTGCAAGCTCTTGACACAAATCGATATCTGGAATCGGCGACACGTTCAGTGTACAAAGCATCCGTAGGACATTCGGCTGCACGGCGGGTATGGCCAATTCCATTCATTGGCCTTATTTCTGAGCCGACCGCTTTGGCATCACCAGCACACCCCGAACCAGCATGCGAGAGGTGGCAGTTATTGGATTGTAGATTCTGAGGAGCCTTTCGCCCCTCACGGGTCGTGCTTACGATAAATAACGGCTCTTTCCGCCAAGTATCCCCACGAAGCCATGTGGATCTCGAATCCAAGCAGGATATCCGGGTCGCTTTCTCGAACAATTTTGATGACGAATTCAATCAGCTCCTTCTCACTTGGCACAGAATGCACCGCATAGCCTTGATTAAACGCATTGACGGTTAGTCCTTGGTCGACGTTGGGCGACAACCATCGTGCTACCGAGGCAGAAATGGTACCTTTGACTCCGGTTTTGGCGATATCGATGTGGTCTTGAATAGCCGCCAGTCCAACGTGGTAGCTGGAGTGAGCCGCAAAGAAGTGTTACGGAAGGGCCATGTTCAGGTCAAACGCACATCCAAGCAGTAGGTTCGACCATCGCAGCATCACATTACCCAAGCTTTCGCCCGTTGCTTGGATATCGAAGATGTGGGTGATCCTGAATGCAGTATACCGCACAGACGACAGGATCGTTTTGCGGATCGGGTAGTCGCGGTGCCGTGCAACTCACTATCGCAGCGGCAGATATGGGTGCATTAGTGGCCTTGGCACTGTCGAGCACACCGGCACATCTCGTCGCGGTGTATATGCTTGCTTACCGTGAATCTCCAAGCTGAACAGACACAGCTCGGCCTCCAAGGTCGTACTTTTCGGACGAGCCTGTGGACTACAGAGGGTCGCCCGTGTCGTGCCTGTTGATATCGGCTGCTGGCTCTAGAGATACAATTGTGTTATAGTCGGCACGACGATGGGAGTGCTTCGCAGTCGAGCAGAGCTTACAGTTCGCTCATAGATCTTGTGGCTTGGCTTTCTGGCAGCTTTCAGAGCTTCGAGATACAAGTGGGGTTAGCACAAAACACTTGCACAAGAAACTGGGCCTCAGTCACAGAGAAAACTGCACATACCCTTGACCTCGGCCTGATTCCGCAGCCATTCTTGCACGACCCTGCGCGTCGGTGGAGCCTTTCCGATCGTCCATGTGCGGGTACTCGATGAATTGTCTCGGTGGTGATAATCTATCCATTTGTTGGCTCGCCAGTACTCGAGGCCGTTGAAGCAACTTGCAGCACCTGGCAGTTGATCATGAAATTCCTTCAACTGGCCAACATGCGACGGCCCATGCTCAATCGGAATGCCTCCATAACTCCTCAGAACCGTGCGTTCATTATCAGAGTCTGACTTCCGACTAAAGAAGGGCGCGTTGTAGATCCTTCGTGGGAGTCCCAGGGACTCGAGCGACGACAACAGATCCTCGGCTGACGGAGGTCGCTTGTTGAACACAAGTACCTTGCCCCCTAAATGTCTGTGTCGTCTTTCTGCAGTGCTGGAGCTACCCAGGGTCTCCAAGTCAATGGTCGTTGGTGGCAGTTTTGGAGGATCGCTGGTCTGTGTTCGAGACCGAGGGTCGCTTCTGGATATTGCTTCGCGAATATTCCTGGTATCGGTGGGTTCGACGGTGGTGCGCGGAGAATCGATTCGCACATATTGTCGGAGAGCGGGAGCATGCTGCTGGAGAGCGGGTGCCATACGAAGCGATGGCGCAGGATCCGGTGTCTGACCTCCGGTATATCGTACATGCTTCGGCATGCCAGGGCTACTTTCGATGCGTTGTGCTTCTGGGACGACACTCGATGCAAGAAACCGAGTTGTGGGCTCCAGGGCAAACAGCGCTTCTGAGGGGGAAAGGGGCCTCGGTGGATCGTTGAAAAACAGCATGTCATCCAGTCCTTGCTCCCGTTCTATTGGCGGTGGAGACCACATACCGTCACTGATGCGCCCGAAAAATGAGGGAAGTTTGGTTGAGCAAGTGCTCTCGATGGCCCAATCGTCGTCGTTTTCAGAGTCAAGACTAGTCGGTGGTGGCAGTTCGTCCGTTTTCAGAGCTGGATCAAGAGTTTCGAGAGGCCCGCATGCAAGGCGGTGCTTTTTGGACTGAGAGGGACCCGGTGACGCCAACATGGCCCCACGAACTTCCTGCTGGAGAGGAGAGGGGGTCTGTAGCTTGCGCTTTGGCTGGAGTTTCGTGCTATGTAGAGCCACATGATAAGCATGTTGCTTTTAGGCTCTGTCACCGCCACCTTCCACCTGATGATGCTCATGCAAAGCTGCTGCACCTCGCTGGAGCGGACACTCTTTCGCTGCATTGATCGCGACGAGGCTGCTTACGGTGGAGACTGATGTCCTGTCGATCTTTCGTTGTTAGCGAGCCAGTCCAGAATGCCTTCGGTTTCGGTCGTGTTACTCCCGGGTGGATTGAGCCGAAAGTCACTCTGTCCATCCGAATCATCATCCGAATCATCATCTTCACTGGCACAAACGCGCTCATATTCAACGGACATCCTGTCGTTTGCGATTTCAGGATCAAGTTCCTGTCCAGCGACACCCAGGTGTGTTTGTTCGTCGACTTCCTCGCCCTGTTGGCCAAAACCTAGAGTCAGCCAAGCGCAAGCAGCCTCAGAGATAGCAGAGGCGATGCCGCAACCATACGGCTTTCACTACTGCTGTCGATGTCGTTACCGAGCTGGCTGACGCTTCACCATCATCTTGAAGTGGAACTTGTGACAATGCCACCTGCGATACTATGATGTCATCGTACGAGGCATCCGAGACTTCTGATGGAGCACGATCATCGACAAGCCTCTGCTGCACCTGGCCACTGCTAGTGTCATCAAAAATCGAACTGACCGCAGCAAACTGCTGGTCGTTGCGTTGTTCAGCGCCTCCTTTTCTCTGCGGTACATCAAACGTCGTCTCGAGGTGCGATTCTCGGCGGCGCAGATGAGCCGATAATAAACTTTCAACGGCACTGAATGCGGTTGGAACATTCCCGCTCACAGCGCCAACTCGACTGTCTGGTCGCTTCGATCGCTGCTCCGCTGATACGAGGGGTTGCCGAGCGAGCAATGCATTACGCTGATGCTCGCGAGCTTGGTGGATGGCAGCCTCAAACTTCAGTCGCAGCTCGTCGGCATTGTACCAGACCGTGCCAGGAGTGCGCTTGGTGTTCTGCGACGGCGGAGTGAGAATCTTTGACGACCGGCTGGAGGCTATTCGACGGTCAACTTCGTCCTTGGGATCGTGGTTGGACACCGAGGCTCAGCGTGGAAGTATTGCTCATATTCGGCCTGCAACGATCACAAATCGGCTCGAGAGGAGCTACCAGACATGAATACTTCTTAGGAGCCCTACCTGCCAGATGCGCATGAGCGACGGAACAAACTTGGTCTCGTTGCTGGCTGGAATATCCTCCGGCGCTATCTTGGGAACAGATGCCAAGGGTCGTTCTGGGACAAGTGACCTATTCTCGATATGTGCTGGAGAGCCCGTCATCGAATATGCCATCGCACAGTTAAGGTGAAACGAAGAATACTGGTTGCCGAAGCCTCGGCTACGTTGTATGGCCGTCGCATTTCTGAAAGGATATCCATCACGGTTGCGTCCAGCTCGAGGTCACAGAAGCTTTGCTTTGATATCCGATACCGCTCTGGCCAGATCCAGTCCGTTGGAACGCTTGCGCTTGTCCAAAACTGGCTCGGCTCAAGCAGTCCGTATGGCGAAGCCATTGTTGCGTTGCCTATCGACAGCAGCGGGGACGAATGAGTCGACGGTGGGCCCGGGAACTCATGAGCAGCTCTATCGATCCCAGGGCCGGGCTGACGAAATCGGCATGGCTCGTCTCTACTCAAGCTAGCCTCATTCGCAACCTGCACCATGTCGCTGATCCAGAGGCGATGCGTACCGAGAGCTCTGGCGGGTTGTGGAAGCGGACTGCGAAACCGACACGACTTGAGGTGGATGTAGTCCATTCCATAGAGGTTGTAGTCCATGAAAAACTGCATGATGTAGTTGATATGCGATTCGTGCGCCTGGAGCGGCTTGCCCATGACCCCGCCGCTGGCAAGGATATCGACCAGCAGATGGGTTTGGTCTGGATTTGAAGTGGAGCGGCCAAACCACAATCGCAACAGCAAGAAACGGTGGCATCATGACCAGCAATGCGAGTACAGTGTCAAGGATGCAATAGGGATGCTGTGTGCGCTCAAGAACAATTGGTTGGCATCATCGACGCACGACCAGCCGCGAACATCATGCAAAGGATATTGATAGATCTTGAGGAAATATGCGGGCTTGCTGTGGAACCCGTAGAACGGTGTACCCTGGACGAGGGTGATGCCGACGACAAACTCTCCGGCCGGCGATTGGTGATGGCGCTGGTTGGCTATCTTGCTGACTGCAATTTGCATGGCTCCATTGATGCTGGCGGCTAGCTTCCGAATATATGCCTCGGCTGGATAACAAGCGGCCGTTAACGGATCGCGACTGTCCAGATTACCGAGAGACTGGATGGAGCTCGCCTGCTCTTGATCCGCTGGGCTATTGCCGGTGCTGAACCATACCTTTGCTCGCATTCAAATCGCCCTCATATGGCACATAGATGTAGGGAAAGCACTGGTGCACATGGAGACAGGCTCGTTGCTCGGAAGGAAATACCGACCCAAAGATCCGAACCACGGGAACGGACGACAGCGGCCGCGACGAGAACTGCGACTGGCACCGATCCGTCAAGGGGTGTGGCGGCGACTGGTAGTAATCGATAGCGATGATCTTGATGGATGGCGCCTTGGTGTGCATCGGCGGCAGAAGGACCGAGAGGCGGGGATGAGGTTGAGCCGACAGCAAGCCAAGTCTTGCCGGTCTCCGGCAAGAGATCCTGGTCGGAGCAAGCGATCCAGCCGGCCGGCGATCGACCTCCTGTTGTATGGGGCCCCTCCTTCATCGGCCCGCCAAACAGTCCGACTCCTTGCTCCCGCTCCTGGCTGGACGATGCTCGGCGCTAGATCTGGTAAATTGGTCACCGCAAGAATGAATGATCGGGGGAGTCTATTGGGTGCAAATGCAGAAGCAGATACGGGCGATCGCTCAGAGCAGAAACTGGTCGGCCAGCTCCAGCTTACGGCGGCGCCAGTCGCAAAAGGCCACACCCATCAACAGGCTGTCGCTCAGGTCATCTTGTTTCTTCTCGCTGTTGAAGCGCTCAATCATCAGCTTGCCAGCGGTTCCGTCAGGCATCCCCAGCCGGACGGGTTTAGCTGTAGACACCGGACCAGAGCTCAGCTCATGCATACAGGGCGTATGGACCAGCTCCGGCTCCAGGGGCACCCCCGTTGATATTGAGGGGATACCCAGCACGGCGATCTGCTTCTTGCCGATCCAGTCACGGACGAGGCGCACGGCACTCTTTTTCTTGTCGACAGACGGGTCTCGCTCCGAAAGCATTGCTACCGCCCGGTCGCTGTAGCCCATAGTGGAATCAGGATCAAGCGGATCCCGCGGGTTGTGTGTGTCCAGCTGGAAATAGCTCGAAACTAGCTTGGGGCTCTGCTCGACGCAAGCAGCCATATGATGGGATCGCTGCCGCTCGTTCAGAATTCCCAGGATGGCACTCTCGATCTGGACGAGCTTGACGATCATCGAGACAACGCCGCCTCGGAGACTCGGCAGCGTGCGAACGCTCTGCCTCTCAACCAGGATCTGATCCGGCATCCGCTGGCCCAGAATCCGGTCCACGGCCCACCACAGCCCCGGAAAATACTCGTGTGGATTCATGCCTTCGGGGAACTTTGGATCGATGCGCTCCCAGTTGATGAGAAACGGCGTCTGGTCCGGATGATGGCACGGCGGCAGGACGAAACGTGAGTGTGCAATGTTGATGATGCCGAGATCCACTGAGCAGAGCACCAGCGGCCGATGTCGATGTTGGTGAGCCTCGCAAAGCACTTTGTATAAAAGCGGGACAGTTTGTTTTTTGGTTGAGCCGTTTTTGATGCTGATACCGCACTGCGACAGGAAGGACGAAATCTCGACTGCCTTCACCGCGGCCATTCTGGAGTGTGGAACTGTGTTAGGTATCGACATGGAGCGGCAGCTGGAGCCAGAGGCAGTGCGCCTTCGATCAGGGCATGCTGTACACATCTGATCGCCTGTAGCTCTGGTGGTTGGTTGGCCGGGAGGCCCCCATGTTCCCAGCCCAGTCATAACATGAGCCTATGTCCTTGAGTCGCCTTGGGATTACAACTCAGTAACATACCTCTTGGTGAAAACACTCTCAGGGACGGGCTTCTCAAGGGAGATCTGTAATGATGCTGTCGATCCTAACTTGGCGAGCAGATCATTTTCTATCTCAGCGAGCGATTCCAGACTGCAAAGGTTGGCGTTGGCCTCCAGCCGCGGATCGGTAGATGCCACCACTGGTGTGGAGTTTTGCTGCTTCGATGGTCGCTTTCGTTCTTTCAGTGACTGGGCACCATTATCCGAAGCCGTAAATGCAAAGGGAGACGATACAGTGCCCGTCTTTTCTTTTGCCTTTGCCTGGGCGTTTGGATTGAGGGTCGAAACGGCTGCCAAAGGAGTAGATTCGGCTTCGGGTGATTCTGTGACCTGCACGGGTGACCCTCCCGAGGCTTCCGCAGCTTGACTTTGAAGGCCAGGCTCTTTTTCAGAAATGGTTGACTCTGCTGCAGTGCTTTTAGCATCCAAGGTGTCGCGAGCAGCCGCTGGTATCGATGCGCCGTTCGATTCCGAAATTCGGTTCTGCAGATCGCGGTCGGTGCGCTTGCTGCGTCTCGAGGTCGATGAGGGGATGGCATGATCTACTCCGTCGAGCTCGTAGACCCTGATAACCAAATTGACCTTCTGGAGCGAGAGGCCGGTTTTCTCTGAAATTTTCGTGATGGCGAGACGTTCACTCCTGAGCTGGAGCACGTCCGCGATCAAGCTTGAGGAGACGGTCCTGACAAACTTGGAATAGGTGGCAAGCTTGGGATGATCGAGGGCAGCATAGAAGGCGTATATATCGTCGATAGTGACGTCCACTTGTTTTTGAATCATTCGAATGAGCTCCTTGAGCGGCCGGGGCTCGTCCAATATGCGATCGGTCTCGAGTCGGCGGTTAAACAGCGCCGGGCTGATCCGGTGGACAGGGACCATGGAATACAACGATCGATCGATCGAAAACACCGCCTGGGACGCGCTCAGCTGGCTACTGATATTGTAGCCCGCTCGATCTGCATATAGCACCGGATTCGGTGCAGTATCCAGCGGTGCTCGGGCAATGCCATCTTTGTCCGCGAGTCGACACGAATCAATGCGGTGTGTCGATAGCGAGGCCGGGCGGATGGTTTCGTGGCGGTTGACGACATAGTCCGTTGTTGCTGTTGCGGGCTTTACGAAGGGTGTGAGAGCCAGTATGCTGCTCTGTCTGGGCGGATTCGGATGCTCGGATATGGAGATGGATGCTCGGTGAGAGCGCCTTTGGAGATGCAGCGCTTGTCCTGGGCCAGCGCTGGGCCTGGGTCGCGGGACTCGGCCGGTTATTGGGCGACAGGGCTTGGCGAATAGCATGCCGAGTGACTTGAATGGGCCACACAGGCAGATTGACGGGATATTGAGGGCAGATCGAGGGCAGGCTGGCGATAGATCGAGGGCGGGTCGATGGCTGCGGCTGCGCTGGTGTCTGCTCGTCGACGGCTTCATGGAGGGCCTTGACCGACAAGGGCAAGGGCAAGGGGAGGGGCAGGGGCGCCGCAGGGCTGGCAGCCCGCTGGCACCGCCGTTCTGTGCGCCTGTTCTGTGGCGCCCTGGTCTTCTCCGCGCGGCTTTTTTTTTTTTCTGGTCGCCTTCAGCGAACATCGCCGACGCCTGGCCCAGTCTCGGCACAGCTCTTCCTTCGCAGCCGCCGTGCAGCAGCCCGCCATCGGCCATCCTCCCCGTGTGCCTCTATCCTTGTCGTAATCAACATCCAGCGCTGTGCCCCAGCGCTTCCTCAACGCACCGCCGTGGTTTTTGTTCATGTTAATGTCTCTACTCTTTGGTGTGCATCCGTTCCTCTAACGAAGCCAACCACCTGTTTGTTCAGCTGCAGCGCTTCTCCTCCGTGGGTATGCATTGAATGCTCTCTGTCCATGTCATCTGCACCACCGCCCTGGCTGGGTCACAGGATCGTTGCATCATTGTGTGGATACATCATTCGACACCTTGCCGCCCTGGTCGGCTCGGTTGCCTCCGGAACTGCTCTGGTTACATTTGTTGGCTTCTGCGTCCCTATCCCATCCTCCACCACCCCTATTTGTCATGCACGGTCCGGCTGGACTCTGACATGGCCATGGGCCAATTGGTTGCGCGAGCAGAGTTCAGGTCCATTGTCTCTGCCGTAGCCTCGGCATATGTACTCTTCACAGCTTAGTATGGAGCTACTGGCGTATTACCAGGTCGTCCCATGGCTGCCTCGATTACCAGCCCTTACGCTGCCGGACCGGCGGCCCCGGCGAGCATCGGATCAGTGTTCCAGCACAACATTGACGCTTCTCCAGACTCTCTGTGTTTTTCGCCACCCCCTTTCCAGCACTCCGCTCCCATGAGCGCACATCGGCCTTCGGAGCGGCTCTCATCCCCAGAAGAGCCTTGCGGCAGTGCCTTGGACGAGCCTGGGAACATCGACGGTAGCCATCGGAGCGAACAGCATTCACTTCAAATATCCAGCGGCTCCCGTATTCTCTTCCAGCTCGCTTCCGACCATGACGCTTCCATCAACCGTCACATCAAATTGCTGGAGAGCGCCGTCCTGAACACACTGATACAAACCAAGCAGAGCCTCGCAGCTACCCCGTCCAAGGACAGCAGCGTGTCCTCCTCGGCTCAGTCGCCAACATCGTCTTCCTCGTCTCTCGCAGCCTCCGTGTCGGCGTTTTCCCGCCCGTTGCTTCCGAAACTGCCAGGCGTCATGCCACCCGCTGCCGACGACGACGAGTCCGATGGTGAAGTGTGTCCCGAAAAACCCTTCTGTTGCGAGGAGTGCGGCAAGCGCTACAAGAAACTCAATGGTCTGGTCTACCACCGTCAAGTGACTCACTCGGTCCTGTCGGCTGAAGACCCCAAGCCTTTCAAGTGTTACATGTACAACTGCGATAAAACCTATCGAAATTCGAATGGACTCGGTATGCTCGCCATCGAACAGGCCAGAGCACATAGCAGGATGCTTGTTCGTTGCCCCGCGGTACAGAATGTGCATTGACTCGTACTCCTTTCAACGGCCAATCCCCCATTCATTTCAGCCTATCATCTTGAAAAGTCTCATGGCGAGGGCAGCTGGGTTCGGACTCCCCGAAAACCAAAGCCAAAGCCGAGCCCAAAGAACGGCCCACAGAGTCCAGTCGAAAAGCACTATGTCTGTCCATTCGAGGCAGGTATTTTGCTCTGCCAGAAACGCAGTCCCAACGGACTGACGAGTTGTCTTGGCTTGGCAATCCAACTATTCAGCTTGTTTATGAGTGGCCATGGCTACCGGCATACTGGTGGACTTGATTTCGCATGCATTCTCGCTCACCTTCATGGAACTCTGGCGATTGCACTGGATGCTACAGGGGTGTGGAAAAGCCTACAAAAATGCGAACGGCCTGGTGTACCACCTGCAAAAGGGCAAGCTCCGAGACCACGACTGCCTGATCGAGGAGATTCTGCGAGGCCTCGACAATGGTATGGCGCAGCAATAGATGCTGTTTGCAACACCCCCTGGCACTTGAGCGCTCGCGTATTGTACGAATGCAAGCGCCGATCTTCACGTTAATTTGCCAGATCCTCACTGCCCCCTTCCGATTCGCTCCTTTGCCCTTGAAGGCCACTCTAATCAGGCCAACACCCAGATCAAGCTGTGTGCACATGCACTGGCAAAGTCATCGAAGCAGCTTTCGACAACGCCTCCGGCTTTGACGCCGGTGATGGAAATGCCCACAGCCTCATTGTTGGTGGATGCTGAGCACGAATCGTCCTTGCCTAGGCCCTCCCCGGGTCTGGGGCAACAATCTGCCAACGCTCCAGAGACGCCGCGCAAACGCAAGCTGAGCAGCCCCGATCCCGAAATACCCGAGTACCATCTTCCGAATCTCGATTCGACGTCTTGGAGCCCCACCGCCAAAAATAACTCTCCATCAAGCAACCAGCTCGATCACACACACGCACACGCACACGCACATCCCCTGGATGCGTGCATCGGTCCAAGCCGAGATGCCGAATGCGAGTCCGCACACCGCCTTTCTGGGCTCGAGCTCGAGCTCGAGCTCGAGCCCAGAGGACACGATCGGCCACTCTGTTTCTCCTCGCATGGGTCTCCGCAGCCACAGCCCCAGCCCCAGACTCCGCTGTCGTACCCAGCGCCGGTCAGCCAGTCGCCCGTGTCAGATCGTAGCACGTCCGCCAGCAGCGAAGAGCTGGATCCAGACCAAGACGGCTACAGCTCAATACCCATGCTGGCGCCATCCAAGTCTGCTGCCCGCGGCCCCCCAAAGAAACGATCGCGCCAGGCTGGCGGCGCCAAACATCCTGCAACTGGAAGCCAGGTAGCATCCGAGCCGGCCCGGTAGGAGCGGCTCGTGGGATTCCCTGCTGCCGCGAACCCGCCTCCCGACACCGTCATACTTCATGAGCCCATGTCAATACACATTTCATTTTGAGAAGGAACAGCGACCCGATGCGAGACCGGCTGGCCCTGTTGGAATCCAGCATCATGCGTGCATCCGACAGCGGCCTTGTTGGTGCCATGAGCCAGCAGTGGCGCCGTGCGCAGCCAATGCGACCATGAAATGTGGCAGTTCGCGCTTGTGCGATGCTGCAGCCCGAACGGGAAGGCGAGTGCGCGCCCGTGCGTCGTCGCACAAGCAGGCGCACCCGCCGTTGTTTGCCAGCCCCGCCCCTCGACCGACCCTCCGTCCCCGTCCATCCGCCGATCGATCTGTCGATCAGCCTGTCCATCTATCGACTCGCATCGATCTGCCTTCGAAGCCATCCAGCTGCATCCATCGATCTGCCACCTGGATCGTCAGCGTTCCTCTCTGATCGCATCCCGCCTCCAGATCATCTCCAGCATCCCGCTGCATCGCTGTTCCCCCGAGCCTGCACAACCAACCCGAAATGACGCACACCGACCAGGTACTCTCCGCCGCTCAAGTCTCCACAATCGCCTGTGATATGGCTGTCTCTATCGCACTTCTACTGGCCTCTCAGTCGCCGCGTACTGGTGCTATATACTCTCTTGCTCACGACCCGCTCTGCGCTATGCTGTTGCTCCTTTTGCAGAACTGGGACCAAGCCATCGAGTCTCTGACACAGAGTATGCTTGCGCTCCTCAACGGCATCGGTCTCAGCGCTGCTGCAGATCATTTCCGGGCAGCAGCTTTTCGACGCAGATACGAAATCGCCGAGCAACCCGCGTCTCCGTCTGCATCACCTCGTTCTCACCCGATACTTATCTGTTGGTATCTGACCGCCATATCTTGCTTGTGGTTTCGCATCCGCACGCCGGACACTCACAGAGATCGAAGCATCCAGCATCATCGGTCCCGAGGTGTTCCTGGAGCGAGCTGCTGCCTATGAGAAGCGCGAACAATACGATGCCGCCCTCAACGACGCCAGAACAGCCATCTCCATCGACCGACAGAACAAGGCCGCTATCGAGACCATCCAGCGAATTCTCAAGGCGTCGGTCCAGAAGACCTCGGCCGACTCAGCATCGCCAGTGTTGCTGCTCTCCAGAAGCTGTGTGCGCGAAGACGACCTCGAGTCTGTGACGAACCCTCAGTCCCCACAATATCGCGAGCGTTTTGCATCCGTCCAGCGCCTCGCTATGCTCACCAGCGACGAGGACGTGGCCAAACGGCTGGTCAAGGACGGCGGCATCGACGTCCTCATCCCGACCTTCTTTCGCGAGCGAGAGCTGCTGGGTGAAAAGGCCGCGCCATCCATCCAAGCAGGCCTTCTCAAAGTCTTGCTGAATCTCTCGAGCATCAGCGAGCACGGGCCGATCATGCTGTCGTTTTTCACCAGCGACAACATCGCGGTATTCACTGGAAGCAAAGTCGTTGCCACCGTCCATATGGCATGCGATGTGCTCGCCCAGGTCGTCCTCAACTCGATTCCCAGTCTCACCAGCGCCTCGCTCGCCGACTCGGCCGTCGCCATCGTCAAGCGCCTCTGCTACTTTCTCCAGCCCGAGTTTGACGAGTCGCTGCGTGTTGCCGGCGTCAACGGCATCATGAAGGCCATCGGAAACAGTGACTTGGCCTGGCTGTTTGTCCAGGCGAAGGAGTTTGAGAGTGTACTCCAACTCGTTGATTCGCCCGGCATCCGGCTGCCATCGCTTGTTCCCGTGGCCCTGGGTCGATTCATTGAGCTTATCGATAGCTCCAAGCACAGCGCCGTCCAAGCCAACCTGCAAAAGTACATCACGGCCTGGCTGGACTCTGGCAAGCTTGCTGATCGAACTCGCGGCCTTCGTGTCCTGTCGGCGCTTTTCCAGGCCAACAGCAGCTTCGGAAGCACGGTATTTCATAGCAGCGGAGTTATAGAGCAGATTCTCGACTGCCTTGAGTTTGAAACCCAGTCCGAGGCCATTCAGATCGCCGCACTCCATGTTCTTGTCGACGCCTGCAACGAAAAGTCATGCCGCGGCATGATCGCGACCAACTTTGCCCGTCATGTCCAGCAGCTGTCGTCGCACCCGAACCAAGAGATCCAGATCACCGCAGCGGCAATTTCGATCAAGCTGTCGCTTGGTGAAAAGGGTGTTGAAGCGAGCCCCTCTCAGCTCGACCACCAGGCGAGGCTATTGATGTCATCTTTTGTCGATGTGGCTTGCCCAGCTGTGACAAAGTCAAACGCGCTGGAAGCTCTCGCCTATCTGTCGCTCTACCCACCCGTCAAGGAGGCCGTCTGCAATAGCACCGAGTTCCTCAAGCGGCTCTTTGACTTTATCAAGTCCGAGGACCGGTTCAATCAATACGGTGCTGTGACTGTGCTTGTCAACCTCAGCAACTACCGAAAGCGGCTTTCAGAGGAGGAGGAGCAGGTCATGAAGCTCAAGAAAATGTCCGGAGAGCCCCAGGGCGTTCTCAACAACGAGAGCCCGCTGGACGATGATCCTCGTGTCGAAAAGCGGTGTGCCACGCTGGTCAAGGCCGGAGCCATCACAGCACTGGTAACGCTCTCCGGCTCGCCGAGCCCAAGTGTTCGCGACAGTGTCTGCCAAGCACTGCTCAACCTCGCAGTCGACAAGCGGAACCGCGGCTTCATGGTTCAGCAAGGCGCCGTCAAAGCACTCATGGCCTTGACAAGCACAGCGTCGCCGGACGGCATCGCAGTGGCTTCCCAGGCGCTCGCCAAGATTGCCATCACCACGGATCCCAATCTAGCTTTCAAGGGCCAGCGTGCCGTTGAGCTGGTGCGACCCCTGATCAACCTCTGCAAAGGCGACAACGAGCTGCGACAATTCGAGGCCCTGATGGCACTCACTAACCTGGCGAGCATGGGCGGAGATGTTCTGGACCGCATCGTCGAAGTCAAGGGCATCCGCGACATCCAGCATCTGCAGTTTTCGGATCACGAACTTGTCCGCAGGGCTGCTACCGAGGCTCTCTGCAACGCCATATGCCATCCCGCCGTTTTCGAGTCCTATGCCATCCCAAGCGCTCGAGAGTCCAATCTCAAGGTGATGGTGGCCCTCTCCGACGTCCCGGACTTTGAAACCCGCCGTGCCGCCTCGGGTGCCCTTGCGATCCTGAGCTCGGACTCGCGCGTGGTTGACTATTTCATCACGGAGCCGTCTGGTCGCCCCCTCGAGGTTCTTGCGGCGCTGATTGATGATGACCCGGACACCGAAAGCAGCGCCGATGCGGATGCCGATGCGGATACCAATGCGGATACCAATGCCGATGCAGGCACCCCCTATCGTCTTTCCGAGTCCGAGCGCGGCGAGCTGCAGCACCGTGCGATCGAGTGCCTGCGCAACTGTGCAAAGTCTGGGCGCGCGGCGGTCGTCAAAATGCTTGAGACTGGCGTAGTCCCCAAAATCATCAAGTTGCTCAAGCTGGAGAATCCGGCCGTGGTCGAAGCCACTGTCGAGACACTGATGGTGCTCAAGTCGGAGGCGGCGAAGCTCAAGGGCGGCGTCGATATCTAAATGCGACGGTTTGTTGCGGACGGAGATACCAGGTGGGTTTTGGCAATGCGTACTAGAGGCTGGATGGTGTTCATCGGCCCGCCGTCCTCCCTCCGTATTGCGGCTGCACAATATATCTTGGATCAATAGAAGCGGTGCGTGCTCAGGAATTTGCAAAGCGTCTCGCCCCGCCCCTCCAAGCAATCGAGGCGAGCATCCTCTGCTCTCCAGCCAAGATCCACGGGCTCTACAGGGTGTCCCATTTCATTTTGGACTCGTTATATATGGCTCGGTCGCTGCTGTTGAGTGTTGGGGTTTAGAGAATGCGCATGCGGCGTCAGTTCCACGCCGGCAGTCCCCCCCCCATCTGCACATGCTCGTGCGGCTTCACATCCGAGCCGTACCGTTTTTGACATTACTCGGATCCAGTCTTCCTCTCCGATCTCTCCATCGCCGTCGCGGTCGGACTCTTCGAACAGCGTCTGCAGCTCCTCGTCCGTAAGACCCTCGCCCAGCTCCTTGGCCACACGCTTGAAATCCTTGAGCGTGATCTTTCGCTGTCCGGGCTCGGCAAACAGCGAGAAAGCGAGCATCATCTCTGCGTGGCTGTCTCGCTTGGACTGGTTTCGGGAACGGCGCCGTTGGCTACGATCAGGACATGGATTATCCGAGACACGGATTCGTGCTCTCCCACAAATTCCCACGCTCATCGTCCTATACACACTGACCCTCTCAGCTGCAACCCACCATTTTTTCGGCCATCAGATATAGAAACTCGTCAAACGTCAGGGTCGGGTCGCCGTCGGTGTCGTAGTCCCTGGCGATCTGCTCGATCTCCTCAACCGTCGGATGGAACCCGAGAGCCCGCATCACAATCTTCAGCTCCTTCAAGTCGATCGTGCCCGAACCGTCGGTGTCAAAGAGATTGAAGACCTCAAAGATTTCGCGCTCCTGCTCCGAGGTTAGATCCAGCTGCTTGCGATTGGAATTGGGAACACTGATGGTTTCCTTTCGAGCTAAACCTCCGGGGGCAGCAGCTTCCAGCATCGTGATCGTTGCCGTGCGCTCGGGGACAGCGGGCCGGCCCGGTTCGTCCTGGACCTTCTTTGGCGACTGGGTGCTGTCGTCTGGGACATATTGCGAAAGTTCTCGGCTCGGGGCCTTCTCGGAGGCGTCGACGCTGATAACGGACTCGTCTGGCGCCTCGATATTTGAGGGTCGGCTCGACAGTGTTGCTCGCGGTGCTGCCATTGACAAACGCTGGCCGCCCTTGCCCATCGATTCCTGGCGGTATGAGCTCCTGAACTTTTGGACGCAGTCTTGGGCAGTCGTGAATCCGCTAACGATGCTCATGCGCTTGGCCACGGTGGATCGGCGTTCTTCGTCCTGTGAGCATACAACCGCCATGGTTATCGGAATACATATTGTTGGTGTTATATCGAATCAGAGGTGTCAGTCAAGCACGGGAGGTCACCGGGGACCGACCGCCGGATGGGCGTCGAGCCTACCATGACGCCGAAGGATTGCTCAACGACTTGCGCGATAGTGTCGTATCCCGAGCCTCATTCCAAGCCAGTACTAATTTGAACGTGTGGATGATCTGTGTGGATGGCGCAGCTTCTCAAGGTTGTTGATTGGCCATCGCCCTGGTCACTACCCAAGCATTGCGTTGCAGGAGTGGCCGAATATACGCACCATACCCTCGAATCGCGATATCGATCATCGCTAATGGAGATGGGCCGGATGTACTCAAGAGAAGCCCCCCCCCCAGAGCCACAATCGTACTTGGACTGCCAGCCTAGACGCAACAATCTCGTTCTGCGCATCCATCGGTGGAATCGTTTGCACAAGCACCGGGCCAAGGAAGTTATGTGGCGAGCAGGTTGTGGATTCACTTTGGGAAATGGCGACGCAGAGCCATGTCACTCTATTTTATTGCCGGAACATCGCTGTGTAGAAGAGCACCTGGCATTCTCGCGGACGTTTCTGGTTACCAGAGTCTTGGGCTGGAGCGCCCACCACCGATGCTCAGGCGAGTATCGGTGGGATTCCTGAAAGTCAAACGAGCCAGCATGGTTGACTTTGGTTAGAGTCAGGCACAGTGTGTAGGTTGGATGCACTATCGCACGGTTGCATTGGAGCAATGTCCTACCTGTGGATGGCGAGTATGTCGCATAATCTCGGGGCTGTCGCACCTCAAAGATCTTCTTTTTGGGACTCTCTGGGGCTTGGGGCTCCAGCGAAGGCATCTTTTCGGCTGGCTGATCCAGCCCTCTCTGGAATGCCATTAGCTCCTTGATCTTTTCTTGCCGCCTTGCCTCCGGAATATGCTCGATCCGGTGCACTTTCCCATCCACCATGTACACGATGCGATGGCCAAAGTTCTTGAGATTCGGATCGTGCGTGACCATGACCAGGGTCATGTCCTGCTGCTCGTTGAGGCGATGCAGCAGGTACATGATCCTCTGGGTGTTCTTGGAATCGAGATCGCCCCTGTTCCAGGAACCGAGGCTGCGTCAGCGACGTGCTCCACTGCTCCGATGGCCCTCGACAATGACTGCTCAATGCATGCGTATCCTGGGGACAGCCTCAGGCATGGTATTACGTTGGCTCGTCCAGAAGCAGCACTTCCGGATGGTTGGCAATGGCTCGGGCGATCGTGACTCGCTGTTGCTCTCCACCCGATAGTTTGTTTGTAAAGTGATTGATGCGGTGGCCGAGACCCACATTCTCCAGGCTCGCTACGGATGGCAGGTGGACGACACAACCCCGAATCAGCACGGTCTGCGACTTGGCCATCGCCGCCAGTAGATATAGAGCCGCGGACTCACTTTGCTCCTTACCTTTGGCCCTGGTCCGTTGCTCCGCAGCCTTGATCTCGCCCTTCAGCATCATCGGTAGCTCTACATTTTCGAGGGCCGTCATCGACGACAGCAAGTTGAAGGACTGGAAGACGAATCCTCTGTCATGTGTGCCAGCCGGTGCCTCGTTAGATCCCGCACATCAGCGCAGGAACAAAGTGATCGCCAGTCGTTGCAGCCACCCACAGTTTGTTCAGCCTCAGGTCAGCTAAGACATGGTCTCGGGTTTCTTCGCGTATTGCTGGGGTTAAGAATCGGGGAATGGGTTATCAGGAATCAAGAAATGCACTGGTAAGGATCACGCAAAGTGCTGACAGGGGAGCACTGAATTGGATTGGATTGAGTTGGATCTCCATCACGCTCGGCCATGCACCCGGTTGCTCAACCGGACAGTTCGGCAGCGACCTCGATTTGCATGGCATGAACGAGGATGGCAGAGTGTCCTACATGTTCCACAGATCCGCAGGTCGCCCTTTGTGGGAGCATCGATGGTTCCGATCAAGTTGAGCAGCGATGTCTTGCCGCCTCCCGAGGTTCCATAGATCATCACCCACTCGCCCTTGTATATCGTCAGGTCGACGCCACTAATCCCTCGGCGGGCATTACCAATGGCCCGGTTGTGGTAAAGGCGATCAAAGTGTGTCGCAGCGTAGGTATCGCGGAAGCATTCAGCATTCGGTACATCGAAGGAGGTGCGAGGGGGCATGCGCGATTACTGCACATCGAAGCCGCCAGCGCGAGGCAAGGCTTGGGCAGCGGGCTCGCCATGGCATCAACACTCACCGCAACGCAGCGACCCCTTCAACCCCGAGCAGGTAGGTCTTGTGAATGTTCCGGAGCTCGATGATGGACTCGGACGCGCGAGTCGGATGCTCGTCGCCGCCCTCGACAGTGATCTTGAGCGATAACGACCGAGCGCAGGACGGCAAGGACAGCCGCAGCCTGGTTAGCACATGCGCTTGGAGCGGAAGATGGCGGCCCTGCACGAATGGCACGAATGGCACGAATAGGACGTTTCGAATGGTTGGACTCGTGTTGGGCAGTTACCATGATCGAGGACGGCGACTTTTGGCTGAGACTCGATCCGTGAGCCTTGGTGGGTGCTTGTGCGAGTGCTGGGCGAGATGGATCGATGCCCTGGAAGGGCTCCTGGTGTGTCTGAGCGTTTCCCATGGTCGGCAACGAGCTGAATGACACGACAGCGATGCGACTGCGAGAAGAATGGCACCAGGGCACGGAGGAGGGAGGGTACCCAAGGACTCAGCGGCTCAATGGCGCAGATAAACCGCCGCTCGGATGCTGGTTCGCAAGCGAGTATATTTGAGAGGTCCGGGATATGATTGCCAAATGCCTGCCACAGGCCGTTGTCGCCCACGATGTTCGCGCCAAAGGGGTCTTCCATGGCCGTGCACGTTTGGGTATTTGGCGGCATTTTGCCATCGAGCCCGACAATCGTGACCAACAGATTGCAGCGCCCAGTAACTCTCGCGCCTTTTGAGCAGGAGCGCCGGCGCCCCCCCTCCACCGAGGGGTTCCTGCTTGCATCAGGGTCAAGTGAGGAAAGAGCACGGCGCCAGCACATTGACGGATCACCGACATGCAGCTGGTAGTCCCCGTTGGCCTATAGTATCGACGAATCGTCCGAGGATACAAATGAACAGGCTTGATGGAAGGATCGCGAGCCTGCGAGAAGCTGGATCATTGCCAATACCATTAAAAATGAGCATAAGCGCCAGCAATAACTCGACAGCGCATATCCCGCCCATCTTGCCGCGGCTGATACATACCCCACGAGAAGCCACCTCTCGCATCGACTCCAAGACATAGCAGGATGAGTCGCTCCTGCTCACGAATAGACGCCTTGCTGCCTCAAAGCCGTTGTCGCTGCACAGATACAGGCGCTTGTGAGTGACCGATGCATGCCTCGGGGCAACTCCCTCCTCGCCTTGACCCGTCGTCATCGTGATTCCATCCCACGATCGACCTGGACCCAACCGAGGCCGATACTTACATTATGGACTCGCGGGTCTTGAGCATCGGATGTCGAGGTTCCGTCTGCGAGGGCTCAATGAGGGAGGATATCTGCGAACCAGCGTCAGAATGTCAGTGTTGGCAATCGCGAGCCCGGTCAAGTGCGCATATCACAGAGCGCACTCTTCAGCTTGCCTTGAGCAGGTTTGGACGGGAAAACAGTGGTTCGGGATCGGCTGGCTCGGGAAGCAGGCCTTCGGAGATGAAGGGACTCTGATCTGCCTCGGAGTTGGCTGCGTCGTTGGGGATGAGACTTGGCCGCTCGGAAGCTGGAGGGCTGCCTGCCTGGCGGGCATCGACCAACAGCGATGTTGCTTGTTCGTCCTGATTGCCAAAGCCATCAGAGGGGACGCAAAGTGGGCCGTCGGCCGGGTTGCTTACAGGGCCGCTGGGCTGGCCGTCGATAGGGATGTCCACTGCATCGAGGATGGGTTCCTCTGCACCAGCGTTTCCAAGTTCGGCGGCGGCTGTGTGGGCGTCGGCGAGCTCGGGCGGCCTCCACAGCGCCGGACCGATATGGGGCCCTAGGGAATGGGTATAGTCGGCAAGTGCCGGGAGAGAGTTCAGAGTAGGCAGGCCGAGGGGCTGAAGGTGGACGGTTGTGGTCGGATGCGAACCCAGCAGGGCCGAGAGGCTCGTCGGCACTGGATCCAGAAGCGTCAACGGGTCAGGTTGGAGCGGCGGCAGCAACTGCCGGCCGGCTGCAGTCTCCGGCAGCCGGTATTGGTATTCCGAAAACTTGACCGCCATCGGACGCTTTCGTTTTGGTGGAGGGCTTTGGAAGGGAGCAGCACTATGGACAGCTCCGTCGGCCGAGTGATGAGGCTGTTCCAGCTGCCGACATCGCTCCTCCAGCGCCTTGACCTGGCTGGTGAGCTCGAGGATATGGTCTCTGGCTGCGACCAGGACAGACGCTGCATTTTGAGGAGGAGGCCACAGGGCATACAGTTGATTATCGGTCCTCTTTCTGAGTGGAACAGCCGGTCGGCAGCTTGCTCGGATCGCAGTGTCGGTCAGGATCCAGAGAGCAACAGCCAGACGACTTACCCATCGATGCCGACTCGACCGACAGAATGGGGATTACATCTCTCAGCTCCTGGAGCCTCGTCTTCTGCTCCTGCCTCCTCTTGCGCTCCATATCCGTGTGTCGCTCCTTGGACCGATAGCTGCGAATGGGCGGGAGTCAGTTGGTCTTGCAGAGTCTTGCTGTAGACATCCGGAGATGCCCAGAGAGGACTCGACAGCCGCCGCGGGCTCTCAGGCATATGGCCGGTCCCGTCTGAAAGGAGATCCAGAGAGCATGCTGACAATCGCGACGACAGTCTTACGCATTCATGGTGGGACTGGGCGGGTGCGAATGGAGGGATCGGCAAGATGTGAGGAAGAGTCTGCGAGGTCTGCGCCGCCGTCTCGACATCAAAGTCACCTCAACAATCCGCAAGCCAGCCCCGCAACCAAGAGCCGCTGGAAAGGGCTGCTCCAGCTGAGCGGCTACCACGACCTCGCCCGAGTTGATCTGAGGCTCGATTGGAGGGAGGTCTGGATTGGGCGAGGCGGCCGATCAACATCATTTGATCCCTCCCCCAAGGCCACAAGCCGTCCTCGTGAAGTGTTCTGTTTCATTGAGGGCAAGGCTATCGGAGAAAACATCGCGGCATCGTCCTCTGTCAGAAGTCCCAGCCTTCGTTTCGCTCCTGGCCCCCATCTGCCTCAGGATCATCAAATACACCGCACATAATGGTAAGTCACATCGGATGCGCTTGCGAGCGATAGGCTTCCTGCCCCAGAAGCATCATGGATCCAGCGGGCGCGTTGGCCGCATATGCTGCTCCAGCATTCGATGCGTCGCCGCATACGCTCCCCGCCCTTCCCTCTCGAGACCCTATCCTACGATTGTCCCTCATGCGGCTGCTATGGTTTTCTTCAGGCCGCAAAGAGCAAGCGGGTCATGGTCGAGAAGCGAGACCAAGAGCTGCGTCGGCGTGAATTTTCACGAGAAGACCTCGTCAAGCAGCTCAACCAGGACGCCCTGTTTCGCAGCAACCTGAGCTCCGATAGCCGGGTCGAGAACTCGCGCCGACTCCGGAGCCAAAGGATCATGGAGGAAGAGCTGATAACACAAGCTAAGCTCGCGGAGGTAGGGAAGCCCGTGTGCCTAGATCGCGGCTGGTGGGCTATGGAGCCGATGCATGGATGGAATACTGGGATGACCGAGTGACCGGGCAGCCGAGCAACCGTGCGAAATGGTTCGGCACCGGCATACCTTTCTGAGCCCCGACCGTTGCTGATTCCGATGAACTGGGGGGCGGTGAACAATTCTTGCGGACGTGTGCGGCGACAGAAAATGCGAAAGCGAGAAGAAGCGGATGCCCTCCAGCGCCGGGAGGAGGAGCTCGTCAAGACCATCGAGGCCAAGCGGCTCGAGCAGATGCGGCAGGAGAAGCTGCGACAGTCGATCCGGGAAAACAGCGTCGAGCTGCGCGAGCTCGAAAAGAAGATCAAGAACGCCTACATGAACAAGGAGCGAGCCCTGCAGATCGAGGAGCGGCATCTCTACATGGACAAAGAAAAGGTATGGTTGGTGAAGCGATTTGCACGGGGAGATACAGCGATTGCAGCCGCGGGAAACGAAGACCACACCGACATCCATCCCGTGGGCGTGGGAAGCATGGTGTCGACGGGTGCATTGCGCCGGATCGGCTCAGTATCTTTTAGGGAGGATGCTGTGCTGATGGAGAAGGGTTCATTTCGCAGGAGCAAGAGCAATCCCTCATCTCCGTGATGAACCGCAACCTCGAGGCAGCCAACCAACAGGAGCTCGAGAAGGAAAAACAGGCGTACATCAAGAGCCGTCAATACAAGCGTGCTCTCCAGGACCAGCTGGAGGAGCACGAGCACCGAAAGGAGAAGGAATACGAGCTCTTCCTCAAGGACAAGGAGATGATCGACAACATCATCCGACGAATCCAGGAGGAGGACGAGAGGTCAGCACCAGCGCCACCGGCAGTGCATTGCTCCAGCAGAGTATTGTCGTTGGGTGTCACTGCCAATGCAATCGAGGGACGGCGTGTGCCTCGCCGAGTGTTCGATAGTGTGTTGCGTACCTGACCGTGCCATTGCGGTGCTTCTGCGCATCCAGAGAGCTCCAGCTGCGTTTGGAGAACCAGCGCGAGACGAAGCAGTTTATTGAGGACTATCTCTTGGAGCGGCGCCGCTGGAAGGCCGAGGAAAAGCGCCGCCAGGAAGAAGAAAACCGCAGGATCGAGGAGTACTCTCGCCTGAAGCGCGAGCGTGAAGACGAGGCGGAACTGAAGAAGCGAGCCCTCAATGACGAAAAGTCACACATCTATGACAAGGTTCGCCGAGAGTTCCACGGGGACACGGAGGAGATGTACTGGGTGGCATATGGGATCGCCTACTCTCAAGCGATACGATACTCACCATCTCACGTCTTCCCTACAGCTTGCCGCCGAGGTCGAGCGCCAGGAGCGCGAGAAAGCCGAGCTCGAGAAGCTGCGGGTTGAGCTGTTCCAGGCTGAGGAGGAAGAAAAGGCGAGACAGAAGGACCAGGAGCTCCTCGAGACCCGCATCCGAAAGAGACTGGAGCTCATCGATGCCTACCAGCAGCAAGTCAAGATGAAGCGACAGCGGTTGGAGAAGGCACAAGCAGAGGAGGCCGAGTTCAAGAAAAAGGTGCGTTCGTTGTGAGCGATGCCCGTGGGTCCCATCTGCGACCGTTATCCGCAATTAGCTGCCAAGGTCGAAGGCAAAAGTTCTGTTCTGTTCTGTTCTGTTCTGTTCTGTTCTGTTCTGTTCTGTTCTGTTCTGTTCTGTTCTGTTCTGTTCTGTTCTGTTCTGTTCTGTTCTGTTCTGTTCTGTTCTGTTCTGTTCTGTTCTGTTCTGTTCTGTTCAGTTCTGTTTTGCTCCGTTCCTCTCGATCCGCGCTCATGGGGGCAGGTTGCTCATCCTTTGCCCGTGCGTTGGCTGGTCACTGCTTCAGATGATGGAAAAGTTTGCCGAAGACGAGAGAATCGAGCAGATGAATGCCCAAAAGCGCCGAATGAAGCAGCTCGAGCACAAGAAGGCCGTGGACGAGCTCTGCGCCGAGCGCCTGCGGTACTTTCGCGAAGAGTACGAGAAGCAGATGGAGGAATATCGTCGCCAGGAGGAACTCGAGCAGTATCGCCAGCAAGTTATCGAGCAGGAGCGCCAGCGACTCTTGCGGGAGCATGCTACGCAGCTACTTGGCTATTTGCCAAAGGTCGGTGGCGGCAGCGATGAAGGAGAGCGGGACGGTATATATGCAACCTCAACGGTAGGAGTTGATTTAGTTGACGGTACTCACATTTTACTCCGCGATGACTTCATCCAGGGTGTTTTCCGAGACGAGCGCGACATCCAGCTGTTTGACGACGAGTTTAGAAAGAAGTTTGAGTCGCTTTCGGTCAACAAGTAGAAGACTCGCAAGACGAGAAGCGTGGCTCTGGCGCTAATTCCAACACTTCGAGCTGGACCATGGGGTCTGCACCATTTACACCATATGTTCCCTTCCCACCTTCCTGTCCTTCGAGTTATGCCCTATGTTCGTCCTGGTGAAATATAGTGGCTATCGGCACCAGATACACCAGATACACCAGATACACCAGATACACCAGATACACCAGATACACCAGATACACCAGATACACCAGATACACCAGATACACCAGATACACCAGATACACCAGATACACCAGATACACCAGATACACCAGATACACCAGATACACCAAACAGTATCCTGCCTCGGCGTAACCGTCGATCGTCATTCTCAAGTGTCAAGTGGATCCTCACATCAACAGATTAGCATAGCATTCATATATATTCCGCCACAGCTACAATGTTCCTGTGTCGTCTCTCCATTCGTCTCGCTCCCTCGGTTTTCAAACCGCCATTGTAGAACAGGAACTGCTCCCCCCCCTTCCCCCCTCGGACCAGGGTCAGAATGGATACTGCCCCTGTCGAGCAAGGAAAAAACCGGACTCGCTCGCCACGTCGAGATCGCCGCCATTTTTGATTCGCCTTCATCGATGCATCCCATCGATCGTACCGCACCGTGACCATCGATCGAGGGCTCCGGCTGCTGTATCCCAAGGTTAAGGATGGCAGGGTCAAGCCGATAAAACAGATAAAGCGATGGAAATAACGGGGGAGAGAAGGGGAGAGGGAAAGGAGGAGGGCCACAAACAATGGCTACAAAAGTGGGGTCAGCCCCGGCAGGGCCGAGGCTCGAGAGACTTCAAGTATACAACGGCATATTGGGCTGACGATCATCGAGTCGTCCAAGGAAGCAGGACAGCCGGGAAGCAAAAACAAAAGAAGAAAAAGAGGTGGTAACTTATAGTCAAAAACTCCTCCGAATATTCAAGTTGAAACGGTGGTGCCGCTGGAATCGGTATTTCAAGCCTGGAGGGGCGTCATATCGAGGGTCCCATTCTGGTAGCTGGACAGCAGATTGCGGAGGGAATCCTGCGGGGGGGGGAGGTGGGTCGGCGACAACGACGAATGAGAGAGTCAGGCGTGGAATTAACCAAGCTGGCAGATGGGTTGCGTTGGAGATTGTAGTCAAGGAGGCTGCCTCTTGGTCTGCATACCTCGCTGATGCTGCCCTCATAGACATGGTATTTCTCGTTGGGAATGTCCAGGAGCAGGGCTTGCGGGCCCTTGGCTTCATCATATGGCAGCGACACCATCTGGCGAACGTTGGTGCTGACGGGGGTCACAGCTTTGCCCGTGAAAAAGATGACGCTGGGCTCGACAAACTGGCTCGAAATGGACAGTTTGCGACCATCCTTTGGGCTTGAGTACTCGCCAACGATCGAGAGCATGGCTCGCTCGAGTGCGTCTTGCTCGGTCTGGGCAGAGATATACGCAGCAGTGGTCAGTTAGCGTTCAAGAACCGGCTCACGCTGATTTGGCACCCAAGACCACAGCCCACGAGTCGCGTGCTGCGGACAAAGCCTTGCTGCAGATACAGATTGCTGAGTCCTTTGGGACCAGCTGCATGCGACGCAGCTACATCGCGGTTCTCGATAATAGTGCTCAATTGCGGCGCAGAGGAGGGGCTCCATGGATATTACCTGTGAGGCAGACTCGCTAAACAGGATCAAGGATGTCTTTTCGCTTGGAGTGTATCCAGCGGACGAGAAACTCTGAGGAGCGGGCGAAACGAGCGTGTGAAAACGGGGGGGGGATCGTGGATGAGGCTGTACAGCAAAGCGGCCTCGACCTCAAGCCGATCAAAGTATGAATGCACGGCCATCGCACCTCGGAGATATCGCAGAGTCTCTTGGGGACCCAGGGGAAGTTGGCACCCTCCGGATCGGCATGGATGCTGGCCACGGCGTCCCGGTTGATGACATTGCCGTCGGAGTCGACAATCACCAGCTGAGGGATGCCGTCGATGGTGTACAGCTCCCTGTCAGATGCAACGGCGAGCGGAGCACGAGGCCGTCCGAACCGAGTTGATCAGAAAAGAAGCATGCCACTTGCTAGGACCAGCCGTAGTCTCGCTGGTGCGCGGCAGAGCATGTTGCGCACACGATCCGCTGCACCATGCATCCGCCAATGTATCGCGAACAGTGCTGCAAATGTGTGGGCGACGCATACCCAAACTCAATAAGGGCTTCAGCGCCCTCCATTCTAGACAGCGCCAGCCAGGGCATCTTGGCCAGAAGCTCTGTTTGATAATAGAGCACGCCATGGTGGTAAGGGGTTTGCTCGTCGTCGACTCAAGACCAGTGCCAGCGCAGCAGCCGCGCTTCCACGGCCAGGAGAGAACGAGTGCGCGCATGATCGACAATACTTACTCTGGTAGTGCTCTTCTTCGCGATCACTGGAGATGAAGATGACTTCAAAGTCCTGATGTTGTGTCTTGAGCTTCTCGTAAACACTGACGAGGTCGGTGACGAAGGACTGACAGGGACCGGACCACGAGGCCGCGAAGAGCAGGCCCAGTATCTTGCCCTTCAAATCGGCAAACGAGAGCTCGCGGCCCTCGCGGGTAGCCAGGGGTCGATCCAGAATCTGGTGGAAGGTTTTGGGTATGTACGGGAAGCGCTCGCCGTGGAGATCTGAGTAGATCTCGACGACGGGGTTGCGGCGGATGATTTCGGCGCGTTCGTCGAGGATCAGGAGGCGGGGGATGTTCTTGACGTTGAACTTTTTGGTCAGCGTCTTTCGGAAATCGAGCTGCTCAAAGGGGACTGCCAGCCTATGTGGATGCGATGGATGTGGTGGATGTGGTGGATATACGGCAGGGGGCAGAGTGGAATGTCAGCCGAGCGCAAGCAGAGGGGTACTAAGATACTGTGTCGGCCGCATATGGCACTGCGAATGAGAACAATGGCACTACGCACCATGGCATCTCCAGATAGAATTCTTCAAAGGAGGCCTGGTCATGGTCCGAGCTGACATAGACGATCTCGGTTTTCTGGAGCCAGGAGATGCAATGAGATGCGAGGGGATGCGATGAGATGCGAGGAGGAGATGCCAGAAGCAGAGATCAGCAACGACGAAGGAACAGAATGCAGCTCGGCGTCGTGGTCGGAGACGTTGTCCAGGGAGAGGCAGCGCCGCAGACAGGGGGCGAGGACACACCCGGCGATAATCGACAGACACAGGACACCCTCCCCCTCGCAGGCTGCACCGATCGCACACCGCTGCAGACGCACCGTTCCCTTTCCCAACAGGTTGTGGTAGAAATCGATCAGCTTGGTGGTCATGGCCCTTGCTGGCCCGCACCTGGCGATAGCAGGGGAGGAGAGGGATTGAGCATCTGGGCACTCCAGAGCAAACCAGGAGATACCGAGCAAACGCAGTGCAGCCGCCAGAGCGACAGGCATTACCAGTATGCTCCAAAGAAGAGAAACACCACCTTGCCAGCGAGGGCGGCGCTGGTGCTGGTGAGCTCCGAGTGGTATGCCTGGGGCTTGGGAACCTCAAAGACCGGGTGCTCGGCATGGATCTGCGGGTTGTCCTGGAAGCAGCTGTCGCAGAGGTCGTAGTCGTTGCAGGTCTGGCAGCGATGGCGGGTGCCTTCAAAGTCGTCGTCGTGGCAGTTATCGCAGACGACACCGAACCAGCGGTGGGAGTCGTTTGTAAACGGGCTGTTTCGATCCTTGGCAAGCAGCGACGGACCCAGCAGCTGGGCCAAGGGAGACGGATCGTCCTGGGCAGCGTCCTGGGCAGCGTCCTGGGCAGTGTCCTGGGGATTCGAGATCATGATGGGACGATGTGCGGTGGGTGGTGGAGGTGGGGGAGAGAAGGGCAACAAGCAGGGCGATGCCGGTCCAGAGAGATGCAGCGAGCGGCGAGAAACGAGCAAGGGCCGCCAACGGCCAAGGCAATATACAGGACTGCAAGCAGGCAAGCGTCTGCTGGAGCGAAGGGCGGGGCAAGCAGGCGCCGGCGGGACGGCCGAGGACGAGGGGGGGAGGCGTGGTGTCGATGGAAAAGGAGGGAAAGAGCGAGCACCGACAGGGCGGACATGGTGGGGCCGCGGGCGAGCGGGCCTGTGCGAGCGGGCCGAGGGTGGGTGTTGGTGGTGGTGGTGGGTCGGGGGGAAGGTGGGTTGATGGGATCGACTGGGGATGGGCCGCGACAAAGCGACGGTAAATTGCGGATATGCGCATGGGTCGATGGTGAAATGCAAACGGAGATGCAAACGGAGATGCAAACGGAGATGCAAACGGGGAGTGCCAAGAGGGGGCGACAGCAGAAGTAGGATGGGAATGCAATCATCAGGACGTGGATGTTGTTGGTCAAGCAGAGGATATGTGCATGCAGGATGTCGTTAGAATATGCATTAGCGGGTAACTGCTATCAACAACCGCACATGCACCGCCTTGCGCTGGTGGCGCCCAGCATGGCGGCCGAGAGGGTGGGCCTGCTGTTGCGGTGGGCGTTGGTGCGAGCGAACGACGCAAGGCCGCCGTCGCACCGGGGGCATGTGAGCAGACAAGGCCGGTATCGTCGTTGGTGATATTCACTCGCGATGCTATTAATGACCGATAATGTTCACTCGCGATGCTATTAATGATTGGTAATGTTCACTCGCAATATCACCATCATCATGCCATTGCGCTCGCGTCTCTCATCTCCCCATGGCTGTTGCTCTCTCGCCCGGCCTTGCTCATGCCCCCCCCCTGCACCACTCGAGCCCGCCGTGTGGAAGGGAGGGCACAACCCTCGATCCCACCCCTTCGCAGGCCACGCTCTCTGTGGTGCAGCCTGACCTGTCCGTGCGAGCATCTCCTCTCCATGGCTGGCGCTGGCCTTTCTCCAGGGCCTTGTCGCGGCCATGGTCTTTGCCTCGAATAGGTCCTGTGCGTGGGAGCCACGCAAGGCTGGTGCAAGTCCCAGAGGGCGGCTGGTGTATGTTTCCACATGCATTCGCACTCGCACTCGCCTCGTGCGGATCGATCTTGCAATGTGCTGGCTTGGCTCCTCGCAGCGTCAATCAGGGCAGGGCTGCCCATTCCAGATCGCTGAGCCCGCTCGATCCGACTTGTCCAGCCCGGCCAGCCCGGCCAGCCCCCAACCAAACCCAGCCAAGTCGGCCGGGCCACCCGAATAAACTCCATCGGTACCTTTGTCGCATCATATCGCATCCCGCTGGCGTCATGCTCTCCGAGTCCACTCACCAGCAGCTCGTCAGTGTCATTCTCACGCATCTATCCACCCAGCCGCCTCAGACCCTCGACAGCCATGGCAAAGAGATCACCCTCAACGAGCTGATCGACGCCATTCTACGCGACAACCCCCAGTTCGCCGATGTCTGTAGGAAGACGCTGCGGGTGCTCGTCAAAAACCTCCGCAAGCAGGAGCGCAAGAAGGCCGAGCTGCATCACCAGCAGACCCTGGACGAGGCTGCTCGCCAGCGGCAGGAGCACATCGAGGCCCAGAAACGCGCAAAGGAGAGGCATCTGGAAGAGAAGCGCAAGGTGTGGGCCGAGCAGGAGCGTCGTGAGAAACAGGCCGAGCTTGCTGCCCGGGTCCAGCGCACCCTCGAGCGGCGAGCGCAGGCCGAGCTGGCCCAGAAGCTCTTTGAGAGCAAGCACCGGGTCAACTATGCAGAGCTGCCCCCGCTCTACCCCGGCCCTCCAGGCTGGATCCGCGACGTGACCGAGATCCCAGAGGGTCTGCGTGGGATTCCCGACGATGGCATCGCTCTGCAAATCAAGAACTACATCCGCCATCGCGAACTCGACCGACGCTTTGCGTATCTGATGGACCAATACGACGGCCTCGGCGGCACCGACGCCAGCCTGAGCTACAGCCAGCACGAGCAGCTCTTCAAAAAGGTCGGCTTTACGCTCAAGCCAGTCTCGGACAAGCTCAAGAGCGGCTTCCAGATGAACCTCGACTACCTACTCAACCACGTCTCGTACGATGTCGCCAAGGATGCACCCCACCAGCTGCGGAGCTGCGAGGAGTGCGGTGAGCCCACCAAGAACGAGTGCCGGTGCGGCGAGGCCTTCTGCTCCAAGCGATGCCAGCAGACGGGTTGGCGCACCCATCGATTCGTCTGCACAGCCATTAGTGCCTCCAACGAACATGTCGATCGGATCACGGCCGAGTGGTGGAAGGCACAGGGCTGGTCCGAGGAGTTGCCTGCCGAGAGCGAGACCGCACCGGCACCGAGCAACCTACAATTCGGACGCCTCTTTGACGACGTGCTTGCCCAGCTTCCTGCCAGCGACCCGGAGGATGGCGAGAACGACAGCGGCGAAGACGAAGACGAAAACGAAGACGAGGCGGAGGAGGAGGAAAGTCCGTCCTCTGACTGAGGACAGCCCTCGCGGGTCGATGGCCGTACTGCAGACGAGGCCGAAGCATCGACTGCAGGTGAATCATGGATCTGCTCTGCCACACACGGAACACGGTCTTATAGCGACAAGTGACAGCGTCCTGATAGTATTGAACCAACAGACGGCGGTTCCGCCAAGTGGTGACAAACAAGTGGAGCGACAGTGGCGTTTTGGTAGTTGAAAGTACATGGTGGCTTGGGCCTAGAGAGCAGCCTACAAAATGCAAACCACAAAATGCAAACCGCAAAATGCAAACCACAAAATGCAAAGCAGAGACAAACTGAAACAAAAAGAGGTTCATCGACATATGCATAGACAGACGACTGTGGGGCCTTCAAACGAACCAGGGAAGGGCTGTGCTGTGCTGAGCGTTGCCTGCTTGCATTTGAATGCAGCAGTGTCCTGGGGCGACCAGCCGCGCTTTAAAAGATCCCGCTGATCGAGACAAGCGACGACAGGACGATCGCAATCGCTGCCCAGACCACTCCCTGGCGTCTCGAGACCGAGAGATCCGAGGCCGCGCTGGCAGACGGCTCGGTGGAGCCCTTCACAAAGTACTTGCTGCTGTTGGTCCAAGCGGTGATCATGTCGAGGGCAACCTGGGGTTGGTCGTAAGGAACGAGGTGGCCGGCGCCGTAGATCTTCATAAAGTTGAAGGTGTCGTAGCTGCGGATCTCGCCAGCCGGCTGCTTGGTGCTCGGGCTGATCCAGATCAGATCGGAGGTGTTCTGGAACTGCCTCTGGCCAGGCCAAGTCAGGTTCAGAACCCATGCCTTGTTGCCGATCCCTAGTGAGAGCCGCAATGGGATTACGGGAGCGGATGTTTGTGGAGAGGTGGAAGTCAGGGCGTGGTGTTGGTACCGATTGCCAGAGCCCATGGTGGATGCCCATGGTGAGTGCCAACGGTAGGTGCCGATGGTGGATGTCAATGATGGGTGTCAAAGTGCCACGCGCGGTAGCGAGTAGTACATGCATGCTGCGAGAGCGATTGAACCGAGGCACGAACTAACTCTGTCCAGCCCAGCTTTGCTCGGCTTTGCTCGGCTCGGCCTAGCTTTGCTGAGCATTCAGTCGTCCATGCCAAAGATGGGCCACTCACAGTTGCAGATGTAGTCGGCATCACCCGCATAGATCAGGACGCTGATTCCCTTGGCCATCACAGGCGGAATATCGTTCACATAGGGCATCATCCAGTCGCCAGAGCCGGTGAAGCGACTGTACACAACGTCGGACGACATCACAAACGTGCGGTTCAGGCCCAGAGAGACGAGCGTGCTGTTGAGGTTGAGGTAGGTACTGATGTCGTCCATCATCGGATCTGCAGCATCACAACGGGTCCAATCAGCGTCCAGGCGCCAGGTTGAGCATGCCATGATTGGGAGCACAGAGGGGCCGAGGAACATATTGGCGCATCATGTTGCTCTGCCAATCGCACAGCAGGCGGTGCAGTCTACTATGGCGACAAGGGCAAGCACAATACCCACAGTCAGAGCAATCAACGACGTTAACGGAGCACTTGACACGCATGTCATAGATGTTGCGATTGTTGACGAAGGCGCCGTCCAAGACATATGTGTTGCAGTAGTCGGTTGCGTTGCTGTGGTTTGACGACGAGTCCGGGTCAGTTCAGAGGCCAGTCTCCCGCTGCCAGCACTTTCCTCGGCCAGGCAACACCTACGAGCAGATTCCGGAATTGAGGGTCTGGTAGCAGCCGCGGATCATGTTCAAGCAGGTCGGGACGGCCGCCTGGACGGTCGCAATCACATCCGAGCCCACGATGGGGCCGTACTTGGTGTCGGCCGCCATGAGCGGGTACGACGAATACTGGTTCAGCGGGTCGGTGATGCCGTTGCCGATGGCGATCGACACCAGATTGATCGGGAGGAGGCCCGAGGTGGCGTTGGCGGTGGCATTGGCGTTGTTGTCGACGATGGCCCTGGCGACAGCGGGGACGTAGTGGCCTCCGTAGGACTCGCCAAGGGTGTGGAAGGGAAGGTGCCGGTACTGCGAGTTGGCTGCGAGGAAGATTTGCAGGAAGGCATAGACGTCCTTGGCGGCATCGGCGCTCGTGAAGGTGGCTGCCGAGGCATTGTCCGAGTAGCTGAAGCCGGTGTCGACGGGCTGGTGGCACGGCGAGATGGGGAGCGGGGCAATGGATACGGATGAGGCAGTGGATGAGGCAGTGGATGAGGCAGTGGATGAGGCAGTGGGTGCGAACGAATGTTGTTGGCGAGCAGCCACACTCGAGGGGGGGGGGAATGGGTCGGTTGGCCGGCCGCACCTTCCCCCGAACAGCACTGGATGACACTGCCGAGGGCGGCTCACCTGGTCGAGGAAGATGATGTTTCCGATGCTGTTCCAGCTGTACGGGTTGACGGTGGTGCCGGTGCCGCCCGCCCTGACTTGGCAGGGGCCAAGCTCCATGAAGAGGCCGATGAGGGAGGACGACCCCGGGCCGCCGTTGAGCCATAGGAACAGGGGATCGGTGGATGGGTTGCGGCGGGACTCGAAGAACCAAAAGAAGAACTGGCAACAGGGTCCAGGTGCCGGTCGCAGCGGGGACGACGTTCGGAGACGGCGTTCAGGAGGTGCGTTAGTTGCTGCGGTGCCCGGTGCTGCTGCTGCTGCTGCTGCTGCCCCAAACAGCCCAGAAGCGGGAGACAGGCTCGGCCCTCCCCGCAATACCGACATGCTTTCCGATTCCGACGTCGATGTAGCCGTGGATCTGGGCGACATTCGGGTCGCAGAGGGTTGAGTTGCTGGTCACCCGCAGGGCGTAGTCGGTGAACTGTACATGCGTCCAAACGGACCACTGCAGGCCCTGGTCGTCAACCACCGTCTTGGTCGAGAAGGCCGCATCGATGCTCCCAGGATCGGCCAGGCGAGAGACATTCCAGGGCTGGGCCGTGGGGTTCTCGACGACCCCGGACAGCGATGCGACCCGGCCAACCACGGCGGCCAGGCAACCGAGCGAGAGCAGAGACTGTATCCAGGTCATGGCAGCGGCAGGCGCCGTCGACAGGATCCAGGGCAAAGGTGGGAGGAGAACAGAACCGAAGGGATCGAAGGGATCGAAGGGATCGAACGCCGTGGGATTTGGAACACCAGGCAGTGCAGTCATGTGCGGTCACGTTGGCCTCGCCACAACCAGCTGCGGTTTGCCATGCTGCCCAGAAGCAACTTTGGTTCCCACCATCGCTAAATACTAGCAGATGGGACACTCCCAATGTCGCATGTCAGCGCAGTATGCAGTAGCCTGCATCAAGCACAGCCACATGCAATGAAATCGACTGTCGAGTGAAGACTGCCGAGCGAAGACCTCCAGTCGCTCCCTGGTCCCCACAGTCGACCTGCAGTGCAGCGATGGAAAGATGTAATCAGGACCCAGAATCAAGCGACACCCCTGGCTCAAAACAGGGTATCCTGCTTCGTTTCGGGGATGCTGTATTGAAATGTATTATTACGGCACTGATACGGGGCTCGATGCTCGTCCAACCGGTCCATCCGGTACCGTCGTCGCAAAGTGTCCGATCAGCAGTGTATATCGCGACACACCGCTGCTCTGCTTCTGGCACTCACGGCCCATCTAATTGTCGTTCGAGGCGCTCCAGAAATGACAGCTTTTCGCGGATCGCATGCGTTTGGATGTCGATCAGCGCCGAGATCCAGCCGGTGATCCTATCAGACTCGTAAAGTGCTGTGCGCCGGGCTTCTTCCCTGGCATGGCCGAGCGCCGACTCGAACGCCAGAGACTCGGTGCTCGGCGGAATCGCCCGACTACTGTCTCTTCCGGGTGCAGGCTTGGTGTCCGGTAAGCCGACGGCGCTGTTCGCTGGAGCCTTGATCGATGTCGTTGGTGGCGTTCCCGTGCCTGTTGCAGATGCTAGTCCAGATGCCACCGCAGCAGCGTCCACTCCTGGCTCTGGTTTTATCGGCATCATGGCGGTGGACGGCTTCGCTTGGGCCACGCCGCCTGCGCCAGTCGTGAGCTTGGACCCCGAGTCGGCTTCGTCGTCAAGCTCCGCACACAGGACTTTCAGGGCACCTTTTGCGGCGGCGGCAGCCACAGATGGAGCCAGCTCTCTCGCCAAGAAGCCCAGCAGTGCCACGATCGGATTCGGCGACTCTGACAGAACGCAGTATGAACTTGGCTGTCCAGTCGATGCGGCCTCGTTGGACTTTTCGATTCCGCAACAGTGCAGTGGGCCAGTAGATTCGGGGCTCGACTTGGATCGGTCGGGCTGGGGATGGTCTGAGGCAAGGACAGATTCAGCGGGCACTGTGCCAAGAAGTCTCGTCGATCGCCTCTCGTCGGATGCATCCTCAGCCGCGACGGCATCCGTCATCAACACATCGTCGACCGAGTCAATATCGAGATCCGATTCTTCTGTGTTGACGGCCTCGGCAGTGGAAGGGCCATCGCTCAAAGGCGGGCACACTGCCCGAGATTCCAACGATTCTGCTGGCTTCTGTATGGCTTGATGCTGCGATGGCTCCGATGGATGCTTGTTGGCACCGAGGTTGGCACAGTCAGCCCTCGGTACATCGATGCTCGGTGAAACCAACTGCGTGCTTGCGGGATCGACTGAGCCATCGAGATCGGCAAGAGGGCTGCGGTTGGTGAGCAGCTCCTCGCCCAGATCCAGCTGGACAAACTTCATGACGCACTCTTCCTTTGTTCGAGTTCCGACGGCCTTTGCAACTTCGGGCCACGAGTTGACGCCCAACGATTCAACGGCGGTGAGAAGCTTCAGTGTCTCGAGCTCGGTCCACTCGGAGAACGTGTTGGTTTTGGGGTTGTCGCAGGCAAGGTACTCAAACATTGACTCGAGTCTCACAAAGCTCTGTCCGTTAAACATTGGCGGGTACTGCCCGTCCAGATAGCATGTCTGGCAGAGGAGGTACTCTTTGTAGCTCGGGTTGAAGTAGATCCGCGACTTGGTAAGGGTGCTGCGACATGTGCGGCACAGCTGCGGCCGAATGAGTGATAGCGACGGCTCGTGGTAGGTGCTGGAAGGCTCGAGATCGTGGTGGTAGACGAGGTCCTGGCTCTCGCTTGTCGGTATATCCTCGAGATTGCGCGGTGTGAATGCATTGTTGAGTACTTCCCACAGCAGCCCGGAATCGCGCGCCTGGGGGGTTGTTCGGGATTGTCAACGGTGTCGGCTGTGAGCGATTGGCATAGGCGGCATTCAACAATCAACCACCATCCGTGCACCCACCCGCAGTGCATATGCCTTGATAGAAGCACCTACCTGAGCATTGATTAGATCCCAGTGCTCGAGGAACTGATGCATTTTAAGCAGATCCACTGGCTGCTGGCGGATCTTGCGGTCAATGTTGCGCAGGCTCAGGAACGACTCGGGCTTGGCCCAGTACATCTCAATGATTTTGTTGCGGAAGCGGATGTAGCCCTCAAGGTCGTCGGCATCCCGGAGCTCAGGAAAGTAAAGAAGCTCGGCTTCGTGGATGCCGTCAAAGGAAAACCACTGGCTGCGCTCAGGGAACGGAGGCCGCTCCTTAGACTTGGGCTCGTCGCTGTCCTCGTCCGCGTCGAGTGCGCTGCTGATCGGCTGGAACACGTTGGCAATCTCGCTGGGATGCACAGGCTCGTATTCGTATCGCCGCGCTCGGAACCCACGCAGGTCGTTGTCGATCTTGACCACTTTGGGGTGGGACTCAAAATCCGACTGGTTCGCGAGCGAGATGCCGTATCGCAGACGCTTTTCGATTTCGTAGCGGCCACTCGAGTCGTCCTTGTTGCGACCGAGCGACGCCAGGCTGATCGAGCGGCTCCGCGGTGCCGTAGCGTCGTCTTTCACATCGAGGGTTTCAGAGAGCCTGTCGCCTTGAGAGTCGTTGTCGTCTTCGTTGTGGTATCCATTGTGGGTTCGGCCGGCATGCGACTTGCGGGGACCCGAGCTTCGCTGGCCAGACGACTTGATGATGACCTTTGGTGCGCGGTAGGGCTGATTTGTGGCATTCACCGTCCTGCAGGCAGCTTCGCTGGTATCATCATCGCCATCACCATCGCCGTCGCCATCGCTGTCGTCGCGATCTTCGTCATCGTCATCGTCGTCATCATCATCGTCATCGTCATCCTGGTCTTGGTCCGAGTTTCGATCGTCTTCGTCTTCGTCTTCGTCCTCGCCCTCATCTTCGTCCTCTTCGTCGCCGTCTTCGTTTTGTGGATCATTGACGGTTTCGTCGTAGGGGTCCTCGTCGTCTGGATCTTGATCGATGCTTACTTCGTCCTGATCGCTCGCAACTTGGCTGTGTAAACCTGCATTGTCGTCATCATCGTCACTGCTGCTGTTGCCACTGTCGCTGTCGCTGTCGCCGTCGTCATCGTCATCCTCGACTGACACCTCCTCACCCATATCGCTGGATTTGCGGAAGGTGCTGCTCGCAGTGCCGTCGTCGTTTTCCCCGTCGTCTGGCGCCTCAATCTCATAGTCCTCTTCATTCTGAATCGTTGGCCAGGAATGGAGACAGTTCGTGCGGGTTAGCCATATGCAATCCACGCAGTGACGTGGTGCCGTCAAGGTCGAGAGCCGTGCCTCTCGCTGTGAGACCAGTACAGTGGCATAGTTACCATCCACTCGTGATACTTGAGGCTGTCGGTAAGCCAACGGGAGCTGACGAGCCACGGCCGGACGTGCGGCGGCGGCGGCTGATGATGAAGGGAGAGAATACAAGCCACGATATCAGCACGGTGAGGGCAATGGTCTGGGCCACATGGCGGGTGTATTCTTCAACCGGCCAGGTACCTCGGGATCCAGCAACTCCTCGCTGTGGACGACCCAGATGTCTTGAGAGTCCGGCTTGTACCTGGACGAAAGTTGAAGCACTGTTAGCTTGGAGCCAGGCTCGGGAGATCAGGGCCGATCGGATTCAAGAGGTGTCCGGAGTGCTCTGGTTTCCAGCCCACACCTGGACGCCATTGCGATCCGGACTCGAGGCTTTGACTCCACCCGTCCGGAATTCCGAATGACGCTGACCGACATACCAATAATGCAGTAGGCAGAATCCATCCAGCTTCTCGATAGTGCGATAGTACTCTTCGCCCGCCGACTGCGTCGGGTCGGCGTACTCGCAGATGACATGCGTGACATTCTCGTGGTCAGCCGGGACATGGATACCTGCGGGAGCGGCAAAGCGTGTCCAGAAAGCAGCCAGCCATCGACTCGATTGTCAGCGGCATGGTCAGGAGAGCAGCCGTTGATACAAACAGCCAAGAGACCAAGACAGCGCCCGGGATGTGCTCCGCCATCGGGTCCGCCTGAAAGGCAGCATGCGGACCGTACCTCCGAGATGCTCGATAGTCTGAATCAGCTCGCGCTCAGTGTCCTTTGGCAGGGATTCGACATTGACAGCAATATACTTGCGATCCAGCAGCGCATTTGAGAGCAGGTGATCCTGGATGGCGTTCAAGAGGCGGATGTGGTCCGAGAATCGGCTGCGGGCGGAAAAGTCCCAGCCCTCGAGCCAGTTGTGATCGGCCAGGAACAAAAACGCAACCGTGAGGATCTCAAAGAGCGAGCCTCTCTCGGCGATATCCTTGAAGAGCTTTGGCGGGAACCGCAGCGGCACGTCCGCGGCCTGCTGGGCGATCGCGGCCGAGTGAAAGTCCCGGAGCTGGGCGACAAAGAGCCCGATGGAGGCGGATGTGAAGATGGACGACGGGGCACGCTTCAGCGGGCGGTGCTTGCGGATGTGCTTGGCGACTCTCCTCCGCAGCGGCTCGAGCGCCGCCTGGACCGAGGGCAGCTGGTAGTACTGCTGGGCCGACAGAAGCGACATGGGGGTGTTGCTGGGGCAGCCGGCGATCGCTGCAGAGGCATGCCACGCAACGGCGAGGGAATTCGGCCGCTTCGAGCGAGAGAGGCTGTGGCTGGACGCCTCGGTCACGTGGGACCACACCGCCCTCGCGCCGTTTGCGTTTTGCAGGCGGACGGGCTGGAGCGGCCCCTGCGCGATGCGACATCTGCATCCGCACTTGAACAGCCGCCCGCATCTGCATCTGCGTCTGCATCTGCGCTGGCACAAGCATTGCACCGCATCCCAATGGAGTCGCTCAAGCTGTGGTGGAACTCGCTGCCGTATCTGCACCCCGAGGTGCTGCCCCCAAGCACGCCTTTCACTGCTCCGGGCGCCAGCAGCTCCCCACTGCCCATCCTCTATGTCTATCCAGCACAAAAACACCACATCACCTCGATCGACGTCGAATGTGTGCGAATACAGGCGTTTCTGTCCTTCTACGGATTCAACCATGCCGTTCGAGAGACCTGCAATCCAGAAATGTCTCCATCAGGTGCGTCGCAGCACCGATGAGGCTGTGCCCATCCGACGACTTGAACTCGGCATCCGCACCGATGCATCTTGGGAAGGACGGCAGGCCGGCCAAGACGGAGGTGTTCTGCACCGGAATCCACAGCCGCTCGACTCTTGGAGCTTGCATCTGACCCTCATCTGACCCTGTTTGACGGATTCCAGGCCAGCTTCCGTTCCTGGTGACGCTCGACAACAGAGTGCTCGCCGGGCGGCAGATCGTCGACGAAGTCGCAAAGAATGTAGGTGCCACCATGAACAGCAAACCGAATCGCTGGTCTGCGACGGGGTCCTGAAATCCATCTGCCGAGACCGCGCATCACCCGCCTTTGCTCGTTTGGTCACTGCACAGACCGTGGGCATGAATGAATGAATGTGCCCGGTCTTGTGGAGGACACTCGACTCGGAATCGTCTCCTGGATCATGCTCTGGGCTGCTCTCTGAATCCCATGTCCTCGGGTCCATTGACAGGAGCACCACCCAGCTGCACGTTGGCGAGATCACTGATCTGGTTCATGTCTTGTTCCTTGCACAATCGTCTGCCAACAACCGTGACCGGCTCCAATCAATATCGCCCCCCTCGATGCTGCCCACAATGCCATCCGATCGGCCACCTGTATCCACATCCGCATCTTCATCCATATCGGTGGCAGTTCCCTGAACTGCATGTCAAACCCGATCTCGACACCATGGCCTTCTCGAGCCTTGCCGACTCTCGCCTCAAGCTTGCGCTGGTAGGGACTGCCGAGCCGATGGTTTGGTAATCGCCTCGAGTGCCTGCTATGAGCGACGCTCACATACTAATTTCATGTCGGCCTCCCCACCGATACTGCATGCTTCATCGAATGAGCAGACCCACAGCCTTTGGTACGACATCAAGATTGCCGAGAAGCTGCTGCATTGCAGGTTCAGTCAATTGGCTTGGCCGCTTGGGCCTGTGGTTCTGCGGATCAAGCGGTCCGAGGAGCTCGCCTGGATGCTGAATCGCAAGCCAGTCTTGTATCGAGATGAGGTGGGCGCCAAGCGGCAATCTCTCCTTCCCCTCCCCAGCGGCAACAGTGCGGAGGCTCGGTGGCTGGCAACTGACAGACGCAATGATGCATCTAGATTTACCGCGAAGCCGAGCAGGCGCTCTCGGCGCTCTCTGTCAAGCTCGGTCAGCACTCGTACTTTGGCGGCGTCAGGCAAGTGCCGCAGCACCCATCCACACGATCCCCAACAGTGATGACTCGATAGTAAGCCCTCATCGACCCATGACTCGCCCGCTAATGCTCGACATATCGTATTCGTCCCGCAATCGCAGGCCGTCGTATCTGGACGCCACAGTGTTTGCATATCTGCACATTATCCTCTCGTTGCTGGCTGGCTCGGACGAGACCGAGCTCCGAAAGCTGGTTCTGCGCCACGAAAACCTCGTGCAGGTAAGCCATCGCATACGGTCCGCTGCTCACCCCCCCCCGTCTGCGACATGAGTAGGTGGCCATCGCCATCCCGTGAATGCGCTCCTGCTGAGCACCATGGCCGCCTTACATCTCCGACCGTTCTTTCCCATCGCACACAGTATGCAAAGCGGATCTGGTCCACCTGGTTTGCAACCACACCGAAGCGCAACGAGACGAGCGGGGATGCATAGATGCCGCAACAACGACCGAGCCGCTTTAGCACCGACAGACCAAGAAGCCGGAGCAAGCGACAAGGCACCCACCCACCCGCTCGCTCACCACCACCCCCTCGCCCAAGCCTCATTGCGCTTGATGAAATACATCGACCCCGCATACAGCGTTCCTAAAACGGAACGGGATTCCCTGTTTTGAGCCAGGGGTGCCGCTTGATTCTGGGTCCTGATTACATCTTTCCATCGCTGCACTGCAGGTCGACTGTGGGGACCAGGGAGCGACTGGAGGTCTTCGCTCGGCAGTCTTCACTCGGGAGCTGATTTCATTGCATGTGGCTGTGCTTGATGCAGGCCACTGCATACTGCGCTGACATGCGACATCGGGAGTGTCCCATCTGCTAGTATTTAGCGATGGTGGGAACCAAAGTTGCTGAAGTGATCGATATGTATATATTTCAAAGAGCCTGTTGGAACAAGTTTACCATATCTCGTAATAATCGAATTTCTTGTTGATTTCACTGCTTTCAGCCAATCGAGTACGTGCGAATAGTCGCCATCATATCAAGTAACTAATCACGAATATCAACATTATGATCAGAAGCAATACACGAGATTTGGACATTAACCAGGGTCGATGCTCTGAAACCACCTTCAACTCTTGGTTTTCAGGAAATTGTCCGGGAAGAGGAATCATTACCGATTCACTTTCGTCTGGTCCCAATTCCTTGTTGAGCGAGGAAGCTTGGGAATAATCCTCTGGCTGGGAACCCCGGTTTGAAGCTGTGCGTTGGTCCTTGTTGTCAGAATCATCTTTGAGTGGTTTTGTTGCTTCAAGTTTTTCCACGGCCTTCGCCATATAATATTGATAGTTGTTTTGGAGGTCAGAAGGAATTGTGTTGACAATATGTTGGTAGAATGATTGCGCATCGACAGTATTTCCGATCCTCTGGCATAGCTCAGCGAGCTTCATCAAAGAATTGATTTTTTCTTCGAGAAAAGCACTGTCATTGAATGCTTCTAGAATTTTGCCTGCTTGCGCGATTGTTTCAAGAGCGTCGGTGAGATGTTGATGTTCAATATTGAATACTGATGATTCTATCAGAACTTTCACATAAAACAGTCGAGGTCGTGCGTCCGTGTTCGCTGCGCATACATCAAGAGTATCTTTCAATTTCCTTGCTGCCACATCGACGTTTTCGCATTTGAAGTAGAGCTTTTGAAGTCGCTCAAGTATCGGCAAATAATGGAGAAAGAGTTTTTCAGTGTAATTCTGGAAGACGTATTCCCGAACCCACTCAAATTGTAAAATGGCATCATCGATTTTGTTGAGTTCCTGGAACACTAGGCCCTTTTGAATATGAACTCGAAGAATGGAAGTGCAGCATTTGATATCGACTTGGTCATTCAGTCGATTTTGACAATTTGTAAAAAACGTAAGCGAATCCGGATAAAGTCTATGATCAAAGGCGATCATTCCCATTTGAAAGTAAAGATCGACTGTGGCTGCATTGTCCAGGTATTTCTGATATAGATGACTTGACAGCGTTTCGAAGTGCTGAATGAGGGAGAGAGGCCCATTTTCACTCAATTTCAACAGTGTTTCTTGTGCGACTTTCTGGACCCCGAGCAGGTCCAAGTCCACGGACCGTTTAAAATATTCTCGAATTGCGTTTTGAATAAGGGGATGCATTGAGTAATTGTCTGTCGATCGCAGCTCAATTAATCCTGTGGAGCAGAGAGACCGAATATCGCGAGACCCTGAAACAAGTTACTTGGACAATAAGTGAGAAATAACAAAATATAGGCAGGTATTTCAAACCTGATGAGCGTACGTACCATCGGATTTCATTCCAAGGCTTTCCCCGATTTTTTGAATCATGACTGACGAAATATTCAGGTTGAACATGAAGCTCAAAGCACCAAGAATATTGCATTCACGCTGAAATCCTCGAGTAAATTTTCGCTTGAAGTTCAATATTGCTTCCACGATGATCTTCAATGAGCTTTTAGGGGATTCCAAGTCCGATACCGACATTAGGGAATTTTTGAGCTTCCTGCGTGAGTCAAATGTGATCGGCAACTTGAGAAGGCTAATGAGCAGCCGGAGAGCAAGGGGGTGATTGAAACATCCTTGGACAAGACTTCTGAGCCCAATTTCTTCATCCATACCGTATTCACCAATTTTGGCTACCAGGATAGATTTCAAATAATTCATTGACACTTCGGACTCCCACCGAGATATAGACAAGAAGCAAGCATCTCCCTCATCTGGCAACTTCAAAAATTCTGATAGCCCAGAGAAATCGATAAAATGAGAGTTTGTTGATGAAACAATAATATCCGTCCGCTGTCCGACCTGAAGGGGCGCCGAAAAGACATCTTCCAACAGTTTGGTGTTGCTGAAATTGTCAAGAACAATTAAAAGTTTTGATTCTTCACTGAAGAATTTGGTGGCATATTCGACGATGGATTTCACTGAGGAATCAGAGAAGCTGTTTTGGAGACTATCGTAGATGGCATATTTTGTATCACAGTCGATCCATATTACTTTTGAATACTGGGGAATTTTCATCAAGTCAATTTGAATATCGGCTCTGGTGAAATCGGCTAAAGTAAGCTCGCCCATCAGAGCGGCGATCATTTGCCTCATGAGGACAGATTTTCCAATTCCAGTTTCCCCGGTCAAAATCAATCGGCCAGTACATGTGAGGATTTTCATCATCCTCGTGATTTTAATTTTGTCGATATAAACATTGGGGTGAAATGGTTGAGTACACGAAATTGTCTTGGCGGACTTTGACTTTTGAGAATCGTCGAAAATGGTATTGAGAAGTGGAATGGCCATCAAATATGGCTGATCCCGATCACAATAGCAGCTCGTCAGATGTTTCACACTTGTGAATAGCTTCTTCAAATGATCGTACATTGGTCTGTTATAGGACATTGTACTTTCAAAGGCATCATATGGAAATTCGGCTTTTCCTTCGTCATTCAGCCTCAAGAAGTGCGCGACTAATATTGAGCCGGCGTGTGAAGGGCCAGACACCGATTTTATTGGTGCCCAAGAGGAACTGGCTTCATCCGTCTCATAGTCCTTGATAATCTCCTCCATCAATTCGTGGGTAAATACCAGGATGGTGGTATTGAAGCTGCCATTTTGGGGAAGTGGGTTGATTCGACGTTTAAAAGAAAACGGAATGACTTGAAATTCGAGAGACTTGAAATGACGACGAAAGGCAACCTTTCTCAGGACGTCTTGAAGCGCAGTTGTAGCCTGGCAATCCCCGTTGGAAGAAAGCAGGGTTATATTGTAATTGGGGGCGCTTGATGGCATAGCTCGGAATGGCTACTCGAAAATGCCTGGATGAATTGGGCTCTCGAGAAAAGCAGCAATTTGACCTCACCGGTTGCCCTCAGCGTATTATCCTCGACGAGGGGTCCCGCACCGAGGAGCGTGGGCCGCCTGCGAAACGTTTCATTGAGCGACGAAAATCGAGGACACGCGCTCGTTTGCCCCAAAACTCCCTCGGCCGCAGCCGCGTGGACATTATTGCAGTCAGAAGTCTTGCTTCGCGTGAGAGCTTCAGATCAAGAATCCTTGGTGAATTCTCGCACAATTTGTCTTGTTGTCGCTCCCAGTCTCAACTATACGCCTTCACGCTGCTCTTGCATAATTTTTGCAATGTTTATCTAGTCCACTTGTTAAAATTAAAGGATTTCCTTTTGCAGAACACATATTCAGGCGGGGGCTATTGTCTCCATAACCAAGTAGCATGTACGATCGCCTCTAGTAATCAGACTTTCAATATTTGCCATATTTTATTCCTTGGACAGGTCTGATGCATGCGGTGGGACAGGACACGCCTCTAGCTGAGAGGGCGGCTGGCAATTCCATATTTGTACATTTTGGGGAAGGGGCGTCGTGAGGCTGGTTGAAGTTTTATCCATTTCCGCGGAGCATGCTGGTGGCGTCCGGGTTTCTTGGGGCAGATTCAGGAGGAAAAATTCAAAATGGGATATGGAGATTCAATTTTCAGGTGCGTCAAAAAATTTTACCGACTCGTGATCATTATTTTCCCCTGCTCGACAAGGTTTAGTGGTGAGTGAAGCGGCGGTCCAAACAGGGAAGAGTTGCGCAATTCGTCATCCCAACGAGGCTTGGTGTTGAGTCGAACAAGAATCGTTTTGGGGAAATGCCGTCGAGGGGCGAAAATTCATTTTTAAAATCCCAAACCATTGGACTATTTATTGGCATCGTGGTTTCGAATCGCTTCCTTCCTCCAAAACCGAAAGGTCAATGATTTGAACCCGCGAAATGGATTCCCTGATAGAAAAGAGTAAGAACCTTATTGCCTCATTGCATGTAATCATATTTGAAATTTAAAGCATTTAGAAACCGATCAGATAATTATTGACTATGAGGACAAAGATTTCGATAATATCATAATAAGCTGTGATGACCAGCATCACAACGGACCAATGAGATTGTCCCGCATGCTCTCGCCCTCCGCACCAATCATGAGTCCCCACGTGTTTGTTTGCCCCCATGCATGAGCACGCGCCGTTGCCACCCGCGTCTACTGGTTTCCTGCCTCCCCCACCGCTCGGCACATGTCCCCGGGCTGTGCCAAGCCTCTCTCGCTTGCACACCAGCCACTCTCGCACCCCCTTCTCGCTTCTCTGTGATGCTCCACCCTTCTCGCCCACTTTTGCCCCTCGACCTTCTCCCGGTCTATAAATAGCCCTGCATGTCTGAGCCTATGTTGAACACCAGTTCGAACAAAACTTGTTCTTTGGTGTTCGGGGCTAAAAGCTAATAAAGCTCATACCAAGCACTTGGTCTTCGTCCTTGCGCTTGTTCACTCCTTACACTTTGTTCGAACTCTCTTCTACTGATACCACCTGCTTGGTATCTTCCGCTCCTAGCCCCGCCCCTTTCCTAGTCCTGTCCGAACCTCAAGCACACTTGTGTCTGAGCCCTCTTCGCTCTCCTGTTCTTGAACCTCCTCGCTTTTTTTTTTTTTTTCCCAGTCCCAGTCCCAGTCCCGCCATGGATCCTGCCCTCGTGGACCGCCTCCGTGCCTTGGAGGCCGAGCTCGCCGAGCTCCGGACAGCTCGCGATGCTCCTGCCGCTGGGTACAGCGTGCAGATGCCGGACCGTTACGACGGTAACCGGCAAGGGTTCCGGGCATTCGTAAATCAGTGCAAACTGTATATACGAATGCAGCCCCACCGGTTCCCTGCTGACCCGATTAAGGTCGGATTCGTCATTAGTCTGCTCACTGGACCGGCTCTCCAGTGGGCGACTCCGATGCTTGAGATGGGTGATCCCCGACTCAACTCTTTTGGCGATTTCCTAGAACGCTTTTCCAAAGTGTTTGACGACCCTGATCGGGCCAGGACTGCCGAGTCAGTGATCACCACACTGTCTCAGGGCAACCGCCCGTGCGCAGTCTATGCATCCGAGTTCCTTCGTATTGCCGCCGATACGACTTGGAACGACGGTGCAAAGATCTCGTTCTTCCGACTTGGCTTGTCGGATGATGTCAGAGACGAACTTTCGCGAGTTCGCCCTCTGCCACGAGATCTGGAGGAGTACATCGAGCTTTGTAACGAGCTCGATGCACGAATCCGCGAGCGCCGTCAAGAGCGCCGAAGCACGCCTGCCCGCTACCGGTCTTCCCAGTTCGCCTTTGGTTCCGCCTCCGCTGCCGTTCCCGCCATCGCTCCCGCGCCCGTCCTCGCTCCGCCGCACCCCTCCTACATTGTTTCCGAGCCCATGCAAGTGGACTCTGCCGTCTCTGGACCCCTGACCGCCGAGGAGAAACAACGCCGCCGCCGCTTTGGACTCTGCCTGTACTGTGGCAAGAAGGGCCACTTGGTACGAAACTGCCCCGTCAAGTTTGGATCTACCAGAGCTACCGGACCGCCCCCTGGACCTCCCGGCCCGAGGATCATCCGCACCATCGTTTACGAAGATGGAGAAGTGCAAGACTTCAGTTCGGGAAACGACCAGGCCCGGTTCTAAGTGAAGGCCTTGAACCGGAGCCGTGCCCACCGCCTTCCGAAAGTGAAGACATTGGTAAGGTGCCTTTGGTAAGTACTGGGGAAGCAGTGATGTGCGGACAGCTTCGCCTTGCCTCTGGACCGGCGGACACTCTCAGCTCTGGCATAGTACCCGTGGCACCTCTGGTGTCACTGGGAACTGCACCTCATCCACAGGTGCAAATACCTGAGCTGTCCTGCCAACCCTCGGCAAAGTTAACTGTCTGTGCTAGCCGCAACCCTGGTGCCGAAGCTGGTACCGAACCAAAGTCTTGTGTTTCGTCTGTTCGTCGTTGCTCGTTGGTTGTTCCCGTCGCTGTTCGTCTTCCTTCTGGTGATTCTCTGTCGTGCGAAGGACTTGTCGATTCTGGTGCCTCTGGCAACTTTATCGACGAGGACTTTGTTGCTCGACACTCTGTCCCCACCTGCTCCAAGGCTTCGCCCTTGGCAGTGGAAGGCGTGGATGGTAAGCCGCTGTCGTCTGGCCCCATCCTCCGCGAGACTGCTCCACTCGAGGTGATTCTCGGGGACGTCTCGCAACGCCTTCGGTTCGATGTGATCAGGTCTCCACATCAACCACTTATCCTTGGCTTTCCTTGGTTGCGCACCGCCGAGCCCAAGATTGTCTGGTCTCGCGGTCTTCTTTGTCTCCCTCCTTCTGTTGATTCCGACCCCTCTCCATGCACTACTTCTCTTTCGTCTTGCTCCACTTCCTCCAATGTCACTCCCCTTCTTGATGATTCCACTCCTTTGATTGATCTAAGCTCCTCTCCTACGCTCCCACCTTCGTCTTCCCCTTCTTGTCTTGTTCCTCCCGAACCCCTTCGCTCTTCCCAAACCCCTTCTTCTGT